AGCGGAAACATGGTGAAAATCGATCCATTCATTCTTTGCTCTTTCTAATTCTAGAATGAATCGTACATCCCCCACAGTGTTCACCATCTAGAATCGTCTCAGTGCCTTCTGGACTGCAATCCACGCGAGCTTATACCACACACCACTCACACCTTGACTGCCATCTTGAACTCGTTGATCGGAGCAGCTGTAACACCGATCGGAACCTTGAACGTGGCCCCCTGAAGTTTTGCACTCTCGGGGTACTTGTCTGGGTCTTCTTCCTCTGCGCTCGTGATGTAGAGGTCCTCCCCGCAAATGCCTGGACAGGTGACACATCTTGTCGGAAGGGTGATTTCGACGGTGATCTCGCCCGCCGGGCTCACCCGCACGACCTTGCTTGTTCCAAACAGTGCAACCCAGAAATACCCTTGGGCATCTTGACAGTGACCATCTGGGACTCCGCCCTCAATTGGGCACTCGAAGAAGGGACGACCAGCTGAGAGATTGATCTCACCAGACTGCAAGTTGTAGTCATAAGCCTCGATTTTACCCGTTGGCGAGTCAGTGATGTACATTGTCTTATTGTCCAGAGTCCATGACATTCCATTGGGAATGGTCACAGGCTCCTTGATTCTGTGAAGGCTGAGGTCTGAGTCCAGTCTAAATAAGACGCCTGTGTGGAAATTCAGTTTGACAATTCAGTAGCGGTCAGGTCGTCAGCTCACCTTCCGGCCCAGGCTCATCCACAACAGTAGGATCATTCATGGTTCCAACGTAGAACCTGCCATGGCTGTCGACCGAGCCGTCGTTGCTTCGTGAGCGGTGAGCCCTGCCACTTTGCACCTCCTCGTCCGACCAGAACTTCTTGATGTATTTTGGTTCTCCGGTCTTCTTGTTTGCAATGCCATATCCCTCCTTGCCGCCGAAGATGAACTCGTCATCATTGCCTGCAATGTTGGCCGTACAACCGATTGAAAATGGAAGGTCAATTGTCTTGTGTGATGAAGGACCCTCGTTGAGATTCACAACATGAAGCTGTTTCTTGACAATGTCGAGAAAGCGCAACGTGTTGCTCTTCTTATCCCAAAATGGAGCTTCACCCAGACCGCATGAAGTCTTGAGCCAGGGCTCCGTCACCTTGATTTGCTTGATGTCCGACATGATCAGATTCTTCTTTTGCGATGTTGTGAAATGAATGCAAGGTGATGAATTCGAAATTAATGTTTTCCACCAACCTCGTTGTCACTTGGAGGGTGAGAGCCAACCTCATGATGATGGCATTGTTTGCTTCGTGTTTGTTTCTTTGCTCCCCCACATCGGAAGAACTCTCCACCTTCCCACCTCTTACATACGGCGTCGAGTACCTGTGTCGCATTGCAAATGCAAAAGTGCATCAGTAACATGGTTCTTTGAATTCACGCTTCTGCACGGCTTTGCTCGCCTGGATGCGCGTTCTACCACCTCTGAAAACGCATACATCGACGCTTAATCAGTTTCACGGAGGCGATCGGAGGTGCCATTCCGACGGGATCATGCCTTTTGATGAATTCGCTGCCCGAGTCCGTGGTTCATGTCATCCTTTTCGAGCAACGCCAAAATCGCAATCCGACACCCGAGACACCGCATGCGAGACATCCATGGCTCATCCGAAAGGCCCACGTGCAATTTCATGCAGCACACTGGCAGTGCAGCCTTTGACCAGAAATGTGACTGGTCGCGTTTGGTGACAAGCTGCTAAGCGCCGTGTGCTATCTTTGCCCGGATTTGGTTCTTCTTAAGTGGTTGGTGTGACTCGATGGATCAAGAACCGTCCATCTTTCTTTGCACTGCAGCTTCGGAGCTCGCTTCCTGTGTTTAGATGCTCAGTTATCAGGTACGCGTTGAACGGTACTGTGAAATCTCAACCCTCACACTACATGAAGCATCCAGTGAGCACTGCGAGCTGGAGCGAGCAATTCAGCAAACAACCCTCATATTTCGCAATCAATACATGTATACATGCGAAGCAAGGTACGCATATGTGTGTCCGAGGTGACTGTCCTAGAAAGTAGGCATACTTTTGCTAGTGACAATATTTTGTCACGCGCATGAGTCGGGCATATTTTACGACTTTCCTTTGCTATATGATCCCCAATATTTGTTTTGAACATGCAGCCCTGTTCAACGACCAGCTGTCTTGCATTACTAGCTTGGAATCCAGCCACCCATGCGGTGTCACAAAGCATGTCTGCCATCACAACGTGGGCATCATGTCGTAGCACAAGGAACATATGTCTTGCCGACCTCTCACATGTGTAACGAGTTATGTGTCGGTTCCGTCCAAAGATCCGATCGCTAACATTGCGATGAGCTTCCTATCAAAAACCTCTGGTTCCTGCACCAGAGGTACGCATTTCGATGCCGTGCAAGTTTAGCTCCACAATCTCTATCAATAGTTTGTCCTTGCCTGCAGAATGCTTGTCGTTTCCGGGGTTGGCAGATGCAGGGACAATGACAAATGAACGCGCTGTCGTAAATGTGTTGGGCACCAAGTCCCAATATATTTGCGCATTGCTTCCCCGTTCAGCTCTTCGTGGTTGCAATATATTCCCTGCATTGTGACCGCTTGGTGATGTGTTCATTATGTGTGTCGCCTGCGCTGTGACATGACTCTTAAGCGCTTGAAGCCGTACGAGAACATGAGTGGTTCTCAACCTGTACTTATCCAAGTCAACGTCTGCCCCAAGACATTCAATCGTGCTGTGTCCATTCTTTAAATGTTAGATAAGCACAAGAGATATGACCATCTAAGCGACTGTCACTCAGAAAAAACACGGCTATTGTTTTGAAGTTGCCTCTTGCATGTGAGCTTGTTGAGAGTGGCTTCGGAAATACTGACAATCGGCGAATTTGATGGCAAACGGATTTCGCCAAGGTTCTGAGGGAGCAGAAAAAAAGGCTTCATGGTTCTTCTACAAATTTTATCTTGCGTTCTTAAACTCCACTCACGAGCCGCCTTTGTAGCTGACCGCAAAAATTTGCCTACTTTTCTGCTCTGTCTGCTGCCCTTCTGCAGGGCTGCAAGTGCTTCGAGGCAATCGAGAGTGCAATCTGAATTTCATGGTCATGGAGACTGGATCGTGGTACGCCTCTGCTGAGGTGTGGGGGTGGAGACCAACAAAACTAACTAACCTATCAATCTTCACATTCAACTGTTTTTGAGGGCGTTTGGTCTAGGGGGTTCGTACCATCTCAATCTAAGCGTGTACTATACATGGAGCTAACCAAAAGAAGTATGATGCTCCCTTCGCAAACAGGCACATAAGCTCATTTGTATGGGAGAGGTCGGGGGTTCAATTCCCCCATCGTCCATCGTTTTTGCACTTTTCCACAGTACAAGATTGTGAAGCCTTGATTTTTGCTATTTCTGCTGTAAGTTTTGTGGTGGCTAGTTCCAATGGCTTTATGCTTGACACTTCATATGCTTGATTATAGATTAGTGCCTTGTCATAAGCAGAGGCAGTAGTTAGGTGTGCCATGAAACAATCTCAACTCTTAACAGCAGTCACGTAGAATCTTCAACAGTCTAACCCAGTGACCATAGCTTCTCACAGAGGGCAAAGCAGCAGACGGGCCCCTGCCTTGCGCATTCTTCATTTTCCACCGTCGACCTCATCATGTTAGGATCACACATGATCATCAATCACCGTACTCGTTTACATGTCTGAGCCGCTCATCCACCAAGTCTGATACTTTGCCATGGGTTGGCGACCTCTCCGCAGACAACAATCCCATGCCGCTCAAGCTATAGACGCTATTGGTGCAGTCTTCATACCATGACCAAGCCATGTCTGATAACACCATTATTGCACCAAGGAGAGGGCACATCCGAGCACAACTTCATAGACGGTTTGCCAAAGAATGATGATGCTTGCACTCGAGCCAGGCGTGGGCAGACACGGAATAGCCCTACATGCATCCTACATGCCGTCCTATATTCTCGAGTCATCCCATCCTGTCTTCAGCTTGTCGAGTCAGCTACGGCATTTCCATTACATGTTGTTGTATGTATGACTGATAGCACTTGACCTCAAGTCTCTGACACACGTCAATAAAGATCGGATATCGCTTGGTCCGCTCGTGCCCACACAACGGGTTGCTGAACTACGGCACACCCTTCCTTCGACCCGCGCGAATAGCGAAGAAGATCAAACATGGAGTCACTGCAATCGCCATAGACCAAAGCACATCATGATGCTGCCGTCATCCATCCCGCCGCCTGAAGAGGCACGTAATCGGTTACATCGCGTGTTTTGCGCAAGCGAAATACCAGGTCTGTTGCGCAAGCGATGGTTCTGCCTCCATGTGCAAGACTCGCCTATAAGCGAACGGTATGCAACAGTCCATCCCGCATCCTGTCCTTGAACGGCAGAGGGTCCACCTTCCAGAACACATTGACCACATTTTCGACGAAGCAATTTATCCGCCACGCCACGTTTCTATTTTTCCTTGCGGCCGTAAAGACAAATCCTCCAACTTTGTATGCAAGACCTATTAATTATTTCATCAAAATGTCTGTCTCAGTGAGTTGGTGCTCATCTAGAGTGCCAGCAACAGTGGGACATGATCAACAAAAAGAAGTAGTTCATCGGTTCCGGAACGAGGCGAGTCAGGGCACAGTGCTCCCCGTACCCAGCTCGATCTTTTCAATAAACCACAGCAGCGAATGACTCGGCATAGGAACGATCTGCCATGTTGATCTCCTACATCCTATTGCTCACTTGAGAGTCTGCAAATGGCAATCTGCAACCTGGCTCGCGGATTGCATCAATCTAAAACTGGTGGGTCAGAACATCATACAATCGTTTGGAACCCTTCTCCCAGCCTCTAATGTTCTTTTGCCCTGAATGGCAATATGAGCCGGTGCTCTATCATCTTGACCAAGTTCAACGATTGATGCTAGAATAGCTTCGGTCAAAGGGAGATCCTTTCTGTGCACTGACACATCTGAAACCCACTATACGGGAACATCATACCAGATGCATGCCACCTTCGCCAACTGCGGCCAACATGCGTACTATTCGGAACGTGTTCCGATAGCAGACTTCGAGTCCGATGGGAACCCCGTGATCGTTGTTCTTCTCACAAGAGATACTCACAAGCAGTCGAGATCGTGGCAGTGTCACTGGTGTGGTCGAAATACTGGCCTCGTATTCTCCCAATTACGTGACCGCCTATTCCACAGTAAGTGAGGAGACTTGCCGCGGTTTCCGACTGCCAGGCTCTAGTCTCCTTGAGATGCTCAAAGTACGGACTGGTACACTTATGCATAGCGTAATGACTGATTGACTCCCACGCGGACAGCGCCACGAATTCCCAGTAACCATCGCGACGTGTTACAACGATCCTGTTCAGGCAATGAAGAGCATGGTGAAGCCTTGCTTCTACGAGAAAATAGCGTGTCAAACGCTCATGCATCGAGCAGCGTTCACCTCGAGACCCTCTTGCTCGCTGACTACGAGTTGTGGCGCACCCTTCCGACCGACCGACATGCTTGTGACAAGGAACTAGTTCCAGACTTTGCGCCGATAATCACTCCGAGAGTTAGGATCATGGTCTAAAGATGCATAGAAACGGTCCGGGGGAACTTTATGACATTTTGTTATATGCACCCTTGAGCCGCGTATAGCCCTTCCTATTGAACGTTGATCGATCATGGACGACAGAAGTCCAGAATGGTCGATGGACGCAATCAAAATCTTTCACCAAGATCATTGGGCCTCAAGGACAGAAAAGGGTTTAGATTCAGCCAATCCTGCCGCGGATAAGAACCACTGACAGGTGTTGGAAGGGTCAAGAGCAACAAGCCACAATTGCAGCAAGTGTGGATGTGATGACACAGATAGACGAATCTTGACCGCCTATTCTCAAAGGATCCGGAAATAAGCAACATAGAGGCGGACTGGACTTTCAATTACTTTAACGACTGCATCAAAGAAGACGCACAAGCAGTCAATCAAAGTATCCAAACTTCTTTGATTTTGGCGGTTCAAAAGTATCACCTGCTTCTTTTCTATCTGCGTCAGGTCTCTGCGTAGCTTCGATTGGCTCATTATTCATTCGGGTCTGTTTCTGGCGAAACGGAGCGAAGCAGACTGGCTCAAAATAGAAGTGCTTCTCAAGCACTTATGACATGGGCAAGAAGCTCTTTTGACAAGACTGATTCGAACTTTGTGTATATGAAACAAGCCTTACTTTGACCATCTGTGTGTCCAATCTCTACTCCTGTCGAGAGCAACAGTCGTCAGTAATTACTAAAGAAATATGCACCTGAATTTTCGAGTAATATCTGGCGATGTGAGACAGGGTTGTACCTTCAACCATGTTTTCAATAGTTCAATCGAGTATATCTTCGTTCTGTGACGTCTTTTCGTCGTACGTTTCGTGCTTTCGTGCTTGTGTAGTCTCTCAGCATGTACCTCATCAGTTTTGTGCTGGGTAAGTGAGTTGTTGTGGATATATCCATTTTGTTGCAAATGGTGAAGCGTGACGAGTACGACGACTCATCTATCAGCACATCCATACCGCTACGTTTCGTCAAAATCCACATCTGCCTTGTCTTAAAAACAGGTCGACGAGGTTGATCGAACGATGTGGAAGTTCAAGCATGTTGCCATGATCGCCCCTTCCTCCTCGAAGATTGCTATACACGCAGGTTCTCACTCAGCATGTACTGCTGTACATATCGCATCAGAGCTGTAACAAGACCTGGCTTTGCATACAGTCATGCCCATACTCACTTCAGATACACGTTGCCCTGTGAATCAACCAGAAGAGTGAGTAGATACCAATGGCAGATCGATACTTGACTACCATATCTTTCTCTTGTCAGGTGAGGGCTGGCAATCTGACATGGAGGCTATCTGTCACATGAGCATCCAGTTTTCCTACCGATGATGCAGGCGCAAGTGCCACCATCTCGTATCGTGACTTGTACCCTGTGCAAAAGCATATCAGCATGTGTAGTCAAGAAGCAAGAGTCAGAGGTCTCGAACAGACCATTGCTATCTTTTTTCACTATCCGTAGAGGCTATCAACATCAGAAATGACACACATTAACAAGGGTCCTTCGCGACAGTGTGTTCCCTTACGGAACCGTGATTGAGACCACTAGCGAGACGAAGATATAGCCCACGTACCCCAGCTGCAGGCGTATCGGATAGGCACCTAGAAATACTGGGGACTGGTATGACTTCAATTTGAACAAGTGAGGGAACGAAGAACATATGGAACATGTTCTTTCTTATAAGCAAGCCGATGAAACTCAAACAAACTTTGAGGATGAGGGACTTGAGCCTAGAGAACAGTACAAGAGGAGGATCACTTTGTCTCAAAGGAGTGCGTGGATGAGAAGAGAAAGTTTTTAGAAGACTTACATGACTTTACTGGGCAACGGCAAGGAGAGAATCACTTCTTAAATGGATATGTAAAGGAAGCAGCAAAGGAAGCAGGGTCTTATTTCCCGTGAATCCTGTGAAGCTGCCGATGCCTTCGTCTCTTTGCCAGGTTAAGCAGGATATAGCGATGAAAAATGGACAGTCATCGAAGGCATGGCTTATTTGGAACAGTGGCAGAACAAGTGCACCGATAGATTGTTCAGATCGTGACCATTATGTCTAGAAGCCAAATCTGGTGGCTTTGTATCCTGCAAGTTTGTATGAAAATCAGGGGCAGAACCGATTGATCTTCGATGGGCTGATGCACGGCAAGTATGCTGAACTCCAGCTGCTTCGTATGCAAAGTTCAGGATGAAAAAAAAAAGGACATTGTAAGCAGATGCCAATGGGCGTGATTGGCAAGGACTAGAGTAAGGGCTGAAAGTAAGGAGAGTAGGGTAGAAAGGGGCCGTAAGCTATAAGATGATCTCGTTTTGGGCAGGGCTAAGAGGGACAATATGGGTGAGAAAGATCAATCGAGCGAGGTAAATGAGGGCGGAGTGTTGAAATCTTGACGGTGACGAATCAGGAAGGGCTGCTAGTGTGTAGAAACCGTGATAGGGAGAGTTAGCATCGCAATGGCCAACATGATGCAACAACAGGTGTGACATTGTTGTCTTTTGTGAATGCGAGGCAGGTGTCTTGAGAAGAAGACTGACGAGAATTGAGGTGGAAACAGACATTCTTCGAATCGCTTACCTGCTAAGGTCTGAGATCTAGTGTCACATTTTCGTAAAGGCGAGTGACCAAAACATGCATGATCATAAGGAACAGGAAACAAGGTACGACGCAAGTTTACGAGAGTTGACAGGTCAAACCGAAAAGAGCAGACTATGATCACCAGCTTTGTTGCATTCGTGCATGTCGCACATGGGTACAGGTCGAGTGATGGTGATTCAGACTGTAATCTAGTCATAACGTGAAGGATACGCTTTATTGACTTTGATTCAGCATGAGGCTCGATGTTGAATGAAGCCGGCGCATCAGAAATGTAAATGAGCGTGTCCAGGGCAAAACGTTGTTGATTTGGTGATGTGCGCAACGGTCCGCCGTGATCGTTGACCTAGGATTAGCTGTCGTATTGCATCAAGACAAGACACCGCAAGAGGAAGCAATGCAGAGAGAAAAAAGAAAATCATGTTTCAACGTGTGGCATTGACTTTTTACGACACAGCATACGTCCGATCCCAAGCTGGCGCAGACAAAAGAAACAACCCTTCCTTGTGCAAGTATCGTAAAAAGCCATATTTTTCCTTCTTTTTTGAGTGTCGAGGCGGGTGTCGTTGGGGGGTGTGATGGTATTTTGAAAGGAAAAAAAGATGCGACAAAAGGCACGTTGCTTTTTCAAGGCTGCAGAAAAGGGACTATTTTGCTCTTCCTGTCGCCTGCGTTGATGCCCCATCCCAGAGAAGACTCCCGAAAATGACCATGGTTGTTGCGGTAGCGAGCAGCTTAGAACTTGTTGAACTGCTTGACGGCCTTGCCAGTGCGGGGAAGGACACGGAGGACGTTGAAGCGGACCTGGTGTTGTTAGTATTGGTGTTTGTAGTTGAATGTGGCATTCAGGGAGGCTCACGGTCTTGGAGAGAGGTCTGCACTGGCCAACGGTGACCTGGTCACCCTCCTCGACACGAAAAGCGGGCGAGACGTGTGCGGCGAGGTTCTTGTGGCGGCGCTCGTAACGGGCGTACTTGGGGACGAAGTGGAGGTACTCGCGGCGGATGACGAGAGTGCGGTGCATCTTGGTGGAGATGACGGTGCCGGTCAGGATACGGCCACGGATGGAGACCTCGCCGACGAAGGGGCACTTCTTGTCGATGTAGTCGCCCTCAATGGCGGTCTTGGGGGTCTTGAAACCCAGACCGACGTCCTTGTACCATCTGCGGCCGTTCTTGCCAGCGCGGGCAGTCTTGCGGACCTTCTTGGCGTTCTGGAAGATGTGAGGCTGCTTCTGGTAAGCGCGCTCGCTCTGGACGGCAAGTTCGGTGGCCATGTTGATTGATTGTCGGTATGGAGGTCGAGTACCGTGGGATGGGAGTCGTCAAATTTGTCGTCGCACGCAAGAATTCGCAGGCGCTGCGAAGCCGAACGACTTTGGGCAAAATCAGCGTCGGCTGTGTGTTCGGCTAACGGCCAATCAGCTTCGCCCACGCACTTTGCTTGGCCGCCGTGCTAGCTCTCGCGGCCTCCAGGCTTTTGCTCGGCAAACCTTCCCCCCGACGCGGGCGCTTGTTTGTTGTTATCGATTCTTCCTGCATCAAGGTCGCGTCACCCTGGCGTCCTCCTTCCTCGGTCCCCTCCCAATGCGACAACCACTGCACCATGATTGACCTAGACGACAAAGAAAACCAGTCGCCGCTACGGCTGGGCTTCGCCAAGTCTCCTTCACCAAAGAGGCCTCGCAACAAGAACAATCCTGCTGCTGGTCAAGATGTAAGTCACGCGCCTGCGACCAGTAAACAATCCCTCTTCCGACTCTGTACTCGTCGCACACTTGCACTCACTTGCTAACTGATACTCCAATAGTCAGTCCCTCCTTCTGCAGTCAAATCAATCCTCCCATCCAAAGAAGATGAAGCCAAGAGGCGAGAAGCCCGTCGCAAATCTCTCGCCAACCGCAGAGTATCCTTTGCGCCCGAAGCAACCCTCCACACCTGGGACGTCATCGAGTACATGCGCGATGCCACCGCCTCATCAAACTCTTCCGATCATGCAAGAGCACACCAAGATCCCGATTCAGATCCTCCCTCCACTCCGCCAGAGCAAGCAGACGATGACGACGATGACTTACCACAATCTCCTGAACACCAGCGCGACGTTCACCAGCAGAAGCGTCGCCGAAGCTCTGCCATTCCTCCCATGAACTTCAACGACCTGGACGACTATTCTTCATCTCCAGTCAGCGGCAGTAGCAATGTCGAAGCTAGTAGCGATGTTGAAGAAGACGTCGAGTCTGAAGACGATGGAGAAAGCACGGCTATGAGCCTGGATCAAGGAGACAACACTTTGCTCTCCCAGCAGTCTGGAGACAGCACCGGCTCAAGCGCTCGCCTGGAAGCTGCCTTGCAACAAGCTGCTGCTCAAGCCGGTACTCGTGGCATTGAGTTCGACGAGTATGGTGATATGTCTATGGAAATGGCTGGCGATGAAATCACAAACGCCTTCAAACCATGGGCTCAAGGTCAGCACTTTGCCGCAGAAGACCAAGAAAACAACAATCCCTTCGACTCAGTATTTCGCCCTGGCCCACAACCTGGAGACGATGAAGATGAAGGAGATGACGATATGAGCATGGATATGACGCACGCAGTAGGCCGTATTCTGCCCCAACAGCAGCCTCAGGATGAGCAAGAAGAGACTGAAGACGAGGGAGACATGACAATGGATATGACCAAACCCATGGGCACCATCTGGACCGCCAACCAGCCTCAAGCACAACCACAAGAGCAAGAAGAGGACGAGACTCGCGACATGACCATGGACATGACACGACCCGTCGGTCGCATTATTCAGTCGCACCAAAATCTCTATCAACAATCTCCAGAGAGAACCGTCTCGTTTGGGGACGAGACGATGGACTTGACTCAGGCAGTTGGGAAGATCCATCAATGGAACCCACAAGCTCAGCCGCCTCGCAGTGCCCTCAAAAGACGATTTGAGAGCTTTGCTACAGAAGATGTTGCTTCTCCATCAGTGAAGAAGCCCATGTTCGAGGAGCCGACAAGACGGACCGTAGCTCAAGCACGCGATGCGAAGCGCCGACGTTCGTCCTCAGCTCGCCAGTCTCTAAGCGATGCCACCATGGATTTGACTGTAGCAGTCGGCGCGATTCAAGAGAGACAACAATCTCCGGTGAAGAAAGACAGGCGATTAAGTTCACGTAGTCGCCGCTCTTCTGGCGCTTCATCCGTTATGGATGAGCAGACCATGGACTTTACCATGGCAGTGGGTGGCATCAAACAGCAACAGCAACAACAGCCCAAGTCGCCTAGGGAACCGTCCATCATCGAGGAAGATGATGCAGAAGGTAACGAGGACATGTCCATGGAATTTACTGCCGTCGTTGGGAACATCCTGAAGCACCAGGCCGCCACCGCTATCGAACGCCCAGCCACACCTCAAAAGTCTCCATCGCCTGCCCGAACAGATATCCCAACTACACCAAAAGACCAAGATCGGTTCAAAGAGACGCGTGACTTGACAGCCAAGAAGCTTCTGACACCGCTATTCGAGAAGCAAGCACCTGGCTCTGCTGTAAAGGATTCTGCAGGTTCACGAAGGAGCTCTGCCCGCAAATCTGCCTCCAAGGAGCCCACAACTCTGCCCTTCTTTAGTCCAGCCGTTCCCAATTCCTCTCACACCCACAAGAGTCCCGGATCTGCTCGCAAGAGTCCTGCACCACAAAGGACTCCTTCGTCTGCGCAACAAACCCCATCAACTGCTCAGAAGATCCCCTCGTCTGTCCGCAAGACACCAGTGTCAGCAACAAAGAGTCCACACTTTGCTCAGAAGAGCTCAGAATCTGCTCAGCACACTCCTTTGGCCCAAACAAGCCCCATCTCCGTCAGGCAGAATGGCTCGGCTCAGAAGCCCGCTTCGGTGCACAAGAGCCCTGCGATCAAGGCCCCCACCCCTGCATCTGTCCCGAAGAGTCCGGTCTCAAAGATATCATCGCGCAAGAGTCCCGTTTCTACCCGTCGAAGCGCGAGAATCAGTCTTGCGGTAGGCCAGCCTCAGCAGGACGTGCAGGTCCAAGAGACAATTCCTACTCCTACAAAAGCTATGGCTTCAGCAGAAGTAGTAGATGAGATGCAGATCGAGCAGCACTCTCCAGCGCTCGAGCAAGAAGCGCACGACGAACCAATGGGTGAAGTCAGCTATCCTTCTCTGCCTGTCACCGAACAGGAGACCAGCAGTTCTACCACAGTCGAATCACGAATTCCCGAGGCAACCACTACACCGCAAATTACCGAAACACCATCCGCACCTTCACCAGTGCACCATCATACAGCCGTTTCTATGGCTGGATCTCCGACGCGAAGTCCAACTGTTGCCACACCTAAGCAGATTGATCTTGAGGAACTCAATCCAACGTCACCATCTCTCGAGAAGCAGTTGCGAAGTTCTCCTGTCAAATTTGCAGCAACCCCTGAGCAACAGAAGCAACATACAGATGAGTCTCGCAGTACCTTTGCAGACTCGATCAAATTCCTTTCAACACCAAGTAAGGAGGCTGGTACAAGTCCGTTGAAGCGTCTTCGTGCTTTAACTCCCAAAAAGTCACCGGCAAAGAAGATGATGACCCCGAAGAAGATTGCGACGCCCAAGACCTCCACACCATTCATTGTTGAAAACCGAAATGCACCTGGTCTGCTCGACCTCGAAGCTGCTAAGAACATATTTGCTGTGCCCAAATCCGGTCCTCCAGCAAGAAGAGTCCAGCTTAATGAGTTCTTAGACCTCGCGGGTATCAAATTCATGGACTTGACCGCTTCGAAACGTCGACACACTGTTGCTCCCACGCCTAGCGAGCCCCACGGGGCTGACGGTGAGGATCAGAGCATTGATCTCGAAGGAGCTGTTGTTGCAGGTGCTTGCACGATGCCTATGCTCGACTTGTTTCAGCATGCCTGCCGTGAACTCAAAAAATACATTTCCGAAGGCAAATCATTCCTCAAGACACTGGAAGCTGAGGTCTACGACGATCCTCCACCATTTTTCCAGGCTTACATGAATGCTACTTCTGAGCGTAAATCTCAGTTGGATGGCAACATGAGAGATGCCAAGACGAACGCCAGAATGAAAAGCAAGGAAATTTGGTATGACTGGCGCAGTAAGCTTCTGGATGGCCTCTCAGATGGCCTTGATCGAATCCAGACAGGTCTTGACGCGGATGCCGAGGTCTTGGGACAGAAGCAAGAATCTCTTGACTCTGTGCTTCCTGACCTGCTTCAGCACTACGAAGGTCTTCTTAAACAAGCGGAACAGCTAGAGCAAGCTGCAGCTGCAATTTCCGAAGAAGAGAAAGAGGAGCTGCGTGCTTCTCGTGCTCGTCTTGTTGAAGTTGACGAACAGATTGAAGAGCGCAAGCGCATGCTGGCTAGTCTTCAGCGTGATGTTGACGAGCAGGACAAACTTGCCGAAGCTTACGAGGAAAGCAAGATTGAGAGCTTGGCTGCCATACAAGAAGCCGAGCGTGTCAAGGAGTCATGCCGTGGCTTCACAATCGACGAGGTCCAATCACTCAAAGGTATGTTCTAGATTGTATATGGGGTTTGGACTCTACTAACAGAACCATAGCATCAGTTGCACAACTTGAGAAACAGAGCGGCTGGGCTATCGCCTCGGCCTCTGGTACCAACCTCACAATGAGCTATGCAAACACACTGCAGCTCTATTTCAACACAACATCCTTCAAGATCACTTCTTCCGCCCATGCAACAAACCCTACAAACTCGCCCATCTCACTCACGCACATTACACCTATCTCGTTGACGACCGAGAAGCGCTTCTTCCTTCAACTCATGCGTGCACAACTGCAATGTCTTGATCAAAAGACTATCTCTCTGAAACAGCTTCTCAGTTTTGTGCAGAGAGGCTGGGACGCTGCTTCACTCATCGCCGAGCAAGTGCGCTGTTTGACTCTTGAGCAGCTTGTCAATGTCAGTATCCTCAGTGATGAGCGTCTTGCTATCGACGTTTGCATCCTGCTGCCCAAGGTTGAGACCAAGGTCAAGGTGAGTCTGCGATTGACAGCCACACTATCAGACCCTGATGCACAAGACTTGGATATCAAAAACGAGATTGATGTCGACGCCAAGGTCGTGTATGGCGAGCCTTACAATGAGAAGAACATGTCTGAGTTCGTTGGCAAGAGAGTCAGAGGTCAAGGATCAGAGGGCTGGGATGCGACCATAAGAGAATTGAGGACCAGACTTGTCGCGACCGGGCGCAAGGGACGTTGACACTGTTGCCGTGTTATCCATTGTTTCTATTCTTTTTCAGGCAGCGATATATCGCGGAGGCTTAGCACAAGGCGTTTGGATTAATCGGGCTGTGAATGGTAGTGTCTACAAGCCATCAATTGGGTAGGAATGAACTTTAACGATGAACATGACGAGATTCGAATCATTTACTACGCCTTGTGTTTCTTCCATCCTTCGATCGTCGTTCTACGGCTGTGTCATTGGTTGCTCCTCAACTGCTTATCCGGAAACAAGCATGTCCTGGCGATGATCCTTCGTGGGGCGCAGTTCCCCGCCTTGGTGATTGCCATTATTTCCCTCTTCAGCCGAGGGTCACCCGACCCTCGTATCTCAAACGACGCCTTATATATACCTTGATGCCTTGTTCAGCTAGAAGACATACAATCTTGCATTTAAAAGCTCTATCACTATACGATCAGCCCATCTTCAGAAGGATATAAACCAAAACACCACAAATACCAACAAGAATCAATTAAACAATTCATCAATCAATATGCCACACATGTTTCAACCCACACCTGCAAAGTCCCTCTTCGATGGATTAGACGAAGACAAACAGAGGGAACCTCAAGCCAATCCTGCATCCTCTTCATCAAGACAAGCGACTCAGGATCCCTACACCTCGTCCAGAAAGGCCACCTTGGACCCAGAAATCTCGAGTGTATTCACACAATCCACGCTCGGTCCTTCCGAGTCCATCCACCAAGAAAACACCTCATCCTCACGGTTCGGGTTCCTTAGACGCAACAAGTCTAAGACCGAGCAACAGCAACAAACAGCTCTTCTTGGTGATGGCACAACCGAACAAGCCAAAGAACGTAAGAAGAGCAGATTCGAGAACCCGTTCAAGCCGCATGAGCAGACTGATGAAGATAGAGCTATCATGGAAAAGATGCGACAGAGATTGGGAAGTAGAGAGGAGGCCATCAAGCAGGGAGGTGCCCAACCGGCCGGGTTTCGTGGCGTCGGAGGAGCGCAAGCAATGGCAATGCCTTGGAATGGCAGTATGTAAGGAGGCGGTGAATTTGATCATTCCTATTTAGGAATACCCCGGAGTCGGGGTTTGCTCATGCCTTTTGATGAATTTTACTTTGTTGTCTTTTATGACTTGTGTTGAGTCCATTCTCTCGTGTGTAGTTTGTGCCTTGTTACCATCTGCGCTGTGCGAAGGGTCACTGTCCTAGCTTCCTAACCGCATTTTGCGTTTCTACAATGGTGTTGTTATGTTTTGGCACGAGAAGAGGCTGGCTGTTGAAGTTCGAGGCACATGAAGAGGAAGGAAACAAGAAAGGGAAGGAGAGGGACAGATGCTTCTAGGGGTGTTCGACCCAGACACGATATACGTGTCAGGGGCAGAAGTTTTGCAGCATTGCGAGGGACTGGTAAACTTCAAACGAGCACAGAAGCTGTTTGCAGAAAGTACAAGACAGATGAAATTAAACATGAATAAATACTCTCCAGCGCAGACCCAATGGGTATCAAAAAGTGACAAACGACAGAACAAATCAAAAGAACGCCATGACCATCCACTGAACTTTCCGACTCTTCTTAGTTTTGCTGCTGGCCCTTGCCGTTGCCGCTCATAACGCGCTGGAGCATGTGGCCCATAGCATTTGCCCTGGTCTCTTTCTTGGGCTTCTGGTCCATGGACTCGCCAGAAGCAGCAGCAGCATCGGCGCGGGCAGCAGCTTCCTCGGCACGCTGTCTGGAAGCGTTTCTCTCCTTGATGTCGACGATCTGATCCTTGCTCAGGGAGGCCGTGTTGCCTGCACCACCTCTGCCCCATTGGAAGTTCTTCTCGGGTTCGCGACCGGCGCGAGGGTGCGCCTCGACGTCTTGGGTCTGGCGTGTGATGTCTGGGTGCACATTGGGCTGCATGTTACCCTGACCGCCTCTGCCGGTAGTGTACGTCTGGGACTTGATGGTTGGGGTCTTGAGGTCGGCGGGCTGGAGGTTGGGCGAGGCAGGCGCCATGTTGCCTGTTGAAAGGTTTACAGTGAGCCAGAGCCCTCTTTGCAATGTCTTTCGATTCATGCAGTCATACCTGCTCCGCCGCGACCATAGGATAGGTTGGCCATTGTTTCGAGTATGTCGCAATTGAGAATGCGCAAAGATGATGCGGGTTCAGGGTGTGTGGGGTCAAGATCGAGGTGGTTCAGACTTGTCGCAAAACACGGACAAAGATTTCAACGTTGCGATTTTACCGTTTGTGCACCAGCGCGTGTCAGTCGGACGACAGACCTTGCAAGATGGAATCGCGCAGAAAAGAGGTGACTGGAATATGGCAAAGGGAGACAAAGGAAATTTGCATCCTCTAGGCTCCCGCTCGCACCAGACACAGCAATTCAGCCATGGATCGAGGCACTGCTCTTCACGTGCCTGGTCAGGAGGAGTTGGGTGTTTTCATTACGTGAATGTTCTTGGAGCAGCCCGAAAGTCACTTGGCAGTCCATGGTGTGCATCTTGGCCAGAGTTTGATAGCAACTAGCAGACGAGAAGAGTAAAGAGTGCGCTTGGCCAAGAACGAAGAAAAGAAATAAAACAAAATGTGCGCTGGAGTTGGAAGTTGATATTCTCTGATAGATAGCAAGCAAAAGAAATGCCATTAGTCACCGGGCAGACAAGCAGGAGACGCGAGTTGCTAGTGAGCGTCGTGTGGTGCTTACAGAGCACAAACATGATTACCTATTCTGGTACTCAGATACGCTGAGTCCGACCAACAGCCAGAATGAAGAACTCTGGTGATTCTAGATTATGCAAAGCACTCATGTTCGTTTGCTAGTACCTCGACCTAAAGTATCGATCGTGAAGGTTGTGTGAAGGGAAAATAGAAAGTGCTTGGCTTTGAGGAAAGCATGCAGCGCTCTGTAGCAACTTCCGCCGGGTGAAGTCGACCCCTAGCGAAACGCGAGACGTCATCCGTGGTTGGCACTTTTCCTCCGGGATCAAACAACAACATCGGATTATCGCCGCTACCATGAGACTGTGGGTGAAATCATATGACAGTCAGTCAACCCCGACTTATGAAACTGCAGAAACTCGTCCCGTGGGGCGCTTCGAAGGGAAGCCTTCGAGAAGTTGGCTGTCCTGTCAGCCCAGGCTCCACCTTCTCATGCAGCCCATCAGGATATACCACGCCTTTGTTCCCTTTACAAGACTTCGACCTCCTCCGACGGGTCTGTAAAAGGTCCTATCGGCCTTCGTGAACTCGAAGTCTTGATAGCGTTGTGTCGTGCCTCGTCCTCGATCGACTCTTTGCAACATGCCGAACGTCTTCTTCAACAGATCACTCTCTATCTAACAGAAGCTCAGACTCAGACATTCCGACCTTCACCTTTTCTGCGTCACGTCCATCCCTCGCCATGGGAAGTGCTTGTGCAGGAAGTTACGTCGGCCATGCTCAACATTGGCCTCAGGATTCCTTCCTTGCGTCCACAGGTTGTCACGACCATCACCAACACAATTGATACTTATGTCCATCAAGGACAAAACATCGACCGACTCAATGCATCCGAAAACTCTGCTCTGGATCTTGATAACGCTTCCAAGACGATCACCTTTTCCGCCTCGCTTCTCGGTCTTCTTACAGCACTTGCCCAGAGACCCCAGGTTTTCACGATACAAGAGCGCGCTGCAATCATCCGCAAGCTTCGAACTCTCTACTCCGAGAAGTTCATGATTGCGATCGAAGGAAATCTTTCGTCGCTTCGAAATTCTCATGGCATCCACGTCAAAGAGTGGAAGCGCTTGCTTAAGGTCTACGCCTCCATGGGACGACCATTGGGTGCAATGTTGCTGCAGCATGCTTTCACAAGTTATCTTGCGGCTTCAGCCACTGTCATGGTCATGCCTCCTGAATTTCCTCAAGGTGGTCAGGTCCTGGATTATCTCCTCCAGCAGAGCCCACAAGATCTCTCGGTGCATGGCAATGGTGTTGACGAGTCGACACTAGAGGATCTCACGGAACTACTGACAGAGGTCGTTGCTCTTCTTGATGCTGATGCAGATTATCTGCAGGTCAGCTCAGCTTGGCAGCAGCGGTTGGCCTTTTCGACCAAGGCTAGCTGTTTGATCAGCTTCCTGTGTTGTTCTTTGATGAATGAAGATATCGCCGATGCCGACGTCATTATAGGCTGGTTGGAAGGAGTCTTGTCCGATCCAGTCCAACTTGCTGATGACAGACTTGCAAGCGTCACGCTAAAATGTATGGCTATCCTCGCAAAAACATCCAGAGCCTATGCTTCAAACTTGGCACGTTCCCTACCTAGGTTCATCGTACAAGGACGGATGACCAGCGATACTGTTGTCATTGCAGCCAACTGTCTCGCGGACGTTTTACAAGTACTGCCCCAGGACCTGATCATCAGTACACTCTACAGCCTTGGAAACGTGCTCAGTACCGGTCCTTCTACCAATCGGGCAAACACTTCCTTGTTCATTGACGGCAATGGAACCGCGAACGGTACCATGAACGGATCTTTGAATTCCTACACTCAGCAACCTACAGGAAGTTCTATATCCCTGGTCACCGACGATGACGAGGAGACAGTTCTAGTTCATGCTGCAGTCATCGAAGCAATTGTTGCAATTGCCAGGAAGTGCGATAACGAAAAGATCACTGCACTTGCGGTCTCAATGTTGATCCAGAAAATTGGCCGTGTCAACCAAGCTGTCGATGCTAAGATCATCATGGGATCTGCTGCTCTAGGTTGCCAGAGCGAGCCAAATGATTTGCGCCTTTTGCTAAGATTCTATGCAAGACACGTGACTGAGGCATTGTCTTCTGGCAATACTTCTATGCTTCAGGCAGTGATGGAGGCTCGCATGCTGATGGCAAGGAGCATTCTCCCAACGTCTCCTCTTTATGAGATATACCTCACTCATCTTCTGGACGGCGTTGTCAGCACGAGTGATGTTAGCAATCGTGACACTAAAACTCTGGTTGTTGACAAGCTAGCTGTTGACCAGATCTCGCAAGTGTTGCCCCCTCTGGCTGCCCTCGCCGCACTCATGCCTTATGAGTATACCCAATTCGAGGATCCGGAGATGGTCTCTGCACTCAGTCGCGATGCATGGTTCAATCTCATCGCACACGACTTCACTCTCAATTCATCATTCGCCAAGCAACATCAGCAAGAGCTCCAGACTCTGGCATGGTATACTCCATCTTTAATTGATAGCAACAAAGCCGACACACAAGAAAGCGGTATCGATCTCAATACCGTCCTCCGTCGTGGTATGACTCCTCAACATGCTGTTCAGCTGAAGTCGCAATTGATAAGTGTTTTACCGGCACATGAGTCGGACATCAAGAATCTTAACTATGCCGAACTTACCTTCCTGAACGCCGCCCACTTGGTAGCAGTGCTGCGTGCTCAGTCCGGAGACTGTACAAGGACTCTCGAATACTTTGTGGACCCTAAATTCAAGAGTGGTGCTCTCAGTAACTGCTTGTTAGGTGTGGCCCTGAGTGCAGTTGACACCTACTTGGCACTTACCATGACTGGACGGAGTCAGACCTTTTCGGCCGTCAATTTGGCACAACAGCTAGCAAGGTTGCTGGAAAGCTGTTGTCATCGTATTGATAAGGTGCAGCAGGTTGCCACGCTTGCCGCGGACCGCATCATTGACCAGGTGCCCTCGTCGCTTTGCCAAAGAATATCACTCTTTGCCCTCCTGGAGCTACTGAGCCTCATGTGGATCAGCTGTCTGGAAGCAGAGACTGACGAATACGAGTGCAAGTCGTTCTACAGCTCGGCGAAAGGTAATGTATCCCTGCAGCTTTCAGACAATTTTGCCTATAGGCAGACTACTTTGCGATCATTCCAACAAAAATGTCGCCGCTGGGTATTGAAGACCCTGGACCGCGCTCCCCTGGATATGAAAGGACTTTTGCAAACATACCTTTCTGACTATGACGATGAGGAGTCGTATGGTCGTATCTCGATGGGCAGATCTTTCGCTCTTGAGCTCGGCTCTCTCATTCCAGGAACTGACCAGAGACTTGGCGCCATTGACCGGAGAATGGACCCAAGTGTCAATACTGCTTCTGATTTCGTTGCACAGTATACAACTCGTCAAGAATACCGCTATCTGGACACACTCTCCAGACAGGACGAAGAGCTCCTGCACGCACAGCAGACTGGTGTCATTGGGCTTCCACGATCTGCTCTAAGCGAACAGGCTCGCGAGGTCACTGCCACGTTGAGAGAGATGAATAACAACCTTCGCGATCATCATCCAGCCTCGCCGGAAGAGCTGAGATTCAATCTAAGACGTGCAGCAGCCGTGCTGTGCAAGGTGGATGCCGATCGATTTGGACTTGCTCAGCAGTTGGTCGGTATTCCTTTCACGGCTTTCAGCAAACCAGCCATCAAACTTGGTGTTTCTCTCTGGATGGGGGTAATCAAAGAAAATCCACAGTTGGAGTCTCGAGTCCTCGTTGAGATTGCCGAAGGCTGGGAAAAAACTATTCAGAAAAAGCGAGGCATTTTCAGCCAGACATTCAAGTAAGTCTTCTTTCCCTTTGACGTCGCCTCGTTCATGTGCTAACAATTTATATCAGCCATCTCGATCCTTTTTATGTCAAAGAGGAGTTTGCTCCTACTGATAAGAGTGCTATCACCAAACGCCAACAACAAGTCCATGATTTGATAGCACCTCATTTCAGACTTGTCCAATTCCTTTCCAGTCACTTTAATGCCACCAGACTGAGTAACCCACACACTGGACGTATCTTCTTCCGCTTGATGCGCGTCACCCTTGCAGCTTTGAGACGAAGTGGCAGCCACCCTCTTGCTCGTGAGGTCCATTTCCATCTCATTCTACTGGCTCTTCGGGTCATTAGCTATGGTACTGGTTACGATGAGAAGTCTCGCTGGGAGCTCAAGGACCAAATTCTGTCTGCCGCCCTGAGATGGTTCAATTTCCCAGCTCGATGGTCGTATGGTGGTAACAAATTGCAAGTCAAGGCCGAAGTGCAAGTCATGTCGGATGTCATCTTGGCGGTTCAAGCCGTTACTTCTATGGGAGCCAAGATACTGCCTCCATTGCAGCCCTTGCAGGCCAAACAGGACTTACTTCTTCATTTGCTGCAGAACGAAATTACGAGACTCAATGTTTGGCTATCTCCTCTGGGACAGGAAACCTCGCATACCAGCCATCAAGGCAAAGCCAATGATGTGAGTGCTCCCAGATCTTTCGTGATGAGTTCGACTGACCTTCTAGGCCGCAATCGCTGCTCTAGTCCCGACTGCTTGGGCAGAAGCACCATCTCTTGCTGTACAGATGGCTTTCAGATTTCCCTCGCCACTTATTCAGAGTCAAGTTCGGTCATTGTTGGTCAACTATCCTGAGAAGGCGCTGCATGAGCCCGATGCTCTGCAGATTATGCTTGGTACCAGCATGCCACATGACATCTCGTCTCAACTAAAAGTAAAGTTCACCTTCACATACTGATGATTGGTCTCTAACTGCTCACAGTACCTATTGTATTGGGCTCCGGTCAACCCAATCACTGCTGTGACATACTTCCTGCCAGCATACGGAAACCATGCCTTCGTTGTACAATACGCTATGCGTGCTTTGGAAAGCCACTCAGTCGATGTGACGTTCTTCTACGTGCCTCAGATTGTGCAGACGCTTCGTTACGATTTGCTGGGCTATGTCGAACGCTACATAGTCGAGACTGCGAAGTTCTCCGGGCTGTTTGCGCATCAAATCATCTGGAATATCAAAGCCAACGCCTTCAAGGATGAAGACTCACAAATTCCCGATCCCGTCAAACCAACACTTGACAAAGTCATGGACTCACTTATCTCCAGCTTCTCAGACGAGGATCGAGACTTCTATGAGCGTGAATTTGGGTTCTTTAGTGAAGTAACAAGCATCTCTGGAAAGCTCAAGCCTTTCATTAAGCGACCAAAACCGGAGAAGAAGGCAAAGATCGAAGAAGAATTACGAAAGATCCAAGTCGACGTTGGCGTCTACCTCCCCAGCAATCCCGATGGAGTTGTCGTTGGCATCGATCGAAAGTCTGGAAAGCCTCTCCAGAGTCACGCCAAGGCCCCGTATATGGCAACTTTCCGTATTCGCAAGGAGAGGGCTCCGGACCTTGACGCTGTTGACGACCAACAGGATCACGTAGCTGAAGAGGGTGGACCTCAGCAAGATACTAGCTACGAGGTGTGGCAGTCAGCAATTTTCAAGGTTGGTGACGATTGTCGTCAGGATGTACTGGCCTTGCAAATGATTGCAGCTTTCCGCGGAATCTTCAACAACGTTGGACTGGACGTGTATGTCTTCCCATACAGAGTGACAGCCACAGCCCCTGGATGTGGTGTCATCGATGTCCTTCCAAACTCTATCTCCCGTGACATGCTTGGTCGTGAAGCGGTCAACGGTCTCTACGAATACTGGGTATCAAAATACGGAACCGAGGATTCACTTCGCTTCCAACAAGCACGCAGCAATTTCGTCAAGAGTATGGCTGCTTACTCGGTCATTTCGTATTTGTTGCAGTTCAAGGATCGACACAACGGCAACATCATGGTCGACGATGCGGGTCACATCTTACACATCGACTTTGGCTTCATTTTCGATATCGCACCTGGTGGTGTCAAATTTGAGCGCGCACCGTTCAAGTTGACTAGTGAGATGATCGCGGTGATGGGCGGATCGACACAGTCGCAACCCTTCAAGTGGTTCGAAGAGCTTTGTGTCAAGGCATTCCTGGCCTCGAGACAACACGCAGAGAAGTTGAGTCACTTGATCGTTGTCATGTTGGATTCAGGCTTGCCATGTTTCAAGCCTGAAACCATCCAGCATTTCAAGGAGAGGTTTGTACTCGACAAGAGTGAGCGTGAGGCGGCTGACTTCATGCGCTCGCTTGTGCGCTGGAGCGGAAAGAGTCACAGCACGGGTGTTTACGATCAGTTCCAACTTCTCACCAATGGCATTCCGTACTAGACAATAGGTGTATATAGTCACTGAAGAACATGTTTCTTTGCCTTGCAAATGATCAAAATACTCGCCCTAGTGAGAGCCCTGCGACATGTGAGCTTCAGTGACTTAGGAAGAACTGACAGGCCTTGTCCGACATGCTGCAGACTGTTGTAACCTTGCATTCCCATATTGCGACATGATGGTGTTGTGAGCTACAAAACCACCCATCGTTTCTTCTTCGATCTCGATCTGACTTTGTAGCATCACTGACAATCAACACAATTCAGTGAGTGCAACCATCTCCCGTGTGACTTCCCAGAGCCATGTCAAGGGAGGCCATGGGGCAAGCGTAACAGCAGGTTGGCCGCCTTGTTTTCGCATACCGTATCTAATCTCGTGTTGGGATCGATCATCACGCCGGTCTCGACATGCTTGTACCAACACAGAATTCCATCCTATCGGCATAACCGACCAGTCCATGCGACCAGCCAGTCAGGTCCCTTGTCCGAGAGTGATTCAAATTCTGCTGTTGTCCTACTCACCGACCAGTCCCACTTTACAACGACAGACGCACGGACAGAGTACATGAGGCTACACTCTTACACGGCAAGATGTGGCTTACTGCACTCGGAGTCGGATCCGAAGTCGTCTTGCTCAAACCCTATCCTGGACTTGTATTCCGATTCTGTAAAGAACTGACCGTGATTTCTCTTCAAGGCCGTTCTTAAATTATTTTGTTTTTTGAGCAGTCCCCTCATGGCTACGCAAGGTTGAAATATCATCGCGGAGACGGAGTTGAGACCGCCAATCAATACAGTAAAGCGTGGAGTCTTCCTCCGATGAGCTCGGCAAAACCCCTGTAGACCTGACTCACAACTTCACGACTTGTTTATTACCGTTTCATCATGGTATTCTTTCAACCGGGTTTAGACTCCGTTGTATTTCCCATTCGACCTCGGGGATGTGTAATGGCGAAATGTCCTTAACCGCGTAGGCTTCTCATGGTGTTCTTAATGATCCCGGACCAGGGTCCGCCGCCAGGGCACAAAACTCCACTTTGCTCGTCCATCAGGCAGGGGAATCGTTGCGTATGGTTGGGGGCCCTATATCGACATACTACTTGTATAATGCCATGCATACTCTGACATAAACCGTGACAACAACACCATGGTGTCTTAAGCTATGGGTATCGCTCGCGTGGGAAGGATGTTAATGGATCGGGTACTCCGAGCTCTAGCTTAGCTCTACCCGAGCAGCTCTGCTCCACAGTCCATGTTTGGACCGCAGTTAGAGCTGTACATGGTTCAGCCGCAGCGATGTGCAATTGCTGTTGCATATCACGACCTGCTCTTTGTACGATCTGTGTTGATTTGGACCAAGAAAACAGAAGACTTTGATCAAAAATTTCGCTCGGAAAAAGCCTTCGCAACCGTTCACGGTCGCTAGGACGTCTCAAAATGGTATAGAATCGGAAGCTATTTGGAGACACCGCTTCACTTCATAGACATAGCGATGCTTGATCTAAGAGGTGATCCATACGCAAACCTGATCGCAAAAATCATCCGAATCTGCAAAACATGCGCAATCTTCAGAGAGCGGATGATGTTGCAGGAAAGTCTGTGGCAGAGCCGAGATTAATAAGCTTCAGACCCTGTTAGGTTCCCAGGCCCAGAACGGTCGTTCCAGCGCTGCCAGGGATATTCCGACACGACCCAAGGACGAACGATGTCCGATAGACACATGTCCCAGCATCTCGGACGGTAACAAGTCCGACAATGGAGGCGCCCAATTGTGGTATGTATTTGGTATACCATGCCTAACACTTCTTCCAGCTCTGCGCAGAAAGATCATAGTGTTCTACTTGGTCACGAACCGAAAGGTCCTCACGATGCTCTCGATGTAGAATTATCTGGATTGCCATGAACTCGAAAAGACTGAGAGTTTGGTCTATGGAATTTGCCACCGGAAGTCAAGCCGCGTAGGAGCAAGACTCAAACGCTCCATGCATGTTCTCGTCCTTGCACATGGCTAATTAAGCGATACACGCTTCTGCTGGTAAACAAGACAGAGTCTAAAACTGTATGCAGGCATGCGTAGCGGAGCCAGTGACGCCTGTGAACCTTTGCCGCGCACTTGCTTTGAATCATAGATAAAACATACCATCTTTTCAAAGCTTTGCCCATCTCCTGCTCTCGTTCTTTGATTTTTGATTGCCCAGCGCATGCATCGATGCCAATTCCGTCAGCACGTCCGCATCTACAGCCACACCGTCACTACCGTTGACAGCAGGGCCACTCGAAGTACTGCACAGATGCGACAGTGGTCTCGACACGACCAAGGCTCCCGCGTTGCGACCCCAATTTAGCGTGAGCTGTTTAGATTTCACACATTATTACGCAAAACCCGTCGAGCTGTAAGTCTTCCCGATCTCCTTACTGTACAAGAGGCGTTTGCGAGCACTATCCCCACCCTATCAGCGAGCGTCAACGGTAGTCTTCTGGCAAGCCGGCAGGCAGGTCATGGATAATGACTACCGCCATGTGTTTTGGCCATGCCAATGCGGATTCACTGTCTGACGGACAATCCCCTCTCCACTTGTTCATTTGGACTAGCCTCCTCTGTCACACCAGCCATTTCCACTCTCGCTGCCAGCTTCGCTTCCTTTTCTCACCTTCTGCTCTTTGCACCATTTGTTCGCTAGCATCTTCACTTCTGTTCGCAACGTTGCTTAGCTTGGTCGCGATACCTTGTTTTGGCATGGAAAGTAACGTGGTCAGATTCTTGTTCTCATCGTCGGCTTTTTTTTTCTCCTTCGCGAACCACATAGATTGTTCGATCGGTCATTGGGGCTTTTAGTGTAAGCTTGAGACTTTTGTCCTGGCTTGACAACTCTTTGTCAAGTTTCATCTAGACTTGGCTGACTCAATTTCTGAGCAGAGTTGTTTTCAACACCTTGTCGTGGCTGGATTGCGATAAGCCAAGGTTGAAACTCTCTTAGAATGGGAGAGGCATCACAAGCTCCCGATCGGCAAATCACCGCCTACCCGGATCATCAAGACTCGACACAGGTGAACAGAGTAAGCCAACCGCAAGAGAAAACTTTCGCGGTGCCGGGAGGACCTGCACCTTTCTCTTCCCAATTCAGTACTTCCTTACAGGCTTCTCGCATGCCCGCCGCGCAGCATGGTAATCCATATGCCAGCTACCAGCACCCCCAGTCGATGCACGGGCTCGACATGAGCGCGGTAGGATTCGCCTTACCCGGGTCTCCTTCTTCACCTGCATCTACTAGAGGTTTCTTGCAGCAAGCACCATCACAAGCTGATGGACTGGCTATGCAGACGCCAGGCATGAACTTCAGACCACATCAGCAGCTGCAACAGTATGGATCTCAAGCCTACCCTTCGAACATGGGGATGCCCATGCCTGGCACGCGCCCCCAGACTCATCCTTCTAGTGTTGCGCCTCACTACTATTATAACTCCTACAGCATGCCGTCCTCCCAGATGGCTATGTCGCGTCCGGGACAGCCCAATGCAGGGTACCCGATGGTGCCTGGGATGCACTTCGCCAGTTCGGAGTTCAACAACCAGCCAAACCGTTCTACATCCTACCTGAGTACGTGCGTTCCATGTGATTAGAGAGACGACCGACAAGACGTCTCGTCTTACTTGTTCCGTCATCTTTGACCACTACCCTCAAGCGCAACTCACTAACGGCGATCGTACAGACCATCCTAGACCCGAGCTGATCAATCAACCCACCCCATCTTACCCTAGAGGACCCCCAAGGAAGCCCCGACAATCTGGCCACGCACTTTGGGTCGGAAACCTGCCTCCTGGCACGACCATCGGCGCTCTGAAGGACCATTTCTCACGCGAAGCAACCAACGACATCGAGAGTCTATTCCTTATCTCCAAAAGCAACTGCGCGTTCGTCAACTACCGCAACGAGGCAGCGTGTGCTGCTGCCATGGTCAGATTCCACGATTCGCGATTCCAGGGCGTTCGCTTGGTTTGTAGATTGCGCCGTGGCACCCCGAATAGTGGGTACTCTTCGACAACACCCGATGCGTTGACTCCTGAGTCCAGTAACGAGACCGACAAGTCGGTGCGAAAGGAACTTCGGAGGGCGTCTTCCGGCCCAGTCATCGTGGATGGTTCTGCCAGTCGATCGCCAAAGAAAGAGCACCAGCACGATGGCGTTGATGGTATTGACGGCGTCGGTGGCACCGATGGTGTTGATGGTGTTGAAGGCGTCGATGGGCTTGACAAAAGTTCAGCACGTGTGCCCGAGAAGTACTTCGTTGTCAAGAGTCTCACGCTGCAGGATCTCGAAGCCAGTGTGCGCAACGGGGTCTGGGCCACACAGAGCCACAACGAGGTTGCGCTGAACCACGCATATGAGGTACGAGACCAGAAATTCGATCGTTTGTGCTGAATTCCTTGTGAACAGATGCTGACAGTCTTTCAGACCGCTGACAACGTCTATCTCGTCTTTTCCGCGAACAAATCAGGAGAATACTTTGGTTACGCTCGCATGGCTAGCCCCATTGCCTCGGAATCAGCGACATCATTTACGAACCTCGAGCCCAAAACCAAGGACTTGGACAGCGGACCGAAGTCAATACCAACCCCGGCGACAGAATGGGCACCGAAAGGACGCATCGTCGACGACTCAGCGCGCGGCACCATCTTCTGGGAAGTCGACAATACTCCCGAAGACTCGGCAGACGAATATGCAGAAGGAGCAATCGACGGTGCTGCAACCACGACACGGCAAGCTCACCGAGAAGAGAAGGAAGCAGGCGCTCAGCGACAAAAGCAAGAGTGGGGCAAATCTTTCCAGGTCGAATGGATCTCGACGAATCGACTGCCCTTCTACCGCACCCGTGGCCTGCGCAACCCTTGGAACGAGAACCGAGAAATCAAGATCGCGCGCGATGGCACAGAGATCGAACCCAGTATAGGATCGCGTCTGGTGCAGATGTTCCATCGCCCGGCACATATGCCTCAGGGCGCAGTCAACATGTCTCCTGTGGCGATGCACTTTCCTTCTTGATGAGGCTTATCGTTGAAAATGGCTTCACCCATCGAGAAAGCGAACTTGGCTGCGACCTACGTGAGGGCAGCCCTTGACCTGCCATTTTGACCTGAACGGCCATGTGGCACTACACACACAAAACGCGTACACAGAGAGCAATACACGAAGCTCTCACTCACCCACTCCAAGCAACAGGATGGTGTTTCTTGCCTTGCGATTTAGCGACAAAAGCCAGCGTCTTGCTTGACTTCCTTTCTTATTCGGAGATCTGCATTGCTTACTTTACGCTCTTTTTTTTTCTACTTTTTTTTTATTCTGTCTTGAAGCGCCTTTCCCTTCCCCCTATCAACCATATTTCACTTCTCAATGTACAAAAAGCAACGGATCATGTACGGCATATGCAACGTATTCACCACTACGAAGAAACGAATTACACCAAAAACCCCCTCAGAAATAGCATCGAAAATTACAAAAAGCATCCAAACCCTACAAATATCGATCATACTTAGGCAACCCCCTTCTTCCATCATGGCTTTTTTTTTTGGATCTGCATTTGTTCCAAAAATCGTACACCGGCACAATGATGCAAAAACTAGAATAATGCAACTACAGTCCAAGGCAGGAGCTAACAAGATTTGTTGTGGCTTCCTTGCTGACCATGGCTCTTGATCAAGCTCACAGCGCATTCGGCGCAACTCGGGACCAGCGCCACTGTCTGGCACGTCGACTGCACGATCGTTCTGGAATTTTACAGGGCCTACGGATAGATCTCGAGCCGGCGAATCAAAAGCCGTGGACATGATCTCGGAAGCTGTGAACGGATACAGTCCACGAGAAGTTTCAGTTGTCGCTCAATTGCCATGACTCAAAATCCGACTGTCTATGACTGCAAGAGGGATGGATATCTTGGAAGCAAGCGGGAGCGAAAACGAGAACAGTCAAAGTCACAGCAAGCGCCACATGGTGCTGCTGACCAAGAATCCTCACAAAATCTGCATGTCCCAGCTCCTGTCATGATATCATGCATGTGATTCCCCCCTGAAAGCGATTTCGGTTTCCACAAGCACGGTATTGTCTCTCGCCACTCGTCTCCCATCATGATCCGTAATAAAGCGGTTAGCAACGGAATACTCGTCGGCGAAATTGCCTTTTTAGTGTTTCACGATGAGGGCTTTTGAACTTGCAGCTGCAGCGCTTGTAGTGGCGGGCACAGTGGCAGTCCTGAACGCTTCGGCCTGCGAACTGAGGACAACTTGGAACTCTCTGGAGGCCGTGTTCATGGCTTTTTCCAGGGTCTCGATACTCTTAGCGATGCGTCGCTCAATGTCGGCCTTGTTCGCAAGCAGGTCGCGAAGAGCTTCGAAGGCCGTGTGGTCGAAACTTGGCACGTCGGCATTGGTTCCGGGTCTAGAACGGAACGGGATTTTAGCGTTTATGTCTGAGCCACAATGTGCTATTTGAGAGGCAGGAAGAGCCGGAGCGTGCCTCGATGTGTGGCTGACGGTGATAGGGGTATGGGCATTTGTAATTGCCATGGCAAATGTGGATGCCGCCATAGATGTAGCATGTGATTTGTGATGCACTCGCGTTTCGCAATCATTAAACTTACTGTTTGACTGACAAACCACGCTTCAGGGAGTCGATGCGCGCTTTCAAGTCTTTGTTTCTGTTTGCACGATTCCTGCTGATTCTCGAACGTGCTTCATTCTGACGAGTTTTGACCTTCAAAGCGCTTGTGGTTAGCCCAAAGGGATTGTGACGGATCACGACATCACGACACAGGTCTCGGCATGTGAGACATGGAGAGAGCTTCTGGCTGTATGACTTACTGCTTTTTGCATGTTCTTCTGCTTCCTGTAGAATGTACGCGTCTCATCCTCAGAATCCGCGGCCTTGACGACTTTCTGTGATTTAGTGGAAGGCATGATTGAGATGGGTTGACGAAATGACGGCAGACGTATCAAATGGGACAACCGAAGCCGTGTATGCTGATTGTCCTTGCTGGCACCGCTAGAGCGCAAACAATTCTGGTGTGTTGATGCTTTTGGAGTGCAAAGGTTGGTTTAGTGAAGGTAACAGATTAGAGGGTATTGGCAGCAGCTGACCAGATAGGAAAGAGGAAGGCAGAATGCGGGGTAAATTTCAGTTTCCCGTCGTGGAGAAAAATTGTTGCTCGCGGCGTTGAGACAACGACAAGACTCTACCAACCATCCATCACTTCATAAATCGCCAACATGGGTCTCGCTGGCCCCAAAAGACGCACCAAGATTGGCACCGATCCCAACAACAACAACTGGGCCAAAGCAACCGATTCCTTTGGCCACAAGATTCTTGCCTCGCAGGGCTGGAAACCTGGCGACACCCTCGGCGCCAAAGACGCAAACCACGCCTCGCATTACACCGTCGGCAGCAACTCACATATTCGCGTTCTGTTGAAGGACGACAATCTCGGTCTGGGCGCAGCCAGAGGTGGAAACAATGCAGAGACTTTCGGTCTGAGCCTGTACTCGGGTCTATTGGGCAGACTGAACGGCAAATCCGAGGCAGAGGTTGAGAAACAACAGACAGCACAACGAGACGTCGAATTGGCCCTGTATCAAGGAAGGAAATACGGCAACATCAACTTCATCAGTGCAGGCTTCCTGGTTGGTGACAAGATGGACCTCAAGTCGACAGTAATGCCCAATTCCAAATCCACTCCTCAACAAGCCGCGCCGGACGCAGCCAACAAGAAGCGAAAGAGGACAGAACCTGAACAACAAAGCACCAATGACGCATCATCCGAGTCCGACTCTTCCGATTCTGATGATGAGGTTGACGAGGCGCCCAAGGCAAAGAAAATGAAGGAGTCGAAGAAGGACAAAAAGTCCAGCAAGAAAGAGAAGAAGGACAAAAAGCGAAAGGCTACCGATGCATCAGGCTCTGAAGACGAGACACGGGCTGAGAAGAAGGCACGTAAAGCAGAGCGACGTGCGAAGAAGGAGGCCAAGAAGGAAGAAAAGAGAAAGAGAAAGGAAGAGAAGAAGGCGGCCAAGTCAGGCACAGCGACCCCATCGAGCGCACCTGGAACTCCTGCAGAGCCTGCACCAGTGGCTGCTCTATACGGCAGACAAAACGTCCGCCAGAGATACATCGCACAAAAGCGTCTTGCATTCATGGATCCACAAGCTATGAAAGAGGTGAATTTCAACCAACAGCTATCACATGTTTCCAGGGCTAATTTCCGCTATAGATTTTCATGGTCAAGGCATAGAAGTATTTGTTCTTGCTCTCGAGTTTCTTATGCTCTAGTTGACCAGCGAACCTCGTGTGGTCTGTCTTTTCTTTGACATGATGACGACGTATCATAGACGGAAGCGTAGAAAAGCGTTCTGTTCTTCTTTTTTGGCGTAATGCATATGGGCTGGGGCGAATTTGTTATGTGCGTTTTCCCGATCATCCCTATATCCTTCCTAAACAGCGTTTATTGTTCTGTTCATGCAGCAACTCGTGAATGTCAGCCAACTGAGAAGTGTTGGGTTCTGGTCTATGGTAGTTGTGATTCTTTGTACACAACACCATATACAGTGCTTCAAATACCCTTTTACCAAGAAAGATGCCAGCAGTTTGTCTGAGCAAACAACCAGACTTGTAATCGTCACTTCTATTTTCACAGCAGAATAGGGAAGGGACGGATATGGAAAGATCTAAAGTCCGTGTAATCGCCGAAGATCTGCGGGGGCGGCGACTTCCGCACTGGATGTCGACTCTTCGATCTTTATTGTCTCCAACCAGAACAACCCACTCCGACAAGACCGCGGAATCTGGAAGGATGGCATCAGTACTGGACACTGGATTCTCTGCTGTCATCCTGAAATCGCATAACCCAAAAAAGCAAGAGGTGCTCGCTGAAGGCGCCGAAGCATTCTCGGCATTTTTTGAAGATTGCCGTAATGCATTCCATCAAGAATACACTAGGCCGCGCAAACGTGCAAAACTAGAACTTGCAGAGAACCTGGACTCAGCTCATACGTTTTCTGGACCAGGAATAACCATCGCTCGCCTCGACATCAACTTACGGCCATCTGCAAACACAACCAACCACAATGACTTGTCCACTGTGCTAGGAGACGATATTGAAGTCGGACTTGTTGACGCATGCGATTTGACCTCTTCACAGCCTACTCTGTCCCTGGTCGGCCATGCTGGCTATAAAAAGAGCCCATTACTGCAAATCCAAACCACGAATTCTATATCGTCATCCACAGCCGATCTGCTCTCGCGTATAGTGAGCCTCGAGAAACGATCCAGACGAAATGTCAAACCAGGAATTTGCCGATCTACATGTCTTCTGCATCGTTCAGCTGGTTCCCCGGGTCCTGTGTATACATTGGAATGCAGCATTACATGGTCTGACGGCGAGTCGGCTTTTGGTCCTCTAGCAACCAAAAAAGAAGATTGGACAACTCTTACTCAATTCTTCCCGGAGCCCAAGAACGTTCAGCCAAAGTCCTGGACCCCACAAGAATTCTATGCTAGCGTGCACTCTCCGCCAAACGATGCGTCTATACCCGAATTGATCGAATGCAAAGTACTTGAAAGCGATTTGTATCCCTTTCAGAAACGTGCTGTAGCATGGATGCTTGGTCGAGAAACTCCATCCCACGACCACTCCCAGAAGCGATTGTCCTACACGCAACTTCATGATGCAATGGGACAGCCATGCTTCGTCAGTCATCTGGAGGGTGTCGTGTGCTCGCCTACCCATTTTGCTGCTTTTGAAGAGCCGCAGGGTGGCGTCCTTTCTGAAGAAATGGGATTAGGTAAAACTGTTGAGCTCATAGCGCTGATATGTCTCAACAAGCAAGACTCGACTGAGGTGGCCACCGAAGATGCAGTAACGCAACCCTTTGTCAAATCTCGAGCAACATTGATTGTCACGCCACCGACCATCTTACAACAATGGAAAGACGAGTTGGCTCGCCACGCTCCTGGTCTATCAGTCTTACACTATAAGGGTGTCTCTGATGCTCAATCATCCAAGAAGGGAGACCAGTCGATTGTTGCGGATCTGGCACAACGTGACGTGGTCCTCACAACATACTCTGTGTTAGCAAAAGAGGTCTATTTCGCTGTCGATCCTCCTGAACGTTCACTACGACAACGAGAACACAAACGCACTCGACCTCGTAGCCCTCTAGTGCAGATGTATTGGTGGAGAGTCTGTCTAGATGAGGCACAAATGGTCGAATCGGGAGTCAGTGCAGCAGCTCAAGTGGCCTCTCTCCTACCACGAAAGCACGCATGGGCAGTCTCTGGCACGCCTCTAAAGAAAGATGTGCAGGACCTCTTCGGCCTTCTCGTATTTCTCAGATATCAACCGTACTGCAATTCCTCAGCAATCTGGAACCGTCTGATACACCAATACGGGGATGTTTTTAAAACTCTGTTCGGTCGCATCACACTGCGTCATACCAAAGATCAAGTACGGCACGAACTTCGGTTGCCACTTCAGAGAAGAGTCGTCTTGACTTTACCATTCACACAGATCGAGGACCAAAACTACAAGACATTGTTCGAAACAATGTGTGAGGAATGCGGATGTAATTTCGATGGTTCTCCGCTTACTCATAGCTGGGACCCAGAGTCGCCTGCGTTATTAGCAAGGATGCGAACTTGGCTCTGTCAGTTACGTCAAACTTGTCTGCACCCACAAGTCGGTGGCAGGAACAGAAGAGCGCTCGGACGTGGTCAAGGTCCTTTGCGCACGGTGGCCGAAGTCCTGGAAGTCATGATTGATCAGAACGAGACGTCAATTCGTACAGAATCTCGTCTTGTCATCAACACCCAGCTGCTCAGGGGTCACATCATTGGCAACGCAAAGGACGACGAACACAGAGCTGAGAAGGCTTTGGAAGTATATAAGTCCGCACTCGAGGCGTCCGAACAAATCGTGGCTGAATGCAGGGCTGATTTGGCTCGGACAGCTACTCACGGGATTGACCATGAAAAGAAAATCGACGACTCAGAAGATGAGAAGTCAGCAGAAGAAATTGCAGAGGGACGCCATAAAGTTTCTCTGTACTTTGCTTTGCAACTGCAACATGCGTGTGCTTTCTTCGTCGGCACCTCCTATTTCCAGATGAAGTCCAACACCAATATCACCGAGCCAGACTCAGACAAGTTTCGAGAATTGGAGGCACAAGAGTCGCTCTTCTATGACACCGCCAAGCTGACTCGCAAGGAGATTCTCAATGAAGAGTCCTCCAAAGCTGAAAGGCTCATGCAGAAGATAGAGCAAGAGAAAGATGTGATTCTTGAACGATCTGGTTTAGCAGCCATGGAAAGTCCTGGAGGTGTGGAGAACGTCAAAATAGTAAGTTCAGCACGAGAATGTTTCACAGCAAAAGTACTGACGATCGCAAGATTCACAAAGCCCACGATCTTGCTAGAATCATGAATGCGCAAGCGAAATTGATCGATGAATGGAAACAAAAGGCTACTGATCTGTTGCTCAAGCCTCTGGTCGACAAAGATGACGAAAACGTCGAGACCACTGGTGATGAGTATGAAGATTCCACAAAATCTCAGGATACATTGAACGCATACCTAGATGCCCTGCGAGCCCTTGTTGCCGATCGCTCGACCTGTATCACCGGACAAAGCGCGCCTCTTGTTGATCAGGAGGTTAAGTCTCTGATTCAAATGGCCAAACTAGGCAACGGACATGCACCAGAGCTTATACTCGAGTTACTCGCCGAGCGTAATCGTTTAAAGCAGAAGCCTGATGATGTGTTGTCCTTGCGTGGCTTGGTCCACGAGATTCGCGGCATCGAAACAGCACTTGACTGGCAAGATGGAAACGCACGCGCTAGTGCTGAACTTCAGATTATTCGCAGTCAAGCAAAACAACTCGGTCTCATTGCAGAGAGAGAAACGAAAGTGCTGAAGAGTCTTGAGGAGATGATCGAACTCTTCTCTGCTACGATGAATAAGCGTTTGGATTTCTACCGCCAACTACAGGTGATTTCGGATACTGTTGCACCTTATAAAGAGGAGTGGGACGACACTCTCGATGTGGTAGCTCTGGAAGCTGCAACGCGTCGACAGGAAACGCAGACCAAGGCCCTTGCAGCTTTGAAGACGAAGAACCGGTTCCTGCTTCATCTGCGCGAAGAGAGCACCAATTCACAAGAAACACAAAGAATTTGCGTTATTTGTCAGGGCTCTTTCGAGCAGGGTGTGCTCACTGTCTGCGGCCATCAATACTGCAAGGAGTGCATCAATCATTGGTGGAGCTCTCATCGCACCTGCCCGGTTTGTAAGCGTCATCTCGTGCTTGCAGACTTCCATCAGATCACGTACAAACCGCAGGAGCTACTCGCACAAGAGGAACAATCCGAACCTTCCTCGCCAAATCAGGGGTCTAGCAAAAGTGCGACCCCCGGATCTACTCTCTATGCCGACATCAATACCGAAACACTTGCACAGATCAAATCCATCGATTTGAATGGCTCGTTTGGAACCAAGATAGACACCCTCGCTCGGCACATTCTCTGGATCCGCAAGCATGACCCCGGCGCAAAGGCTATTGTTTTCAGTCAGTTCAGAGAGTTTCTCGACGTCCTTGGCACCGCATTTAAGCAGTTCGGTGTTGGATACTCACGCATGGGAAAGCCTGGCGCTGTTGATCGATTTAGAAATGACGCTGGTATCGAGTGCTTCCTTCTGGACGCAAAGACCGACTCGTCCGGGCTCAATCTCGTCAATGCGCAGTACGTCTTCTTGGCTGAACCACTCATCAACACAGCAATCGAGCTTCAAGCCATCGCCCGTGTACACAGAATCGGCCAACAACGACCAACCACAGTCTATATGTACCTCATCGGCGACACGGTTGAAGAAGCCATCTACGAAATCTCGGTGGCCAGGCGCTTGGCGCACATGCAGAAAGCCACAAACAACATCAAGAAGGAATCCCAGCGTTCCAAATCCTCAACTCCTGCGTTGGGTGAAGCCGCAATTGACGCTGCCAACTCTCTGGAGCTGCAACAAGCACCTGTTTCGAAACTTCTCGTGCAGGGTAAAGGCGATGGTGAGGTCGTTCCCAATGATGACCTGTGGAGTTGTCTATTCAGTCGTGCTGCCAAGAGTCAGAGACAACAGCAACAACCTGTTCTCGTTTCTGCTGAGTTGGAAGCTGAGGTTGGAAGGCACTTGCGTGCAGAAGCAGCTGAGAACAGACGTGGCTGATTAGCACAGAAATGACCATTGGATCGAAAACGGGAGAACTATGTCTGTAGAACAGGTCGAAGGATGATTAGCATAAGGATGAGCGTTGGGTCGGACGAGGCAGAGCTATTGCTGGAGAAACAGGCCAAAAGAAAAGCAAGAGCACAGCACTATAATGCCTAATAAGTCAATAACGAGGACAAATTAGACTTCTTATTCAAATATCAGACGAACATAATAATGTATTTTCCGTGAGATACTTGACCCTGTTTTCATACAGGATCTTGCTTCCCTTTATTGGTTGACCTGATGTAGATTTCTTTCTAGATTTCCCATCAAATAGTTCTGGATTTAAAGAGCAAGCAAAGGAGCACAAACAAAAAGGCGGGAAAGGGGGGGATGAGGTGGTAATGTACATGTATATACCGTTTGAAAACATCTGTACTATTTCGTCATCGACGTTTCTCCCATCTGCACATATTCCTTCATTCTCCCCTTCTCTCTCTCTTCTTCCTCTCTTCCTCTATTCCAGAACCTGGCTATCGTGTGCGGACCAAATGGGCTCTATGCGGCGAGAAAGGGTAGTCTTGTTATCGCAAAGAGGAATGAGGCGTGAATGCATCGACGCGTACGCTAGCTAGCAGTGTTGTTACTGTTGTGGTTGTCTCTTCTTCCATAAAACTCTCTTTCATTGTGTCAAATAGTGATTCGTGTGGTGCCTCCTGGTGGTGGTGGTGGTCGTCGTCGTCGTCGTCATCATCATCGTCATCATTATCTACTAGTCTTGTGGTTGCTCGAAGCAGCAGAGTGTGGGCCATCGCGTTCAACGTGTTCGGTGGCACGCAGCAAGGTGGATAGCGAGGCCTTGTTCTGAGAGCCGACGTCGTATGAGTCTTTTGCGGACAAAGATGGTGGGGAATGATGGGATGGGGCTGATTGGGTGGTGTGATGGTTTGTCGGCGAGTAGAGGGGATTAGGGGTGGCGCGCTGGGACATGGCCCTGGGGTCGAGTGGGGGTAGTGTGGTGTGCAGAGGCCAATTAATGAGGGGAGTGTCATTCGGTTTGCGCGAAGCAATGGAGCTCAATTGGTTGAGAGGGGGGAGTATGGTAGGTGGTTTGTTTGACGCACTACTGTGGGTCGACGTGGGCGGGAGAGAGGTTGCGGGTGACGTCGAGCCATGCTCTGAGCGGAGAGCAGAGTTGTTGGTCGTGTGCCTGCTTAGGGTGGTGGCGGCGGTGGTAGGATAAGCAGGCGGAACGGAGCGCCAGGTCGAGTAGGACGAGGCAGTGCCTGCATCTGACGGGGCTTTGGGGATGGGAAATAGGCGATAGGTTTCGGTATTGGGCGAGCTGTAGGTCGACGAGTGCTGCACTCTGTCGGACGGCGAGGGCGGCTGGTTGTGTGTGTTGTCGCCAACATCGACGCTGCCATCGTCGCCCTCCAGCTCGTCGACACCTTCACCACCATCCATGCCTTCAGCGCCTTCGTCACCATCGACAGTCGCCTCTTCATAACTGCGCGATTGACCACTGGCCGATCGGAGCTTGATCTTTTTTGAATCTGGACCTTGACCTTGACCGGGACCTTGAGCCTGTGAAGCGCCTTCGCCCGAGTGCTTTGCCTTGAACTCGATCAGGTAATCCTGATACTGCTTGTACTGCGGCGTCTTCTTGTACTGCCTCAGCTCCGAGTAGTACTTGTCTTTGAGCGCCTGGGCTTCGCGTTCGCATGGCTCCTTCTCATTTGGTCCTAGTTCCTGCCATCGCTCCCCAACGAGCTTAGCAATCTCAGTGAACGAGAGGTCTTTGCCCTTGAGCTGATCGCGGATCTCTGTGTGCCTACTTGTCAGCACTTGCTTGTCATGTAAAGGCCAGGGCGACACGAACGATTTGAGAAGATGACATATGCTGACGGAGGTCGCTCCGGCGCGTGCTCGTCTGCCTGTGGGTGCTCTGCTTTAGCATGTGCTTGGACTGTCATGCACCTTCGGTTACCTACTTTGGGATGCCGCCTGTACTTCCGTTTGCTCCTCTGTGGTGGGCCATTGTTCCGGGCTGCAGCATCCTGTTCTTGTGATTCTATCGAGTTTTGTTGCCGAAAGTGTGGTGTTTGGGTCTTTTTGGGCTCGTCCAGGCCAGCAGACTCGTCGCGCGAGGCAGAGTGCAAAAGCAGTGGAAGAGGGGTTCTGTCTTTGGATGCATTGAGAATGGCTCGCTGAAGTTTCTGTGGCGGCAGGGTCAGTACAGCGTGTCTTGTGGTAGCGGGATCACAGCACAAGACTCACTCGTCGATGACCAAGTTTCACGTTGAGAGCCTCACTGTAGACAGGATTGGTAAGCAAAGCAGGTTGGTCGGAGCAGACAGCGCCAAGGGGGGTCAGAGGACTTACAGATCCGATTCGGTGACGTCCATGAGCGTGTCCCAAGAGTCGAAACCCTCGTCGACAAAGGCATCGTGATATCGCGCCAGATCCAAACGGTCGAGGACCTGTTTGAGGGTCGACATGTGCGCGCGAAATGTCCAAACCACATTCAGGCACTGCAAAGAGACAGAGCTCTGCAATGAAGGACCTGGAAATGGCAGATGTGGCAGAGGCCGTCGTGTGCGCTAGTCGCGGGCAAGTCTCGAGAGGAGCCGTCACGACGACATGGACATGGTGAGCCGGCGTGTTGAGCGGTAACAGGCAATGCTTGACGGGCGATGCAACTCGATTTTCGATGAGACACAGGCAATTCTCGTCCACTCTCGTCCACTCGGTCTGCGACCCGACGTCAATGATGCGGCCAAGTATGACGACCAAACACGACAGAGCGTACGGTAGACTACCTGTAAACAAGCCAGCTCGACCCTGCACTTGGCCTTTTGTTGCGCAACCTGCCTCTGCTTCGATCCAGTACTGCTCGCGCGCGTTTCAAGCCGTTCCTGCAAGACGAGTCGAAGAAGCGAATAGAAAGCTGCGAACAAATTGATTGTCGCCGACGGACCAAACTCCGACGTTTCTCCTGTTTGTACTCGCTGCCGTCAAAAGCAAGCCACGCGTCAGAAACCGTTGATGGCAATGTACAAAGCGCCTCGTCAAAGTCGTGAGAAAGCGCTCGGATTGGCGACAAAAATCTGCATGCCATTTCGATCCCGCTACACATATCTACTATGCTAGACTCTCAGTTGCCACCAGCCCATCATGGCCGAGTAACTGGGCATTTCTGACTTTCGTCAAGTACAATAATGCGTAGAGCGACAACGCCGACGAACACTCTGCTTGGCAGACTACCTATGATCTCAGCCCCTCTCACGGGCCATTTTGTCATCAACGATGCCATCGCTGCCATCGCTCCGATGCTCCCAAATTCCTCGGCTCGCTCCTACCCTAATTTCGTTATAGTTGCTATAGGCTTTGCGAAAACAGAACTAGGCCTTGCGAAAACAAAATAATCGTTGAGCTTAGTACTTTTATTCCCTCACTATTTGACTGTTTACATCTTAGGCTCGCTCACGCGCTCCCGAATTGTCTACCACGCTACAAGGGGGGGTCGGCATGATTCTAAAGAGGCTAGGCGGGAGGCATAGTGCATATTCCGTGGTCCGATCGGAGCGAACGACCGTGTCCGCTACCATCGTACACCCTCGTCTAAACGGCCCTAGCTTTTTGAAGGACAGATACCCATGGCATTATTGTTTTTGGCAATCGACTTTCCTATCGACGATACTGCGGAAGCTTTTCCGCTGCATGGTTCCCCGCCTCACTCCCCTCTACTTGTAATACGTACTCGTGCATATCATTATCTATTATCAATGGTGCTGACGGTCCAGACTCTGTACTGATCTCCTCCTCAGCGGTATTGACTGAACTTGACGGCGGCCCACTCGCTACGAGTTCTAATTGACGCCTCTGTAATTCATGCTTATCGTCAGTTGGCGGTAGATTGTCGCTACTGCCCTCGATCAAGTCATGTCTGGCCTCAGATGCATGTGGTTGCTGAGTCGTCTGCATTGCCTCTCCAGTGTATTGTGTCGAACTCCCAGCTGCGACTTCCGAATACTGATGAAAGTCGTCTGGAGGCAATGCTGGAGCTGTTGCCTGCTCTGCGTCTAAAGATGCTGAAGGCATCGCAGGTGGTTGGCTCGGCATCAGTCGTGCCTCGGCTCTACGTAGACGCTCTTTCTCAGGAAGAGAGTCCTCGTTCTCTAATGTCGGGGGTTCGTAATAATCTGGATAGTAGGACTGGTCATACATATATTCTTGGTCCGTATCCCATTGAAGGCCACGAGACGCGTAATCGTAACCAGAGCCGTATTGGTGGCCATCAGATCCATAGTCGTAACTAGAGCCGTATTGATATTCATCATGGCCATAGTCATAATTGTACATATCTGCGTGTTGGTATGATTCGAAGTCACGGCTCGACACCGCCGAATGGCCCTGATGATTCGAGGCGCGTTGTGGCGTGTTCAAAGTCTGTTCAGCACTGGGTGGTGATGGTGGCGGCTCTGTGGCTCTTTCTTTTCCTTTCCTAGCTTTGCGGTCACTGTCAGTGGTGCCGACAACTACTTCAAAGGTGCAAGTTGCGACAGATTTGTCTCTTCGAATCGGGGCGGTATCGAGTATGCCCGCGCCATTGAGCATCAAAAAGGGAGTATCATCAGGACCGCTGAAGATGTTGTTCTCTTTAGCATCAACAGGACGTGCAGCGGCAGAGACTGGGCCGCTGCCATGTTGTGAAAGATATCTGTCGTGAGTGAGCTTGCCCTGAATGTCAAGGACAACCTCAATGTAATAACGAAAGGAAATCATCGCTCCAGGAACAGTGTTGATGGTGGGAAATGCGCCGTGAGGAACGCCGATCTTTGCGTTGATCTCGGCAGTCAACGAGATAGGATCCACATATAGAGGTACAAGAATCTGGGCAAGGTCTTTGCGAAAGGTATGGCTGGACCCGGCGCCCGATAGAGACAAGCCACCAAGACCAGTGATGGATTTGGGGTAATAATCTTCGTACTTACGCTTCTGGCCGTCGCTCACTGGTCCCAGAGGAAGAGCAGGGTGCATGTCAACGCGGGCCTGGCGGTATAAAGTGATGATGATGCCATTGATGCTCTTGATATGTTTTGTGTGGTTGATGGAGATTCTGATGGGAAAACTATCCCCACGCAAGCAGGCACCTTTGAGCAGTTCAACAGTTGCGGTGATGACTTTATGTGGACTATCGCTGGGACTGCTGCTGACACGACTGTCGAGACTAAGCTCACTGAGCGAGGGAGTCGGAGGCCTTGGTTCGTGTGAAGGGTTATTAGGCGTCCTGGTCGACAGGGAAACAGAGGCTTTGTTCGTTTTGATCTTCCTAGAAACTGGTTCAAGGGTTATAGTTCGCGGCTTTGGCGCCAGCAGGGGAGCAATATCGACACGCTCAACGAGATAGATCTTTTGCTCGTGGGTCGTGATGGGAGTAATAGTGGTGGGTCGTGTCAGGGTGGCAGTAAGCATGTAGGAGATGGTGCCTCTTTCAAAGTCGATACTGCTGGGCAAGTCCATGTCGTCTGGGAACTGGACCTCGAAGTCAAAGCAATAGACGCCCTCATCCAAACGGCCATCGCCGCATAGCACCGACTCGTCCTCGAAGAGCGAAGCGAAGCCATTGCCAAAGTATTCACCCGACTTCTTCCCTCGTCCCTGGGCGCGACCGATTCGATTGGTATTGCCGCGCAGCTGGTCAGCTGTTGCGCCAGGTGTGCGAAAGACCTGGACAAAGCCGTGTAGACAGACGGACACGTGCGTGACTCGGACAGGTTTGACGACCTTGACGACGACACAGCCCTTGACGCTCTCGCCGGGCGAGTACTGCTTGTGGGGATCTTGGGCCTTGATGTGGAAGTCGGCAATGCTGCGACCTTTCTGCGAGAACAGAGGAGAGGCAAAGCGCGAAAGTATACGGCGACTGGCCGACGGAACGGACGGAGACGGAGCTGGAGCTGATGATGAGGCTTGCGAGCGCGACGGTGACGACGAGCTCATGGTGTGGCTATCGTGGGAAGCCGGAGCATGGTTGCTTGAATTTTCGGCGCATGCACGAGGACTGGCTTTGATGGGCGAGTAGGTTGGGCGATAGAGGCCTCCCAATAGTGCTCCTCTAGTATCTGCCTGTTCGTACCTGCCCGAATCCGCATCAGGGAATCAAATCAACCTTGGGCCGCGTCCGCTGCACTGCCACTGTCCGCTCCTGCTCGACAAACAAGGGATGACTTGTCGCTATCGTCCTCTGGCAATTCAACTGCTTTGCAGCCTCTTCAGCAGCATTCTCTATTCCTATTCACCATGCAGGCGTCTTTTGACCATTGACTCTGCGTAAGCCAAGCTCCTGTCCGCGTCTCCATGCCTTTGTCGCTGAGCGCGGACGTCCAACGGCCGCTTGACTCGCCGACCTCGCTGCTTTCTGCTGCTGCTGATGGCTCAAGTTTCCCTACAGTCCTGGTCGCCTGGCACAACTGGCAGTGCGCATGCAACAAGCATTTGATCACAGGCCATTTCCTGTTTCGCCCAGCAAACAAGCTTCCAGTCATCTGTTCGTAGCCGCGTTGTAGCCGCGGTACAGCTCTTTTCGATTCATGGGGGCCATTTTTATACACTCTCGTCAATTGTCCTGAAATCGATTCTGCTTTTTTTTTTTATGGAAATCGTGTCCTTTTGGCTGTTCTAACAAACCAGAAATTATCCCGTAACCAAAAAAGACAAGTGTGGGAACGAAACTGAGAAATTCCTACATGAAAAGAACAAAGCAGAAAATGAAACACGCCATGCGCCTTGCTAAAACCAAAATGAGACGCTCTCCAAAATAAATCAAACCTTTCCATCCCAGCTCCAAGCGCGGTTGTCGTCCACATTCTTCCAATGACCCTTAGAGACCTTGTCGGCACCCATCATGACGCCAATGATCCGACAGGCTGCACTGGAGCTGGCGCAGACGACCGCATCAGCATGCCCCAATACTGCCAAATCCAGCAGGTAGGCACGCCCAACAAGCTCTCTTAACTTCAAAACAGCCTTCTGCATCTCGTCGTCCATTCCTTGCTTGGATGCCGAAGGATGACCTTTACCCAGCGAGAAGAACAGAGAAGCATAGAAACCTCCTTCCCATCCAGAATTTTCGTCAACGTGTTTGACATAAGCGGATCCCGGTTTACGGATTGGCACTGCAGGTTCCAGTGTCTTCTTACTCGCGAGAACGATACGCTCCTGGGGGCGCGAAGCGGTAAGATGGGAAGGGAGTGTGTTGACCAGATCATGCGACGATAGAATGTCTGGATCATCCGAGGCAAGAAGTAGAGCGGTGGGCTCCATGGACGATTTGTTTGGTGAGAAAGAAGCAAATAGCTCGCTAGCTGCAGATGTGTAGCGCTCGAATGGAAGATAGTCGTGGCTGTACTCGAGCTCAAAGGGATGTAGGTCTCCCCGACGAAGGTGCATGCCAACAAGCGGCGTCTGGGAGGCGGAAGCAGCGGCACGCATCACCGTCAGCTTGTGTGTCAAGAAGGACCCGTCCTCTCCTTGCAAATCAAACAGGTCTTGATAGCCTTGGCGGATCATATTATAGGTGGGGCGGTTCTTCCTGAATCCATGCTTGAGTGAGTGCTCATACTCGGCTTTGAATGCACTTCCAAAAGTCCAAGGTAAGGTAGCTGCAGAAACAACCAAATGGCGGGCACTATGAGGGCATGGAAGGACCTGATTTGCTGGTGGAGGCGCACAAGCTGACTGAGGAGGCTGCTTGAAGTATGTGGTGTATCTTCCGTACGACCTGGAGGAGTATCAGCATACAGATGCAGTAAATGCTCTATCATGAGCTCTTACCAATTTGAATCATCGATAAAGAAAGTGCGACCTTCCTTCTTGGCCATGCCATAACTCAACCAGAGGGCAAGTAGAGTATTGCCAAAGCCGGCTTCGCTTGTCTCCATGACGAAGGTCAAGCTGCTTTGGCAAATTGGAAGGTCAGAACTGCTTTCATTCACATGACCAATGACTGAGATATGCTTTTGTCCTTCCGCCATGGCTGGCAGAAGAGCCATGGCCTCAGCTTCGTCGACCGGCAAGAATGTTCTGTCGGCTGCGTAATACGGGCGTCTCCAGAAGTGAGGTCTGTTTTTGCCTTGGATCCTTGATGGGCGACCCGTCATAGCTTCGACGCTTTTCCTGACCCCTTCGCTAACTGAACAGATGCGCTTGTACTCATGGTGCTTGAGAGGGAACCCGAGCGAAGGCGGTATTGAGACAGTCCATCTAGGCTGGCCATGCTGGTCCTGGAAAATCAAGGGGGTGGGATAATCAGGAATTGGTGCCCCATTGATGAGGTCAATTTGTTTGTCGGCGTTGGCGAAGACAGCATCATATTGGATGTCGCTTATCAATATTGGAGACAAGGTATAGCAAATCAAGACAACGGCCAGAACAAACAGCATGACTACCGTGCGCCATCGGGTCGTCTTTTGCCAGTCATCAAAGAAGCCATGTTTGTTTTCGCGTGCGTGTTTGAGCAAAGGTGAAGGCAAAGGGCCGGTGTCTTCTCTGACTGGAATCCAGAGAAATCTTCCTTTTTCTGCGCTGTCCTGGGCGTGATCGGCAACTACGGGTGAAGTGTGTGCTGATGCGAATGATCCCGTGGACGAGATGGAGAGATTGGTGTTCCTGCGATCACGCATACTGCCTGAGAGAGAGCCGAGTTGCATGAACTGTATTCAGGGTTATTCGAGGAGATGCTGGAGGAGTTTGAGACGATCCAGTCACAGATGGATATCAGAAAGCAGTTGTGCAACCCGATGCTGACATGAGTAAGATGATGTGCAGTCCAGCTGTGCTTCAGCAGCCCGATCACTGTCGTACCACAGAAGTACCTATGTTGCACAGGGAAAAACTCAAGGAGGAAACGCAAAGAAACAGAGGTCCAAATGGGAAGAAGAGAGCAACCAAAGACAGCTAGAAGAACCGGCTTCCGACTGTGTTGAGAAGAGACGGGCTTCCAGAGCCACGAAAAAAGGCAGGTCGCAGAATGGTGCGGAGCTTGAAAGTTGGAGACTGGAAAGAAAAAGACCGACAAAGAGAGCACGACTCGTCTTCGGCAGGAGGTGCATATATGCAGCATCGTTATCCACCCATGCCCCTCGTCTGTGCGGTGGCCGGGACCTCTGGCCAACGATCCCTGTTTGCTTTGGGTTTGCTACACGACACAAAATACGAGACGAGACGTGCTCATCAAACCGCAGAGCGCTATCCTAATGTCCATACCAGCTTCAAATAGCCGTTGGCGGCGTAGGGCTTACCTCGAATCGAACGACCTGTCAAACCCATCGTCACAGATCTACGTTGTGGCAGACGGGTGTAAGAGAATGAGTGTGACTGGACACCTGAAACGAGCCTAACCTGAAAGCCGACGAGGTCGCCTCGGGCCTGCCCGCATCTTGACGCACCAGCCACTTTCCGAGAAGCAATCCCTGCCTCCGAGGCTGGATGCTGGAGCTTCTTCAAGTCCCTTTTGTCAAGTCCTCCGCGGGCAGTCTGCCCAGGAGTTGATCTGGTCACAGATTTCGAAGCAGGTGTTGACGACCATGTAAGTATGCATACGTCTCTTCTCCGAAGCTCTTGAAATCAACCTGGTAAGAAGTACAAAGCGAGGCAACATGATTTGGGTGGCCTTGCAAGAATCTCATGTCGTCAAGCCGCATCTGCTTGCTAGTGGAGTCGTGGATCCAACAATATGCATGCGGCTGTGCTTGCTGACTTTCGAGGCGGACCTCAAAGCCCAATCACAATGCTCCAGAACGTCGACAGCTGCATGTATTCCGTACCCACGAACGTTGCCCAGCTGGCAAGTTTGCCGCGATTCCCATGAGTTGAGTCGGCAAATCATGAGTTGTCCTGAATAGTCAGGTTTCTAGATAGGCAAGGTCGTCCTGAACGGACTTATTCAGCACCAGCGAGATGCTTTTGTAGTATGCTCGCTAGTGATCAAGACAGCACGGACTTGATGACTGACATTGTCGTCTGAGCAGATCTCATTAATATAGGGTTGCTATCTGGTCTATTAAAAGCCACTTTTTGACAGCCCTCTCCAGATCCGACAATGGTTTTCAAAAAGAACTTGTGGATGGATTGTCACAAGCGAAATGGCCACAATCCCCAATATCGCTTGACAAGAGCGACCAATGTATTGCGTCTGCTCTTGCTCTCGGCTAGCGATCTTCTCTGGTTCTCAGTTCTGGGCTGAAAGATGTGGTTTCGTACTTAGGTCACACTGGGTGCACGATCTTTGGTGCAAAACATTGTATTGAACTCTAGGATGACCAGAACCGGCCACCTAGCCAATGTAAAGATCCGCACAGGACATTGACAAGAATGAACTGCTTCCATTGACTCATTCGTCACTTGGCTGCGCAAAGCACTTGAGTGAACTCACGAGGCGAGTGGTGGGAATGCACTCCTAATTATAAGGGCAGGGTCAGGGCAGCGGGATAGGTCAACGCACGTGACCATCTGGCTAGCTCTGTGACTGAAGCAAGCAACCTGGAAACACTCGCGAATCAACCCGCACACAAACTTTCAGAACGCAAACTTCTCTGCTGCTCCTGCAATATTGCGCTCGCTTCTCACAGGCCTCTGAAACTCGTCATAACGCGCATCCGCACAACCCCATCGAATCCGAAGCGTCCCACAAGAACACGGGCCCAGCATGACCGACTATGGCTATGGAACAGGCGACGAGGAGCTGGCCGAAGTCAGGAAGCTTGAAGCCGATGTCCAGGCCAGTCCAGACGAGTTTGAGAACTGGGAGAAGTTGGTTCGCGCAGTAGAAGGTCTTGAGGGTGGTCTGAACAGAAACTCGAGTCCTCAGGCCATCACGGCTGCCAGAAGCATCTACGATCGCTTCCTCGCAAAGTTCCCCTTGTTCTTCGGATACTGGAAGAAGTACGCCGATCTGGAGTTTGCCATTGCTGGCACCGAAGCTGCTGAGATGGTGAGCTAAACACCCGGCCGCAATGGCACATTTTGTTGACCCTCAATCCAGGTTTACGAACGCGGCGTGGCCAGCATTGGCATCTCGGTCGATCTCTGGGCCAACTACTGTAGTTTCAAGGTCGAGACAACCCACGACGACAACATCATTCGAGAGTAAGTTCGCGCTGCCCCCTCATATCTGCATGACCTTCACCTAGACCATCTCTACACGACTTTGGGACCTCTCGCTTCGTACCACAGACATTCAGCTTGTCGAAGACGGGTGAGAAACCATCGAGACTCCCCATGTCATACTCTTCTCACGCACAGCGTTCAGACTCACATCCCATTATGTTCAAACTCGACCCTTGTCACATCCTTCTCTCACTGGTGTTTGGTGGCTCCGAAGTTGACCACCACGTCCGACGGCCTCGGGAGGCTCATAGGACTATATGCCTTGTTTGGTTTCCCTCCCCCTCTTCTGCTTTTTCCTTCCTGCCCCTCTCGAGGCATGCATCGACTAACAGACCTAGGTTGTTTGAACGAGGCGCCACCTGCGTCGGCCTAGATTTTCTCGCTCACCCTTTCTGGGACAAGTATATTGAGTTTGAGGAGCGACTCGAGGCCCAAGACAAGGTCTTTGACATCCTCAGCCGCATCATCACCGTCCCCATGCATCAGTATGCTCGCTACTTTGAAAAGTACCGCCAATTGGCAGCCTCTCGCCCTCTGACCGAACTGGCACCCACGAATCTCCTCAGTCAATTCAACGTTGAGCTTGAGCCTGAATTCAAGGGAAAGAGTCAGATTGAAGTGGAGCGTGCAATGCGTGCTCGCCTAGATACCTACCACCTCGAAATCTTCCACAAGACTCAAACCGAGACGACCAAGCGCTGGACTTACGAACAAGAAATCAAGCGCCCATACTTCCACGTGACCGAACTTGATGAAGCACAACTGGAGAACTGGTCAAAGTATCTTGATTTCGAGGAGGCTGAGGCCGACTACACCCGCACCACCTTTTTGTACGAGCGTTGTGTCGTCACATGTGCCCACTACGACGAGTACTGGCAGAGATATGCTCGCTGGATGTACAACCAGGACGGCAAAGAGGAGGAAGTTCGCAACATATTCCAGCGCGCTAGCTGCATCTACACGCCGATCGCCAGACCTGCCATCCGCCTTCACTGGGCCCTGTTCGAGGAAGCCTGCAGTAGACCATCTGTTGCTGCTGCCATCTATGAGGCTATCCTTGTCACCTTGCCCGGGAACCTCGAAGCCATCACTCGCCTGGCTAATCTCCAACGTCGGCAGGTCGGTTACGATGCTGCTGTCCAAGTTTATGACCAATACCTCGCTGATGCCGAGTGCTCGGCTGACGACAAGGGTGCGCTTGTTGTTGAGATGGCTCGCTTGGCCTGGAAGTCGAAGAGCGACGCAATCCACGGACGTGACATCCTGTCGCGTCAGCAGCAACTCTTCCTTGATAGTCCATCCTTCTGGGCAGGCTACCTCAGCTTCGAGATCGACCAACCAACAACTTTGGAGACTGCAGCCGAACAAGCTGAGCGTGTGAAGTCGCTCCACAGCACTATCCGAAACAAGACTCGTCTAAGCGCTGATATTATCAAAGATCTATCCCAGAGATACATGGGCTACCTTACCGAGAAGCAGAGCAAACTCGCAGCCAGAGAATACCTCGAACTGGACATGCTAGTGAATGGTCCTGCCTCGGTGGGTACAGCTGGTAAACTTGCCGCCAAGGGATCCGTTGCTTAGGAAAAGCTTTACATTGCCCTCCCTGCAGAGCGAATATCATCGACCACGCCAAGGCACGTATGCAGATCGCCGTGATCAACGATCCACGCTGGATCGGCTTTCAACCAGCCATTCCAGACTATCCATGTATCATGTGGTGCTTGCACCTCTATTGTACATGCATTTAATCGGGTCAATTCAGTTGACCTGGGCTCAGACCAATACCTGACCAAGGCCAAAAAACAGAGTGGCAGGAAAACAGAAGCCGTGCATCACACTGATTTTGCATGACCGGTGGCATACTGGTACCAGAAAGAGTCTATAGCAACCAAAAGTACATAATGAATAACCAAACACGTCTCCCAGATGCCCCTCATGACCATTCGCTACAAAAGCACCATCTCTTCTTTAAAGCATTCACAGAGCATGAAGCACAGCGGTGGCCCGATGGAAGAAAACGTGGGGAATCTGCTCCAAACTTGGAAGCTCTAATCGGCCGGTAATCCTCGCAGGAAGGTTATCAACAGTATCTATCTTATCAGGTGGCCGACCTCGCCGGCTCGCCGATCCTCTCAATATGGCCAACTTTAAAGGTAGCTGAGCCACGCTCTCATTGATATGCAAGACCTGCTTTTGTCAAAGGAGGCAGGTATATGCACATCGCACCCCTCACCAACTGCCCCACCTTGAGCAGCTAAGGTGATTGCACCTGACTATAAATGCTCCGTGATCGCTCGCGAGCGGTTCTCGCTTCTCCATTCTCGCGCTCTTTGTTGTCCGGTGGGCTGCTTTCTGGTATAGTTGTTCTCTGTACTGTCGTCATGTTGTTTTCTCCTTGGGTTGACACCCTTACTTGTCTACTTGCTCTTGGAGTGTCGAACGTTGGTGCTACGGTTCTAAGACAAGGATACACACATGGAATTTCTTCCGTCCCAGAGGCTGATCACGCTGGACATCATGGCTCTAACATGACCAAGCTGCATGGAGCTGTTGCGTCCGAAAGTACAATCTGTTCTGGCATAGGACGCGATCTGCTTCTGAGAGGAGGCACAGCCGCTGATGCAATGGTCGGTACAGTCTTTTGTGTCGGTGTGATCGGCATGTATCACTCGGGAATCGGAGGCGGTGGCTTCATGCTGGTCAGGGGCTCTGATGGAGAGTACGAGTTCATCGACTTCCGAGAAACAGCGCCTGCGGCCGCGTTCCAAGACATGTATAAGAACAACACGAACGCCAGTATCTATGGAGGCTTGGCAAGGTATGCTCTGAGTGATGGAAACGAATCAAACAAGCATCAGATGCTGACCATCGAGCAGCGGAGTTCCTGGAGAGGTTCGTGGACTGGCACACTTGCACCAAAAGTATGGGAAACTACCTTGGAAAGAGGTCATGCAAGGCGCAATTAAGACGGCTCGCTATGGTTTCCCGGTCACCGCCGATTTGGTCCGCTACATGGCCTCTGCCACAGCAGGCCAGACCACCAATTTTCTTGTTGATGACCCGAACTGGGCTATCGATTTTGCACCCAATGGCACTCTGTTGAGACTCAACGACACAATTACCCGTCAGCGTTATGCTTCAACTCTCGAAGCCATTGCAGAGCGTGGACCCGATGCTTTCTACACTGGCCCTATTGCTGAAGCCATGATCGATACGCTTCAAGCAGCCAACGGCACAATGACCATGGAAGATTTGAAGAACTACACTGTGGCAATTCGTGATCCTGTCGAGATCGACTATAGAGGATACAAGCTCAAGAGCGTGAGCGCACCAGCATCAGGTGGCGTGGTACTGTCCATCATGAATATCTTGGAAGGTTATAACAACATGGGTGAAGAAGCATACCTGAATCTCAGCACTCATCATCTTGACGAAGCAACACGCTTTGGATACGGCTTCCGTGCTTCCATGGGAGACCCTCTGTTTGTCGAGGGTATGGATGAGTACCAAGCCGAGATTCTCAATGCAACCACGGCGGCAAATGCTCGCCATCTCATTTCAGACACGCATACTCTCAACGTCTCAACTTTTGATCCTCGCAACCTCGAGATAAAAGACACTCCTGGAACTTCACAGGTTGTGACTGCTGATAGCTCGGGCATGGCTATTTCGCTCACCACAACAGTCAATCTTCTGTTTGGTAGTCAGCTTATTGTTCCTTCGACTGGAGTGATAATGAACAACGAGATGAATGACTTCTCGATTCCAGGAACGAAGAACGCTTTCGGTCTTGATCCTTCCGAAAGCAATTTCGTGCGTCCCGGCAAGAGACCAATGTCCTCGATTTCTTGCACAATCGCAGAGAACCCCGACGGCTCGCTCTACTTCGTTACAGGCTCTGCAGGAGGCAGTAGAATCATCACGGCGACGTTGCAGACATTGTGGCATGTTTTGGACCAGAACATGACTGCTGCTGAAGCATTGGCGGCACCGCGTCTGCATGACCAGCTTTCTCCCAACTATGTGAGCTTTGAGTATGCATATGACAACCAGACAGTGGCGTACATGAAGAGCTTGGGCCACAATGTCACTTGGGTAGCACCAGGGCAGAGCACAGCACAGTGTTTGCGAGTGCTGAGCAACGGCACGTTTGATGTTGCTAGCGAGCCTCGCCAGCTGAACTCGGGTGCATATGCTGTATAAACCCGAGCGTACATGACTGATGACATGTGTGTCTTGGTAGCTTAAATAACAATTTAATGAATTATTTCAAAAGAGTTTGCCCTCGATCGTGAAGAGTGTGTTGGGATAGGATCGTCAGCATAGATATCCAATCAGCTGCTCGATCTTGATGTTGTACAAGTAATCAACGAGCCACAAACAGGATTGTGGCTCGACGAGTTGTTCCTGAAAGATCGCCAAGCTCTGTTTAGAGTGGTCGGCAAGGGGAGCCGCGAGTTCCTGCATGAAGATCTTGGTAGACACGACGTCATTGCGATTTTTGGCGTCAAAATCTTGGACGGGAGTTGGACTGAGCACGAAGCTTTTTGATGAGTGTGTACGAGTAAGTATGTCTCTCGCGTCATGGCCTATGTAATGGCATATCCAGGTTTCATGTGGCAGGTAGGTGATCGTATTGGTATAAGTTATAGAGACCCTGTGAACTATCAGACCCTTGTTTTTCATCCTTCGTCTCGACATTGACTCTCCAGCAGAGGCGGCATTGGTCCAGCAAGCAGCATGCATTCTGCCACAGCAACTCTTCTCCTCTCGGCCTCGGCCTTGACGGCTGCCAAATACACATTCGATCCCCTGAAGCACATGTCGGGCATCGCGCCCTACTTTGAGCCTCATGATCCCACAAGCAACTTCGACCCTGCTCCGCCGCAGGGTTGCAATGTTACTCGCGCCGCTTACCTCGTTCGTCACGCCGCTATCTACGCCAACGACTTCGATTACGAGTCCTACATCGAGCCCTTTGTCAAGAAGCTCGAGGCAAGCCAGGGGAACAGCTCGGTCAACTGGGACCGTTCGCACGCTCTGTCCTTCTTGTCCACCTGGACCTCCCCAATCGAAGATGAAGACATCGAGAAATTGTCCAAGGTCGGCAGCCTGGAAGCCATGAAGCTGGGTGTTGATGTCTACGAGCGCTACCAACACTTCAAGCAGCCCAAGAAGGTCTGGACCAGCTCTGCTGAGCGTACTGTTCTCACTGCCGAAAGCTTTGTCGACGGTCTTGCTATCAAAGAGAATGGAACCGACATCGTACAGATCGGCGAATACAAGAAGACGGGTGCAGACTCGTTGACTCCTTACAAGGCCTGTCCTGCCTACTCTGGAAGCAGAGGAAGCAAACAGTCCATGTCCTACCAGAAGATCTACACTGCTCCTATCATCTCTCGTTTCCGTTCCGAGGTTCCTGCCTTCAACTGGACTGCTTCGGACATCTACGGCATGCAGCAATTGTGCGGCTACGAGACTGTCATACGCGGCGACTCACCTTTCTGCTCTCTGGATCTGTTCAGTCCCAATGAGTGGCTACAGTTCGAGTATACCAACGACATCATGTACCACTTGAACGTTGGCTACGGCAATCCAGTATCTGGAGCTATCGGCTATCCTTGGGTCAAGTCGTCTGCCGACCTCTTGACTTCTCAGAACGCTAGCCAGGACATTTACGTTTCCTTCACCCACAGAGAACTTCCTCCTACCGTTCTCGTCGCTCTTGGCCTCTTCAACAACACTGCCTACTCTGCTTCCGATAACATCAACGCCACAATGCCTACTGATGGCATCAACCCTCAGCGTGTTTGGCAAAGCAGCAAGTTCATGTCCTTCCTAACAAACATCGCCATCGAGCGCATGGAGTGCGACAGCTTCGGCTTCCAAGACAACGCCAACCAGACTGGCGAATACTACCGTGTCTTGGTCAACAAGAACCCCCAACTGCTTCAAGAATGCACTGACGGCCCTGGCATGAGCTGTTCGAGAGAAGCTTTCCAGAAGTTTATCGACGACAAGACTCAGAGATTCTCAAACTTCTCCGAGGAGTGCGGTGTCACTTACAGCAACTCTACTAATGCGTTGACCATCTACAACAGCTCTTAGGTGTGTGCGCTGCGCACTGCTTAGATTTTAATAATGAAATAATGTCTTAATGCTGATCGAATTATCTCTGTGTCTTCTGTAAAACCAAAGCAGTGAATAGTCGGTAGTTCCTGCCTGAGCCCGAATCGATTGTGGCGTCTCCATTGACGCGTCCCCAAACAAATCCATTTCCATTCTGTTTTCATCAGTTGCGCCTGCAAATTAATTATTACATCAAGCGACTTGGGTCATGTCACGCCAACATTCACCATGCGCATCACTCTGCGACTCGCTCTGCGCTTTGTTGGCATCATCGCGGTGATGGGCATCCTCGTTCTGTCCTTCTCGCAATCAAACATCGCGTACAAAGCATTGAATAATCGTCTCTCAACGTACAGAACAACCCTGTCTTCATCACAACCAACGATAAATACCACTCAACCCATCAACTCTGTGCAGGAACTATGGACCGTTTGGGCAGAAGTCTACAAAGCAACCCGGCCTGATGCAGCCAAGCTTGAACTGATGTTCAATGCAGCCAATCTGCCCGTCTCCGCTGATGACCACTCATCACGAACACAACACAGAGAGCAACTCCAGGCTCTGGACTCTATACCGGCATTGCAGACTGCCCACAGCAAATTTGTCTCAACACTAAGATCATGGCCAGACCACCTTGCCGAGCAAATCTTCAATGGTACGGGCGTCGTGATTGTAGGCGGAGGCGAGTACTTTGGTCCAGCAATCATTGGCATACACATGCTTCGTCGCAGCGGCAGTGATCTACCTGTCCAAGTCTTCGTGGCCGACCAGTCTGAATATGAGGATGAACTGTGCAAAGACTATCTACCCAAGCTCGGCGCAGAGTGTCTGATACTCTCAGATTTTGTTCAAGACTTCAAAGTCACGCACTATCAACTCAAGTCTCTGGCTATGTTGCTCAGCTCATTCGAGCATGTCCTATATCTAGACAGCGACAGTATACCCCTGCTGAACCCTGAGACAGAGCTCTTTGCAACAGAACCATACACTTCTGCGGGACTGGTCATCTGGCCTGACTTCTGGATCTCTACAGAATCTCCTTCCTTCTACGATGTTGTCGGAATTGGCACAATGCCACCGAGTCTACCCAAGTCGTCTTCCGAAGCAGGTCAACTTCTCATCAATAAGCGAAAACATCTCAAGACTCTATTGCTGGCGAATTATTACAATATCTATGGACCTGATTTCTATTACCCACTTCTCAGTCAAGGTGCGCTTGGTCAAGGAGACAAGGAAACATTCATGGCAGCCGCAATGGTGCTCAACAGCTCATACTACCGCGTCAAAACAGGAGTCAAGTCACTCGAACGTAACACTGGATATGAGGACAAAGGCAGTGCCATGGTTCAGTTCAGCCCCTCAGATGACTTGAATCGACAGGACGGAGACAAGTCCACAAAGCTCAGAGCTGCATTCGTGCACGCCAATACCCCCAAAATGAATGCTGGGCACCTGGTTGATGAAGGTGATCTTGTAAGCATTGTCGACCAAAAGCCGCTGCGTCTGTGGGGCTCTCGAGACGAGCAGATAGAAACGTTCGGCTTGGACCTCGAGAAGACGATTTGGGAGTTGATCGTACAAAATGGTTGTGAGTTGGCCGATGTGATCCGAGAGTGGTCTGATCGCAACGATTTATGTCGTCGACTGAACGAACATTGGGATGCTCTCTTCAAAGACAATATCTGACCACCTCCTGTTGGTCGACATGCTCAGTATATCAGATGCGATAGGTGCCGCCATTCTGATGGAACAGCAGATGTTTGTTTGGGAGTGTCCTTAGCTTCCTCAGCCCACTTACTGCTTGCGACCAGAGCCGAGCCAATTTGGCTGCTATTGGGGACACGAAGCTGCTGACATATCCAGTCACCAATGTTGGCAAGTTTGGCGAGATCCACTCCAGTATTAATGCCCATGCTCTCGAAGCAAAATACGAGATCCTCTGTCGCGACATTCCCTTTAGCTCCAGGGCTATATGGACAGCCACCAAGACCACCGACACTGCTGTCGAATGCCCTTATACCCAATCGATAGGCTTCTTTCACATTAGCAATGGCTTGACCAAAGGAGTCATGGAAGTGTCCTGCGAGTTTATCGGCTGGTATCTCCCTTAGTAGGACTTCAAGCAGTCGACGAATGTCTTGCGGTGTTGCTGTTCCTGTCGTGTCACCAAGACTGATCTCGAAGCAACCCATCTCAAGCATCTTCTTTGCCATCTTGAGCACTACTATTGGCGATGTTCTGCCGTCATATGGACAGTCGACCACGCAAGACAGATATCTGACAAGTCAGCAATGTCCTCAAAGCATTATGGTTCAACCTACCCTCTCACACGGACATTCTTTTCCCGGGCTCGCTTGACGACACTTTGGGCTCTAATAAGCGATTCTTCCACGCTGCAGTTGATGTTGTTGCGGCTGAAACCTTCAGTGGCCGAGAGAAAGATACCGATCTCTTTGACATCGAGCGCTAATGCTGCTTCCAGTCCTTGAATGTTTGGGATCAGCACCGGGAATGAGATGTCTCCCTTTGCGACTGACAACTTCATGCTCTCCATTACAGTCTTCGCATCTGACAATTGAGGTACCCATCTTGCTGACACAAAAGACGTGGCCTCGATTGTCTGTAATCCGGTCTGGGCAAGTCTGTTGATAAGTTCAATTTTTGTCGCCGTCGGTACTACATCTTTGATGTTTTGTAACCCATCTCGTGGCCCGACTTCCACTATTCGAACAGCATCTCCTGACATATTGAAAGTCGGTATGAGTGAATTGGGATGCGGGTACAGGACTGATCGGGTCCCGAGAACAGACTGCACCTCGACCTTATACAAAACATCCCGCAAAGCTGAGACATAACGTCAGACCAACATGACTTGATCTCATACCGAAGAAAAATAGCAACTTTTCGGGATATTGAGAGTATTATCCGAGGGTCACTCACTACCCATGCGCGCCCCGGACTCGTCGGTGCCACCCCCATCCGGGTTCTCGAAAGGTCTTGGCATAATAGCGGACCTCGGCTCCTCTTCTACAAGCAAAAAGGCAGACTTTCACATGTTCGTACCGAACAATAAGCAAAGAGGATACAGCCATGGGGTATGCGACTTGATATCAATAGGCTGAAGAGTTGTAAGATCTTTGTCGTCGGGCTGTAGATCGCGGACTTTGAGGAGGAGTTGCAGAATCCATCATCATGCATCTACGATCGTTCATTATAAGTCGCTAATACCAATGACGAGGGAGACGATCTGGCGGTGTTCAATCGTGCGACAAAGAGTGAAGGAGCCCGGATAATAGAGAAAGCACGATCCCGTGATCGAAAGGAGAAGCACAATGATGTATCGGACCAAAAAGAGGAAGGAACGATACATGCAAGGCATTCCTGCCGTTATTAGACATGGCTGCGAGAATGATGACATTCATCAGGAGCTGCAACGACGTCTTGAGCCTTTCCAGATTGCCTCTCAGAAGATCCAGCTTCGGTTCGATAAAAGGCCAAGTGATGACATCTCTTTTTCTACGGCCTGTCGCGCTGTATTCTGGAAGTGTGCTCTGTATCTTCGTGAAGATTTCCCGACATTGTGCGATGGTGTCCTGGATAAGTCTGACAGCATCATCTTTTATCATGGCTCTATTCGTGTCATCTTGAATAGTCGTATCGAGAGTCTGAACAACCTGGACAGTGAGATCGATGTCTGTGGAGATGGCCTTGATACGTCCTTTTGAGTCGAGTGCTGAGCCAGCGTATTGGTTGAGGCCTTGGAGGAGTTGTATGCCGAGACTAGCGAGACCGGCCACCGAGACGGCTATGGAGAATGGATCCGCCATGGAAGCATATCTGTGTGCTAAAGTATGTAACGTATGTGACTAGACAATGATAAATACTGCCAGGGGAGAGGACAGTGCCCACCGAGGAAGCGACAACCAACCGGCTCTTTGTTGAGACGTCTCTGCCTCCGAAAACAATCGTGCCCTGTTGTAGTGTATACTTTGCTACATGCAATAGTCGGAGTACGATGGAAGATCAGAGTTTAGCTTTTGAGAAGGTTGTGTGGAATCAATCGAAGAAACCGGTGAGTCGATAGAAAATGAGTTCTCAAATGCTTCCATGTCGTGGCTAAGCTTGAGGTTGTGGGATCTGCGGCTGCATGATCAGGCAGTCTGACAAGGCACTTTATGCAAGCTGAGTGATTGGGCAGTCGCGACCCATGCAAGCATAGGCGCTACGTGTATCCATGGGGCAAGAAAGAGTGACAACAGTGGGGATGTCAGCGATTACTGGTCACCTGGTTGGTATAATGTCGACATTGTATATGCCTGTGGTTGATAGCAAGAGACGGTCGTGTTTAGACCATCAATCATCGTCGACAGAGTCCTTTTTGGTCACAAGCCTGTTCGCTCCTTCCGGCGAAGCTCTTGTGCTGCTTGGAAATTCCAGCATCCCTCCAGAGTGACAATAAACCCTTCGTGCTCCTGCGTGTTTTGTTAGTTGACAGTCTCGAGGGCACCCTGTCATACGGTCACGTGCAGCTTTGACTTACAGGACATTGGAAACCAGCAACCATGTCTGCTGTCCTCGATCCAAACATCACCAAGCTGGAGCACCATTCACATTTGCAGAGTCAAAGACGGAAGAAGTATTTTAGTTGAACGTAAAAAAGACATTTTCATTTCTAAAGCTCCAAAGCACAAGAATAAACATCAAATGCAACGAAAGCTATAGCTTGCAGACAACGATAAGAAAAGCGAATGCTTGAAATTTAGTCGTGCGTCCAAAGATGCCCTCCATGCGATTAGCATGGTCGGAAACACCCGTGGCGTTGTCTGCTCCCTTTCCCATCATACTTCATCCTAGATCAAGTCTACCCAGCCGCGTCCTAAATCGTGAAAGGGTATGCTCGAACATACTCCTGAGATGCTCATGCGGGTATCGGAAAGGCTTCTCATCACTCGTTGATGGAAACCGCTTAGAGCTTGTCGTAGTAGTTCTCGTAGCCGGGAACCTCGGGCTTGAGACCCTTGCGCTTGCGCATCTCCTCGGTGACTTGACCGGGCATGGTGGTCTTGTCGAGAGGAGAACCACCGGGGAGGACCTGCCAGTGGTCGAAGACCAACTGGGGGAAGGCCTGACCGGAGGTGGCGGCACGGAGATCGGCGTTGAAACCGAAGGACTCCTTGACGGGAAGGTAGGCCTTGATGTTGAAGAGGGGAGTTCCGGGACGCTGGGCCTCCTCGAAGACGTGACCACGACGGCGGGTAAGGACCGAGTAGATACCACCCATGGCCTGCTCGGGGACCTGGATCTCGACCAAGAAGACGGGCTCGAGAAGAGCGGGGTCGGAAAGGAGGACCGAGGCGTACAGGACACGACGAGCGGTAGGGATGACCTGACCACCACCTCTGTGGATGGCATCGGCGTGGAGGGTAACATCCTGGATGTTGAAGCGGATAGAGCGCATGGGCTCCTCGGCAACGGGACCTTCCTTGGTGGCCCACTGGAAACCAGAGACAACGGAATCCTTGATTTCGTTGAGGTACTGGACGGCCTTGGTCTGGTCAACCAACAAGTTGGCACCGTTGGTGTCGGGACCGAAGCACCAAATCTTACGGGCATCGGTGACATCCCAGCCGAAGTCGTCGGCGAGGATACGAGCACGAGCCTTGAAATCGTCACGGGGGGTGATCTTGCCGTTCTCAATGGCGAGCGAGACCTCCTCACTGAGAGGGGTGGCGGTCATGTAGATACGGTTGTGCTTGTTGGGCGACTTGGACAGGGCAGTCATGGAAGAGTCACCGGCAACGGTCTCACGGTACTGGACGACGGGGTCCGAAACACGGAGAGGAACACCAGCGTGGTCCTCCTCGAGATCCTTAAGACAAATCTCGAGATGGAGCTCACCGGCACCAGCAACGACGTGCTCACCGGAGGGGGTGATGTAGGTCAAGACACAAGGGTCAGACTTGGACAGACGCTTAAGACCTTCGACAAGCTTGGGGAGATCGTTGGCGTTCTTGACCTCAACGGAGCGCTGGACGACGGGGGAGACGGAGAACTTCATGACCTTCATGTTGTGGGCAGTCTCGGAGGTGGTGAGGGTACCAGACTTGAGCAAGAACTGGTCAATACCGACGAGACCAAGAATGTTACCAGCGGGAACATCCTCAATGGGCTCGGTGTAACGACCCATCATGAGAATGGTACGCTGGATGGACTTGACGAACAAGTCCTCCTTCTTGCCAGGGGTGTAGTTGGGGCCCTGGATGCGGACCTTGAGACCGGAGCGGACGGTACCGGCGAAGACACGACCGAAGGCGTAGAAACGACCCTTGTCGGAGGTGGGAACCATCTTGGAGACGTAAAGCATCAGAACACCCTTGGGGTCACAGTCGCGGATGGCGATAGCGGCCTCATCGTCCTGGGGACCCTCGTAGAGAGTCTCCATACGGTACTTCTGGGCAGTGGCGGGCGAAGGAAGGTGGAGAACCATCATCTCAAGAAGAGCATCAGCGGCAGGAAGGAACTTGCGCATGACGGTCTTGAGGAGCTGCTTCTGCTGGAGCTCCTTCTCCTCACCAGTGAGCTTGATGTCGAGCTTCTCGCAGAGCTTGAAGACCTCCTCGTTCTTGGCGTTCATGACGGAAGAGAAGATGCGGAAGATGGGGTCAAGGACGAACTGGTTGAAGGCACGCTCGGTGTCGTCGCCAGCAGTCTTGGTCCACTTCTTGGTCTTTGCGTTGAAGAAGTTGTCGCCCCACAGACGGTCCATCATCTTGTTCTTGTCAACACCGAACTTCTTGGCGTAACGACCAGCGAACTGGCGGATGGTGAAGGCCCAGCCGTGAAGACCGGAACCGAAGGCAACGGTACCCTTCTCGGGGTAGACCTGGACATCACCGAGAACCTTGTCGAAGTAGGTCGAGATGACGACGTTGACGGACTCGATGACACGGGAGAAGTTCTGGTACAGATCCTCCTTGGAGAGCTGGAGCTCGAGAAGAGCACGGTCGACCTTGTTGATGATGACGACGGGCTTGATACGCTCACCAAGAGCCTGACGAAGGACGGTCTCAGTCTGGACACAGACACCTTCGATGGTGTCGACGACGACGAGAGCACCGTCAGTGACACGGAGAGCAGCGGTAACCTCAGATGAGAAATCAACGTGACCAGGCGAATCGATCAAGTTGATCAAGAACTCGTTCTTCTCGGTCTTGACGGGAATGTCCTTGAGGTCCTCAGCGTCCTCAAGCTGGGCGAAGAGGGAGATGGCAGTGGACTTGATGGTGACACCACGCTCCTGCTCGTCGGGACGAGTGTCGGTGAAACGAGCCTCACCAGCCTTGGCCGATGAGATAATACCGGCACGCTGAACGAGAGAGTCGGTAAGGGTGGACTTTCCGTGATCGACTGTGGGTGTTGTCAGTATGCTGGTCAGGAGGATTTCGTTGGGCGCAGAAGCTTACCGTGAGCAATGACGGACATGTTACGGATGTTGATGGGCCTGCGCGCGCTTGTCAGTATGGCTTTCCATGGCGCTTCTGCTCATTGAATGCGCTTACGAGTCCATCAGACCGCGGATCTCCTCAACGGTGAACTTGACCATGTTGGCGGTGTTGTATGGGTATCTCTGTTGAAAAGTTTTGCTTGGAGGGCCCCGCTCTCAGTGTAGTGCGTCAAGCACTGGTGTGTGTGAAGATTGAAAGAGAGCCTGCCTGTACAAGAGATGTGAGCGACCGAAACAAGTTGGGCGACAGCGAGGGTAGGGGCTGACCTGAGACGAGGCGATGGAGTCGATGAAGGGGAAAGAGAGAGGAGGACAAGGACAGCTCGGGTTTGTCTGCTGGGAGAGGCAGGAATTTTGAGGTGGGGTTGTGCGTTGCGTTAGTGCGGCGGCGATTGGATGAAAACTTCGATCAAACGCACAGACACCAAATTCCCATCGCCTAACCACCCTATTATCCATCTGTAAAGAGTGCCATGGCAGCATCGCGGTGCCTACATACAGACACCCATCTAGTCTGTCATCTACCGTTCTACATCTCATGTACGTGTGTGTGTATATTGATGGTGCAACAAGCTAGAGTAGGCTAGCCAAGCTCTCACCTCGATAGCTCTCGAGCTTGTCTGACCGCCAAAGTCACCTCAGCTATCGCGACGTTAAGTTACTTTTGCCGAGCTCACCGAGCTTCATCCAGGACACCGCGCTCTGCTGACGTGTGGCAAACTTATCCTATTGTTCGGTGTCCCCACCAAGTGACCAGATGTTAATTCTCGGTCTCGTTAACTTGCTCTTCACGTCTACCAGCCGGACGGTCGAGGTCAGCCTCGATGAGCGAGCTTACCAAGCGAGCTTTGCTGCCCAACGATTGATCGACGGCTGGGCCCGTTGCGAGGCCAGCCATTCGCTGTTTGCCACTCTTCCATCTGCTCTGCTATCAACAACAGATACAATAATTAATGTTTAAGCTGTCAATACATGTGTCGAGACCTCGATTACCACGGCAATCTGAGGCGTATGGCACGGTGACAGTTCATTCATGTCTTGGTTCAAAGCACAAAACGAAGTCTGTACACCCGTCCGTTAGACTCCACAGTAGCAACAAGTTCAACATGCTCGTCTATCAAAATTATGTACAGTCTATTGAGCAAGTAGAAAAATAGGAAACCCCCCAAAAGTATAAACAACGAAATGTATTCATCCACACCCGCTCCGTACTAGATATCTTATGACGAACCCAAAATCCTCTCATAAGCATCCTCAACCTCTTTAGCAATCTCAAGCAGGGTCACAATCACAACTTGATGCGTGACATGAGGCAACCTCTCTCTATGCAGACCAATCCATTCGAGCGGCGGCGTAGCCTCGCCCATATCTCTCAGTTGAGGTGTCTCGATGATAGGAGGCTCGAGCGCAGTGTACTCAAACCTCAGTTGTGGAACATTGACAACAGCCGTGATCTTGCCTTGCTCACCAGGCGCCTTCGATTTGTCTGTACTGTCCGCCGCTGACGACTGTTCGTTGGCTCTGATCTTGACAGCAGATTCAGGCAGCGGTTTGCCGAGTCTGGACGCAAGAGTACGAGAATGCGTCTCCCACATTCCTCTGATGAAGCTGATGCGCGAGTAATTCCAACCAACATCGACTTTGCCCTCGAACAGACTCTTGAAGATGAAGTCAATATTGTTGGACTGAGGTCGCTGCCATGTCTGCATGGACGCGATGACTTTGGGCACTCGAAGGATAATTCCGCCTTTGGCGCCTGTGGCACTGCTTATCACCTCTTCGATAGAGATGTCTCCGAGCGTCTTGGGAACGCTGACTCTTTTGACTTGAGCAAGTGCTACTTGGAGTTGTCCCAAGGTCATACTGAGGTTGCTGTGCACGCGCTCGTCTTCCAGTCCTACCGCAAATCGTGCTTGGATTTCGGACGCTTCCATTTTGAGGATCTGATTGTCGAAGAAGGTACTTGGGAATGCGCCAAAACAGACGGACTTCAGCATCACCATGACATCGGTGTTCAGAGTGATTGGGAACTTGCTCTTGCTTCTTTCCGTGGTGTGTCTTCGTATAGGTGCTGGTGGCGAAGGGTCTGACTTGATGTGTGTCTTGTTCACAGAACGTCTCCTCAGCTGCTTGTCAAGATCACCCATTGATTGAGTGTAAGCTGTTCGTTTCTCGTGAATCAGGCGATCGAAGGCCTGGTACAGACCGACAGCTTGAGCCGGGCTAGTCGCCGTGCAGAAAACGTACACCTTTTCGCCCTCGAGGATGGCTTTCAACCGATCTGGAGCATGGGGGCCGTCCCTCACATTGTACATAAGGAAGTTGAAAGCCTCAATGTCAGCAAACGCGAAAGGTTGGTAATCCAGAGCAGTCTTTGCTGTGATCCTGCCAAAGCCAATCGCAGCCTGGATCAGAGGGGCTTTATGCTCCTGTCGATCGGCACTTGGCCATTCAATTGACGTCCGTACAGACACATCACTCAACTCCACAAAGCCACTCATGCGACCCGTACTGTTGATGCTGACCTCGTCCACACCAACACATAGGTCTTGCTTACATGTAGAGGACTTTTTGGACGAGGCCCAGAGGTTCTTGATGCTTAATGATGATTTGCCTATACTTTGACCCAAATCGAGGTCGACCGCAAGCTCAGCAACAGCGACTGTAGCATTCCAAGGGAATGCAGCAGCAGCACTGACTTGCTGATACCTCTGCACAACCATTTTGTCAGACTCTTGAGTTGGAGGCTCGGCAGGCGTTTCACTCGTATCCCGCAACTCTGGTGGGAACCAGATCTCTCGGAAGAGAAGAAGGTCTTGGATTTGGCGCACATTCAATGCAGTCCTGGTAGGTGACACTTTCAGAACCATCGAGACACCACTGGAACCGCCAGTCAAGTGCCTGCTGTTCATAAGTGACATTGATATCGATTCCATGTCAAAGCTGAAAGTCGACTCTCGCGAGTAGACATGCTGTACGGAGGCACCAAGCTTAGTCACTGTCGCCGACAGAGCGAAGAAGTGTCCAAACTGATGAGAGTTGATCGTGCTCATGGTAATGTAGATGTCTTCGATCTGCGTTTTTGCATTGACGCGAGCCAGTGGTTGACAACTTAGACCAAATTCTTGCTTGCAGATTCGTAGTCCCAAATTGAGTTTCATCTGACCTAGGAGCTGGCTTGGGTCAGAGGTGAGTAAGGAGTCGTCCTCACCGCGAAGTCTTTGGAGCTTCAAAGCTTGCTCCTGTGCAATCTTGGGAGTAGAAGGAGTTTTGCGTTCCTCCTCGCCATGCCTGACGACCTCCTTCACACCATGTGTGATTTGAAGAATGATAGGTACCAACTCTGGATAGACCGTATTGCTTGATGCATCGACCTTGATCTCTCCATTAAGTGTCTGCTCTTTCTCAGGCGCATTTGAGTACTCAATCTTGATGGCAATGCCTGGTGCTCTTAACGACGTAGCAATATTGTTGTCCTGTGAAGCGTGGCTATTTGCACGGTTGCGTTTGTATGGCAGTTCGACATGTGCAGGCCGAAGAGGTGTGTTCGATTGAGTAGGTGCATCTCCCTGAATGTAGAAGAGGGCACCCTTGAAATTGATATCGGCCTGAAGTGAGGCCAGACGTTTGTCACCAAACGGACTAGCTCGTGGCGTTGACTTGTTATCGTCGGGAGTTGCATCGGTCTGCCAATTCAACTTTGCAGCACGATATTGATCGGTTGCTGCAGATATGGATTTCTGTAGCATGCTGACGGGTACGACAAACCCTGAGTCCAGACGGATATCGAGAGCCTGACCAGCGGCTTGACACGCGATGCGTACACCATCTTTGCCACTTTCGTATCGGACAGTGAAAACAACTTCTGGCAGTAAAGCCGAATTTTCTGATCTTTCAAATGCTTTGGACTTCTTGGGTACAACTTGAACTTGCAAGTCTTGGATTGACAAGCGGGCTTCGTTCTGTTTTTTAATGGCAAGGTGTACGCGTTGAAAGGACACTTCCAGATCTTGAGGCTCTTGATTATTGCCAATCAACCGGTTTCTGATAACTACCCAGGCAATGCGAATCTTGCGCAGATCCAAGGAGAAGTCAAGAAGTGCAGGTCGTGCGGATGAGGTTTCGACCGCGGTCTCTCCCTCCTCCTTGATCGAGTCCGCTGCAGGTAGAGAAACGGACTTGTGTCGCTTGGCTCGAGAATGTCTCAGCCGCCTGAGATACTCAACCTCTTTCGAGAGATCAAGATCTAAGATTTTGCGGTGTACGTGTGTTACAATATCCACAATGGTTGACGCTGTATCAGCATAAGCGAAGACATCAAAAGACTCACTCCGTGCTTTGATATCGCGTGTGATCGGCCCGGTTTCGGGTTCATGAGTGCAGCAATCCACTGCTACACTAACGGTAACATGGCCACAGGGACGACGCTTTCCATCCTCGATCAGAGTCAAAACAGCACCAATGTCTTGTATGCTGCCGCGTATGTCAGGGAACGAGTTACTTGCTTTACGAGCCTTGTTCGTCACCATCGCCTGCACAGCGCCAAGACCGAACGTCAACTCGGCACGAGCCTTGCCAGCTGTGAGCGCAGGGGCGATTGCAGCGACCTTGAAGCCAGCCAAGGTTGTGTTGACATCATATACAACCATTCGAGACTCTCCAGGCACTGCCTTGGGTTTAGAATCCTTCTTAGCTATCGGCAATGTCTCCTCTGCTCTCATACGTAGGTCTGATATCTGGTCTCTGATGGCTTCAAGAACACCTTGCACCTCAGGTCTGTTCAGGATTGTCAAAACGCTTTGAACAGCAGATGCGTCCAACAAGATTTCTTCCATTATACCGGTAAATTTGATTCTGATTTCTCTCTCGGCAAGCTCGAGATTTAGAGTACTGCTGGCAGGTGGAGTATGGAAGACAGCTCGTTGTCTTCTTGAGCCAGTCTCTTTGCGTACCAAGGCTTGTTCCATGGCTCCAAGATGAAGTTCAATAGACCAGGCAGGATTAGAACCAGACATGGGTCGAACACGAAGGTTTGCAGTATCTCCTCGCACTGACAGGTTGAGCGCTTGGAGCAATGCGACATTCAAAGAGAATGAGCCAGCCAAGAAAGCTACATTCAGCTTTAGTTCGCGCTCGGGTTTCGATTCGCCTCGACTGGCCACACTCTTCTTTTGTTCTTTCTGTATGTGCTGCTGGAACCGCATGATGTATGCTACTTCATCGATCAACAATTGATCGACTACTTCAAGAAGCCCTAATACCTCCTGTTCCAGCGAAATATGCAATTGCTCGTATGATCCTCCGACGTTGATGGCGGTTGTGTGTTCTCGAACCGTCTGTTTGACATCGATATAGATGCTCGGTGACACAAGATCTGTACGCCACACCCTTTGGTCCGAGCTATGCAGTTCGGTAAACGCCTTTCTTGCTGAAACGAGGAGACTGATGCACTCGCCATAATCTTGAGAAGCCTTGTCAGACCCTAGCAAAGACAGCTTGAGATTGTTGCATGTGGATATATGCCTCAAGTTGATTGTATTCAGCTCGATGCTGCCTTCGTCGGTAGACAAAACAACATGGAAATCTTGCCTGAATGAAAGATCTTCCAACGCTTGCTTCTTTGGAGAATCTGGTAACGAGTCGAGCGTGTGACTGACTTGTTCGAAGTAGATGTCAATGAAGGCATCCACTTGCTCCAAAATATCCCAATTGAGTCGGAGTACCGATGCCGCGGTGTGGGCTTGGAAGACAGTTTTGGATCTTAGGTTCTCCTCCACGAGCATGAGCCCAGAAGGCAAGCTTGGGGGTATGGCAGTAACCCCAATAGACAGACTGCCAAGAGAAACCTCACTAGATGCCTTTTCTGACTCGACAGCGATACGTACAACGCCAGCGCGCATAGTGAGATCAAGTGGCTCGATCTCTTCTTCCGGTAGCTTGGTTTCGGTGTCACCTAAGAGAAGCTTGAAGACCTGAGTGTGTTCTACGTTTGGAATGTCCCAACTGCACCACGCTGCCCAAGTTTCGAGGATTGACGATGTCTCCTTCAGTTCGTCATTACCATCCACAAGCTGGTGTTCCAGATCGACGTGGCTCTCATCTGACAAACACTCGTATATGTGCCGGAAGCGAGCAACAATCTTCCACGACTCTTGGTTGCGGAAGTGATCTGGGAAAGCGCGAAGAACATAGGTCATGCGTGAAAGATATGGAGGATCAGAGGAGACATCGGCATGCTCAGTGAGGTAGTCAGTCAAGCTTCTCAGTCGTGCTTTTGAACCAATCTCGACTGCATCAGCTTGCTTCTGAATTTCAGCACCAATAGCAGCATATCGAGAGAACACAGATGCCAGATAGTCTGCTTGGTTACCTGAGATCACACCCAGAAGGTCTCTGAATGACACATGTACTGACTTGGACTTGGACAGAACCATCCAGATCAAAACATCATCAAACCCAAGGCGGATTGCATAATCGGTTGTCACACTCTGCTCCAGAGGGTTCGAGAACTTGGCGAGTGCAGATTCCAAGGTCAGATGCATTGTCAGCGCGGTCCCCATCTCAGTCTCCGCGATAGGCTTGAAGCGAAGTGTCAAGTTGAGGTGGCTTAGGCCAACGTCCAGCTGATCTTGCACCGGCACAGCTGTCTTTCGACTCGTGTCGAGGTTTTGATCGTTGAAAAGTCTTGCGTCAATGCTAGGTACAATCAAGTTCAACTCGACGATACCACGGCGGCTCTTCTTCTGATCCTGGACTTGTTGCACTTTTCCCATGACATCCATTTGGAAGGTATCAATCACATCTTCAGAGCGTTTTGGCTGCAAAGCTGTAACAATATTCACGATGGTCTCGCTTATGCGAGGCTCAACGTAGATGCGTATACCAGGAATCATGCGAATCATGAACGTTTGTCGATCCAAACCTCCATCCTGATCCAAATTCATGCTCAAACCACTCTGCGAAGAAGTTTCGGACACATCGTCGGCTTCATCATCGAGCGTTGAAAATTGAGGCACCTTACTCAGGTCGGTAGAAACATCGAGATTTCGAGGATCTGGAACGGAGAACGGGCTCCATAAGCCCCCGGTACCGAGAGGTTGAGAAGACGTTGAGTTCGAGTAGTACATTGCTGGGCGGGAGTGATCCACATCATCGAGATCTCCTTTGGGAAGGGCCTTTTGAGTGAAGGTTTGGTTGATAGATGAACTTGAGCTGATGGATGACTTGAGGGAACCGTCGGCTGCAAAACTCATCTTCATAGAACCTTTTGCAAGAGGATCAGGAAGCTTGGGAAGCGCCATGGAAGGTGGATCCGGTAATGTTTCTTGCTCTTCGTCCTGTGAGTTTTCCTCACCAGCCAGTGTCCCATTGCCCGCCAACAGAAACTTTGCTCTGCCAGTTCTTACATCTTGTTGGCGGATATGAGTTTGTTGCTTCTCACGCTCAGAGTTGAAGTGCGCTTTTCTTTGTACCATCGACATATCGAGGCTTGTTTGAAGAAAAGCGATGCACTTTGCTGGACGCACGTCACCACGAGATCCTCGATGAGCCATTGAATTTGAGTCGACACATGTTGCGGTGATGTTCGGGATCTGGAGGTGCAAACGAGAGGAGAACAGACCATCAGCACGATCGTTTTGATTGAGGGTAACGGGTTCCGTGTATAAACGTATGGCGGACTTGCCTTCATCGAGCCATAGGCATACAGAACCTGTCTTGAGTCGTAGGAAGACGGCTTCTGGTATGTCCGCAGTTTGTGCCAGGGGTAAAGCATTCTCAAGATCAGCGAGCGCAAAACCCACTACTCGTCCAGCTTTGGCTAGATGATGTACAAAGTCGAGCGAACACTCTCCTGACACATTACCAAGACTAACATCCCAATTTGAGACGTATGCGGGTTCGGTTGGCGGGAGACCAAATAAGCGATGGCCAGTAACGCTTGCACTGTCCAGAACGATCTGTGGAGAAGAATCATCGAATTCATCCTCGTCATTATGTATACCAGACCAAGATATAGACACCGGGCTGACGTCCACTGCAAGATCGAGATAATAGTTGGCTACTCGAAGATCCATCGAAGCTACAGGTAACTCAAGCTTGATATAAGTCTCTGCCGAGTAGAGATTGGCTGGTAGCAGTATGATGGGATGCTCGGCAGTGATGCAAAGAACAACGTCGAGATCATTAGCAGGTCTGAAGGCAAACCTACCGACCATATTGGTCTCAGCATTTGCAGCATCTGACCCAGCATTCTGATATTCTTCAAGAGTCTTGAAATGTAAAAATTCTCCAAAGTAATTCTCTTTGACGTTGATAAACATGCGTACCAGGTAACCGAAAGCCTGGAGTTCCAGATCTGTTCCGCATATGTCCATTTGTAGCATGTCTATCAAACCTGGCGCCTGTTCGACAAAAAAGGTGTGGCTGCCACCAAGTGTCAGCTTCTTCAGAGTTGCAAGCCGTTTCTGCCGTAGAAGACTGTGCAACGTGATACGAGGAGGATTGCTGATATCTAGAGACATGTCTTTGGCAAGAACATCGAACTTTATATGGTTTTGCGCCGGCCTGTACTGATCAATAGGTATTTCCAGCATGGCGTGGAGCTCTTGGCCGTTGAGAACGAGGAAGTTGTTGTCCTCAAGATCTGATGGATCGTTGACGATGTTGGCATCATTGGCATTGAGGAAGAGTTTGAAGTTCTTGAAGTTGATGTCCAGGGAATATGAGAATGGGACAAAGGTGTAAAAATCGGGTGGTGGTCCCATACCCCAATCAGCGATAAGATCAGTCAGCAAGAACATGTGATCGCGTAGCATGTATAGGTCGAGACCGTCACAGTGAATCTTGAAGAGCCATTTACGCAGAGCGTTCCATCGCAAAGGATTTGAAAGATCTCCTTCGAGCAAAAGGTTTCCCGATTTCCACAACATGGCGTGGTTGACGCTGGACGATATCTCGGTGCCTTTGACGTCGAGACTCAATGTGTTGTGATAACCATCTTGGCGTGCGTACATGTCCATCGCATAGTTGATGGTGGTATCAGCAGCCACTTTGACGTCCATCCAACCAAAAGGACGTATGTCAGCACCGGTGACTTGTGACTCTTTCTTGAACCACTTCTTTGATCCTTTGCCACGTCGCTTACGAACTCCAGTGTCAGTGGTATTGTGCGCACGATGTCCTTCGGCGCGGCCCTGCCATTTCCAGTCTTTTGATGCTTCGCGTGTTGGGATGCGAAGAGTAATATCACTTTCCAAGCAGAAGAAGAGCTTGAATACGGTGGCAACTCTATTTTGGTCAACAGTGAGGCGCTGTGCAGGGACAGCATCATGATATGAAGCAGGAAAGAAGATATTTTGCAGGGACATTCGTTGTCTATCAGCCCAGGGACCATAGTTGATAATGGCGCCGTCGACTGACAGATTCAAGCCATACTCAGGTGCGGATGAGCCATTGACTTCATCATAGAGATTAGACTGACCAGGGAGCTGAGATTTAGAGACCTTTCCTGGAACATCCCAGTAGAAGTTCATGCTCGCTTTCTTCACATCTGCGATATTGGAGAATCTAGCGTATTCAACACCATCCCATTCATTGTGTTCGTTGCCTGTCTCGTCCAGGTAACGTGCAAGACCTTGCCATTGTGCTTCACCAGGTAGCTTGGCTGACTCTCCATCAAAGATCTCGTCTTCACTAAGCAGCGATGCAGTCCTGACAGAACGCTTGGAACTACGATGCCACGTGAAGAGCCACGTAACAAAATGCAATAGAGCACGCAGAATTTTACCGGTTCGTCGTATCGGATGAAGACCAAACATGCGACCTTTCTTGGCTGTCGGATCTTCGTCCTTATCCAGGCGCGCGGCTGCCTGCATCTGGGACATTTGGTAGTCTGTATTTGGCTTGAGGGCGACATTGATATCGTGAAAATCAAAGTTGAACATGAGCTTGTAAAGATCCAAAGCACCCGCTTCATCGGCATCGATCCTTCCATTTGCGTTTTCCAGCTTGGCAGTAAGTATGCTCTGAGTGAACTCATTACCGACAGCAGCAGCAGCTTTCTTGCACTCGACTTGGATGGGAAATAGTCTCAAAAACGCTGGAATGGCACTTTCATGGGTAGTGGTCCTACTTGTGGTCCTGCTCACGGTCTCGGCCAGAAGGGATTCGTCAATGCTACTTGGTGTTTCCTGACGGTCCAGACCATCTGCTGCCGTGGGCTTTTCCTGTGTTGGATCCATTACGGGTATATCTGCGCTTGGGACATCGGGATCCTTTGTGCGAGCCGTGTTCTGAAGGTTGGCGATTATGTTGTCGTAGACAGGAGACTGGTTGTACAAGAAAGCCTCAACACCCTTGACTTTGACAAAGATACGACAAGGGAGTTCCCGTTGGCGATTTTTGTCGGCAGCTTCAGCCCTTCCCACGCTCTTACTCCTGGGTCTGGCTTTTTCCTGTGAACCATCGGAGCTGGTGTTGTCGGTATCGAACGAGTCGTAGCGTTGAGAGACCTTCTGCATGATCAGTGGCTCTTGAACCTGGCGCAGCCAGTATCGCCAGGTGATATTTCCATCGTGAACGAAGACTGTTTGATTGTGACCATGGTATCGAATAGACTTGAAGAAGAGACGACCTCCTAATGGCGAGAGCTGAAACGAAGTGATGTCGATGTAGGCGCGATATTTGTGCCAGGTCCAGGCGCGAATGCCATATGATATGATGGTCGAAACAGTGCGATTGAAGTAGAAGATGAAGAAGAGTGCCAGAATACCACAGACAATCAGGTCGACGAGAAAGAGCCAGTTGAAGCCGCCTTGTTGACCCAAAGGCGTCGCGGTAAGGCCGTTGTTTGCCATGATCGCTTAGTGAAAGATCGGACTACCATGATGCGCCTGAGAAAGACATCCGGTCAAGGGAAGTTGTCGTCTTTGGGAAGTCGCTGTTCCTGTTTCAGTCTGGCCGAAATGAATAATAATGGGGAAGGAGCGCGCGGAAGCTGGGCGTCATTGCAGCGGAAGGCGCGATTGGCGGCGGGAGCCATGTACTAGCCGTTGACATCGCGACAAGCAGTTTCCATCGTGATAGCAGCGGCATAGCAACTGTTGACATCCCGATAGCAACACAATCTAGAACGTCGAGTCCTGCAGCGGTGAGCAGCAGCCTGCAGCAAAGAGCACGCGCGTGTTTTCCCCACCGAAAGACGTTTGAGTTCGACCGTTTGGCATATGACGGTCTTTCTCCAGGCACGCATATTCCACGCCTGCACCTGTCTGATTGTCTGATCATCTTACCCAACAGCCCGCAGCTATGCTCTGTATGACTAGGTAGATTGCCAGAACATGGAGCACGATCTACGTGCAACCACGGACTCCCCTGTCTTCACCATGGCAGGCAGTACTGGAGGCACAGGCAATCGATTCGCCCGCGCTGTCACCATTGTTGCTGGTGTTGCTGCTTTGGTCGCTACCATCTTGACCTTCCTGTATGTCTCCTCACCGTACACCCTAGCCCTGCTTTTTGCTCCGACCACTAACTTTCTACCTTAGATCGACATGGCTCCAAAGGTACGCCTTATCGCAAACAACCCTGACCGCAACCAAGTCCTGACTCGTCTAGCAAAAACTATCGCAAGCCGCTCCTGCAGCGCTATGTTATTCGCATCTTGATCATGTCCGTCTTGTCTTGTCCTCTTGTCTGTCCTTCTTCTACTCACCAATGTCAGGGTGCCCATCTACTCGGCCTCGTCATGGGCAAGTCTCGTCTCCCTCAAGGCCGCCTTCTGGATTGGACCCTTCCGTGATGTCTACGAAGCCTTTACTCTCTACGCTTTCTTCCAACTCCTGATCAACTTCCTCGGCGGTGAGCGATCTCTTATCATCATGATGCACGGCCGAGCTCCAGTCTCGCATCTTTGGCCCATGAACCACTGTCTCCCCAAAGTCGACATCTCCGATCCTCATACCTTTCTTACCGTCAAACGTGGTATCCTGCAGTATGCATGGATCAAGCCCATACTTGCCATTTCGACCATTATCATGAAAGCCACCGGCACATATCAGGAAGGTTACATTGGTGTTACGTCTGGCTACTTGTGGAGCGGAATAATATACAACATTAGTATCACCTTGAGTCTCTATGCTCTTGCTCTGTTCTGGGTCTGCATGTCACAGGACCTCAAACCTTTCCGTCCCATGCCCAAGTTCTTGTGCATCAAGGGCATTATCTTTGCCTCGTACTGGCAAGGCTTCTTCCTCTCTATTCTGGTCTGGTTGGGAGCCATCCCAGATGTCAGCTCAGAATACTCGGCAGATAATGTTGCCGCTGCCATTCAGGATGCTGCCATCTGTTTTGAGATGCCCATTTTTGCCATTGCGCATTGGTATGCTTTCTCCTGGCACGATTATGCCGATCGAACCATCTCGGACGCTCGCATGCCTGTCAAATTTGCTCTGAGGGATGCATTTGGTCCTCGCGATCTGATCGAAGATGCCAAAGAAACCTTCTACGGCACCAAGTACGAGTATCGATACTTTGATGCTGAAGACAACGTTATTGCACACGAACAATCTGCGTCACGTGCAGCCCGAATGAGGGAGGGTATGCGTTATGGAAGAGGAGGCAAAGGCAAATACTGGCTACCAGAAAGAGGTCATGCCGATGCAAAAACCCCTCTGTTGGGAGGTCACAGTCGCGCACGTACAATGAGTCCTGGAGGTGGTGGCAAGTCTCCTTCACCTCATGGCTCCTTCAGGTATGGTGCACAATCACCACCAGAAGAGCCCGAGCTGGACGCCGAGGAAGAACAGCTCTACAGCAGCGCGAGGGCATTGGAGTTTGGTGATTGGAATGTGAGTTTGTGTCAACGATTTTATCATCAAGCCCAAACTAACAAAATTAGTATCCTGTCATCAACACACACTACGCCAACAGTGATGACAGATTACGAGCCGATCCGGAGATCATCACTGCTTCGACCAATCGTCAGCTCTTGCAACCAGGTAGTAAGAACTACCGCGAGAGGCGGAAAAGCAGAATCCACGACCTTCAGGAGAACGCTCGCCAGGGCAAGCACCGCGAAAGTGCTAGTAGCAGTCGCTCTAAAGCCAAATCATCGATACCGGTCATTGGCAGTCTGCTTCGACACGAATCATCAGAATCAGCCGTGACGGTGGAGTCTCAAAACAGTCAATTGGTTGATCTGATTGTGGAGGACCACGAGGCAGAAGAGGTCGAACGTGTTAGAGCACGCAAAGAGGGTGGGCCCGGATGGAATGAGATTGAGCAGAGACACTTTGTGTAAGTTGCACCTGTTTGTCTACCTTTGAACAAGTCTAACAAGGCTACAGTAAGACATACCCTGATGATGAAAATGCTCGCGAGGAGGTGAGAGAAGGATACAATCCAGACCGCCTTGACCAGGTCGACCAAGACGATTCGCACAATTTGAACGAACCATTCACGGTTGGCGATGACGAAGAAGATGAAGAGCCGCAGGATGAGCTCGATCGCGACCAACCTTGGGATGCTCGCGACCATGGAAGCAATGTCACATCGCCGCAACCAGAGTACGGAAGCTTTAACGACGAGAGGAATGCATGGGGAGGACGATAGTGTATGATATCAAGCATGTTTTTCCATATTACGCAACTGTTTCGATACCCTTGATTCAAGGTGTGTAAGACTGAAATTGATCAAGCCAATATGATGCACGGTTCAAAGTTAGGAAGAGCGCGAGGACAAAAGTCGCACATCTTGTCCTTGATGACGGAGATCGCTGTAGATTGCGGCATGAATTCCTCCAGATGCACATTGACTGTGGCTTGTGTAGAACTTTTTTTAATTTGTTCGGAACTACATGAGGTGTGAAAATATCGGCGAGAAAACCCAATCAAGGGCACGCGCGCCCCAATATTCCTAGCATTCTAGAGTCCTCTTTTTCTTTTCTCTCTTGCTCGATTCATTCTCCCTTGATGCTCCAATAGCTGTTTCGCTGCTTAGATCATAAGTCTCTCGACCTTGTCCTTGAGAGCGCGGATCTGGCCCATGAGGTCGGAAGCCTCGTTGGTGGTGATGGAGGCAGCAATGACGGCGCGGGAGACACCGCAGGCGCGGCCGAGAGCCATCTTGGAGGGAACGTAGCTGCAAAAGAGGATTAGCATGTGCTTTCGATGAGTCTTTGTGGGTGATGTGATGCGTACATGTAAGCGACGTTCTTGTCCTCGCAGAGCAGGGGAATGTGCAAGAGAATGGCCAGAGGAGCAGTGTCGGCGGCAAGAATGACAACCTCGGCGACACCACGGTTGAGAGTCTTGGTGGCCTCGTTGGCACCCTTCTTCAACTGGCGGTAGTGAGAGGCTTGCTGGACCAGGTCGAGGATGTTCTGGGTCAGGGCGGCGTCAGCGACGGGCCAGGCGGCGGAGTCGTTCTGCGACATTTTTGTTGTTGTTGGTGGTTGGTTGATGGGAGTCGTCTATGAAAATGGCTCGCCCGAAGGTTCCTTGCGGTTTGCTCGCCCGGGGTTCACGGCCGAAGGATTGGTTTGAGGTGGGTTGGATGTCAAGCAAGAAAGATCAGAAGCTGTCGCAAAAAGATTTGGTGCTGCCAAGACGTGTTAGGGCAGGAAGCCACAACGCGGCGGGCCGTGGGGCTGGGCCGAGACAAGTAGGGCAGCTTTCACATGTTTACAACCAAGCATTTGACAGCTTGCTTCATTCACTTTCAAACACAGCCATGGTAAGCATCAACTGAAGGGTGCATATTGAGTTCTATGTACTGATTTGATCTCGCGACGCAGAATTCACTCTTCAACTCTGCATTACGGCAATCCAACGCCATCCGCAAGGATCTCGACGCCTACGCCGAGTCAGCCACGACCTCGCCCGCTCTCCAGGGACAACTCACAACCTCTCTCACCTCCTTCAGCCGCACATTAGACGACTACTCAAGAAGCGCACAGCAAGAACTGGTCCCGGAAAAGGCACAGAAGGCTCAAGATCGCCTGACAAACTTCCGCGCCGAGCTTCTCGACTACCGCAGTCGCTTCGCCCTGCTCAAAGCCGAACACGAAGAGAAACTGCACCAGAACAACCGAAATGATCTGTTAGGCCATCGTCGACCGCATGGAGCAAACGCCACACCTGAGAACCCATACGCCGATTCTGCAATTGCCAGCTCTTCGCGCGATGCAGGCGCAAACCCACTGTTCCGCACACGAGACGGCTTTGTCAATACACCTACTGGTGCAGCGGGCTCAAACCCCTACTCATCGTATCAATCACCTTATGCATTGAGCACCGACTCTGGCGATCAAGCGCGAGAGAACCACGCTCTACGCGAACAAAACTTCTTTGCCTCGACGAATGCAACACTGGACGAATACTTGGAGAGAGGTCGCGCAGTCTTGGGCGACTTGGGCGAGCAGCGCGATATGCTCAAAAACACACAGAGAAAGCTCTACAGCGTTGCAAACACATTGGGCATCTCGGGAGACACGATACGCATGGTGGAACGAAGAGCCAAGCAGGACAAGTGGATTTTCTGGACAGGCGTGGTCGTGTTTGTCGTTTTTGTCTACTTTGTGCTCAAATGGCTGCGGTGAGTTGGGAGGTCAGGGCTGTTCCCCGGGTCATTGTTGGGTTCTAGATTAGCGAGGCGCTTGGGTCAATCAAGGTGGTTCGTATTTGTGAAAAGGATCGGCAATAGATGAGGCTCTGTCGTTGATGTATCATATCCTCTCGTTGCACTCTTCCCACAGTGTGATATACTTTGCCGTGCTACGTAGGAAGTTTGAATGGTTGCACGGCAACATGGAGAAGGCCAAACACTGCCCGCGGCTCTTGCAAACGGCTTGGCAGTGGCAGAAGGGCTAGAATCGCACGACCGACGTCATTAGCAACAACTCAAGTTCTTTATGATTTGACATTCTCGAGATAATGCCCATGTTTGCAGCGACGCGTCTCTGACACACCGACGTCGACCTCTCTGGCGACTCTCTCAGCTGTGTCAGTCCGACGGCAAACATGTCGGCGCCTGGACACGAAGCCCTCGTCGACACTTTGATCGACTTGGTTTCTTACGATGACCGTCCGACCTTGCTTCTCGACACCAGTACTTGTCGCATCCGCTTCTGCAATATCGCCTTTGATTCGCTACTGAGAGGAGCTGGCACCTCTATCGACCTCCAGTCATGGGCCGACAGCTTATGTGCCGTCGCAGCTCATGCTACTCACGAACCCATCGATCTGGGCACCTTTGCGCATCAAAATTGGCTGGGAAAGAGCTTGGGGAACTCGGTCATGACCGTCTTTTGCCGCTGGACATCTGCACCTGCCGCGCCTGCCGAGGATACTGTAATGCTGGACCGCCATCAACAATTCGACGAACCCAAAAGCCCCTCAGAACCACAAAAGCTTACCGAATTGTACATGGGTTGGTTGGAACCAAGAGACGATCCATGGATGTCCTATGTGAACAATTACCCCTTCCATGAGACCTCACTAGGCCCCGTATCCAGTTGGCATCCACACTTGCGCCGCGCCGTCCAAAGGATGATGATTTGTCCTGAATCCCGCATTCTATATTGGGGTGATGAACATGCATTGGTGTACAACGAAGCCGCCGTACCCATATTAGGAAAAAAGCACCCTTGTCTTGGTATCCCGTTAGCCAAGGCATTGGGAAGAGTCATTTTCGACCGAATTGACACGTCCATCCGAGCTGTTGTTGCATCTGGAAAGGCGCAACAAGTGAGGAACGAGATGGTCGAGCTAGACAGAAACGATTTTCCAGAGCAAACCTGGTACCGCTACTACCAACTACCAATTGTCGAACCGGATGGTCGCTATCTCGGATGTGTCTGCGAATTTACTGAAACCACTACCGCTATTGTGCAAGAGAATCGAGCAGCCACTGTCGATACATTTACCAGAAATGCTGCAAATGCAACTAATCTGAAGCAGCTTTGGCCTATCTCTCTGAATGCACTCAGCAAGACCTCAATTGATATCATTGCTGGTTCTGTATTCTCTGTCACTAACGCCGGAGACTCAACAACATCTCAATCATCATCAACCCCCGAAGACTATGTACTGGAGACTTCGTTCGGTGTTGCAAATACACAATCCAAGCTGTCTTCTACTATACTCGAGTCGCTCAATAGGACGTCTGACTACGAAAAGCTAATTGTCTTAAGACAAGACGATGGTTCGCTTCCTCCTGACCTTCAATGGAGCACTTCGGACCAGGGCAACATCAGGGAAATCTGCATCTTGCCTATCACAGATCTAAACAACCGCAGACTTGCGGTCGCTGTCTTTGGCATGAACCCTGGCAGACCCTTTGACAAAGAAAGCAGGTCGTTTGTCTCAAAGATAGGCGACCTCATCCGGGAAAGCGCCATCTTCGTCACTCTCCCCGAAGAACAGAGAAAGACCGCATCTATCACCTCAGCATTGTCTGACAAGCTACAAATTGCTCTTCTTGAGGCTGAAATGAAACAAGACTCATACGCTCGCATGGCAAGACAGGCTCCGATAGGCATGTACCTTCTGAGACCGGATGGATATCCTGTCTTTGTCAACGACGCATATCTAGATCTTCATGGTGTATCCCGAGCACAATTCTACAGGAGCGCGAATAGCGATCTCGGCTGGAACCCGACAGTACACGAGCCAGATTTAGGGCGGGTAGAAAAGATGTGGTTGGACACAATCAATGGGACAGCGCCTGTTCAGGAGGAAGTCCGTCTTAAAGCACCGGGCAGGGGATTCCCAGACGATATTCGGTGGGTGGAATCGATGAGCTTCGCGGAACGCGACAAGACCGGAGCCATCATGAATGTGCAAGGCTGGCTCCTCGATGTCAGCCCACGAAAGTTGAATGAACGTCTCGTTGGCGAAAAACTCCAGGACGCCCTTGAGAACAAGCGCGCGACAGAAACATTCTTGGACATGTTATCACACGAGATGCGAAATCCCTTGTCGTCGATCCTCCAGTTGGCAGATGGCATTATGTCATTGTTGGAGACTCCACCTGCGCCTGATACTGTTGAGTCTTTGAAAGACTCTGCTCAGACTATCACTCTCTGTGCCAGACACATGAAAACCATCATAGGTAATAACTCGAATTCCAACACAAATGGGATGAAATGTACTGATGTGAAACAGATGAAGTTCTCACCTTCTCAAAGCTGGACTCTAACCTTGTGGTTCTTAGCCTGGAAAGAGCACAGATGCCTACGATTATCGAGACCGCATTGAAGATGTTTGAGGCAGAGATTGAGCACGCCAATATTGTAGCGAACATGGAGATTGATCAGAGCTATGTCAATCTGGGTGTAGACTTTGTCCTCGCTGATCCTAGTCGCCTACTCCAAGTGGTCAGTAAATTGGTTTCCCCTCCATGTTAGTGATAATTGGTTGGTCCTGACTCTGCCTTACAGATCATCAATTTCCTTTCCAATTCTATCAAATTCACGAAGTTTGAAAGAGAACGAAGGATTACCATCAAACTTGCTGCTTCTGTCACGAAGCCTACGACGAAGGATTTTGGCATTGCTTTCTTGGACCCACGGAAGGAACTTGCTAAGGACCCTTCCATAGCCACTACACCTACAACGTCTGGGCCAGACAATAAGCTTGGAGATGAGGTATACATTTACATTGGTGTTGAGGATACCGGACGAGGCCTCACAGAGGACGAATGTAAAGTCCTGTTCCAGCGATTTGCACAAGGTAAGTCCATGTTTTCCGAACCCGAGCATCCAAATTGGAAAGAGTTAACCGAATATCAATAATTAGCGTCTCCCAAAACTTACAAAACATACGGTGGAAGCGGGCTGGGTTTGTTCATCAGTCGAGCTATCTCCGAACTTCATGGAGGACAGATTGGCGTGAAGAGCACAGCGGGAGTCGGTTCGACATTCGGCTTTTTTGTCAAAACAAGACGAGCAGAACCACCGCCGCCTGCGTCTAGGGGTTCAGTAGCTTCCACAGAAGCGCTGACTGATGTCCGTAACTTGCCCCGCTCAGAAGGAAAGCAAGACGTCAAGATCATGACGATGTCAAATATGGTGGAAGAAAGCAGTCTTTCGGTGAACGACTTGCATGTCTTGGTTTGCGAAGACAACAAGATAAATCAAAAGGTACAGACAACCCCTGTGCATGACTCTTCGAGAGCTAACATTCATTCCGCAGGTGATTGCCCAACAGCTTAGACGCTCTGGTGTAAAAGCCGTCCATGTAGCAGACGACGGTCTCGCCGCCTTGGATTTCCTCGCCACCACTACCTTCTCGTCTACCTCATCCTCTTCACCTTCCGCCGTTCCGCTCTCTATCATCCTTATGGACGTCGAAATGCCAGTCATGGATGGTTTGGGCGCTGTTCGACGTATCCGTCAATTGGAGTCCAAGGGCGAGATCAAAAACCATGTCCCTGTTGTGGCGATTACTGCCAATGCTAGGCCAGAGCAGGTCGCTACTGCGCTAGAAGCTGGTATGGATGAAGTGGTGACTAAGCCATTCTTGGTCAGAGACTTGGTGCCTAGGATGGTGGCATTGGTGCAGAAGCACATGCGTGGTGGTTGAAAGATGAGCTTTCGCTCCATGACAACCCAATACCAAATGTGGTACGACCGCTCGAGAACCAAAGACAGGCCGACTTGCTTCAATTGCCAAAACATGAGGTTATCTGCTCTCTTACATGCAGATGATTATGTTTGTCTTGACAACACTTGAGAGAAGCACCTGACACATACAAAAGTGCGAACTACTCGATCTGGAAGCATCGAACGCCGCTAGAGAAGTCCAGCATGAAATGCCGGTAAATTCTTACGGTTACTAGCAGGACAGCTGCAAGATGCGCCAGTAACCTCGATTTAGGGCACAAATAATGCCGTAGACCAGTGATCCTGCAGGTCACGTTATATAGCAAGTGCGTCAATTGTCGTTCAACTCCCAACGTCAAGGACGCAGAGTCACGATATGACGAGATATAGAGAAATGTTACAGATGAGCTAGAAGAAGAGTATCCGAATAACTTATCGGATGATCTCTTAGATCTTAGGGCTCCGTGTGCTCTTTGCAGTATGACAGTCAACGCCTCAACCTTTGTTCCTAGTCGCCAGACATTTCTGCCTTGTCAAGAATATTTTTTGAATTTTGTGGACTGACGATTGCTGTTTCTTTGTTGCCCGAATGGATGTGTGAGAAATACGGGGGCTTTCCTTACCAGAGCTTTTCGACGTCCAATACTGGTCTTCTTTGTAGCCATACGAGTCTTCCCCGACATATCAGTGATTGATGACACGCATTGGGAGGCATGTCTACTAGCAAAAACTGCTCAAGGGCTGTCATGTCGCTAAAGTGATTACTTTGTTTGCCCAGTGCAAGTAGTGCGAGTTTGCGACGAAGGATCGCTGGGGCGTCCCCACCCAATAATGATCGGCTGCTTCGGCACTCTTTGGCCTATCTCCAACCCGTCACCTGCACCAAAGTAGAAGGTCGTGCCATTTGCGGGGTGGATGATGATATAAGGTACACAGCCACTGCTGCCTTTTCAATACTTGATTGTTCCATCTTTCCTAATCTCTGTTTTGGTCAAATTCTATTGACAAGATGGATGAGAAGCAGCAACTCATCGGGTCGCTCCCGGTCGTAAACGATATCTCCGAACAGCGTGCACAAGCAAAGAAGAACTCTCGTTGGGGAACCATCAAGCTCGTGAGTCAATTGTGAAATTACTTAAAGATGAACAACGTGCACTAACGTACGGTACAGGTTACAGCATGTGCAGCTCTGGTTGCTTTGCTCCATTGGGCTTTTGTCCTTCCTCAATTGCCGCTAAAGCATCATGGAAAGCATGGCAAGCACCACCACCAGAAATCGCAATGCACTCAGGTTGAACCTCTTGTGCCTAGTCAGCAAAGCGATGAATTGGTCAACATGGATGCCTACCTCAAGTCTCCTGCTTTCCAGAACGCCTCGATTCAGCGTCTTTCAGGCGCCGTCCAAATCGACACACAGTCGTTTGATGATCTGGGCAAGGTCGGCGAGGACAAGAGGTGGGAGGTTTTCTTCCCCTTCCATGAGTTCTTGGAGAAGGTAAGGCGGATGTTCAAAGGTGTTAGAAAGACTTTGCTGATTTTTCAAGACTTTCCCTTTGGTTTACGAGCATCTCAAGGTTGAGAAGGTCAACACCCACGGCCTTGTCTACACTTGGCAGGGTTCGGATGCTAGCCTGAAGCCTACGCTGCTTATGGCTCACCAGGATACCGTTCCTGTACCTGACGCAACTCTTGATGCTTGGACTCACCCTCCATGGTCTGGTTTCTTTGACGGCAAGAATATCTGGGGTCGTGGCTCATCCGACTGTAAGAACCAACTTATCGCTATCCTCGAGTCTGTTGAATTGCTGCTCGATGCTGGCTTCACTCCTGCTAGAACCGTTCTTCTTTCTTTTGGCTTCGACGAGGAGATTAGCGGTGGCCAAGGTGCAGGCACTCTCGCTCCCTTCATTCTCGAACGCTATGGTCCCGACTCACTTGCTGTCATCGTCGATGAGGGTGCTGGTATTGACGACGTTTGGGGCGTTACCATGGCCACTCCTGGCGTCGCTGAGAAGGGCTACACGGATGTCGTTATCACTATCCGCATGCCTGGCGGTCACTCTTCTATTCCTCCAGACCACACTGCCATTGGTGTCATGAGTGAGCTCATCACTCTGATTGAGGCAGACAAATACCCCCTCCGTCTTGATGGCAAGAACCCTTACCTTGGCCAGCTCTACTGTGGAGCTGAGCATGGCAAAGATTTCCCTAAGAAGCTCGGCAAGCTACTTGACAAGGCTCAAGGACAATGCAAGGCAAAGCCTGACCATCTCGCATTTGAGGCTGCCAAAGCAGGTCCTGCCATTCAATACCTCATGCAGACCTCTATCGCTGTTGATGTGATTGGTGGAGGTGTCAAAGTAAATGCTCTTCCTGAACGTGTTCAGGCCATTGTTAACCACAGAATTAACGTTGGAGAGCACCCCGCCGATGCTCACAACAAGATTGCCGGTCTTGCCAAGGGCGTTGCAAAGAAGTACGGCCTTTCTCTGCACGCTTTCGACAACACTACTGAGACTCCTTCTTCCATTTCGCTTACTGCTTTCGAGCGTGTTCTTGAGCCTGCTCCTGTCACACCCACCTCGGTCGATGGCGAGACTGCCTACAGCGTTCTGTCTGGTTCGATTCGTGCTCTGTACGGCAGCGAAGTCATTGTCGCCCCTGGTATTATGACTGGGAATACCGATACCAAATACTACTGGAAGCTTTCTCGCAACATTTTCCGTTTCGCTCCTGGATACGACGGTGAGTCGAGTGGTCTGGGCAACATTCACACTGTTGATGAGAGAGTTTCTATCAAGAACCACGTCAACACTGTCAAGTGGTTCTCCCTGTTCATTCGCAACATGGATGAGGCCAAGCTTGAATAAATAGTTTGTGCAAAAAGAATATTAGGTGTTGATGGAATTTAGATAGTCATATTCAGCAAATCAAAATACGAATTCGAGTAGACGATTGCGCCTTCTTGTTTTGTATTACTGCACTTGGTCTCGAGACGTAAGAAGAAGATAAAAACAAACAAAACATACAGCAGCAGGGATTCCCACGTGGTCACCCACCGTAGTACTAATCTGCCGTTCAACTGCTTATGTATGGCAGAGCGGACGGGATGCCCAGTTTTCAGCTGACTGTGGCCGTATGTGCTTGAAATGGAGCTTGGATCGTGTATATACTTCACAATTGTCCAGTCGCACCCCATGTGCTCAGTCTCCTGGCAGTATCGAGCGTTCTTCCAGCAGGAGCGAAGAAGGTCGGACCCTGATCTGAGACCCTCGATCGGCGTGTTTTGACTTCCAATCAATGTCATCATCACCGTTGTTCCTGGCATACTACCCAGATGGTATTCGATAATAATCGATCGCACGCCATGTCTTTGTACACACATTCTTTGTGTTGTCGCAGCCGACAGGCATTTTACAGCACTCGCTATCTTGATCGCCCGTCTCCTCACTCGAAACAATGACAAACGCTCCACGAGTAATATACTGGTTCCGTACGGACCTGCGCCTACACGACTCTCCAGCGCTAGCAGCAGCGCTTGATCTGAAGCCAGAATGTCTGTACCCTATTTGGACCTGGGACCCGCACTACGTATACCGCGCCAGGGTGGGCGTCAACCGCTGGCAATTCCTCATCGACTGTCAGAACGACCTCTCTCAAGGCATCACCAAGATCAATAAGAATTCGAAACTCCTCGTACTACGCGAGGCTCCTCAGACTTTATTGCCGAAGTTGTTCAAAGAATGGAATATCACACATCTGGTGTTCGAGAAGGACACGGATGCGTATGCGCGAGAACGCGATGACAAAGTATGCGAAATCGCGAATGAGATGGGAGTTAGAGTGATTATGAAGAGCGGACGTACACTCTATGATAGCGACCTGCTGGTCAAAACGAATCATGGAAAGCCAACAATGACCATAGCGCAAGTGGAAGCCGCAGCAGCAAAACTGGGAAAGGTAGCAAAGCCTCTGCCTGCTCCGTCGAGCCTTCCTGATCCTGGAGACCTCTCATTGGAATTCGAGCAGGAGAAGCCGAAATCTGAGCCAGACTTCAACAAGTCCCATCGAGTCAGCGGCGAGGGCTCCTATGAAGTTGGCATCTCAGGCCCCAACGGCGATTTCTCAGTACCGACTCTGAAGGAACTCGGGTTACAGGAAGCGACCACACCTCATCGGGGAGGCGAGTCAATAGCTTTAAAAATACTCGACGATGTCATCTCCAACGAGACATTCACTGCGACATTTAGCAAGCCCTCTACCGCCCCGACAGCTTTCGAACCGCAATCTACCTGTCTTACATCGCCTCACCTGCACTTTGGTACTTTGTCATGCAGATTGTTCTGGTACAAAATACAGGAAGTTCTCGACAGCTACAAGGGCAAGGCTACAGAGCCACCTACCTCCTTGCATGGACAATTGCTCTTCAGGGATATGTACTTTGGCGCACAAGCAGCAATAGGCTATCCTTTTGCGCAGACTGCGAAGAACGATCACTGTCGCTTCGTGCCTTGGCATCTGCCTTCGAAGGTCGATGAGAAGACAGGGTTGATTACTGGAGAGTACGAGATAGATGATCCCCAAAAGGAGGAATGGTTCAAGCGCTGGCGCAATGGTAAAACTGGCTTCCCTTGGATTGACGCTTTGATGCGACAGCTAGCGCAAGAGGGCTGGATACACCACCTTGGTCGCCATGCAGTAGCCTGCTTCTTGACGCGCGGTGGCTGCTACATCCACTGGGAACGCGGCGCAGAAGTCTTCGAAGAACTCCTCATCGACCACGAAACAGCCTGCAACGTCGGAAACTGGCAATGGCTAGCCTGTGTCGCCTTCTACTCGCAATACTATCGATGTTACTCGCCAATCGCATTCCCACAGAAATGGGACAAGGAAGGTGCGTTTGTCAGAAGATATGTTCCTGAACTCAAGGATATGCCGACGAAATACATCTATGAACCGTGGAAAGCACCGATCCAAGATCAGAAAAAGGCTGGCGTCATGATTAAGGGTGATGGTGAGCAAGAGAAAGAGGGTGATCTGAATCTATATCCCAAGCCCATCTTCGACTTCTCAAAGCAGAGAGAAATCTGTATTAATGGCCTCAAGAGCGCGTACAGTATTGGGTTGTACGGAGACTCGCCACAAGTCTTGGATGGTACTTGGAAGAAAATGTTTGATGACGACGCCGAGGGGCCAACTCAAGGCGACAAGGGAGGACCGGCGGGATCTCTGGGCGACGCCGACGCTCACGGCACTGAAGAACTCAAGCCCGATACCAAGGCCACGCCATCCAAGAAGAGAGGTGGTCAGAGTACGCTCGAGAAGGCATTCAAGAAGGCGAAGACGTGAGAGAGTAGCTTGATGTGAATCAGAATAATGTAGTGAAATTAAGGATTGCCAATAAGAGAACATGCAGACAGCGACGGGGTATGTAGATGCTGTCTGAGTCCTTAGACCAAAATAGAAATACTGAAAGCAAAGAAATCACGTTGCTGAGAGGACAGCCCTTTCCCACCATTTCCACCATCAACGCCCACTCGAGCTCGCCTGTTAATAGCGAGCGAGTTCAACGCCTTCAATCTGATCCATTCCGTTTACTCGTGATCTGCCATAGAGAATAGTAACATAACCGTACACGCCAAAGGGAAAGAATAAGGACAGATCTGTCCCTTACTCTTCAACCTTCAGAACAGGGTAGGAAACGTCAACTTCGCCTTCGGGTGCAGCTTGTTGCTCATGCTGCTGCTGCTGCTGCTGCTGCTGCTCGTGCTGTTCACGGTGTGCCTCAAGCTGCTGCTCAAGTTGCTGCTCGTGAGTCTGCTGCTCATGCTCTTGGTGGTGAACCTGCTCGTACTGAGGCTCGAGAGTCTTCTCGTCAGAAGGCTGGTGGTGATCCATGTGCATGTCGTGATCAACGTGTTGAGGTTCAGGATATTCGGGATCGGTTTCGAATTCTTGGTTGTTAATTCTCTCACTGACCCATCTGCGGAGAGCCTCAATGACTCTGACGTTCTCGACCCAAGTGGCTTGCTTCTCGTCAGAATCACTGCCGTTACCAGTGCTAGGGCTCTGGACAGCAGTCGATGATTGAGAGGCAGCACGGAGAGCGGGATCAAGAGAGGACGAGTCTTCAGGTTGCTTGGCACGGGGAGTCTTGGCACCCTCGGACTCGGTCTCCATGGCATCAGAGTCCATGTCGTGAGGACGAGGAGCAGGAGCCTCGCGCTGGAGACGACCACCACTGTAGCGGCGACCTTCGAAGCCCTCGAATCCAGATGCAAGACCGGATGCAGGAGCAGAAGTGGTTGCAGGGTAACCAGCACCCATGTCAGAGATGGCAGTGACGGATGGGAGGCTAGGGTACATGGAGCTACCGTGAGCACTGCTCATGCTAGAGCGAGAGTGGGTAGACATGGGGGACTGGCCAGCAGAGGTGTAGGATGACACGGAAGCAGGGGTGAGGGCAGGAGTCTCCATGGCACTGCCGGAGTTGATGTTGGAGAGCGAACCGACTCCAGGTGTAGAGACGGAGCCAGAGTGTTGCATGTTAGGAGGGCTATCGCTACTGCGGTACTGGCTGCCGAAGCTGGGGTAGTTGGTGTACTGAGCATGCGATCCAGGTTGTTGGACGCCGGCGGCAGCGGCACTGTTGCTGCTTTCGTAGACGGTGGCTTGAAGCTGCTCGAGGAACTTATCAATCTCAACCAGGTCTTGCTTGGTACGGGCGTTAGAAGGCAGAGGCAGCGAGTATGACTGGGTAAGAGGGCCTTGAGACATGCTGCCACCGTTGCTGCTAGACATGCCCAAGTTGCCAGAGTTGTTGAAGCTATCAAGCAACGAGCTGGCAGTGTTGTATGACGAGCTGTTGTTGCTCGAGTAGTTGTTGCCAGTCGAGTATCCGTAGCCGGTGCTGATAGGGAGCGGCAGGTTGGCAGACTGGAGACGCTGACCAACATCGTAGTAGTTGCCAGGGTCGATGGCGCGACGCTTGATGTCACCGAGGAAGTCGTTAAGAGCTTCGATGGCGCGGCGGCGAGTATCCATGCTCTGAATGTCGGCAAGGCTGTTGCTGGCGGGGTAGTTGACCTGGCCATAGCCGGCATACTGGGGCTGCTGTTGAGGCTGCTGGAAGAAGTTGTTGTTGTTCAAGCCGTGGCTGGGGTGAGGGTAACCACTGGAGGCTCCCAAGTCATGACTGTAGTAGCCGTTGGAAGCTGAAGTCGATGTTAGCATGTGCTCAGAAAGGTAAGTCACGAATAGCTTACGTTGTGCTTGTTGGTAGTTATTGCCAGGGCCTCTGCTCTGGCCCATGTTCGGGTCAGGAGAGCGGAGGAGGACTGAGTCATCGGCGTGAGTCTTGACGTGCTTCTTGAGATCCTGAGGTCTCTTGAAAGCCTTGCCACAGAAGTCGCACTTATGAGGCTTGAGTGGGACATGGACGCGGATGTGAGATGTGATGTGATCGCGCTTGACGGTTGTGACGCGGCAAGAGCCCCAGTGACAGGTCAGGTTGAGGTTGTTTGTGCTCTTGCGACCGACGTGACGCTCACAGACGTGCTCCTGATATAGATGTTAGAACATGGACATGCGTTAAGGTGGAAGAGTACTTACGTAGAGTGCCTCAGCAGTCTGATGACGCTCACCACAGTTCAGCCACTGGCAAGTAAGCGAGTCAACAGTGCTGCTCTGACCGAGGGAAGGGGTTCCGAGGGCGTGTTGAACAGGTTGAGGCGAGGCATGCTGTTGCAGGGGCGACTGAAGCGCATGTTGAAGAGTAGGGGACTGCTGAAGCGACTGCTGTGCCAAGCTCTGTTGCTGGTGAGGTTGATGCTGAAGACTTTGCAACTGCTGGTGTTGCTGATCAGGCGATGCCTGTTGGAGTTGTTGAGCAGCAGCGGCGGCGGCAGCAGCAGCAGCAGGGTCAGGGTGATTTGGCTGAGCTGCCATAGCGGCACCAGGTGCAGCGTCGCTCATCTTGGGACTTTGGTCTTGGACTTTGGAGGAGCTCACTCTTGGCGAGCTTTTTGAAAGAGACGCGTCGAGAAGCGCTCGATGCAACAAAGACAAACAGAAACCTGTTCAGATATGTGAATCTGGATTTATACGCGATAAGTGAGAGAAAAGTTCAACACTTGAAATGTGAAGCTTTCAAAATGTGAAGGCTTGGGTATGAGCGGAGTCAAGACGTGTAAACCAGAAGGAGAGCCAAGGCAGGCAGAGCCCAGTTAAAGAGACAGGAGCGGAGAGCCCAAGCGCCGAGGACAGGGAAAGCACGTATCGACGCCAAGTGCTCGATTCAGCACGATCCAGCACTAGTGGCGCCAGCTGATAATCACACCCCCACAGTAAGACCATGGAAGCTTACAACCAGCTCGCTCTTAGATCGAGGCTCAAAGAGGCTCAAAGTCGACTCACCAGAGTATGGCTTTCAATCATGTCATGAGTCATTCTCTCAAAGACTGGTCTTCTTGACCTTCGTTCGGTCTTTCAGCTTGTTCAATCCAGGCGCTCATAGGTCCCAGCTTGTCCATCTGTGGACGTTGCATGGGTCTGCAAACCTAATGCCAAGTCGCCAAGGTAAAGTTTTCAGGCTGTGCCATCCTTCGTGGTATCATTGGTCTGTCGTGATCCTGGGAGCCGACTCGACTTTATCCAAATGTGGACACATCTGACGAGCGTTTTTTCAGTCCAATGTCCGGTGCTGATTCTTTGATCGCAACGCAGCCAGCCGTGTCACAAACTTGTGCTGGTAGGTGGGTGTCCTTAGGGATTGGCTTTCGTGCAGGGGGCACATAACTCGAAGTTCTCGGCATCAACGGCAGCTGAAAAGGAGGCGACATCGTTCCACTCCAGACGACCTTGGCTCTGTATGCCAATGTCCAAGACAAAATTCCGCTCTGTTGTCTTGGAAGTCCAGGAAGAAACGGATTCGATAGCGCGTGCAAAGAGGGGCTGCCAAGTCAATCTTTTGATGAAGGCTGTGCAACGATGAAGAGGTGTCCGGTGCCCCTGGCATTTCTCACCACATTGCGGTACGCGTCTCGTCGTATACTTGGCTTGGCCGGATCGTCATCTGATTTGCGATGTTAGACCTCGCACCCCAAGCCTTGGGCGCGGAATGATGTTCATACATACCTCCAATCATTTCAAGTGTTCGATTTCTTCACACGCAACATACCGAATCGTGATTGTGTCGTCTGCCTTCTCTGATTGTTGAGCATGTGGATTTCTGCGCATCGACAAAGCAGTGGCGTGGTTTCGGACGACGAAGCGAAGGTGCAGCCAAGCAAGAGCTGGCTGGGTATTCATAGCTTGGCAGAGATTATGATATGCCAAGGTATGTGAACGCTCAAGACTATCGTGTGTGCTCTGCGAAACCTGGTCGTAGAAGAAATAGTCTACGTCTTGGGTATCATCCCTACCGCATTCTGTGCTGCTCGAAGCTTAGAAGCTGGGAGTTTAAATTCCTCGTATCAGGTAAATTCAAGGTCTCTATCAGACCGCCTTTCGGATCACAAATACTCGTTCGAGGGAATAGACAGAGGACAAGGAATTTATGATAAGTAAGAAGCACTGGAGAGCCATGGGTAAGCAAGGCTCACATATCTCGAGCTTCAAACGACCAAATATGCTTTGCAAAATGTGCTAGGTAACTGCTACTCCAGCTTGTTAGCCCAATTGTTAGCCCAGTACTAATCATATCATCTCGCAAACCTATTTCAATCCCGTAAAAAGGGAAAGAAAAAAGGCAGAATCATCTGAAACAAAACATGGGTAAAGACTGTGGTTGAGGTTCGAACCTCACATGGCAATGCTAGTGGGTGTTTCAGCAACAAGTATTCTCTTCGTCACTTGCTCTCCATTGGATGAGAAACCCACATGTAAATGCGAGTCACAGTACTACAACGACATCGAGAGCTATGCACATGCACAAAAGAACATGGAACGAAGGTGTTCCAAAGTCAGCGGGTGCCGAAATAGTTTGTATTTCTCATAACTTGTAGCTTACAGCAGTGGACAGGAAGACTGGCAGTGATTGCAGGGAAGCAACAACTTTTCACGATAAGCGACATTATTTGTGAGAAGCCGAACAGAGAATCGAGAATCAATAAGACAAAAGTCACAATCAAAGGCACAGAGTATTGGTGATCAAAAAGGTTTGGTATTCATGAAAGAAGGCTACGAATTTCCATCGCAACCAAGAATCCCTAGCGTCTCCCATTTCTGAGATGACAGCCGCTTCTGATACAATTATTTCTCATAAAAGTCGTGATCCATTGATCATATTCCTTCAAGCGAGTACTCGAAAACCGAAAGAAGGCTTCCAAAGTTGACTGAGCGGCCTGTAAGCAAAACACGAGTTGCTTCAGCCCATCAAAGAGAAACCCTGGAGGGTATTATGCTTTCTGTCCAGCATCGGAGTGGTGTTGTGGATGGAGGTGTTGATAGGATAAGGAAAAGGGTAGATCATAGCGAGACGCTTAGATGCCCTCCTTGTTGGCCTTGGCAGAGGCCTCGTGCTGGTGCTGGTCGACCTTGTCGGAGGCAGCGCCGAGGGCACCAGAGACACGGCCGGAGATGGAGTCGTCGGCGGTGTTGCCCTTGGCCTGCTGCTTGTTGGCCTCCTTGGAAGCCTCAGCGGTGTTGCCCTGGATGGTCTCGGAGACGTAGTTGACGGCGTTGCCGATGGAGTTGGAGATCTGGCCAACGATACCCTCGTTAGGCTTGTCGACGTTAGGGGCAGACATTTTGATAGAGTGTGGTGGTGGTTGGTTTGGTTTGAAAAGTAGAAGAGTGATTTGGTTGTGTTGATGAGAAGAAGAAGCAAAAGGACAAAGGTGGTGGCTCTTCTTATACTTGTATCTTCGTCCACGTGCGAGTAGTGGGCATTCCACAATGATCGAATGTGTACCCACTCCAGCCTCATTCACTCGCCAACTGACATCAAGGCGTTTCCCCTTGCTAACGACATCGAGCCATGGTCTGACGCTATGGCAACTTAAGCCAATCGAGACTCTGGAATGGACAGACGGCCCCGCCAGTTGTTGCTTGCGTAACAAAAGTCCCTCTGCTGAATTGATCACGCACCCCTCATTTGGCTACGTCATAGCTTCGATCCAAACGGCTCTCTGGCAAGCAATACAATGGGAAATTGCAATTATTTTGGACAACCCGGCATGCTCAACTTGTGTAGCTCTAGATTCTTTCTGATTTGCTTCTTGGGCTGTGTTTTCCCTTCTGCTGTCGGACATGTACAAAACAACAGTGGGGGCTGTCAAGAAGCAGGGTCGATCCAGAGCTCCAGAGCGGGGGAAGCTTGAAAAGCTGCCCTGACCATCTTTTCCGTTTGCGGTAGCTGCTTGCCACTGACATCATTGTGGTGCTCGCTCCTGGCCGATGCCAGATATCATCTCGATCTTCATGCTGCCACCAAAGCTCGATCTAATAGCATGTGAATGAGACGGTGAAGCCGCGGCTTAAGCCTACGGCAAGATACGGAAGTAGGTATACGACGCTCTCGCAAAGCAATTTGCGTAGAAAAGGCAAGCAAGCAGGTTTCGGAATTGGTAGAAGACACGTATTGGTTTGTCTATTGGCATGAAGTCAAACAGCTCGGATGTCCTGCAGGGGTGATGACGACCCAAAGCTTCGCGATGATCTACTCGAAATAGCTGCAAATCCCCCTCGGAGGGGCTGTGTCGCCCATGGAAACAAGATCAGAATGGCTACATCACAGTAAACACAGGGGGTCCACTCCCAGTAGCAAGGTGGGCATACGTACAGCTTTGTGATTGACGACAGGTTGCAAGACAGTACACGAATCGTACATACACTCTCCCGGCCACCAACATGCAAAGATGCCGGGTTCGAGCTTTGCAGCGGCAGTGTTCTCGAATGCTGATATGAGCTGGAGGAGAGTCGTCTTGTCGACCGTCGTCTCTATGCTTCGACCTAGAAAGAGGGTATATTGACTGTACAAGATCAAGAAAGAGAAGGACAAAATATAAACAGCATTCATCAAGAAAACAACAGCCTAATAAGGCTCACCACCAGGCAGACGTGCCTTTTCAGGACGAGACAGCACATCATCAACACCCTTTTCAATCTGCTGCTTCAACTCTTCCTGCTTTCGCGCCTCGTCCTCTTGCTTCTTCCTCAACTTGTTCGCCATGTCCTCATCCACGCCAAAGAAGTTTCCCATTCCACCTCTGCCATGGCGAACTGCCACGGGCTCTTTGTCTTTGTCCTCGTTCGTCGTGGGAGCAGGTGTACCGTCGCCTAGAACATGACTTGTGTCTGCGCCTTCAAACCTGCCCGTTGCCTTTAGTTCGCGAGGACTGTAGTAGTTGCCAGCTCCTCCTCGTCCAGTGTGTGCGTATTCTTGATTGTGAAGAGCTGGGTGTGCAGTGCCGGCATAGTCTTCGGCTTCTTGTTGGCCGCGTTCGAGGTCTGCTGATATCTTCTCGTTTGTCGCGTTACTTGTCTTTGTCGCATTGAGTGCTTCAATGTTGCCTGCACCGCCGCGTCCAAAGGCCGGCATCTTGTCTTTCAATGAATAGGATGAGTGATTAAATATAGAGAGTGCGGAGTCGCAATGAGGCTTCGATCAGCGTGGTCGCGTGGGTGCGAATTCGGAGTCAGAGTATCTCGGGGGACGTATCAAAGTCTACGGAGAGCGATGTGCCTTGCTTCAGTCGAATGACCAATTGTAGAGGTCAAGCAGAGTGGTAGATTGCGAAAGACTGATCGTTATCAGGCAGACTTGAGAACATGACAACTGCTATGACGTATCGACAATTCTTGAATTCTTGGTATGTCAGGGGTGACCCTGTCGCTACATATGCTCGACCAGGTGTTCTGTCACGCTAGTTCCTCGATTGACTAACAGGGTCTCATTTGAGCATCATGCTCTTTTGAGTCTTTGAGTTGTATGCCTTGATAGAACGGCCGTACAGATGATCGATATCCACCTACAAGCAGCACATCAACCCTCTTCTCAATTCGTGCTGCGTGGGAGTATCTTCTGAGCTTTGTTCGATTTCGACCTCAACTGACCACAACGGCAAGACAGAGCCATACAGAGATCCCAAATTGACCTAGATCTGTCCTAGAGCTACTCTGATTGAAGTGCGAGGCAGTTGCTACCGAATGTGATCGAGCGAACGTGGATGAAATGGTGATCAGGGTTGCAACAGCAACATCCCGAAAAAAAAGGAGAAAAAAAGAAAAACAGTCCTCCAGCCTTCCCATGTACTATGAGATGTCACACGTGTAGCTATAAAAATGCACGATACTATGAAGAAATAGGGCGATGGCCACTGGGAGGCGATACACTTTCGGCTCTCAAAGGGCATGCCTGTGCTCTGAGAATATCTCTGCCTTTCTATGAGTCTACAATTTGCTTGTCCGCAGGCGAGTACGATGGAAGTCACAAACCTTAGAACACGAGGAGGAAGAAACTTGTGCCCACCACTTGGAACGGACTATACTTGACGACATGCAGAAACATAAAGCTAGAGCATCCCACTAGGCCGAAAAAAGGACAGGCTAAGTATGGATCGATTTCCTATTATACAATGGCTGCTAGTGATCTGCTATTACTACGTATTCCAATGCCTCGCTACGCTTTTTGGAAAAGTAACAACGCTATGCTCAAAAGAAACTGCAATGCGGCTATCGACAAAAAAGCCTCCAGCCCGAGATTAGCAATAATTATGAGATTGATGTGTTAGACACTACGGTTCCTTTTTCGATGCTTGATTCGTATGCGATGTGACTAGAATTGACGCGAACCATGCTCCGTAGGACTGAGGACTTCTTCTGCTCTGGCATCCGAACGAGCACCGGAGAAGCTAGGGTTGGTGAACTGAGGGACGGCACTTGCAGCTGAGGTCGAAGATGAAGCACTGGCTTGGCTGGTGCTTGCCTGGGTACTGGAAGGGGCCGTCTGTGTGTTAGACAAAGCTGGTGCGGTCGATGGCATTTCGCGGTTGGGCAGTTTCTTCTCGGGCATCTTCAGGTCAAGGGGTGTGGTGAGAGAGCCGCGTCTCAGCTCTTCAAGTTTCTCTTCGGGGTTCTGTAGAACAAGTCAGTCAAGGCAAAGGTTGATGAAGACGGGAACAAGTACATACCCAGTCTGCTTGCTCAGGAACGCCTTCTGCAGATGGAAGTTGTCCATTGTTGTCTCGTTCGCCCGACCAGAAGTTTGTTCTGCGAATAGGTGCTGGGGTGACTGGAAGGCTAGGACGCTCTACTTCGGAAGGGAACTCTGTAAGAATCAAGCTTTCTCTACGCTCGAACTGTGTGCTCGTTGCAGGAGATTTGGGGTGCACTGAGCTCCTACGACGACTTGACTGGGACTCATTGAGCGCGCGGACGTAGTTATCAATACCGGCGACGTCATCCCAAGCGTTCCTATTGTTTGAGGCCCAGTCTTCCCAAGGAGTATCAGTAGTGACCTTGATGACGGGAGTGGCCGGACTGTTGATACTAGCTGTGTAATCGGCAGATGGAATGGTGACGCCAGGTTGAGGAGTCGAGTCAGGAGAGTCAAGATCCTCGAGGAATCTTCTGGTAGGGGCAGAGGCTTGTCTTTCCTCCCATGGGAACACAGGCTTGGGCTTTGCTGTAGGCGGATCGGGCTTCGTCTTGGGTACCTCATACCACATGTCCTTGGGAGGTTCAGGGTAGGCCTTGGGTGGGCGGAAGAGTTCCTTGTCTTGGTTAAAGTCATAAGTGGTAGTAGGGAAGTTGGCGGCCTCAGGTTTTGAATGGGTGGGTGGCTCCATGCTATTCAATGTTAGCACGTGTGCTCTTGACTTATAGGCAGTTACAATTCTCTTACCGAGTCGCATCCCATTCTGCCTGTGGCGCAGAGAACCTTCTTTGCTCTATTGTCGGCGTGGGCTCAACACGGCCTTGGGACAGCTCTTCTCCTAGCTCCCTCTCTTCGGCAGGATCGGCCTCAGTAGTAAGAATAAGAGCTTCCGGCTTTGGGATAGGGGAGGATGCAGGCGAATAGCGACCTGAAGTATACTCGGCAGCCTAGGAGGTATTAGTATCAATGTATCTCGTGATGTTGAACAGCATCGCTCACCGGCTCCTTGAAGTGTCTGTCGTAGACTGCCCACCAACGATAGAGAAGTTCATTGTATGCTCCAGGTGTTGCACTCTGTGATCTGGGACTGTTCCAAGGCTTGTTCTTTCCAATGAAATGAACCACAGCGATTCGCGACTTGTGGTAGCGGTAGGCGGGCTCGTATTGGTAGTTGGCACTAGGGGTGCAGTTGTAGACGAAGCTCAGACGATGCCAGTTCTTGTGCTCATAATACTGGTTCAGGAGACCTTGGTCTGCTCCATCGAAACTGTCTCCCGTAGCAGCCAATGTCTTCAATGCCCAGTAGTCTCCCATGTGTGGTGAAATAACCATAACTCCAGTGTTGAAGGCATCGGGCCAACCAACATCGGGCGCACCAGCAAAGGATGCCTCAAGATCGAAGAGTTCATCGGGAGCGCGGAGCGCAACAGTGTCTGCGTCAAGGTAGACGATCTTACGGAATTGGGTCTGGCGCCAGAGGTTGATCTTGGTAAAGGCATCGCGGAGGTCACCACGACCCATTAGGTAGAGGTTGGCAAGGTTGGGAGAGGTGATGCGCTCGACTGGGATAACATAGTCATACAATGACTGCGCGGGGTTAGTCTTGAGACATTGACATGGCTTTGCTATCCCCTACCTTGAGCTCCGTGATGGTGGCAGGTCGTAGAGAGTCGGCAGTAATGAGTACGGCCAGCTTCTTCTTTGTACCATTATCTCTTAGAGAATGCGCAAGCACAGCGGCTCCTGTTCCTAGTTAGATTGTTGCGCATACGAAGTACTATCTTTGCTAGGAGCACATACCAGCAACGTACGAGTCGCTCGTAACCAACTAGAGGACGATTGATTAGCATATCCATTCGAGGAAGCAGAGGTCGTGAGATCGTGAAATCGTAAGGTCGTAAGGTCGTAAGATTGTAAGGTCGTAAGATCGTGAGTTTGTGAGATCGTGACTTGAATCGGACTGTTCGTGGCCAAGAATCGAGAGATTGTAGTACTAACCGTGCAATAGACATCTTCCAGACGACTAGCCATCTTGATGAACGGCAGGGCGAGATTCTGAAAGGGTGAAAGTAATGTCGAGATCGAATGAGGATGTGAGGATTTGTTGGGAGTTGGGATGTAATAACAAGACAGCAACGCTTAGACAAGACACCGCTTTATACAAGTCAATACTCGCAGGAATACAGCCGCTCGTCACTTTCAAGCAATGCAATGTGAAAGACAAAGGACTATGTGTGGTATAGAGTACAGTTTGCGGGAGGTGCAAGAAGGAATATAACCTCGAGGGATCAAGGAATGACAAAATGTCCGATGATGCGTTTGGCTGGACTGCTCGCTTGCTTGCCCCAGTCCTCCACACGATCCCCACTCTGCCCACTACGGCATCAAGCAACGATCTTCATGCGAGCATGCACTGCGGAACGACCGACCCATTCAGCTCACAGCTTCATCCTGTCAAGTCAATCACGAGCCTCTTCTCCGCAATCTTCATCTCATTGTGAGTCGTTTGGCTATCTGGTACGGTACTACATAAGGCGACTGCATTATCTTTCTCCGCACTGTCATGGTCGAGTCCGACACAAACTGGGGCGGCCATGCCATGTTATGACCCTCGAGAAGCACAGGCAGGTAAGCCCCTTTTCACGTTTTAGGAACGCCGTTAAGCTAGTTGTGCTCCCCGATGCAGGCCTACGTAGGACCAAAATTCACAATTCGAGAAATGGTAGACAAAGATATGGGAATACTTCATGAAACGCTTGATGAAGTTGAAGAAAATTTTGTTGTTTTTGGACGACGAGCTTTTGACTCCCTGGCGATAGCGCCGACTCCTGTACGTGCCGCCATAACAAGTGCATTGAAAAACACCCTAACCGTGGCTTATCATTTGCTCCAATCATGCATCACCGCGCATTTATTGCTGCTCCTGCTCGGCAGCGGGCTGCTCAGTCTGCTGCTCACCCTGCTCAGCAGCACGCTGGGCCTCAGCAGCCTGCTGGGCAGCGGCGGCCTTGGCACCGTAGTCCTGGGACATGGGCTGGACGACGCTCTGCTCCTCCTTGGGCTCAATGATGGTGACTGAGTCGGGGAGAGCCTTCTGGGGACCAGCCTTGCCCTCGGGGTCGGCACCGCGCATGATCTTGACCTTGATACCGAGAACACCCTGGCGGAGGAGGACGTGGCGAGTGGCAGAGTCGATGAAGTCCTTGGCGGGCTGACCGGAGTGGATCATGAAACCGTCCTGAAGGTGATTGTTAGTATTGAAATTGGCGCAGTGTCGACAGTGGACAACATACAGTGAACTTCATGGACTTGGCACGGGCGGCGCGCAGCTTGCCGGAGACGACAACCTCGCAACCCTTGGCACCAGACTCCATGATGAAACGGAGGACACCGTAGCATGCTCTGCGGACGGCGAGACCGTTGAGGAGCTTGTATCTGAGGGACTCGCACTGGGCGACAGCGGAGAGACCACGGTTCTGGACCTTGGCGGCGTAGAGCGAGACAGAGTTCTCGGGGAACTTGAAGCGCTTCTGGATCAGCGAGGTGAGCTCGCGAATGCGGCGGCCCTGCTCTCCGAGAACATCCTGGGTGTGGGTGGCGCGGATGATGATGTCGGTAACGGTAGGGGTAACGCGGACCTCGACACCAGAGTAACCCTCCTCAGCAAGCTCGCGTTGGAAGAACTCGTTGAGCTCGGCGTAGAAGACACCGTCTGCGCGTGTGTTTTAGTGAATGTCCCAATCATGTGTATATCTGAGCGTCTGCGTGCGTATTCTGTATAGAAATGATGCGGTAACAAAAAGAGCGATCGGATGCGAATAATAGAGTCGGCGAGAGTGTAGAAGATGCGAGAATAGCGAACAAATCAGAGGAGAGGCATACCGGCGACGAACTTTCTTCTCTTGGAGCTGCAGAGGGCAATTAGCGACTGGTCGCGAGCGCATTTTCTGGACGGCATGGATACTCACATAGCACCTGCTTGCTGAACGGCGGCCATGTTTGCGATCTGTGTTAATTGATCGAAAAAAGGAGAGGGTGTCTGGTCGCTGGGCGAGAGTGGTCGTTAGTCGTCAAAGTCGGGTTTCGCACACAATTCCACAGTGTGGTCGGATTTCGCCCAAGTGCGCTCCGGGCTTGGCTTGGCGCGCTAGTGCCTCGTCTGTGGAATCTGATCTGATAAGCAAGCCACGGGACTTTTCGCATCTTATCTCTTGTGGACGGAAGTACGTCGGCAGCTTTAGCCGTGGACGCCGACGGCATGACGCGCGCTCGAGGGTCGAGTCTATGCGCTGTGCTTGCTGCTGTTGCACTGAGGGGCAGAGGCAGAGAAAGGTGCTGCAGTGTCGCAAACATTCACACCACCAACCACCCAACACCAAGCTCCGAGCGCCTTCTCGCCGGATGCTGAAATTCTCTAGCGTGTCATGGACAAGATCAAAATCTCAAAGGTGCGTCTCTGCGCATGCCCTTCCGCATCACAACGAGGCTTGACTGACGGCTCGGTCAACAGGTTGACAATGTGACACTTCACAGAAGGAACGAACAGGCCACCGGAACTCTTCATATCTCTACCCATCATTTGATCTTCGAGCACCGCCCCGATGCATCCACCAAATCCCAAGGCTCGACCAAAGCCAAAGGTCGTGTCAAAGAGATGTGGATCACATACCCCATGATTGCGTCCTGTGTCTATAGACCCATGCCCGCCATCCTTCGCCAGGACCATGCCATTCGCCTACGCTGTAGAGACTTTACCTTTGTCGCCTTCCACTTCTCCGACGAGACTCAGGCTCGCAGTGTCTACGACAGCATCAAGGCTCTGACTTGTGGCCTTGGCTCTTACGACAAGCTGTATGCTTTTAGCTACGACCCTCCTCCGATTGAAAAGAACATCAATGGCTGGCAGATTTATGATGCCCGCAAGGAGTACAGGCGCATGGGCATTTCTCCCAAAGGTGCCGATCGAGGCTGGCGCTTGACTGATATCAATCGCGACTACGAAGTACGCTCCCATCATTACTCCTCTTACTAATGCGTCCACTAATTCCTTAAAGTACTCACCCACCTACCCCTCCCTCTTGGTCGTACCGTCTTCCGTCTCTGACAACGTTCTTAAACATGGAAGAGAATATCGTTCACGCTACCGCATTCCCGCTCTAACCTACTTGCATCCTGTCAACAACTGCTCCATAACCCGAAGCTCGCAACCAAAGTGTGGCATGTTTCAGAAAGAGAGAAACCCCCAGGACGAACGATTGGTTGCTGCCATCTTCTCTACATCAAAACCACTAGCTGGTGGCATGCCCATCCTTGACGACCAAGGACAGCAATTCGATCCCGACATGCAACAAGATGCAAGTCCTCTACGGGTCAAGCCGAAAGCCAGTACAGACAGCATTACCGGCATACCCACCGATAAAATCTACGGAGCTCAGCAGAGGAACTTTATCGTCGACGCCCGTCCACAGGTCAATGCTGTTGCCAACCAGGCCACAGGAATGGGTTCAGAAAACATGGAATTCTACAAAGACGCAACAAAGGAATACCTTGGTATCGCCAACATTCATGTCATGAGAGACTCCCTCAGCAAAGTGGCCGAAGCATTTGCTCACACCGATTATACTGAATTTGGCCCGAACCAGGATCTGCTTGCCAAGAGCAAATGGCTCGATTACATCTCCTTGGTCTTGCGTGGCTCTAGTCTCGTAGCTCGTCAAGTCGGCATCAATCACTCCCACGTTCTCATCCACTGCTCGGATGGCTGGGACCGCACCAGTCAGATCAGCGCTTTGAGTCAACTTTGCTTGGATCCATACTACCGCACCCTCGAAGGTTTCATCGTCTTGGTGGAGAAGGATTGGGTATCTTTCGGCCACATGTTCCGTCACCGTTCAGGATTCCTGAGCAGTGAAAAGTGGTTCGAGATTGAGAACGAGCGTGTTGGAGGCAACCGAAAGGCTGACAGTCTGTCTTCAAACAGTGGCAATGGAAATGCTTTTGGCAATGCACTCTCCACCGCCAGGGGATTCTTTACCAAGAAGAATGACAGTAGGGAATCTTTTGATGTCAACGATGCAGGTGATGGCTCGTCCAATCCAACCCCGACTTCGAAAAGCGCTAAGCACGCAACTACCAACGTCAAGGAGACGAGTCCTATCTTCCACCAATTCTTGGACGCAACCTACCAGATGCTTCGCCAATATCCTACCAGATTCGAGTTCAACGAGCGTTTCCTGCGCCGTCTGTTTTATCAGCTTTACTCATGCCAATACGGTACTTTCCTCTGGGATAGTGAGCGCGCCAGAGTTGAAGAAAAAGCCTACGAGAGGACGAGAAGTGTTTGGGACTATTTCCTCTCTCGTCGAGAAATGTGGATCAACGATCAGTATGATCCTACCGTTGACGACAATACTTCTGGCAAGGAGCGCATTATCCTTCCTGATACCAACCAGGTCAAGTGGTGGCACGAATTGTTTGGTCGTACCGATGTCGAGATGAATGGAACCGTTACTGCGCCTACTGTCAGCTTGCCAAAGGAACCCAAGGATCCCATTGTCACTGGTATAGAGAACTCGGAGATATCTGTAGGGCCCGCTGCAAATGGCAGTAGTTTCACGGGTCAGACCGCAAGCGCTTTTACCAACGGCGCCGCACGTCTGACTGCTGGACTGGGCAACCTAAGTCTGGGTAGAAACAGTGCAAGTGCACCCAGCAGCCGACCTCAATCTCCACCAACCAACGAATTGATGCCCACGCGTACCATTGACGAGAAGATGAGACCAGCGGCGACCAATCAGCCAGATTCAACTGCAAATGGCCGACTCTCATTCTCAGCATTTGCAAGAGACAATGCCTTTAGGGATAACTAGATGTGAATTTCTTCATAGCGTGGCGTTTTGGGGTCATGAATTGATGATAAGGATGGAAAGTATTATGACTTATCAGATACTGTGAATAGAACGGGGCTGGCATGCGAAAATGAGCTCATATGAGGATGAAGACATGGAACCAATGGTACAAACTGCAAGGACAGCAGAGATGGCATGAAAAGAACAAAATCCATAAATGCACATGAGAACACATGCATCTTCAAACCACTTGACCATAATCATGTGCGACTGGACGTTGGTATAGAACAGCCAAGACATACACGCGTACGTCATACCGTTCCAATCTAAATGCCCAATCCAAGACAACGGAGGCACACCGTTCCCTGTTCGTTGTTGCATCGTGCATCCTCTATGTTCCGAAAAGAAGGTGGAGATCCACATTTGAAGCATGAGCTCGTCGGACCCCGTGGACATCCTGTTCCTTTATCTATTCAACCTCTCCCAACCTAAATTTTATTGTTACCTCAACCACCCTTGAACACAGAAGCTGAACACATCAAACCTATACAACATGGGATTCCTAAAGAAATTCAAGAACGAAATGAAGTCGGCGTTTGGTGACGACCAACCTTCGTACCCTGCACAACAACAACAGCAATCCCAGATGCCCATGACCGATCAGCCGTCTAGCATCCAGGAGCCTTCACCTTTGGATGTCCTCCGCTATCGTTACCAACATGGCACCAACTTTGGCTCCATCTTTGTACTTGAGAAATGGCTCACTCCCAGCATGTATCAGGACAAGGCCGATTCAGCCGAGCTTGCAGCTGTGACTGGCAACATCAAAGCGATGGGTCTTGATGCAGCCAAGCAAAAGTTCGAAAACCACTGGGAGACTTATATCAGTGACTCAGATCTGGATTGGCTTGCCAACCAAGCTCATTGTATGTTGTGCGTAGACATATCTGTAGCCGCGAGCTGATTGAATAGGTACATCTGTTCGTCTGCCCATTGGGTATTTCACGCTGGGCCCAGCTTATTGCGCAAACACACCTTTCGAATCTTCCGCTGCAGTTTATGAGAATGCATGGCCAGCTGTAAAGCGCCTTGTCGCTCGCTTGACTGCCAAAGGTATCGGCACTCTTCTTGACCTCCACGCATTGCCTGGTGGTGCCAACGGAGGTGATCATTCCGGAACCAACAGCGGCAAAGCCGAATTGTGGAAGTCCAAAAGAAACCTGGACCTCGCTACACGATGTTTACTATTCATCGCTCATGAAGCTAGATCAATGGACGGTGTCATCGGTCTGCAGCTTGTCAATGAGGCTGAATGGGACGCTCAGGGTATGTATGGCTGGTATGACTCGGTGATTGGTCAGATTGGTGGTATCGACAACACTCTTCCACTCTACATCTCGGACGCGTGGAATTTGGGTCCTGCAGTCGGCTACACCAATGGCAAGAACAGTCTGCATGCTGGTCGAGCGAACCCGATCGTCATTGACACTCATCTGTACTGGGCATTCTCAGATGACGACAAGAAGAAGAATCCCAGTCAAATTGCGAATGAAGCCAGGTACAAGCTGAGTGAGCTAGATGGCCACGATGGAAGCGTTGTGGATCATGGCGCAGCACAGGTTGTCATTGGTGAATACAGCTGTGTCTTGACAGAAGACTCTTGGGCCAAGGCTTCTGCCAGTGAGAAGGAGAATCTGGTTCGCGAGTTTGGACAGGCACAGACACAGAGATATCAGCAGAGAGCTGGTGGAAGTTTCTTCTGGACATACCGCATGGTCCGTTTGATGTCCCTATCACAATCACAAAGATCAATACTGACTAGAAGATTAGGATTGGATGGATGGCGGAGAATGGGGCTTCAAGCAACAGACTAACAACGGTGCCATCACGGCTCCCAACAACCTTACTCTTTCCAACGATGATGTTCAGTCTCGTATTGGACATGCGCAGTCTCAATTAGACGGCAAGTTCCAACAGACCTTCGGTGGTCACTGCAACTACTGGGATAGCAACCACCCTGGCGAGTACGAGCACTGGCGATTTGAAAGTGGTTGGAAGCTCGGCTTCAACGATGCAATGACCTTCTTTGGTGCAAGAGCCAATGGTCGACTTCCTGGTACTGGAGGTGATAAGATTGGCATGCTGGACATTTGGACCAAGAAGAGAATCGTTGAAAGCGGACAGGCTGGCAAGTTGTTGTGGGAGTTTGAGCAAGGTTTCAGACAAGGAGTCCGTGACTTCTATGAGCTCGCTGGAATCTAGTTGTTAATGTTGGTGGTCTACCTGTGTTCATTGGTTTTGCTTAGCATCAAACGATTAATAGACTGATTGTAACCACATTTTGACACTTGGAACTTGTAGAAGTTCGCGATGTCTTTGGACTTCTGACCTCGCGACCACGATCCAACAAGAACAAGACACAACATACGCTTCTCAGCTCGTGTTACTACTCAGCATACAATGAATTGGATTCGGGTTGGATATATTGTCAAGGCGACCGTACGACCCTGACCCGATGACATCACTCTCAACCTCCTCCTTCAACTCGATTGACACCTCTTTTCCAACCTTGACCAAGCTATTACATTCTCGAAAGTCGTCTCACTTACCAATTAAGAAAACATAGTAAAGACTGCAATGTTCTTCACACAGATCCTCCACACCGGACAGGTCGCGCTCTGCGCCTATGGTGCATACGTGTCCTACATCGCCATCACCAACCTTCAGCAATACGAAGAGACAAGCAAGAAGGCAGCCAAGTACTCGACAGAGGCAGAGCATCAGCTTCACAAGACACGAACTACACAGTCCAGTGGTGCTATCTGCGTTGGTGACCCCCTTGCATACAACACACATGTTTGCACAAGTACTGATTATACATTGTAGATCTTAGCCTCGATGATGGCAGCTACGACATTATCTTTGGCACCCAATGCCCTGCCTTCCATTGTGAGATTTGGTATCTCGCCTGCTGCTTTGGTCCTGACGCTGTTTGTGCGTGCTCACGTGTCTAACTTTTGGAAGGCCAAGGCCAAGATTCCTTTCCTTGACGGCTATGTAAGATTGATACTATCGCTATCTCTGACAGACACAAGTGCTGATAGATCTACAGAACGAGGCAATTTCCAAGACTGGAGAGCTTCTGCAAGTTCTCGAGTGGCTCGAGTATACCTGGGCTGGAACTGCGCTTGCCAGTGGGCTAATCGGTTACTGAAGCGTGTCCGAAATCGTGAGAAGCGGGCACAGAATGGCGGTGCAATCTCTTCTCATGTAAATGGACATCTTGTTGCACTCTACACATGAGAGTCTTAGCATACGCCCTCCACGCCCAGTGCGTTGATTTCTGTCAGCTCAACAGCTCAACAAGACATGGTGACAATGTCCGGACCGATTGGAGTTGATCCCAGTCTATTGGCGTTAGACCGAAAAGCACCGAATACATATCAAAACTGTCCGAGTTGTGGCCTGTCACCAATTGCAGAATCAAATTTGATATTACCAAGCGCCGATTGGTGATAGTTGGGAATGCAAACAGATGTATCGTGTGACTGCCAATCAACCCAGATGCTTGACATCGTTCAAAAGCATTGAGGTAGACGTGACAGATGCAGTCATAACCTTGAGCTTGTCTTGACATTTTACTCCTGCCTGGCTTATGTGTAGGCACTTGTTTAACTGCAAGCGTCGGTGAATCACCGTTCATGATGATAGCTAATTATTCATACTGGTACTGCAGAACTTATAGCAGACTGCCACTTGAAGAACAGAGACCAAGCTCACACCATGGTTCGGTCAATAAGTTCGACGTTCAGATTCTGTAACCTTGATGTTAAATGCCATGTGGCGCTGATCAAACGTTCTTGGGTATGAGCTTGTGAACCCTTATCAAACCTTCGCAATCCTTTTGAGTAACTCTTGTCAAGCCTTGACAAGGAATAAGCACTCTTACACGCATATTCGCCGAGTTTGAAGATATTTACTGTGCTTGACCTTTTTGACATGCCAGTAGCATCCGGCACCGGAGGCCAATTGAGTTTCGGAAGTTGAGTCTTGCTCAAAATTTCTCGGCCTCACTACAATAACCTCGAAAGTAGAGACACGAAGGATTCTCAACGTTCATTTTCATGAATACATGGATCATGGTGGAGTGTGTTGGGGATCACCAAGGTGCTTTTTCGAAGTTGAAGCGGATGTCATCATATCAAAACCGGAAGAAATGCATGGAAGAATAGTGCCGGTCGAGTCAGTGAGACGTGCTTGAGGTGGTCTGTTGATTGTCATAGTGAACGCAAATTTCAACATCTGAGTGCTTAAAGCACGCGAAGCGGCTTGAGCGGCCAATCAACACGTCAGGATTTGCGAAGCTTGGCCGGCTAAAGTTCGTTAGGGCAGATCAAGTAAAATCTCGTTGCATATCTGCCCATCAAGGTGTTTTCCCACGAGGCCGCGGTCAGTCATTCCCTCGCTCCCTCGTCCCTATGTAACGCTTAAATTTCTCTCCTTGTCATCTCCTTGTCGCGCTGCTCACCATCTCTAGCTTGCTATCTTGCCGCGACAGATTTCTGCCTCTTTCAGAGCAGATCTACAGTCCATCAGTGCAAAAACAAGCAAAGACAGCAGGCCTCAACGCTTTTTTTTGTCAAATTCGCCAGAGCCGACATGTCTACCTGCGAAGCAGACAACGACTACGATGGTCGCATGGGCGTCCGCATTTCGGCTATATTCGTCATTGGCGTCTGCTCACTATTTGGTAAGTCTGTGAAAGATGATTTTCAATGCACGATATACTAACAACAGATTAGCAACATGGTTTCCCGTCTTCGCTGCTAGGCACAGAGGGGTTGGCGTTCCGGATTGGGCCTTCTTCATCGCCAAGTATTTCGGCTCCGGTGTCATTATAGCTACTGCCTTTATTCATGTTAGTGTTGACCCTTCCTTCCAAATTATGCAACATGTATACTGACCAATTAAGCTACTCGCACCTGCCAATGATGCTCTGACTGATCCATGCTTGACTGGCCCCATCACCGAGTACGATTGGGTTGAAGGCATTGTGTTGATGACCATCTTTGTCCTATTCTTTGTCGAGCTCATGACCATGCGCTATGCCAAGTTCGGACACAGTCACGATCATGATGATGAGCTGGAATCTCAAGATGATTTGGGCATCAAGCCTGAGCCTTTCACCGATGGCAAGAAGCCCGAGATTCACGATCATGCCGAACCTGCCTATGAGTTGCCTGGACGTGTTAGCACAAGTACTGCTCACTGCCCCACCACTCCTCACGCTCGTGGTGACGACCACCTTGGCCATGCCCGTTCTCATGTCGACAACGAAATTTCTGCCGGATGGACCGAGGCTCAAAAGCAAGCGGCCGATAGTGCTGTCAGCGAATCTTATGCTGCTCAAATGACTGCTCTTTTCATCCTCGAGTTTGGTGTCATCTTTCACTCCATCTTTATCGGCTTGACATTGGCTGTCTCTGGTGATGAGTTCAACACCTTGTATGTTGTCCTTGTCTTCCACCAGTCTTTCGAAGGTCTTGGTTTGGGAACTCGTCTCGCTGCTATTCCTTGGCCCGAATCAAAACGCTGGTCTCCTTACCTTCTCGGTGCTGGGTATGCCATCAGCACCCCAATCGCCATCGCCATTGGTCTTGGAGTTCGTCAATCCTTTGCTCCTGGCAGTCAGACCACTCTGATTGCAAATGGTGTATTCGACAGTATCAGTGCAGGTATCCTGATTTACACTGGTCTTGTCGAGCTGATGGCACACGAATTCATGTTCTCAACTTACATGCAAAAAGCCAGCATCAAGACTGTCTTGACCGCCTTCTTGTTTATGTGCCTTGGTGCCGGTTTGATGGCTTTGCTCGGCAAGTGGGCTTAAAATGGGCTTCTCGACTACTCCTCGACGATTTGTTTTTATTCATGATTGTACAATAAACTTCAACGATTAGACTAAAAGTATGGTTTTCATGACTCAATGCAGCAGAAGCGATTCTGACCTGCTTTTCGTATTCAACGCTTGATTATCTTTTCCCATTTGTTCATGAAACCCATTTCGATGATTAATGCCTCAACCATGAATGGCCCCTCAATGTAATGACCGAACCTGAATTAGACACATGTTCGGCGGCGCACTGTGATACACGGCGCGGTCCTCAAACCAAGCTTTGTTCGACCATAAGCATCGTACATCCTAATCAAGAAATGACAGCACAAAACACATACCCATCAAGCAGGCAAAGCCCGCCATTGATAAGCCATATATAGTCACCACACATCGAAAGCCATGCAATCGACCATACAGTAACAAAAAGAAACCATTCTGGGCATTTTTCTGTCTCATCTTTCCCACAACATAATGTGTCGATGGTACTGGCGATTCTACATCCTCTGCCAACATCACGGCAAGAAACGCATCCCATGTGATATGTCAAGACGTCTCAGGTGGCACTGCGAAGGCTGGAGAGATGCTGACCGCGAACGGCAAATGACGACTATCACCGGATCGTCATACACACCTGCAGTGATGAAGTTGTGTCCAGACTGCAGATCAGCTGAGCAGAACAGCGAAAGTCGTTGAGAGTATGGGGACTTGGGCTGCTGGGGCGGCATGGGATTTTTGGTTTTGTGATGGGATTGTATTCTTGTGTCATGCTGGAATGCCAATTGGCCTCCGCGCCGGTCTTGGTTGGTTTGCGCTGGTGTCTACGCGTATGCTTGTGTGATGCTGCAATGCCGGCATTTGAATGGTCCCGAGGGCCCAAATCAATCGTTTGTGGAAGGTGACACACTGGCGCGGTGTACCTATGTAGATCAGAAAGCAAACGACAGGTTGTGATATCTGGCAGGAAAGCCTGCTACAGCATGCATTGAATGAAGACCGTAAGCTTGATACATGAATTGCAACCGTTCTTTGTCACTAGCGAACTCATGTGAGCACAAGCAAGCCAGCTGTTGCACCAATGAAAGTGATATGCGATGCACTTACAGCAGGAAATATTGTCCACAGCATTGGAGACACGTATAAATCAAATTCAGGCAAAGGAAAAAAAAAAGCTCACTGACATTTCCAACAATCGGTTCATTAGTCATATGACTGCTGCTATCGGATTTTTGACAACTCAATCGAGATAGCTTAGACGAAGCCCGAGTGAAGCCTACTTGTGAAAGATCAAGAAGACCGGCATGGTCTTGAAATACCATTAAATTCGTGATAACATTACTTGGCCCTCTTCATTCAGATGTTTCTTGATCTATGCAGAGCCGTGCTGCAAGATGTAGCCACCATCGACCTGAAAAAGAATGGTTAGCATGATCCCACAAAACGATATAGCGTTCAAAGCATGGTATACATACAGCGATCGTCTGGCCGTTCAAATACTGGTTACTGGCAGTAAAAATCATGGCGTTGCCCCTAAAGAGAAGCTACGATTAGCATCTTCGCACGAAATTGGTTGGTCAAGAGCGCCGCGACTTTGTGATGGGTGCACTCAACTCTGCGAGGCGCTGTCCCGAACGGTATGTCAAAACACCGTATGGACCTTGCGCACAGACTGAGACAAAGCGCCATCACTAGTCGTGACACTTCTGCCTTCGGTTTGACTTACATATCTCTGTCATTGCCGGGGCGCTGGGCAAAGACTTTGCCTTCGAAGTCTTCCTTGGGAAGTTCCGATTTCTGGTTCTCGCCGCTCTCGCCCTGAGTCATTTCCGAAGGGAAGACACCAGGAGCGATGGAGTTGACTCTGACCTTAAGGCCATTTTTGCCAATCTCGAAGCCCAGCATCTTGGTAAGGTGAATGACAGCAGCCTTTGAAGCGTTGTAGGCGAAGTGATGTTGTGCGGTCTTGACGATACCTGAAATTGAGCACACCTGCGAAAGGGAAGAGGAATCAGCACTAGTCGTGGTGTTCGTGTTTTCAGACAGAACTTACGTTGATCACACATCCAGAGTAACCGTGCTGATGCTCAGTGGCCTTTTGAAGCAGAGGGAGGAAGCCCATGGTCATGAAGAAGCACTGAGGGACGTTGGTCTTGTAGGTGTCGGTCCAGTCTTCAATGTTTGAGTCTGGATTATCGAAGAGGTTGGCCTTCATCTCCTCAGCTGTCTTGGCCTCAGTCTGCATGGTGTTGGACGAGACACCGGCGCTATTGTATGTCAGTAAGTGCGATTGATAAGTAGACAATTGTGAACAGACTTGTTGACAAGAATGCAGACGCATTTCTCCTTTGATTCAATCTCCTTGACCATGGCGGCAATAGACTCCTTCTTGGAGATATCTCCCTGGAGGGGAATGATCTGGCCGGGCACGTCCTTGCCGTAGATTTCGGCGACCTTGTCAAGCTTCTCCTTTGTACGGCCAATGATGTAGACCTTGGCACCGTTCACAGCGAATGCCTGAGTGGCCATGAGACCAATACCTGAGCCACCGCCTGCACATCATCCAGTCAGAGAAAGAAGACTTTGTGTGGAAGTGATGAGACTGACCGGAGACAACGACGACCTTGTCCTTGACATTGAAGAGCTCAGAGAGCTTGAAAGCATTATTGTTGTTGGGAGAAGACATGCTGGATGAAGTTGTGAAGGTACGTTGGGTATTAGGTGTATAGATTGCTCGAGGTTGAATGTGTCGAGAAAGTGTCTGAAGACGAGAAGTAGCCATGAGTGTTCGAGGAGCTGCTCTACTTGTACCTGAAGGAAGAGCTCTAGATGTCATTCTGTAAAGTGTCGTCATGGTGAACTGATTGACCCAAACAGAGGGCAGCATGCGCAGACTAAGAGTCGAAGTAACAACTACAATTCCCCGCTCAGTGGATAGCTGTTAAATGTGCTAAATGCTCAACACAAAAAGTGCTGTCGTCAGAAGTGCCCGCATTTTGAAGGAAGACCATCAATGTCATCAGGTAGGCGTCATCGAATACATCCTCGGGACTCGATCTCTCGATACCTCACGATACAAGCTTGTTTCTTGCGTGATCCACCTGTGCATGTATAAGGACATACCGCGCAGGTGTGCCTGGGATCATTGATCAGAAAGAGGCTAAAAGAGTTTCTGGAAGATGAGGCTCTTGTCGCTGAACGTGTTGGAGCTTGGGCCTCTACCTGTTCTTGTCGGTATCAACTCCGGCGGACTGGTCCAAGAGCGTCCACACGTCGTCGACAGTCACTTTTGACACAAAACCATGGGCTTAAGGTAAGAGCAAAGTAGAGAAGCATTGGTTGTACACAGGTCAGATTGATACTTGCAGCTTATAGCATGGAATGAGCGAACAAAAAGAAAAGCTGCTACGCTGGGTCGAACAACGGACCTTAGGATAGTTGCAGGAACTGCAATCCCACGCTCTACCACTGAGCTACAGCAGCCAATCACGTGATAAATTATCACGATTTTGTTAATTATACTCGTTTGTTTCGAGAAAGCTGGATGGCGGCTCTCGCCGAATAGCGGAGCGGGAACGTGCACGCGTGCAAGACGTCGGTCGGACAGTTGGAGAGCGAAGTCGATATCGAAGTTGAAGCTGAAGCTGCTCTTGCAACCATCTCCCCTCACCCTCCGTCTTTTCTTTTCTGTTCAGCGGTCATAATGCTTCGTACTCCGTTGATTCGGAGTCGGGCTCGCCTGTGCGCCCCACGCGCCTCGCCCGTCGTCTCGCAATTGCTGCTCAACCGCTCCGTGCGTTCTGCCCATCTGACGTCTATCAAGCCGTCCAATTGACTGTCGCGTGCTGACAATCACATCCAGAGAGCCTTTGCCGATATTCGTAGACCCGATGAGACTGTCCTTCCCGGTTCGCAAAGTGAGAAGGTCACCAACGACGTGCCCGAACCGCCAAAGCTCGGTGCCGAAACTCCCGCTTCACCAATCGAAGGTGCACCCATTGGCATCCCTAGAGCTCCTCCTTCTCCCGAAGCTGTTGGTGCCACCCCTCCTCCTGCCTCTACTACAACTGGCCCCAAGGTTGTATCCGCTCCTGCACCTAAGCCCAGACGCCGTGGTCGTTTCCGACGCTTCTTGACCACCCTCTTCCTTCTGTCTTCTCTTGGTTTCGCTGGTGGTGTCTACTACTCGCTCATTTCGGACAACTTCCACGACTTCTTTACCGAATACGTACCTTTCGGCGAGGATGCCGTCGCATACTTTGAGGAGCGCGAGTTCCGCAAGAGATTCCCCAGCCGCAAGCTCGAGGATCGTCACTACCCCCAGGTCCGCGGCGAGAACAAGATTCAGATTGGAAAGAACAGCGGTTTGACAGCGCAAGTCAACGAAGTCAGCTCTGGTACCGAGCGCCGTCACGTCAGTGCTCTCGAGCCTTCTCGCCCTCTCCAGCAGCCCCAGGAGGCCACCCCTGCTGAGCGCACTTCTGCAGTTGAGACAGCAGCCCACAAAGACGGTAAGCCCCGCCTCGACATGGAGTCAAAGACACACCATCTGTTGCCCAAGGAAGATGTCAAATCTGAACGCAATTCGCAAACAACAGCCTCCAAGCCTTCGACCCCCGCCCCTCAGGTTCCCCAAACACCTACCGTTGCTGCTGCCCCTCTCGACCTGATGAGCATGCCCAATGCCGCCGAACCCGTTGTCCAGGATGTCGTCAAGATGCTCAACAACATCATTACCGTTGTCAACGCCGATTCCTCTTCCGACAAGTACGCATCAACCATGGCTGCCGCTAAGAGCCAAGTCGAGAAGATTGTTGCAGACATTGCTACTCTCAAGGCCCAAGCCGAGAAGAAGACCGCCGATGAGATCTCCAACGCCCACACTCTGTTCGACACTGCTGCCAAGGAGCTCGTTACCCGCCTCCAGACCGAAATGCAAGATCAGGAAGCCAAATGGCGTGAGGAGTACGAGAGCGAGCGTGAGAAGTTGTCGCAATCATACCAGAACAAGCTCTCAACTGAGCTCGATGTTGTGCGCAAGGTTGCCGAACAGCGTTCCCGCAACGCCTTGGTTGAGCAAGAGATTGAGTTGCAGCGCCGCTTCGCAAAGAGTGTGCGTGATCGTGTCGAGGAGGAGCGCAATGGACGTCTTGCCCGTCTTGACGAGCTTTCCAGCTCCGTCGCAGAGCTTGAGAAGCTTACCGGGGAGTGGAACAAGGTTGTTGACAGCAACTTGGCTACCCAGCACTTGCACGTCGCTCTCGAGTCTGTCCGCAATGCCATCTCCAAGCACGACCACCCTACTCCTTTCATCAACGAGCTTGCCGCTCTTAAGGAGATCAGCAACAACAACGAGCTCGTCTCTGCTGCTGTTGCCAGTATTCCTCCTACCGCATACCAGCGTGGTGTTCCCAGCTCTGCTCACCTGATCGATCGTTTCCGTCGTGTCGCTTCCGAGGTTCGCAAGGCTGCTCTTCTACCCGAAGATGCCGGTATCGCTTCCCACGCCGCTTCCGCCGTCCTTTCTCGTTTCATGTTCAACAAGCAAGGTGCTGGTATGCCCGAGGGTGATGATGTTGAGGCTGTCTTGAGCCGTACTCAAGTCTTCCTTGAGGAGGGTGATATTGATGGTGCTGCCAGAGAAATGAACTCGCTCGGAGGCTGGGCCGGTGTCCTAAGCAAGGATTGGGTCGCAGAGTGCAGAAGAGTTTTGGAGACCAAGCAGGCTATCGACGTGAGTTCTTGTATCTCATCAACATCTTCGCTACCATATACTAACTCACCTTCTAGGTCATTGCTACCGAAGCCAGACTCCAAAGCCTTCTCGTTGATTAGATTATCACAAAAGCTTCTTGGTCAATCTGTACATTTTTCTAGATTAGTTTCTTTTTACCGCCAAACCAAAGCTGTACGATATCCAACATTACCTTTTCCTATGATATCTTGTCGTACATGAATCGTGATCAATGCCTGTTGTGGTGGTAAGATGTGAGATTAGGCTGGAAACGGGTTCGCTCCAAACTTTGACCATGGCGTGAGCCCGGCGCGGATCTTCGCGGGTGTGCATCGTCATAATAGTTGAAGAGGTTTCGAAAAAACATCAGTCAGCAAAGGAGACTTTTGATCGAACTTACTTTGTTTGTTATACATGCTTTGTGGAGTGTCGTTCCAAATCATATCAGATCGAACCGAGCGGGCGCGTCGTATATGAGAACGCGAAGCTCCAGCAAAAGTTACCAAAGGATTGATACATTTTGAGCCTCCATCAACATGACGGACGACTCTGCCGTACAGAGCTCAAACAAGAGCGGTCGAAGCCTCAGAGACAAACTCCGGTCTACTTTTGGTAGAAAATCAGTCGACGATACGAATGCTCCTAGAAGGAAGAGCAGCGCTGGTGAAAGTGTGGCGTCGGGGCGCAAAAGCTCACACAGAGCTTCTCTCGATTCAAGGCAGGACTCGATCCAGGTTCCTGCCTTCAAAACACAAGCCGAGCGCATTCGAGAAGCGCGAGAGACTGGACCCAAGATTGACAAACAGACTGGAGAGCTTCTGGATGGTACTTTGATGCTGCACAGTCTTGCGCACGACTCTTTCGACACCGTGACAGAAGTCTTGAATAGATACGAATTGGATCCGAATCGACGGCCTGGTGAACCTCAAATTGCTAGCTTGTCGTCTCAATTATGGAATCGCATTGCAGACTATCTGGACTTGATCGATCGCGCCTGCCTCGCTCTTTCCTCCAAAACTTTGCTGGATCGTGTGGGGTCTTCTTGCTTTACAACCATCAACCATTCCGACAATGAAGAAGTCAGACTGGAGTTCTTACACAGGCTGCAAGACAAATTACCGAATCACTTGTTTTGTTTTGTCTGCAACAAATATCATCTCCGAACTCAGAAAGGCGAGGAGAAATTAAAGCCTGCCAGCGTACTCAATCCCCTCTTTATCTGCCCACATGCCACGAACAACCTCATGCCTCAGCCAAGAATTCGTATCACAACAGGCCGAACACTTCCTTATACATTCGTCCAACTGGCTCTGAGAGGCAAGAAATACGGTCTAGATCACGGCATCGAAGCTACAACAATGGCGCGTCTTTGGAGAGAACCATATGAACCCAGGTGGACCCACAGTTCTCGCTATTTTGTCTTCAAAGGACATCTCCTGATGCGTGTTCAGAGTACTGCCTTTACAGAGGCAGGATTGACACCAGCTGGTGAGCGCATGCTCCTCTACAGTCGTGAAGACTATCTACCTTATTTCTCTGTCTGCGCACACTGGAGGGATGGTTTGTTGATGAAGCTCTGCAAATGCGCTTTGAGCCACATGCCAGTACCGCCGGAAAAGTCATTGCATGAGGGACTAGCAAAGGTTGCTGGAAGACGACCACATCAGAGCGCAATCATCACACTATGCTCGGAATGCCGTCCTATGCGCCGATGTCCTCAATGTCCGACAGAGTATCTGATCGAGGTCAAATTGGCTGAGGATAGATCGGAAAAGGATCCGAAGAAGCTGTTTAAACATGCCATTGTGGTGACACGATGGAGCGATCTTGGAGATGGCTCTTCTCCTTCAAGTCCCGAGTGGGCGGCCGTCACTGGTGCTATCGACAACTATGACTCTTTGACCACAATTGGCACGAGAGCTGTTTCGGGCACTTTTGAAAGTCAGTCGGCTGATACCGGCCCTGGACAGAGAATATTGAATTTGAACCCCAAGGATGAACACAAAGGAGAGGAGGGCCATGAATGGTACTGAGATGGATCCTGCCATGGTCATGCGCGCACAAAAAAGTGACAGAGACCGACTTACCATTACACCACTACATAATCTAATTTCCTATCAAGCGCTTCTGCACGTCATTATGAGATCTAACGATATCAAAGCAGTACCTATAAGCGCCCTGGCATTTGATTCAATTGATATGTAAAAGGAACCTTTGCAACAGAATTGCCTTACTGTGTAATCAGAGTGTCGTCTAATGGGATGGCAAATTATAAAGGCATGTTCAACCGAGCTCTCCACTTTGCCCCACCTCGAGCACCCAGCAGCAACCACATTCTTCGGCATGCTACATAACATCCTGACTTCATTGCATCTCATTCGTGACAACAATCCTCTACACATCTACACTGCTCTGCTGGACGGACAAGGCTAATGGCACTCTATCAAAATCTAGTCAATGGTACTTGGAACCACGGGAGGCGACGGCAGCTCACGAATATTCAAATCAAAAGACCACGAACCAATGCAGGTAGCCGCTGGCCATATTACACACCTGCAGTCTTTGGGATCATTAGCAAGCTGTTATAGCAAGCCTGAAGACAGGACGTAGGTGAGTAAGCGGGCAGGTACAGGGTGTAGGTGCTGTAGGCCACTATATGTTGCAGGGTGTAGGTACTGTAGGTGCTGCATGTCCTCCTTGTCTCAAGCTATCAATGGCGGTGTTGTACCTTTGGGATATCCGATAAGAGATTAATTTGATTTGATTTTCTTTATTTGTCTTTCCACTTCGCATTTCCCGTGTTGAATGCTTGTTTGCCAACTTGCAACACCTCTACGCGCACTCGCGATATTGCCGCGCGCACACCACCCACTGTGTCGTTGCGCACACCACTCTTCTATACCGCCCTTCTTAACCCTCGCATCCCCCTATCTTCTCAAAAGAGAGAGAGAAAATGCTCTTTCCTGTAGTAGCCTGTCTAGGGCATAACTTTGATCTACTCCCACTATTGTGAGGAGCATTTTGTCTCCTATCAACAGACACAATTGTTTTCGGAAGCAGAGGTCTGACCAGAGAGAGTCGATGAAATCTCGTTTCTCAATGGACATCATGCTGTTTTTTCATGATAATATTGTGCATTTTCATAGATATGAGATCGAACACCGCTAGAGAGAGATGAAACATACGTTTCCACGGCATATACAACATTATGTCACATTCGAAGGAAGGGCCTGTAAGCGAAAACATGAATGTTTTGAGCAAGACGAATAAGCTAACTCCCCAACTCCGCGCTTAGCAAATGTACTGCCCGTTTTCTCCACTCTTTCTATCTCTGTGCTCAATGAGAGCCTTACATCTTGACACGCAAGAGGTAGCGCAGACGGATCTGAGCAACATCATAACAGATGTACTCATTGTAGTAAAGGGAGGCGCCGGCAACATTGGTATCACCAGGGTCTTCGGTGGTGTCCGGCTGCGTGAGGTTAGAATTTTTATGCTGCCCGAAAGTCACAATATGAAAACATACCATGGTTGTGCCAGTGAGAGAGGGATGAATGCACCCAGCATCTTTCCAGGCTTTGGGCGCCATTCTGCCTTGACCCAAAGTAGACAAGGAGCCCATTTCTTTGGCAGTCTCAGCTGCTTGGTAACTGGCACCAGTGAGAGTTTGCATTGGTTTGCCGAGTTCAGCTTCACAGAGAAGGAGGAGGGCATGCCCGTCACTATTATATGCACAACAGTACCCGGCGGATCTGGTAAAATCGGAAGAGTTTAGTATAGATCATCAGATCAAGACAGGCAAGAACATACTTTGAGCTCATGTCGGCCAGATAGATGCCCTGTTGTGCGAGTTAGTGCATGCGTCCAAACGTGCGACTTTGACGTCCAAACATACCTTGCCGAACATGTAACCGTTGACAGGTGCTTCTGGTGGAGCGATGCGTAGACCTTGACTGAGAATTCCACCGAAGTTCGACGATCTAGATCCTTCAGAGATAGTTAGTGTTATGCTTTGTGACAGAGAGGTCCAGGTCCTGAAGGTGGTTTCAACTGCGGATTCAAACCTTCGACTAGATCGGGCTGCCAGCATTTGGCTCCACTCGATCTATCAGCAATCAGGTTGGAGCTTAGTTGCGACACTCTTCCCTAGCCCTCGCGGCCATTGAGCTAGAGATAGCCCGAAAGTGGTTTGGTGTTGTGCTGATGCAGCATGGCCAACTTTCGGTTGTGGGCCGAGACCTAACTCGAGCGGGCACCAACCTCCTCCCCATCTGCTGAGACAGTCACAGTGTAGCTATCGAAATGCACAAATGCAATTCGAAGATGAGTCTGACCATAGAGATGGCTGTTGATGGCTTTCTCTCTAGAAACAAGACTTTTCGCGCAAGCATTGTGCATTTCTACAGCTACACCGTGACTGTCTTGAGCACACGGAGAGGCTGGAGGAGACAGTTGGAACCAAAGCTTGAAACCACAGTTGAAACCACTCCAGAACCTGTATAATTAGGATACGATTGATTGCGAACTTACCATGCCACAACAGACGACGATCACTACCGACCGAGTATTCGCTCTTGTCAAACCTCTCAAACTCTCCCTCACGTTGGATGCGGAAGATGTCCTGCACCTCGTACTGAACGTGATGAGTCGAGCCGCAAGTCTTGTGAAGGTACTGGTTGATCTCGGCGAATTCTGAACTGGATGGTGAGAGGGCTTGCATTTCTTGCATGCCGAGACCACGGAAGCGTGAATCGAGAGGGTGGATCTGGCTTGCTGACTCCTTGGCCTTCTTCAAGATCTCGTCTGCATTCTTGAGGTCACTCAAGCTGTCCAGCAAATCTATCTCTGGCTTGAGCATTTCGAGAGTGCGGATGATGGGTGGGCGATTTCTTCCGAACGAGTGAGGGATGTAGCTGTAGTACTGGTTGCTGAGCTGTTCAAAATCGTTGAAAGTGACCGATGAATTGTTCATTAAAGCAGACAGCTCTTTCAGAATCTCAAAACCTTTGGTGATGGTGGCTTTGCTGAGCTTTCCAAGAGGCAGTTTGTTGGCATCGTAATTGAGGGCTTGCATAGTGTTGGCGAAATGTTTTGGATTGAAGATGAGCTCCATGAGCGACTGAACGGGCGGATCCAGAGTACACTTGGGTGGTGCGTATGCAGGCTCGTCGCCATCAGGAGAGGCACCGGATTGAGCAGGAGCTTCATCATCGTCGGCAAGGTAGCTGCGTTCAACAAAGACATACTTCTTTGGCTTTGGTTTCTCGCCTCTGTCATCCCATTTGAGGCCAGACTTGTCTTTGAATTTCTTCTCAAAATGGCTAAAAGCGTCTTCAAGAGAGCCATCACCGAGCATAGCCGTTTGGCCGTGCTCACCAACACGACCCCAGCGAGTCCATGTCTGATGTCTTGCACCAGATGCGTCTTCTAGGAGCTGAAAACATACGTCAGCATCAAGGACAAAGGAATTGGTCTCTCCGAGTGCGGGGGACGGTCATGTCGTTAGAAATGTATAATACTTCTCAGAAAGAGGTGGTGTCCAAAGAGAGGTTGCTGTCTTGGGACATCTCTGTGGACATCCTTTCTAGGAGAGTATTGTGCGTTTCGGCAGCAGGTCCTGGATGATGTTGGGCATGCGGGGATAAGCAAGCATACCTGAACACGATAGAATTTGTTGTTGTTATTCGAGGCGTTGGTCTGGTTGAGCGAGGCATCGTAAATTATACCAGTGTCAGGGTCGACGTAGACATGCCAGGAGGAAGCAACCCCGTCGTCGATGGGAATGTCAAGCTTTGCTCCTGCTGATGCGAATTGAGCTTCTGTGATTTTGGGAGCGGACTTGACAGGGTCGGTGGGAGTGTCAGCGGCAGCAGCAGCAGGTGGTTCTGGCTTTGCCTTTTTCGGCTGTTTGGCCGGAGTGGGGCCAGTTGGCAAGGGTGAGGACGCCTTTCTCTTTGTAGATGAGCGTGTCGACTTTGCTTTCACTTTGACTTCTTCTTCAGCATCATCTTCCTCTAGTTCGGCTGGTCCACCTGATTCGGCATCGTCTTCTTGCAGGGCATTAATGATCTGCTGCTTTCTGTAAAGTCCAGTAGTGGAGAGCCCGCGTTGCGTGAGCAGCTCTTTAAGCTCGGCAACCTTGAGTTTGTCGTAATCCATGGTTGTGATGTGAGATGATGGTTTTGGATCAAAGATGAAAGAGTGAGTCTGTCAATTGCAGCAGCGCAGACCCAAGGATTATTTGAAGGATCGCATTGGTCTGGGATAGCAGGCAGAAGCGACAGCCTTGGCGAGGAAGGTGCGACGCTGCTGCCCGCTGCTGCCTCAGGACCACGCGCCGCCACGCCATTTCAGCCTATCATTTGTTTACTTGCTCAATTCATCGACCTTTATACAGTTGACCCCTCACACGCAACAAAACCAGTCTTCAACCTTGGATTCGTTCAATCATTCACTCTTAGTAGTGGCTATCTTTCACCATGACCTTACTAGACTTGCCACCCGAGTTGCTCCTGCGCGTTTCAGCCTTCCTCACTACCAACGAACTTGGCAAATTCAGGCTCACCTCCAAGAATATTGAAGCCGTCTTGTTTGACAGCTTCTCTCGCGAGTTCTTTACCAAAAAACAATTCATGCTCGAACAAATCAGCCTACAAGCTTTGATCGACATATCCAATCATCCAACCCTCGCATCTCGTCTCTCTGAAGTTGTCATCAGCACTCATGTCTTTCCTTCAGATCCAGAGATCATCTCTTTGTCAGGCAAAGCCATGTACAAGGCTGGCCATGTCAATCATGACGTTCTCATGGCATCTGGTCAAGCTGTTCAGATGTTGGCCGAGGCCTTTTCCAGATTGCCAAACCTGCGTACCGTGGGCCTGCGAGACTACAATGCATCGGGCCGCTATCGTGATGGAGAGTTTGCTACTTGGAAAAGCTGGGGTTGGTCCTTTGGTTGGGAAGGTCTACCCAACTACGACGCAGACAATCTACACAGCCAGCGAGGATTGAGGACCATCTCACCAGAACCCATCTTGCCTATCTTGTTTTACGCGCTTGGTCAAGCCAAAGTCGTGCCAGAGAGCATCCACGTTTTCCTGCGCAAGCGTTCAAAGCTCACCCAACAATCTTTCAACATGCTGGACGGCTACTTGGGCGAGAAGGTCAGACCTGTACTCGGTAACATGAAAGAGTTGATGCTGGCTATCGGCAATGATACAACGCCCTACTATTATCACAGGACAATCACACCCACCAAATCCGAGAAAGTTGGCAATCTTCCTCTCGCGCGTCTGCTGCAACGTACCCCAAAACTTGACACTTTGCGTCTGAATTTCGAATCATCGCAACCCTTTGCCTCTGGTTTCTTAGATTGGCTCGGTTCGCCAGTCTCTAGCTCTCATGTTCTCTCCACGGACCCAGCAGCTAACTCTGTTGCCTTGCCTCAACTTACTGCTCTCGAACTGGGCATGCTCACCGTTCCAGCGACAACACTCTTGAAGGTCCTCACAAAGTTCGACCTGGAATCTTTCAGTTTATGGAAAGTCAAGATTCATGCTTCATCAGCTAGCGAACCCGAGGATTGTTGGCAGGCACTACTGCAAGACCTTGCAATCGCTCTGAAGCAGAAGACCTCTCTCAAATCGGTACTTATCGGGTTTCCTTCACAGCTACACTGCGGGAGAGAGCCTTTTGACATAGAAGATGTTTGCTATTTCAAGCCCGTCGGTGCCAGTGAACAGAACATGCCCGTCGGTGAGGAAGACATGTCAAGAATGACACAAGAAGCAAAACACCATGCGGGACCAGGCACAATCATGGCTGAATGGCTGGAAGAGCTATCAAAACGTACTTATGTCCCGCCTCCAGAGGATGATGTACTTTCTCTGCACAGTGACGAAGACGGACAAGATGATGGCGAAGGAGAAGACGAGGATAACGACGACGACGACGATGATGATGATGATGAAGACGATGACAACTGAAAAGGCCAACGCTGGTTCAAGTCGATACCGAGTGTAATAGCTTAGCTCACACATACAATGATGGGCGGCCTGACTACGGAATACATGCAGCAATGTAGACCATCCATTCGATGATCATGGTTCTGACTCGTGTCAAATCCGAGCTTCAACCTCCCCATGTGTCAAAGCAAGTCAGTGTATCTACAGAAATGTATCATGCTTTGGTGAAGAATGTGGTCTCTAAGAAGAGAATCCCATTTGAGACTATCTCAATGGCCAGACTCATATTTAACTTGCAGACGATCCAAATGTATTGTTGGGGTTGAGAAGGGACCACTTGCAAAACTGTGACCGTCTTCAGCATAGAAGGTCAAGGGTATCTGTAGTTTGTCGTTGTCAGCGGTGAGGGAGTGAGAGCTACGAATTCGAGAAGCCGAGATAGCAGTTTCCTCGGGCAAAATCATGGAACCCGGCGATAGAGAAGCGGTGGAAGCATCTGATGAACCTCACGCGATTGCATCAAATCGTTTCCCTCCCCACAACACGTCCCACACGAGTGTGTAAGCGAGCGGTGGGGAGAAGGGAGTTTATAAGGGACATATCTCGGTACGAAATGCCGCGATGTCACAATGCCGAATCTCCTGTCTTGGCAGTGACATGCCGAACTCTAATCATGCAAGCCGCTTTGCGTACGGGTTACATGTAATCGCCATGGCCTGTTGTCGTTCGTCAATTGCTGTATTCTCCAAAAAGAAATGTTGGCTTGCAGCAGAAGATTCTTGTTCTTGAAGTACACGCCACTTTCCTCAATTCGTGATCTATCCCGGACGCCACTGCCTCAGTCACTACAGCGGTACAGTGACTTGCCGCTACGTCAATACTCCATCATGGCTGCTGGCAACAATCGCGTTCATGGCGACCTGAACAACACCGAGGTCATGCGAGAGACCAATTTTCTGGTCCCAGACCCAACTTATGCAGGAAAAACATTGGCGATCCTGGAATCAGAGGACGATGCAGAAATCAGATCAAAATATCGACCATTCCTCACAAGCCCAGAAGTGGCGAATAGCGACTGGATCTCCCAGTCCGAACTCAGCACAGTATTGAAAATGTCCGAAGCAGATTTGGCAAAGACTGGAGGCAACAGACTTAAGATTTTGGTCTTGTATGGCAGCTTGCGGGAAAGGTTAGATCCCAGATCTCCGAAAAGATTCAAGTCAAAGATTTGCTGATAAGATGATGTGTTTATCAGATCGTACTCGCGGTTATTGGCTTACGAATGCTCACGCATACTTTGGCGTCTGGGTGCCGATGTTCGTGTCTTTAATCCTTCTGGCTTGCCTGTCAAAGACGATGTTCAACATCAACACCCGAAAGTTCAAGAGCTTCGTGAGTTGAGCAAATGGAGTGATGGTCATGTATGGGTATCTCCTGAACAACATGGTAATCTCGTAGGTGACTCGCTGAACGACGGGCTTGGTACTTTATTAACAATTGCAACAGACAGCCGTGTTCAAGAACCAAATCGACTGGGTTCCATTAAGCACAGGTTCAGTAAGACCGACCCAAGGACGCACTCTGGCAATTGCTCAAGTCTCTGGCGGCTCACAATCCTTCAACACTGTCAATTCCCTTCGTGTTCTCGGACGTTGGATGCGCATGTTTGCAATCCCCAACCAATCTTCAATACCCATGGCATACACTCAATTCACCGACGCACTTGACGAACAAGATCACGACGCATTCATCAAGGCAGAAGGTGGAAGCAGACTCAAGCCTTCAGGCAATCGAGACAGAGTTGTCGATGTCATGGAGGAACTGTTCAAGTACACTCTCATCATGCGAGAGCACTTTGATCTCTTTGGTGATCGACACAGCGAACGAAAAGAAAAAGAAGCCAAACGATTGAGAGAAGTTGAAGTCACCAAGCAGGAAGAAAAGGCAGGTCAAGAAGGCAATGCAACAAGTATGGTCACTGCAAAACTTGTCAATGGCATTGATGTCAATGGTGTCAAATGATACAAAGCTAATCAAATGCGCCTGTCTTGAGGGTATCATATAATCCGTCAAAAAAAGAAAGCCCCCTCCCCAATGTCAAAACTTTTCATGTACAAGAATCGAAAATAAGCGAACATGATAGTCGTACAAGATATTCAATCCTCAAAGCCCCATGTTGACAAGTCTAATGCCACGTTCTTTAGCAAAAGATACCCAGTCAATATCAGAGGCATTGCCACCAAATTGAATTCGTTCTCTCTGCTCCACACACATTGTTTCGAGCAGCTCGCGAGATTTTGTAACATTGCAGCTGATGCCTGTACCTTCCATTGCACGGATGAGACCAATGGCACGGTTCTTGTCGTGGTCATTCGCACTATTGACACCAGCCAAGAAGATAGAGAAGATGAGGTTGTGTTGTTCAGTGCCCTTTTCGGCAACCACCAGTGCAGCCATGGAGAGAATGTGGCGACAATGGTTGGCAACTTCCTTGCGTTGGGTAGAAGATAGGTGGTTACGCTGACCATTATACATGCTTGTGTGCAAATATACCATGGCGGTAGAATATTGAAGAGATGCCTGAAGAATTTTGTTAGGCTCAGGATTTTCTGCCCAGGCATGCGAAAGCAAAAAAAGAAAAAAAAAGAAAAAGAAAAGAAATAATATCAAGACTTACAAAATCAAACACTGTCCGCGCAAGGGTCGGCAGTCTTGTTCCAGCTTCTGGTGAGTCTCGAGGCAGGAAGGCCGGGTATTTCAGGCTCCAATTCGAGTACATTTCGTTTCTGAATGTCACTACAGTGTTCTGATGTTCTGTGATGCTACCACGACCAGCTTCAACATCTTCTCGCATCTGCAATGCCAACTGACTCAATTGAGCAAAGCGTCCACACATGTATTTGCTGAGATCGGTAACAGCGGATAGACCCGCTATCTCAAGGTTAGGCTGTTGGGTCGAGCCTTCTGGTTTACGCCAAGTCGGTAGAGTCGAGCCATTCGACAGGTATGCTCGGACGAAGAATCCAGACTCCGGATTTCCAGAAAGACAAGACTGTGCATCCAAGAATAGGGTATACCAAAGGATGTAGGCTTGTAGCTCATTGAACTCGAAGTCGTCTCCGGCGTATGCTAGACGTGCGAGTTGTTGAAAGTGTTGTGACCACATGATTCCGTCTGGAGAACAGTTCTGTGTTGCACAACAAATGTCGTATAAGAGAAGAATGAAGTGAAGATATATTAGAGAGCCCTTCGAAATGGCTGTACTTGACATGCATGCTGAAATGGCTTGTTGGTAATGTTGAAAGGCTCCTGCGAGGAGATGTCGTTGTCCTTTGAGCGCCAGACTCAGTAACGTGATGGCGCAGATTGCGTGATACAACTCATTGTCTGTCAGCACGGGACGCCGGGTCAGAGATAAGCAGAACTTACAGGTGGGAAGGATCGTGCTTCTACGACAATGACATCGTCGTGACCGCACTCGCTGAGTCTAAATCTTGATCCAAGAGGCATCATCCTTTTGGAGATGAACTCTCTATAGTGTGCCATGACTTCGTCAATGTCTGTGGTTCCATAGTTGGCAAGGTCGCGTGGGATTGAAGATGCGGAAGAGGTCGGAGTTGGGTAAGCTGCAAAAGAAGGGTTGCGTTCGGGAAGAGCCATGAAGTAAGGTGTATCTTCGAATTCGGCAAGAACGACAAGGTTAGGGTCTTCTGAGAAGCCATATTTGGAACATCCGCTTCCGCTTCGATACCGCCTGATCAGTCCACCATATTCTGGTAATCGACCAAAGCTATCCGGTGTAAGAATGACATTGAAGGTACCAGGAGGTTGTGTCAGTGCTTTTCTTTCTCTTTCATCTTCATTGCTGAGCTCGGTGAATGCTGGAAGTGTAGGCTGATGCCTGGTATAAAGCTGACGAGCCATCATGCGTGCTTGATTCTTCTCATCCCATGACGGACTTCCAGTGACTGATACGTGCTTGTGTCTCCGCCGCGTGCGCATACTCAAATCGTCAAACTTCCATCTCTGGCCCCATTCGCAATCTTTCCCTAACCGACTACACGATGCGCAGACCGGTCGAACCTCGTCACATTTGACTTTTCTCTGCCGACATGTCCAGCATCCATTCCTTGATCTTGGCTTGGATTGCCGTGTGCCTGGTCGACGTGGTTCACCGATCGCCGAATCGGCGTCCGAATTTGATCCCGACGATTGTGATTTGGATGGACTGGACGCGAGTGTCGGACCTCGAAGCAGTTCTTGCCCCATTCGCGTGGACGGGCTTGTAGATATAGTTTGACGACTCATGATCTGGGAGTCTTGAAGATCATAAGGTAGTCCATATAATGAAATGTTCTTGACGGTGGTGGTATTGAGAACGTCTGAAGCAGGGTTGTACCAATTGTGAGGCTGTTTGTGGGTGCAGAGTAGCATCGAATCGGTTGAGAAGGAAAGTCGACAAAGAAGAATCTTTAATATCACAGTCTTTAGAGTTGGATCAGCTAAAGCTGTAGTATCCGAAGAATCCTAATTTGCTCCTTGAAACAGACTACACATGGATCGACTGGAATGAAGACTTATAAGTTGGGGATCAAGGTCCGGGTTAAACTTAAGTTGCAATCCTTGAGAGTCCCCTACGCGGACCAAGGTGTCGTAAGTTTCGGGAGACTGCAGAAGCTCAAGAAGCGTTGCGCTAAAGCATCTCACCACGCCTTCTATACACGCCGTTGATAACCTGATTTCCCCAAACCTAGCTTACAACCTGAGATCGGTTTGTACTTGCCCATTGACGTCAAAGCTGTGGTGCCAAACGCTTCTCATGTATGGTTGTCGTCTATTTTTCCAGAAACAGAACATTGACAGGCAAAAAACGTGGCGTTGCTGGTACACCCAGTAACCTTCAGGAAGGTTTAGACACCAACTCATTTGGTGAATGCCATTAATGAAGGCGAGCTTTATTCAGGTGCAAAAACACAGCCACCCTCGACATGTGTCTCTGGTGTCGGGACAGCTTAAAATGGACTTGCCGATTGCTGAAGAGGTCAAAGCGCCGATATATGATCCCTACAACCTCCTCTCAGGGTCAGAAAAATCTAGATCTGCTTGTACACCGGTATGGCTGGAATGAAGATGATCCACGAGACAAATTCTCTAGCCCAGAAAGACACATCCTACGACATGCAGGCGTTGTATTGTCATGCCGCGTCAGCAACACAACATGCAAGTCGAGATGCGAACATACCTATTATGATGCAGAATCATTTTCAGAAAATGGTGATGCTAATGGCTGCATATCCGAAGAGATCCAGACTCTGCAAACAAGACCATTTGGCACATGCAGAAAGGTCAAGAGTGTGCCATTGACGCTGCGGCGACGGACACAAATCCGGCGTTCCGCCACTTCCTTCTCGACGAGCCAGTAGCCTCTGAGAAAATGCGCCAAACATTTCGTACCGTGCCCCGAGTAGCGTGATGTCGGTGATGGCCGGTGTTTGCCGGGACATACAGAAATCGTCTGCGTCGTATGCTCAAGCCTATCTCTCTAGTAGCCGAATCCAACGTTCGGAAAGCAACGTTTCCGCGAAGAAGCATCTGTTCCTGCTGGCCCTGATTATTGAACATGAGTGAAAGGAGGTCTACATCCATGTATGTACCTTTAAGGATGAGCGCGGATTCCAAAAGAGGGAATTGGGCACTTGCAGGCTGCATGGGCGAACACAATGCATATCTGTCAACGCGATCGTCGCCTCTATATCGGTCCGGGTTGTCAGTCAAGTATTGAACCAAACAACGGCTCAAGATCAGTCAAATTCTTCTGTCTTACTCTGCCACTTCCACTATTCCATCAAAACCCGGATGACTGCATGCATCTATTTCTATGCAGATTACCGGACCGAAAACCACCTTGTTGTGCTTTCAAGCTGCAGTCATGACGAATCATCTTTGCCTGACCGACGTAGCGATTTTGTAGATACGGAAATTGCTCCTGGAGTTCCTCAATTTAGGGCTGACGCCCGAGGAGAAGTTGTTCTTCGAAGAACTCGAAAAAGAAGCTTTCAGATCCATGTCACCCATGCCATGTGGAAATGGAGCCACAATACCCGTCGAATAGTTGAAACAAGGGATTTCACATAGGCGCTCGAAAGCCGAAAGTTTCCCAAATACCAAACAGAAATTTAAAGTTATTATGCTAACCACAGCATCATTGCCATATGGCTTCCGAGATCAACCGAGCCTTGATGCTTTGACAACATCATGCATAGAAGTCGCAGACACCATGCAGAGATACAAATTTTGAACGGAAGGAAGCAATGAATCATCATCAAAACATGCTGACCGTCAAGGCTCGGCCCCGCGGGATCGATCCTCTTTTAAATGTAGGTACATCTCAACGGAGTTCATCGGTGCATCGACGTCCACCGCTTCTCCAAGGTCTCGCTTGCAACGAACAAACTCAAAAACCTAGTGTCAACATGCAAGCCAAAGCATTTGAATATATGCAGGGAGCCGAAGGAGCCAAGACACTGCCACGCTGCTGTCAATGCCGTTTGTCAAACCAGGAACCTTAGCTGTCTGTTCGGTGTCGTCCGTTGTAATATACTTGTTTCAACTTCCGAGTATTCTCAGCGATCAGCCTCGATCTCGGGACAACAAAGTTTCCCATAAGCGATCATTATCGAAATTTCGTGGGCTGACGATGAGTTATGGGGGAACTCGACCTTGCAGTCGCGAGCATTGACATAGAATCACTCTGCTCGCAAGGTTCAGCAGTTTGCGCAATGTTCACAATCCGAACAATCACCTAACTGACTCAATAATTGAAGGTTCGAAGTTGCTATAGCGTTTCGTATTCTTGTACGCTGCGTGTGGTCCAAGATCTTGTGCTAGCATGCGCCGACACAACTCAAATCTTTTATTCTCAAAGACAGATATCCCACATTTTCACACAGCACGACCGCTTGAGTGTATCGTGAGAGAAAAGAAGAAAGTATGGAGAGTACCGTTTGATCAATGGATGGAATGATTGCGATCTGCTTGGCGATGGGGGGCTCGGGATTGAGAATGATATGGCATTGCGATAGTGACTGATGTCAACAGAAGTGGTTGTCGAGGAAGCTGAAATGCGGATGCACAATATACATAACTTCTGTGCACAAGTAAGCATTCCCCGCAGTCCATGTAACAGAGTCCAGGGTCGCAGCTGCCAAAGGACCTGAATTTCTACATCAACACCAGAATGCAGCGAAGAATTGCTTGTCTCTGTGTCGGTCATGTCTCTCTTTGGCGGAGGAGATGAAAGTGGACCGCCCTCACCCAGTCAGGCTAGCGACTTTTCCATCAGCACCATCGGCGAGGATCGAGAACTCACAGCGCATTCTGAAGGCTCGCCAGACACGGCGGCTGGTCACGACAATGACGACCCTGAAAACGAGACAGACGATATTGCTGCTAGAGAAATACAAGAGCTGGATGTATCAAGACATAACAGAAGTCCATCAGCAATATCAGACATCAGCGAGTTTGACATTCGGCCCAACCGCTTCAAAGGGTCAGACCGCGCCTGGCTACACCACACGCACGCCGAACGCTCTCTTGCCATATCGCTCGACCAGCTCAACGCCCATGATCTGAGTCTTCACCTGTATAGTGCTCACCACTTGAAGGCTCGCTTGCGCCACAAACATACTTTATCGACCTTCAAACCTTGGAGCAGAAAGAGTCGTTGGCTGCCCGACAATCACAACATCCAAAAGCCATGGTATCCCGAATCCGACTGGACTGCTTGGCCTCTCCCTCCTGAGACTGTTCCGAACGGCGATGAGACATTCGGTCGCCCCAACGATGGACTCGATTCCTACACTCTGCGCAACGCCAACCAACCTGCTCCGGCAGACAGTCTACGAGAACAACTACATGCCGTTATACTAGCACGAGCACACAATGATTGGAAGTCCAGGGATCAGCACGTTCCTGAGCCACAACACGTCACAACTGCAGCCAATACCACTCCCATTAGATACTCGCCCGTGAGACGAGGACGGACTCGCTCTGTATCTGCTGGTCCTAGTTCGGCTCCTTCTTCGCCGTCTGTAGGCGACGACTTGCCTCCCCTCTCGTCGCTAGACCAATCCATCGTCGAGGAGGGAGATCAAAACCATCTCAACTTGCATCCACACCAGTCCATCAAAGATGAGGGTGAGAAGTTCGAAGACAAGGACCTTGCGCGTCCAGTCTTTTCTGCCGACGACGATCGCTCGCGCGCTCTTCTAGACCCGACTGTCAACCACGTCATGTCGAAGCTTGATCGACTCCTCCTTGCCTTGCATCAGAGTAGACAGGCGCATTCACTTCGTACAAGAGACGGCGATACTTCGGATTCTTCTGCAAGATCAAATTCTCGATCACGTTCCACACCCAACAAGTCGTCCAGCAAGTCCTCAAACAAACGGGCCAAAAAGACAACTCCACCTCAAACTGCCACCCGAACCAGACACAGCCTACGTACCGGCGCTGCCTCTCGTCCATCCAGTCCAACAGATCTCGTGGTCTTTGACGATTCTGGAGAAGATGAGACATATGCGCCGGAGAAGCCCAAAAGACGCTCGCGATCACCCAGCAATAGAGCATCTTCAACTGAGCCCGAGACTCAGACTACATCTCCGAGTGGCAAGAAACGACGCAATGCTCGCAAACCAGGCTTGAGAGATTGGAGTGAAGTCTTGGGTATGGCTAGCTTAATCGGTTGGGATCCTGCTGTGATTGAGCGAACTCGCCATCGATGCCGAGATCTCTTCGGGGAAGACATGCAACTCTTTACCATGCCTGAGAATGACAATTCTTCTGCTGATGAAGCTGAGCCTATCAACCGTGCTCTAGATACTCGATCAACCCACTCTGCAAGCTGGCGATGCCCTATGGCGAACTGCTTCCGTAACGTGCAGCCCCTTGAACATGGTTTCCGCTGGCGTGAGCATATGCGCAAGGCACACAAGTACGACAACGATCAGATCGCGAAGCTTGAAGAACAGCTGGTCCAGTCTGGAGATATTGCTCCCGTACAGAAACGCCATCGTGTATTGGCTCACAACCCTCAAGCGTGGCAACCTCCAGATCCGCTCAGATGTCCACACTGTCCTACGTCTGAATACGTCTTCCCCAAAGTCAGCCGCCTGGTTGACCATATAAAAAGGACCCACAAATACGATCCACGCATTCAAGAACCACCTGAACGTTTGTCGAGCAGGGCTACTGGTCAAGATGGAGATGGCGCCCCTGACAAGTCAAGTAGTTCTGACGAAGATAGCGATGGCTATATGGTTGGTGGTGTACACAATGATGGCTTCTTGCAGCCTGTACTCCGCCATGCTAATTCAAGAGGAAGAGATCTTGAGCAAAGGGCAAAGAGGGCCAATGCTCGTCGCTCAAAAGCTGAGTTGAAGAAGGTCAAGCGTTGACCCCAAAGAGACGCAGACTTGTACAGGAGGAGCATCAAATAGGAGATGTTCAATACATGATTTGATAGCAAGATGTGTCTCTGACAACGACTCATCTGAAACACAGTAACCCTCACATTCATTCATCGTCCAAGACCCAGCTCTCACTGAGGACCTAACCTCATCTCATCAAGAATTCATCTTGACGAAATCTCAAACCTTGTTGAGTGCGCAGCTTCCGTCATTGACCCATTTTGTCGAGGGACGGCTGGCTCGCGACTTCCCCGAGCAGTCACTAGCGCATGCATTGTGCTGTTGTTGATGACACAGATGATGAACATGGTCCATGCTCATCGCTCGCGGCTACAGTAGACCTCAATGTGTAATCTAAGGAAAGAATACATTTGCGCACACATCACATCTGATCTCTACTGTGGCTATTGTCAGATTGTCTCCTGCACGCTCGCCTACCAGCAATAGTTTTTCGACGTATCAACGAAGAGAAAACTGTTTGCAGCCTGCCATAATTGACTTGGACGAGGAGTTCCCATTTTGTCGAGGAGTCTGTCATCGAAGAGCTAACATTTCTTTGAAACCCGGCGAATCAACCAACCCGAATCTCGTTCGCTCTCTAAGATATACAGCCGTAGCCTCTCCACTCCAGAACGTGTCTCTGATAATAACACATTCGAGGACATATCGTGCTTCACAGCCCTCCATTCCTTCATATCTTCTTTCATCACATCTCGTCGAGCATCCATTTCGTCGAGAGCTCGTCTTATCAAGCATTCTGTCGAGGAGCTAGCAATTCGTCGAGAAGCAATTCGTCGAGAAGCAATTCGTCGAGAAGCAATTCGTCGAGAAGCAATTCGTCGAGGCCCGACGAATAGAACGACTCGGATCTTGTTTGCTCTTCAACACGTATAAAGCCATGTCTCTCCACTCAAAGACGTGTTTCTGACAACAACACATTGTGCTTCACACTCCCTCCCTCCTCTTCACCTTCTTCCACCACATCCACACATCCGCATTCGAACTTGCACCCTTCTGCACATTACACGTGCACATCATCCATCTCTAACAGAAGATCTTCATCAATATTATCAAAGGTGACATCGTCTCTTCACGTTATACAATCTACATCGCTGACATCACACCTGTAGATGGCTACCTTCACTGAACGTGAACAGAAGCTCATGGCCGCCGCTTGCCAGTCCTTCGAGGGTGAACCCAAGGTACGTGTATCCATCCCAATGCAACATCGTTCTTTACTGACATGACCTTCACAGCTGGACATTGAGAAGGTACATCTTCTTTCGCATTTCAAACATTCCAGTGACTGACTTGACCATCTATAGTTCTCCCAGCTCTCCGGTCTGACCATCGGCTCCGCTCGCAACGCCTGGGCCGCTCTCAAGAAGAAGATCTTTGCTCAGGATGCTAGCGCCAAGAGTCCTACCACCAAGGCTTCCACCACCAAGTCCGGCAAGAAGCGCCCTCCTCCTGTTGTCATGCCTTCTGGTGACAACGGTTCTGACGACGAGGAGGTCTTTACTCCCTCCAAGAAGCCCAAGACTCCCAAGGCCAAGGCTAAGGGCAAGACCAAGGCCGTCAAGTCTGATGACGATGACAAGGAAGAGGACGAGGATGAGGACTACGTCAAGGTCAAGAACGAGGCTGCCGATGAGGACTTTGAAGAGGTTTAAATCACTTGGATCCTTCCCTTGATTCAGACGATGTACACTTGGTAAACACATGGTCATCGCAAGCACCACTTCTCGATAGAGATGCTGGGTATACTGCAAGATGCAAAGACACGACGAGGAGCAATAACAAAAGTCAATTTTCTGTTTCCGCAGTCGAAGAATTGTGGTGATGTGCATCGCATGATATGGTGATGTGCGTTTGGTCTGTCCACGAGTATATCGCGAGTCCGTGTTTCCTTTATTCGTGCTTGGAGTCTTCACTTGCGACTCGTTCTCGGTCGTCGTTGCACTTTCACTTACCAACCCCTCTCCTTCCCTCATCGCACCTTCCTCATTCTTGAATTTGCTTCTATAAATTCTTGCTCCTCGCTCTCACATCATCTCTCTCTCGTTACGACTTTCTTCTTCCACACAACATCTTAATCAGGACATCCTTACACAACCACAACAATGGCACCCAAGACCACGCTGTCCGCGCGCGATGTCGAGGTTCTCGCAGCCGCCTTCCAATGTCTGAAGACTCCCCCTGAGGTAAGAAGCTCTCTTGACATCTGTTGCGCTCTTTGCCATCCACGGCTTCCCAATCTACGATGATTTCCACCTTCAACTTTCTCATCTTTCACTCTCCTTGTTTGTGGACTGGAAGGCTGACAACAACAGATCGACTTTGACAAGCTCGCCGAAAGAGCTGGCTACAAGAACGGTCAATCTGCTCGTGCATGCTTCCAGGACATCAAAAAGAAGCTGCGTGCTTCTGGCAACGATGCCGATGGTGACGGTGGTTAGTCTTATTTGCGCATCGCACTTTCTCCTTGCTCACCTCTCACCCCTCCTTGTCACTTCCATCTCTAACACATCACCAGCCACCAAGAAACCCACGGCCGCCAAATCCAGAAAGCGCAAACAGCTCGCTTCACCTGCCGACTCTTCTCCCATGAGCCTCGCCGGCTCCTCTCCTCCCATCAACTCCGACGACGAAACCAATGCACCTGCAAAGAAAAAGTCCAAGGCCAGAGGCACCAAGTCCAAGAAGGCCATCGCCACAACCCCAGAAACCGAAGAAGACATCTGCAATGCTAAGGCCATTGCTGCTGGAAGAGCCAGATACACTGCCGATAAACTGGCTGCCGAGATCAAGAAGGAGGCGAATGATGATGATGATGATGGAGCTTGGGTTGACGAAGCTGAGCCTTTGGGGATGAACATTGATGAAGGAGAGGATGAGGGATTGACTGCGTATCAGTTGGTCAAGAACGAGGTCCTTGGCGACGGCGTTGAGGTTTAAAGGCTTTGATTTGGAGAACACGACAACAAGATGAGTGCAATGAGAGACGAAGTGACGAGATCGACTGGAAATGTACATTGCAGGGAGAAGGGGATGAAGCGGCGTTTGTATTGCGTGGGTTGATTTCACTTATTCAGAAAATGGAGACTTTTACGCCTCACCGTGCTTTCCTAGTGTTCACTGCCTGCGAGGTAGGAAGTTCAGTGTCTTGTGGGGCTGCAAGGCGCCTTCCCCTAACTTTGCGGTCCGAAAACCTGCATGACCAACTGTTTCTTGTTGACTGCACACATCTCGAATCAGCAAACGAATCTCGCAAAACGAAATCAGAAACTTACTCTTGCCCATAGCATTCCTAGGAATACTCTCCACCACTTTCAACTCTTGTGGAAACTTGAACGCAGCCATCTTATCCTTCAACCCTCTTCTCAAATCCATAGCACCAAAAGGTTTTCCATCCTTTCCAGCAGTCTTGCCTTGTTCGCTCAATACAACTACAGCAGCGGGTTTTTGACCCCAGGTCTCGGATGGTAGACCTACGACGGCACATTCTGAGATTGCAGGTAGTGACAGCATCTCTCTTTCTACTTCAAGAGCTGACACTTTCTCACCACCGACTTTGATGATGTCGGCTGACAGACGGCCGAGGATAAAGTACATTGGTCCTTGTGCCCATTCACCTGATGCGCCTTTGCCTGCAGAAGGGACGTTTCTTCGTACAGCCACATCGCCAGTCTTGAAGAAGCCGTCTTCGGTAAACTCTTTTGCTGTGGCTGTAGGATTGTTCCAGTACTCCTTGAAGATCGTGGGTCCGCGTAATTGAATTTCACCACTACGTTCTTTGCCGTCCGCATCGAGCTCCTCGCCAGGCTGAATAATGGCTTTTGTGTCGAGATCGACAAGACGGGCTTCAACGGATGGTAGCGGCCAGCCTACACTTCCATCTACTCGATCCTCGTTCGCTAAACCGCAAGAAAGAGCCATGCCCACTTCCGTCATACCATAACGTTCAAGAAGTACATTGCCGTTGCTCAACTCTGTCCAGGCCTGTTTCGTAGGTGTCGGCAAAGCTGCTGAACCACTGATGTTAAGACGCATGTTCTTTGGATCCAACGCTTCTTTCGTTGCTTTTTGCATCTCCAGGCTAAGAGTGTTGTGTGACTGTAGTAGTCTGTTGTAGATCGTAGGTACGACGGTGAAGAAGGAGATTGGTTTTTTCGTGAGCTCGGATGAGGCCGAAAGGAATGGTGCTGCAAGTCGTGACCAAACTGTGTCGACGGTGAAAGGAAAGAGGAACTCGATAGTGCTGCCAGCAAGCAGGGGCGTCAGAAGAGCGTTGACAGTGCCGTGAATGTGGTGGAGAGGCAGGACGTGGAGGAAATGATCGTTCGGCGAGTAATGCCATGCTTCGGAGAGTGACTTTGCTTGGGCCATGAGCGTGGATTGTGGGAGAAGTACTCCTTTCTGCTGCCTGTCAGGACTTCCGCGTGTTCGTGAGGATCGAGAAGACTCACAGGTCTGTTGGTTGTGCCACTGGTATACAGCATCATACCGCTCTTGTCCTGTTTCATGTCCTCGAAGATGACCTCTTCAGTGATCTTGCTGCCTTCGACAATCTTCTCCCAGCGCGACAGAATGGGCTTCTTCTCGAGCTGACCGTCCAGGACATCGTCGGCCTTGGTTGCAAACTTTGAAGACGCGGCCAACATGAGTGCACCACTTTGATCGAGGATATATCTCAGCTCTCCGGATGGGAAGGCAGGCGATAGCGGTACGGCAATGGCATTGGTACCTAGAATGGCGAGTAGCGTCACTGTTGATCACATGCCTCAGCAATTGATCTCACAGAAGAAACAGCGAGAAGAGTAGAAGAAGAGAATTGAAATGATGAATCGAAGAGAAAAGGAAGTAGAAGGTCAGCGCACCTACATAGTCATAGCTATTCTCGACTAAGAAAGCGATACGCTCGCCTTGCAAGGCTTCGGCATTTCTACCGGCGTCATTGGCGAGTCGTTGTTTGGCAATTGCGACATCTTTCAGGAGGGATCCATAGCTGAATTGACGACCTGATAGGGAATGTACCACGGCTGAACTCTCTGGATCGTGCGACTTGATTGCTTCGAATAGAGGTGTTCGTGGTAGACAAGCCAGTCTGTTGGTCGTGATGGTTCTAGCACAGCGGAAGCCAGTTGAGGATGATATCAGCCGCCGCGACAACAATTCCGAGAAGCTCCTGGACAGCAACATGCTGGGCAACAGCAGTTCGAAGGACTTTTTCTCTGGTCTCGTTGTCGCGTGTGTAAAGTTAGCAAGAGCTTTGACGCATCTTCGCACTTTCCTTCGGCGTTTGCGGAGTTTGCACTTTCTATGCACAGGGCAAAGCTTGTGATTGCAAGTGGGAGACTTGGTTTTACAATTGATTACTGCAGTGTCTTGTGTGACAAGATGAGCATGTTAACTGCGTCTATTTCGAGTCCCAGCCCCAAGCTCTCTTGATGGTGTCTCCAACAGTCTCCCTACCACGTTCTCTCCTGCTTTCTCGTACCTTCTTTTCTGCCTCGTAGTGTTCGTGCACAACAGCAGCATACTCTGCATTTGCTCTTGCTTCAGCAGCCATAAGCTCAATCTCCAGTTGACGCTCAGATCCCGTCTTGTCTGCTAGAGACTGCTCGATAGCTTTGCGCTTCTCTCCCGTGTACATATCTAGACCTTCTCTTGTGCTCTGTATTTGAGGAGCTGCTTGTTTCGAGCCCAGAGCTTCTGTAGTCGATGTGCTTGTGATGAGTGGCTTGTACTCTGGTACAGGCAATTTGTTTTCCTCTGCCTCTTTCATAGCCTTTTCGCGATCCAGCATCTCATGGTAGAGTTTGTCTGCATGCATCTGAATGCGCTCTTCCTCGTCGGCTGTACGCTGCATACTCATATACCCCAAAGCCTTGAGGAACCGAGCTTGCATGCTGTAGCAGCGGTTGAACGACCGAGTCTCCTCCTTGCATAGATAAAGTTTTGCCCTGATGCCGCCTGCCTCGAAACATTCGTGCTCGGCCCATTGTTCCAATGCGCAGTTCTCGAGTGCTGCTCGCGCGACTCTGGCTTTGCGGTCGTTGTATGTGTCAATGACATCGGCTAGTTGTTCGCTTTCGCTGCGGCTGGCTTGTTCGATTTCTTCTTGTGGGCGATAGTTTTTCCACAAGTGGGCATATCTGCCATCTTGATATAGTGATTGTGGCGGTGCAGCATTCGCGTTTGTCTGAGGTTGTGTGGGTTGCGATGGGTCTTCAGCGATGCCAATTTGTGAGCGATATGAAGGAGTGTCTTGTGGTAGTTGTGTTGGTTGCTGCTGCTGTTGCTGTTGGCGCGTCTTCGACTCCTTGTCCAGAAATTCTCGGAGCGACGGATCCAGATTCTTCAGCGCATCCTTGCTCTCGCTGTTGTTGTTGCTTCCCCAGAACCAGCCCATCTTGTGTCGATGATGTGCGATGCGTGATGTGTAGGAAAATGTACGGAGGTGAGATGCGGGCAATGAAAGTGGAAGTTGCCGCTCATGCGGCCGCACCTGCCTCCTCCGACCCCTCTTCTAAACAAACATGACACAGCCATTCTTCGCACCTCAAAGCTGTTTTGGTACCTGTGTCCTTACTGGACGAATTCTCGAATCAAGCTATCGTGGTGCGATGCTATAGTTCACACGACTTATAATGGGACCGTCGAAGCCTGGTAGCAACAACTTTTGAGGTTCTCTGGAGAAATATTTTGATGCTCTGATTGCTGCATATTCATACCAAAAGTTATATAAGCGAGTGACATGAAAGGTGCGTATCATCTCAAAATAACATTTCTTAACGAGTGTAAAGATTCGTTGCCATCTGAGCATAGTCGGGAGTTGAGAGCCCGTCTTTCTCGGTAGTGTCAATAAAAGGTCCTGCCATTTACTGAGCCTTGTAGGTAGAGCCAATGGGTCCAAACTTGACATTGCTAAAGGTGACAGCAGCGTTGCCTTGTTGAGATTCGACATCGCTGGGCTTGCCAGAGGTAGTGGGGCAGGTACCTCGAGCAGCACCGACCTTGTTGGAGCCAACAGGGTAAGTAGAGTCGAGCCAGAGCATGTTGGCATCGTAGTCATCCCAGACACTAAAGACAAGAGCCATACCAGCATCGAGATCCTTGCTGAAACCTGCAAGACCGCCCTTCTGAGAGAATGAATCAGGGTCGCCTGTGACGGTCTTTTGCTGCTTGCAGAAGCTGTCGGTGATCTGGTTGGTCTGGGTGATGCCAGCAACGTTGGTGTTGGCCTGTTGAATGACCTTGCCGTTCTGGACGTAGAGGCGGCGGATGGCGCTGAGAGTACCGGTAGCGGTATTGTCCGAGGTTCTGTGGTAAAGTGGTCAGTGAGGTGCAAGAACAAGGTCAAGAAAGGGGTGAAAAACATGAATTGGGTGACCACGGTCATTTTCTGCTTCGAATCAACAGTCTTGCCAGGTCCGAAGAAGTTCTGGGCGCCCCATCTGTAGGGGTTGAAATCACAACCATCCTTGTCGCAGTAGCCGTCATAGCGAGACTCGCCAGTACCGCACGTGGTGTTGCCAGTGCAAGGACCGTTGGTAGTGCAAGGGTGAGGAGTAAGAGCGGTGGAGATTGAGTTCTGGAAACGAGGTCAGTAAAATGTCCATTCGAAGGATGACACAAGCTTCGCTTACAGCCTCCCAGATGTCCATCTCAGCACAGCATGAACCAGTGTTTCCGGTGCCAGAGTTGGGGTCTCCGTTTGAGGGTACCCATCCCTCGACGTTGGCCTGCACGATGGATTAGGTTTGTGACTCTATTCGACAGACAGGTATAATCTTACCTTGCCAGCAATGAACTTGAGATCTCTAGGGCACTGAGCATCGCAGTAGCCAGTTCCATAGGGTGCTCCTGCCTTGTTTGTAGGGTACTTGGCAAGACCGCCATCGGCATCCATCTTGACAAAGTACAAGGCGCCATTGATGCCGCAACCTGGATTAATCAGCTCCTTTCCCATGGTTTTTCTGGTAACAGAACACTTACCAAGACCAGAAACATCAACGTCGAAGGTAAACTCCTGGTTCTTCAGCTTGAACAACTCGTACTTGTTGCCGTTGATCAAGTAGACACGAGATCCGACGTTGTTGCCCTGCTTGAGCTTCAAGCTGACAGAGTTACCGCTGGCTTGAATACCGTAAGTGCCAGAGTAGTCTGGAAGAAGAAGAAGCGTAATAAGTATGTGGTCTTGAAGGACATTTGACTGTTATTTACCTGCTCCATCAAGAGCGCAGTTGGCAGCACATTGAACATTGTTAGGGCAGAGAGTGCTGTCAAACTTGTTGCCGGTATAGCAGTTTGTATATCCATTGGTCGAGTGCAACCAACGCCAGTTGGCATCGAGCACAATGTTGGTATTGACAGTAGTGCATTGACCTCCAGTAGTGCACTTCTGGTAGCTCATGGGAGGGTGGTTCTCAGCAGTTGAGGTGCCAGCCTGCTGTCCGAGGACACCATGGCCCAGAGCGAGAAGAGCTGCCAAAGTCGAGGCAGAGATCATTGTGATCGGGGTAAGAGAATCTGGTGATTGAAGAAGAGAGCTGAGGGGATGTCTGATTTCGATGTTTCATGGCGGTAAGTCGGCCATATTTATATTCGAAGATGCTGTCGTTGCTGCCCCCCGAGCGAGCATCGTCTCGCCTTCTGTCCATCCGAGGCAAGCATCACCAATAGCCCCTCAACAACCTCGCTACTGTCCATGGTCCTGATGAAGCAAAGATGACCTTGTCGTCGCTGAAGAATGCCCTGTCAGCGCTCACGCATCCCTGCATGTCCGTATGTTCGTATGTGTGCTCGCTTGCAACGTTCGAGGGCAATGGAGGAGAGATGACCAGGTGACTAGATTTACTGAGTGTAAAGCATCAGATCAATCTATTCGAGGATTTATCCGCTTCGGCTGCGGAAGGCTCGGTGATCGTGCAATTAAGGCCTTGCATAAGCTTCCCCTCGTTTGCGGTCCGCTGCACCCCAGACACGTTAGGTAGAAGAGAAGGAAAGATACTCCGAGCGAAGGTACAATGGAAGAAGACGCATTTACACCTTCTGGCCTTCGATCTTGTCAGTCCAGCTATCTCTACATTGAATTTCGATATACAGCGTATTGACGGGCCGCCTCACCAAGAGGTGATCATGAGGGAGATGCCATGGACCACCAAGCAACCAAACATCACGCAGAGGCGAAGCCCAGTTCACATTTTCAGAACTTGATGGTGCCCTCGCTTGGACTATGGCTCCCCAGTGGCTAGGATGAATCGAGCAGTTCTCGAGTGGAAGAGCGGGCCGAATCACCATCAACATGGGCTTTGTGATCTAATGCTGCTCTCCACTCGTACTATAGCATGAATAGCCTGAGGGCTGATTTGAGCCTCTAGACCACGGCCGGAAGCTTTCTTCCACTCAAGGGTTGCACCTACCTCGTTTCACTGTAGTCCTGCCCTTATTCTCCGCCAATCAACCAACAAGCCAAACAGACCTTGACCATGTAATTCGTTCTCCGTCAAAGTAAAATTCAGCACTTACAAACACCAAGCCCGAGCTAATGATGAAACGAGGCTGCATATTGTGTGTCACCAATATCCATGCGGCCGTATTCATGGCAAGTCATGTGAAGTTCTGCATGCATACCAAGAACCATGCTTAAATTACTAAGGCGGGGTTTTACGATGGGTACCTGACAGACTCGTCGATCATCCGGACTATACCTTGACCCTGCATGATGAACGATCTCGCCTGGAAAAATTCTCCGGATCGGATTGTAAGCATGGCTGTTCACCTTTGCAAATCGTTAAACCTTGGACAATTTCGAGGATCTCCAAGTTCTGGCCCGTCTTTACATAGCTCCGCGCAGTGCACTGAACGTGATTACTATGTGATGGGATTGTTAAATAGTTATACATTATGTAACAATCACATCCTTCAGATCACACTTCTGATTTAGTCCCGGGTAAAATCAAGATCAATTTGAGCGGCTACATAGTCAATTGCAAAAGAAGTGAAGATTTGATAACGAACCTAGAGACAAACCTTGACAGGAAAGACAGACGATCAAGGACACAACAGCAAGAGAACACGTGGAGAAGACTAATCCCTCGATCCTCTCGATTTCATCAACCCAGCTCTTTCTTGACTTCCTCGAGATAGATCACTGCTGCAAATCACAAAGCAGGGTTTGCGTTCTTGAGCAGCTGTTCAAAGTATGCCTGGAACCAAGTACCAGCCTCGGGGGCAGGCTTCAAAGCATCAGCATATCCACAGTGGGCATCGTATCTGGGAGAAGTTGAGTCCGAAGTTCCGTCAGATTCACCACCGGGCTTGACCCAGACGATGGCGTCCACAAGCGGGTCGTCAGTGTTTGTAGTAGGGCGGATACCGAAGCCAGTGTTGATGACGTTGCACCAATCTCCCTGCTGCAATTGCGATGTAGGTTGAACACCCGAGCGGCCTTGATCGATAATGAAGTGTGCTGGGAAACCTTGAGCTGTCAGGAGAGGAGCAAGAGCGTTGACGTAGCGCTGCTCATCAAAGTCTAGAGAAGGGATGACAGTAAGCATATTGTTCTTTGTTCGAAAATGTACCAATACATACTGGGGTTGCTCTGTGTGTATGAAGGAGCTGTGGCAAGCTGATAGGCATTGTAGTTGGAGACATCAGTGGCAATACCTCGAACAGCTTTCGGCTTGCCTGCAGCTGTATAAATGCTTGCGAAAAGATCAGCAGCTGGACCGATGTTGGCAGGCCATCCAAGCCAACCGCCGTGTCCTCCATCGAGGTACATGGCGACGTTGTCAAAGTTCAGAGTCTTGATTGCATATTCGACACCACCTAACCACGTTAGCATGCTGCTTGGCAAAAGACTTTTTCTTGTTGAACATACTGATGTAATCATCGTGAGCCTCCTGGCATTTAGCAACGTTTGCGTTGGTTACAAGGTTTCCGAGACTGTCTGGCTCGATAACAAGCGCAATCTTTGTCGAGGAATGCTTCTTGACGATGGCGGCAATTGAGTCGATATAGGCCTTGTACTTGGTAAGACCATCATTTGCGACGGTCAACTCTCCGTTGGAGGCGAGAGCAGCGCAATCACGATTGGGTAAATCGTAGACCACGAATGCACCAATGGTCTCGGGAACGGAACCAGCGGCATTCAGCTTCTCGATGTTGCTGAGGTATGTATCCATAGTAGGGACTTTCGCGGCCGTATCACTAGCATCGTCAGCATGGTTTGGATGGGTAGCTCGATGGTAAGACTCACAGCCAAACAAAGGTACCGATCTTTGCAACAGCACTTGCCTTAGCTTGAAGGCTGCTTGGGAGAGACGGAATTGCGGCGGCAATCTCAGAAGCATAGTAGGGGTTCGCGTAAATCTGTCTACCAGCGAAGACATTTCCGGCAACATTGGTTGAGCCTGCTGCAGAAGTTGTTGGAGAAGTGCCAGTTGCCGTGCGGGAGGTGGTGAGTGTTGTGCCTGCGCCAGAAGTTGTAGTAGTGGTTGGTCTGGCAGAAGTCGTGGCCGGTCTTGTCGAGGTTGTAGTAGCTCCGGCTGTGCCAGAAACGCATTGGTAGTAGTCTGGATATCGTTAGTTGTTTGTTGACATGTCAGTAATTCAACTTGTCTTACAAGGATTGACACTGGCACAGGACAAGCCTGCATCGCAGCTGCCACTACCGGACCAGTTTTGCCCTCCGCATTGTCCGTAAATGGAGATGCCAAGTACGGAAGGAACGAATGCAAACAGAAGAACAGGGATCATCTTTGCGAGTAATGGATAAGATTTGACTGCTTGTTTCTACTGACATGCGTTTCAATCGATCTTTATAGCATTTCGCCCGTCGACTGAACACGTCACGGAATGGATAAAAGAAGTTGGAGTGCTGGTACGTCCGAGTATCAATTTCCAAGCGACATGGTCTAGAACTTATCCGGCAGGTATCCGAACCTACTCGTACGGTATGCAACTTTGTGGCTCATGACTCCTTGTAAGACAAGAAAGCATAGAAATCCAGAGCCATGGCTTTTCGTTTAGGGATTCGATGCATTTAGCCGCTGTTAGGCGAATGTTGAAGCATCAAGGCATGCTCTTGAGGTCTTGGCACAAAGCCCTGGTCTTCTCCGCGTGTTCTGGGGGCTCATGCAGACTCGCTATAAGGCATGACGCTAGGAGACTCCGTAGACGATCCCCAGGATGGAGTCCAATACGCTAGGCATCTGTATGGGTCGTCTGGACTCAGGCTATAGTCGAGAGAGGCTCAAGAATCAGCTCAGATGGTCTCATGCAGGTCAAGAAATTACGGGGTTGCGGGGTGTGTTTGAGGAGGTGAAGTCAAAAATGCTCAAAGATGGGGTGGATGAGCTTTGGAATTTGTGGCTGCGGTTGAGAACGGATGAATTTGATTAATACCACTCCGACACCACCTACTACTTCATGCTTTGCTTTGAACTGGGCACAACAGCTGACCTGACTATTGCTGAACATGAACGGGTCCCGATCAAGCCTCCGCTTTCACGGACCGCCGCGCCGGACGGTCGACATCGACTGCCTTGTTGGGCACGCACTACACAAGTCACGAAGCGAAGCACAGTGTGAAACTCCAGCGATGGGTCCGATCGGGGACTGTGACGGGTGGAATAAGAGTGCCTCTTTCAAGTCTTGGTAGAGAGAGGTCAATATGCTGGCTCTCGACATAGCGTCTGCTGCTACAGAAATCAATGAGGTATTTCGATGAACAATAGGTATCATCAAACCTCTGTATTCTCCTTGTCCTTCACAACTTTTGGTCCTTCAATCTTCTTGATCTTTCGTCCTTCCCACCATGACATCAAGCCCGCAAACATACTCACTGCACATCCAAGGCCAATAAACAAGCCTGATCCCCAAGTTGGACGGTCGATCCGATTGTACCTCCACATCATGTAGGCCATTCCTACTTGCAGTAGTGTGTTCAACACCATCATCCATACCATAAGTCCATCTTCCAAAGAGACGTAGGAGGCGCCGTCTCGCCTGAGAAGGTTTGTCGACGTATCAGAACGGGATCCACGCCGTCTTCTTCATGATCCAGCAGATAGCGCTCTTGTAGACGGAACCAGCTGACGTTTCTTGCTGCCAATCTCCTGATTGCTCTTGAGGACCTTTCCGTTCCACGACCGAAACGCCAAACGCAGAGCCACCAGAGGTCTCTTAATCTCCATGGAGCAAGTCCCCAAGCTGTCAGGCAGAAAAGTGCATTCAGTATTTGTGAGTCAATCTCGATCCAAACCTTACGAGGTGAGGAATCCGCATCACCACCATCGGGATGGTTCATGGCGGGTGCTGCCTTGAGGATGAGGAAGAAGAGCATGGCGCCCCAAGCCACAACATTGAGGCCGTACAGAGTGATGAGCAAGCCGGTTGGTGTCTTGAAGAAGTGCCAAAAGGCGATGAGACCAGTCAAGACTGTTTGTCTCCACTTGCTGGGTGCCTCTGGCTCTGTTGTTGAGTGGCTCACGGTTTGTACCAATGGGCTGGATAATTTCTTGTCATCATTGCTTGGTATGATACTCGATGTCATCGAGGAAAAATTCGCGATTGGCGTTACTCGCTTACTGCCACCAGGTTCTGGTGACTCGAGCTTCGTTGCAAGATGTCCGTCCATATCGAAATCAATGTTGTTCTTCCGCAAATCGGTCAGGTTTGGGGCATGTGCAATGGCTGTACCAGTTGCAGACCACATTCCGGGCTGGGGATCATAGCTTAGAATTTTATCCGCAGCGCTGACTGATGCTACGCGTATTCGTCCGATCTGCGAAGGCATTGAAGATTGTCTAGGAAAGGCGCCAGATTGAGGTGATGATTGTAGCATTTTAACAATGTTGTGAAGTTGATGATGAAAGAAGAACGGTACAAGAAAGAGCGAAACACCTTACCTATACTTAGATATTTAAAACTACAGGCACGCCCGACGTTCGAAGGCTGAGTAGCCAAGCCAGGGTGCGCGTAAGGCAAGACCAATAGACAAGCATTATTGCAAAGTCAAAGACCGAGGATTCGAACCGCGCAAACCAATTGAAGAATGCGTAAAGCCTACGAGCAAAACTCGGGAGCCTGAAAGACTTGAACACGCGATACGGTCAATACGTGGAGTGGCTCAGACTGCATCCTACTCGCGAAGCAGATGAGCTTTCACATGTCCTTCTTGCTAAACGCTCCGAGACAAGCACTTATGCTGAATAGAGTCTAACCGCTGGGAGTATCGCACTCAGTCCATCAGCTGAGCAGCCGGAGATCGCGATTCAGAAGATCATATGCTTCAAGCGGAGTGTCTTTCGCAGGCAGGAGATGTTGGCGCAAAGGTCAACTCGTAGTTGAGAACCAATATCTTGCTGGCATGTGTTGGTAAAGATGACCGTAGTGGGTGGGCGAAGTGCCTAAGTGCCTTGTTCTCGACAAGTCTTTGCGAAGTTGGTTAGAGAGAGTTGAAGCAATCGAAGTCGACAGAAACAATTCGTCGTGGACGAAGATGAATCGGCGGCCGAGAGAACCGCGGGACGGCGAATCCTTGGCATCCAAAAAACCTCCAGAGAGTCATCCATCGTCACAAGACACTCTTGTACATTTCATTCGATTGATATTCATTCTCTCACAGCATTATTCTCAAGTCGCCACATCTCACCCAACATGAGCTTCAGATTCCTCGCTAGATCCGCCAGACCTCTCTCGCAAGTCGTCGAGAGCAGAGTACCCTTCTCTTTCAGAGCTGTCCAGCAAGGCCGTGCCGTTGCCGCCTTGAGAAGCTATTCGACCGAGACTGGCGCTAAGGAGAACGAGACTGCAGCTGAAAACGCAGACAAGGCTGCCGATGCCACCAAGGAGGACCCCGTCCAGAAGGAGCTCGAGGCCAAGAAGAAGGAGGTCGCCGACGTTACGGTTCGTTGAGCGCATACAGACACAGAGGAGAGAAGAGACAGCAGTACTGAGGCAATCAATTCTAGGACAAGTGGAAGCGCCAGATCGCCGAGTACCGCAACCTGCAAGAACAGACCAAGCGCGAGGTTCGCGCAGCCAAAGATTTCGCCCTCCAGGGTTTCGCCAGAGACCTGCTCGACAGCATTGACAACCTCGATCGCGCCCTTTCCGTTGTACCCAAGGAGAAGCTCGATGGCAGCAACAAGGACCTCACAGACCTCCACTCTGGCCTCAAGATGACCGAGACCATCCTCATGAACACCCTCAAGAAGCACGGTCTCGAGAGATTCGACCCTAGCGCCGAGAGCGACAAGTTCAACCCCAACGAGCACGAGGCCACTTTCCAAACACCTCAGCCCGACAAGGAGGACGGTACCGTCTTCTTCTGCCAGTCCAAGGGCTTCAAGCTTAACGGCAGAGTCATCAGAGTAAGTGCAGCGACATGAGAGTAAAGTACAAAGGACAATGCTGACAATTCTCTTAGCCCGCCAAGGTCGGTGTTGTCAGAAATTCATGAGCACGATAACGACGAAGAAACAAATGTCATTTTAATGCATATGGGAAAAGGGCCCAAAAGTAACTCAAAATCATGTTGTTGATTTTTGTACAAGAGCAAGCATGTTTGGGAAATTCTTCGGGCTGGACGGATGCTGGGTATGGCGTTCAGGTAGACCGGACACATTCCCCTCTTTTGGATGGACCGACATGGGTCTGTCGTGTAAAAACAACTGTATATATAGGTGGCGTGTATGATGAGCGCGAATGAAGAGTCGATACGAAGCACTCAAGATGGTCCGTTTGAGTATGCGCTTCATTGTCTTGGGATGTGGACGCGTGGATCTCCCAAAAAAATGATGGTCTCCAATTGAGAACTGCCTCTTTAATAGTGGCCTTCGTCAAAACTTCATGATAGCGATAAGCTTGCCAACTTCCAAATGCTTGATGATTCTCTGGGGCATATAGTGACTGCCTGATGATGTTTCGGATCTCATCGAACCATTGCAGCCAGCTCATCAGATGTCCTTACAATCTCGATGATGGGAGCCGAGGCATGAGGAACAGCTTGAGGCTTCTCCATTCTTAGACGAACGCTGGTCTCTCGAGACTTCAAAGGTTCGTAGTTCATCTTCAAGACTTTGAGCACGTAGATGGCCAACGACTCTAGAGTCTCGAATTCTGTGGGTTCAATTGCCTGTTTGAAATATCAGTATGCCGGAATGAGTGTGAGATACGAAATGCTTGTCAACTACCTGAGTGAGAATTCGTTCAAGCTCGGTATATGACTCGGAGTCGTCTGCCTGTATCCTGTCTATCCACACACTGACATAGAGCTTTTGCTTTGCAGTTCTCTCATTGTCATTGACACCAATCAAGGTAGGGATGAAAACACGAGACAGGTGCAAGACTCTGCCGGTATGCTCTTGGTCCTCGACGAAATAGACATAGTTGACATAGTCACCCAACAAACTCGCTTTGGGCAATTTGATTTCAATCTGACATGATTGGATTAGAGCATCACCAGGTGGGGTGTCGAGGATAGTTTGGTGTACGCGATGAGCCAGATTGTCGAGGGTTTCCCAATCTTGGACGGGTCTCAAGGCACGCAAGTTCTTGGAGAGGAGGCCGTAGTGCATGGTACTTTCATCCAGGGCATCTTGACTCGCAGCCGTGTCGAAGCCTGAACGGAACGAGAGGGAGACTGAGAGGAGAACTGGTTGTTGCTTTTCGCGATTCCAGGCGTCGACACCGCTTTTGGGAGCATATTGCAGAGCGAGGTCTTCGACTCTGATGCCGTCACGACACCATGGCTGACCGTACATGATTAATTATTGGTTTGTTGGTAGTCGCGTCAGGTGATGACGAGACGTGTTTTGGAGATGGATCTACTCGGAGCAGTCGGTTGAAGTTGCCGTTTGAATGCGACGCGAGTGTCTGGACGAGGGGCTCTTGGCATGATCTTCTAGACGTTTCGGTAGAGCTCGACGAGAAATATACAAGTCACTGGCGCTCGAATAGCTGCTAGCTACCCACATATCATCTCATTTTCACATACTCGCATCTGATCAATTGACTGTTTCGTTTCTTTGATACCCCCTTGCTTTTACGAATCACAAAAGAATAATAATGGCCGACGCACTCAAGGCTGAAGGCAACAAGCTGTTTGCCGCAAAGGACTTTCAAGGCGCTGCGTGAGTTGCTCTCAGTCACTTATCACTTTCTCAGAACTAACAAGCCCACAGCCAGAAGTTCGGCGAGGCCATCGAACTCGACCCCTCCAACCACGTTCTCTACTCAAACCGCTCCGGCGCATACGCTTCATTGAAGGATTGGCAAAAGGCTCTGGACGATGCCACAAAGACAACAGAGATCAAGCCCGACTGGGCCAAGGGTTGGGGCAGAAAGGGTGCCGCTCTGCACGGCATGGGCAACCTCGGTGAGCTCACCTTGCACACCAGCGCACACGAGCAAAACAAGCTGACAATATCGCAGTCGACGCCACGGATGCCTTCGAAAAGGCAGTAGAGCTCGACCCCAACAACGCCCAAGCAAAATCTGGTCTTGAAGCTGTCAGACGCGCCATCCAGGCTGAAGCAGATGCCGACGGCGCCGACGCAACTGGTGGACTCGGCAACATGTTCAATGACCCTCAAATGATCCAGAAGCTCGCAGCAAACCCCAAGACTGCCTCGCTGCTTGGAGACGCCGCGTTCATGAACAAGCTCAACCAGATGAAGTCCAACCCCAACATGATGGGCGAAGCCATGCAAGACCCGCGTTTCTTGCAGGTCATGAGTGTTTTGCTCGGTATCGACATGTCTTTTGCCGACCCTTCGCAACAGCAACAACAGCAGGGCGGTCAGCAGAGAGGAGAGGCCGAGGAGGATGTCCCCATGCCTGACGCCAGACCCTCCAAGCCCGAACCCGCAAAGGCCCCTGAGCCCGAACCTGAACCTGAAGATGAGGAGGCAGTCGCACAAAAGAAGGCAAAGGAGGAGGCAGACAAGGAAAAGGTCCTCGGTACTGAGAACTACAAGAAGAGACAATTTGATGCTGCCATCGAGCACTACTCCAAGGCCTGGGAATTGTACAAGGACATTACCTACCTCAACAACCTTGGTGCTGCCAAGTTCGAGAAGGGCGACTACGAAGGTGCCATTGAGGCTTGCAAACAGGCTGTCGAGCACGGTCGCGAGGTCTTTGCCGATTTCAAGCTCATTGCAAAGGCTTTCGGTCGTATCGGTACCTCCTACGAGAAGATGGGCGACCTTCCCAGTGCCATCGACAACTACCAGAGATCCCTTACCGAGCACCGCACTCCTGACATCCTCACCAAGCTCCGCGCCGCAGAAAAGGCCAAGATCAAGGCTGAGAGAGATGCCTATTTGGACCCCGCAAAGGCCGAGGAGGCTCGCGAGCTCGGAAACCAGAAGTTCAAGGAAGCCGACTGGCCCGCTGCCGTTGAGGCCTACACTGAGATGACCAAGCGCGCACCCGAAGACCCCCGTGGTTACTCAAACCGTGCCGCTTGTTTGATCAAGCTGCTCACTTTCCCCGCCGCTGTCGACGACTGCAACACTGCCATTGCAAAGGACGAGAACTTTATCCGCGCCTACCTTCGCAAGGCCCAGGCACTTTTCGCTATGCGCGAATACAACAAGGTCATCGACGTTTGCAACGAAGCCATGGCCCACGACAAGGACGGCAAGAACACTCGTGAGCTTGAGCAACAGATGCAGAAGGCTGTTCAGGCTCAGTACAGCGCTCGCGAGGGCGAGACCGAGGAGGAGACCATGGAGCGTATTCAGCGCGATCCTGAGATTCTTTCCATCTTGCAAGACCCCATCATGCAGTCTATCCTGCAACAAGCCAAGGGCGACCCAGCCGCCTTGCAAGAGCACATGAAGAACCCCGATGTCCGCACCAAGGTCCAGAAGCTCATGGCTGCCGGTGTCATTCGTGTTGGTGGCCGATAGGTTTGATGGCCATTATTTCTCACATTTGTCGTTTCTCAGCGTGTTCTCACAAAATTCATAGCAACACATATTCGATGACCGTTTCATGACATTTTTTTGCCTTACCCTGTATCGAGATTCTACATAGCAGGATATCACTTCATTATTGCTTATATGATCAGATTCTTCAATTACAAAGGCTCGCCAATTCTGACGCCGACCGTCTCTTGAAGCCCGTTAACCTCGCCAGCGTCAGTGGGGAAGTCTTCCGCAATGATCTGGCTGCCATATTCCTTGCCCATACCCACCAACATCTCCACCAGGCCTCCACCATTGGTAAACACATACAAGGCGGCATACCTGCTCGCAACCTCTAGCGTAAACTCTTGACCAGCAGGAACGAAAATGGTTTCTCCAGCACTGATCTCCGAGCTCTGGCCATCAACAGTCAAACGGAAACTACCCATATCGACCAAGAAGCAGTGATGCGAAGTCTCGAAAGTCAACGTGTTGTATGCCAGATACTGCGACTTTATCGCTGCGGAACCTTCGAGTCTTGCAATGCTGAACTTGCCATCTGAATCTGCTTTCTGGCAAAGAGGTTTCACAAGCAAACCAGCACTGGCATATCGCGGTCCAGCATCTGCCTTGAGGAAGTAAGGCTCTGTTGCCGAATTGCTGAGTTTGTTGTCTTTGTCTGTGCAGAGAACAGGTTCGGCACCTTTATGGTCGCGCTTAGGCACCATGTCGAATTTCTCAGTTGCGGCGATGAGCTTGGGCACAAGTACTTCCATAGGGTTTCTGTTGTCGCGAGTAGGGAATAAAGGTCCCATGGGTGAAGTGGCATATGGCTCACCGATGAATCTAAAAAACTCTTCCCAGCCGCCGGGAACAATGAGTCCTGCAAACTCGGTATGTGAGCCTAGGATTTGGTATTGATGCACAACGTTGGGAGGCACAGAGGCAAAATCTCCAGGCAAGAGGGTACGAGCAGAGTCGTTGGCCCAGACATTCATGCTTCCCTTCAGACAGAGAAACACATCGTGGGCTTCACGGTGGTAGTGGAAACCGATTGGATTGTCTTGTTGGCCGCCGGTGCTGACGACGGCGAAGTCGCCTTTGGACTCTTTCTCGGTGACGAGCATGCGCATGACGGAGTTTGAGGTGGGAATTGTCCAGAGCTCGCCATTGAAGACGGGGAGCACATAGCTGGAATTGGGTTTGCCAGGTGGTTCGCTGAGGATTGGAATAGGCATGGTTGTGTTGTCGTCGGAATATAGGACAGTTGTTGATTCGCGAAAATGAGGCTCGGTTGGTTGGACTGACTTGAAGAAAAGGGCAAGAATAATGGGAAGGGGTGTGGAGTTTGTGAAGACCAGGGCATGCTTCAGGTCTTTATATGACAGTATGCCGGTCATATCTTCATCGTCAGACAGACCTGCCGAAAGGAGCTTGCCCTGGTTTCACTCACCATTCGGGGATGATCCCATCCGTGATTGCCGTACCCGCCATCTCACAACCACTTGATCTTGCCCTTGGCCGGGGCTCCACAAGCGAAAGGTTCGAGAAGGGTGTAGAGACAACATGGTGGCTTGATTTGAGTTTGGAGCATGCTGCTCGAGGCGTTCTGTGGGGATTGTGGGGAAGCCGCGATGAATGAATACTTCTTGCTATATCAGAAACATACGCGCTCGCTCTCTCGGATCTCGTACATATTCTTCGGATCTTCCGCATAAATTTGAAGCTCCAAGCAACAGCATCGCTACAACGCAAAGCCCATTCGATGTCGTCCCCATCTTCCAAAGACAATGAGGGTGATGGTGATCGTGTAAGCGTGGACGTCGATCATTTCGAGGGCTCGGCCACGCTCGGCCGGATAGAGGGCTTTGCCCTAACTCAGCCCTGCTCCACCACCAATGCTCCCTCCTTCCCCTCTCGCATCGCTTGCACAGTTCAGAGATGACATTTTTCGCTGTTTGATTTCGGTGTGCCGAAGTCCGTTAGGGCTACTTGTTGTTCATTGCTGTCTACCGAGCCTGGATAAGTAGAGTACCGACCGCATTGGAGTAGCAGCGGCATTAGAACGCGGGATATTCGACCCCTCACTCGTCTTGCATCTTTTGTTTACCCCACCATCCTCTTCTTGTCCCAGACGTAACACCACTGTCACTACACCATGGACCAATTACCTGAATTCGGTCGCGAGATTTGGCCGGGCTTGATGCCCACGATGAAGGCATATGCCACATTGCATGAGAAGAACAGAAGCAGCATCGAGTCGACACCACGAGAGGAGTTTACCTACGGCTCAGATTCTCGCCAGAAGCTCGATGTCTACAGTCCAAAGCAAGTCTCTGATGACACGCCCATATTGGTATTCCTCTATGGAGGTGGTCTTTCGCGAGGCGACAAGCGTATGCCTACTCCGCCAACAGCTGAAGGTCTGGTGTATGCGAACATCGGGCACTATTATGCGGTATGTGTTATGCCATTCAGCAAGCAATGAGACTGGATGGCTGACAAAACATAGTCGAGAGGTTTTCTCACAGTGATCCCCGACTATAGACGCACAGGCGAAGGTGCAGCTTTCCCGTCCGGAGGTCAAGATTTGGCAGGCGCGCTCGAATGGATCAGAAATCGCTTCAACACTGGCAACCACAAAGTCTGGATCATGGGCAACTCTGCTGGTGCAGTACACTCTGCAACCTGGCTGCTCGAGCCCTCGCTCGCCGATTCGAGAAAGACGGTCCAGACAGGCTCTGTAGTGGTCCAAGGAGTCATACTTGTCTCTATACCAGCACACTTCCAGCAAGCCGGTGCCGACCGCTCAGAGGTGCTTACTGCATATTACAAAGACAGATTAGAAGAGGATTGTGCTCTGGGGCTTGCGTCAAGAGCGCAGATTCCAATTACGAAGTTGTTGGTGGTGACTGCCACGTTGGACCCTGAGGACGAGATTCTCAAGCCCTCTCAAGACTTTGTCAACAAGTACAAAGAAAGATTCGGACAAGATAGTCTGAGTGAAGTGCTGCTCGAAGGTCACAATCACTTCAGCACCACCCTTGCACTAGGCACCGGAATCGAGCGGGAAGAGTCGTTGGGCGCAGAAGTGTTCCAATGGATGGACCAGGTTTGAAGATGTTGAGGCCATTGGTATGCTGTCATCGTTAGATCCACTTGCCTCGACACAATTTGTAATTTGTGTGAGGAAGAAAGCAACGACGTGGTTGAATGTCCCGAGAGAACCGTCCATCAATGTCGCGTCGGACTTAACGGCTTTTGGGGCGATGACGATCGGTGACGTCCACCAAAACCCAAACATAGATCTATATATCAACCAAATAACTTTTGCAAGTCCTGTCTATCATCTTCAATTGAATCAATCAACCAAAAATGTCGCCAAAGGTCTTCTTCGTCACAGGAACATCCACCGGCTTCGGTGCCGAGTACGTCAAGAAAATCATCTCGGAAGGTGATCATGCAGTCGCTACTGCTCGCAACTCATCCAAGCTTGAGAAGCCAGAAGGTGCAACAGATGAGAACTACCTTGCTGTAGATCTGGACGTTACCAAGAAAGAGTCCATTGAAGCTGCATTCAAGAAGGCCATCGAGAAGTTTGGGCGTCTGGATGTCGTTGTCAATAAGTGAGTCCTGTTCGGATTGTATTTCTCAACGAGCGATGAAATGCTGATGGATTAAAGCGCTGGATACGGTCTCGCTGGCGAGTTCGAGAGTTTGAGCGAGGAGCAGATTCGCAAGCAGGTTAGAAACGCCACCTCTTCGCTTTGGTCTGCGCACCACTGACACAAAACCCCACAGATGGAAGTCAACTTCTTCGGCCTCATTGACGTGACCCGCAAAGCTCTTGAGACGATGCGCGGCCAGAAGCCTCAAGGCGGTGTAATCCAACAAGTCACTTCTATCGGAGGCCAACGCGGTGTACCATTCTTCTCCATCTACTGCGCCTCCAAATGGGCTGTAGAAGGTTACACTGAAGCACTATCAAAAGAGCTCAAGCCCGAATGGAACATCTCACTCACCTGCATCGAACCCGGCGGTTTCCGCACCGATTGGGCAGGCAGAAGCATGGACTTTGGTGCCAACAAGAACGAGGCTTATGACCATCTCGATGCCAAGTCTTCCATGGGACAAAGAAATGGCAAGCAGGCTGGTGACCCCAAGAAGGGTGCCAGGTGCATGTACGAATTGGCTGTCATGAAGGACCCGCCGTTGAGATGTGTTATCGGCACTGATGCTTATGCTGCCATCAATGAGAAGCTGGATACGTACAGGGAGAACGTCAAGAAGTTCGAGAAGCTGAGTAACAGCACTGATGTTGATGGTTACAAGCCTCCGTCTTAGAAAGGCCAACGAGAAGTTGACGCTTGTACACGATTGAATGAAAAATGTTCTATTCAAATTATCAACACAATTTTGCATCGCGTTGTAAATGGTCATGGTCTTTTTAGTGCGCAAACCTAAAGTCCAGGCGCTTGTTACCCTCGTCGGTCGTAGTGGAAAGGTAGTGTTCTTTTTGCTCCTTGGTCATTGCATTCCACTTCTTGTCGCGGCGCCTGTTGATGGTCCTCGTCAGTAACAAATTCTACAGCACGATTTTCGGTTCAGTGCTCACCTGTTGACCGTAACGTAAAAGACCTTGCATCCAATGAATGCACAGATATTCCAGCAGACAATGGCGATGAGAATCTTATTGCCGGTAAAGTAATAGGGTCTGACGAGTTTGATCAGCAAAAAGAACTGGAGAGTCGGGAAGGTCATGAGAGACTTACTTGTCCTGACTACGATAAATATTCGACGAATAAATGTTTGATGCTTGGACAAACATGTTGTACAATGCCGTAGCTACAGCTCGAGTGCGCACACTGCCGCCATTTCTGGACGTGACTGCAACGATAACGGGATGAATGTATGGCTGGGCGTAAACCAGACAACTGAGAATCCAGGTAGCCCAGTGACTTCTGCTCTTTGGCAAAACCTCCAAAGCTACGAGGCAAGGTAACACAAACCACTGGGAGATTGTGCCGATAAGGAAGCGGTCATTGACCTTTTCGGAGAGATATGACAGCCAAAGCAAGTTGATGATGAAGATGCAATAAGCCGGGATACAGAGTAGATTGGTTTGGAATGTCGAGAAGCCAGCACTCTTGAGATTGAGCGTGAGATAGTTGTTCATTGGTGATGCAGGTACCATCCAAGTTAGCCCGAGCAGGTAGATAGGCCACATGTGGTAGTCCTTGAGGCACTTCCAGAACATGCTGGGAGAGAGAGCTTGTCTGTTATGCATGTCTCCTTTGCTAGGGTCATCTCTCAACACTCTGTTGACCATGATTTTTTCTTCTCTTTCATTGAACCAGCCGTCCTTGCCGCGAAATCTGGACGCGGTCTGGGTGGGGGAAGGTGGAATGTAGAACCAAGATACGATTCCGATAAGGCCAGTCAGACAGCCTTCGAGAGCAAAGAGCCAGCGCCAGCCAGCGATGCCGTTGATACCGCGCATGTGTAGGAAGCCAAAAGCAAGGAAGGCTGACACGATACTAGTGAACTGGTAGGAGAACCAAAAGTAGCACAGGCGGATGGGAAGCTCGCGTGTCTTATACCAGTAGGAAAGGTAAAGGATATTATCAGGGATCTGGTAAGGTCAGAAGGCGTCAACAGGTCTTTCGTAGTCAGATCAAACTTACAAAACCACCTTCAATGAGTCCCAGTAGTGCACGACAGGCCCAGAAGCCGGAACGATTATGGATGAATGCTTGACAAGCAGCAACCAAAGACCACAAGACCATTTGGATGGGGACCCAGTTGTCCGGGCCAACCTTCTTGCCGATCATCTGACTGGGCAATTCTGCGAAGAGAAAGCAGAGGTAAAAGATGGTCTGTCCGGTATTGTAGTCATTGGTGGAAACTCCGATATCCGTGAGCATGTTGTCTGAAAGGGCTTGTGAGATGTTGCCTCTATCCAGTTGCAGCGCAAAGAACATGAAGCAGACCCATGAGCAAATACGCAAGTCAATCTGATACCGAAAACATGTCAGTGAGAATATCCTTGTTGTTCATGAGAAGTACTAACCTTTCTGACAAGCTTCTTCTCCTCCTTTGCTTCCCACTGGAAACTGGGGTCCCACCTGTGATACCCTTCATAGCTTTCAATAGGCTTGTAGAAATTCTCAAATGATTCAGTATCGAATGCAGACTCTTGAGTCTTGCCTGCTACGTCGAAAACGACTGGCTCGTCGACAGTAGCCAAAGGGAAAGCTTTGGTGTCAGAGACATGGTTTGAATTGTTGGAGCTCGAGTCGCTCTCCAGCTTCTCAATCTCTCTCATGTTGTGATTGATTGGAGAGATGCTGGGGGAAATGGACGAGATGAGATTGTAAAGAGTGACACCCCAGTCGTGATATACTAAAATTTCAAAGGCTCAACGTTGGTCGCAAGCGAACAAGAACACGTCCATCATCGTGGCGGAATCAATGATATGAGTGGGTAACCAGTATCGTTGAGGCCTGATAGTGGACCGCGGTTTCTGCACCATGGTTTACCGTGAGTGGATACCTTCCCCTCCTAAACAGACATTGCATGGGTAGTATTCCGCGGCATCGCCTTTCTCACCGATGGCATCGTAGAACGAGGGAATAACACTAGACCTCATCTATCGTCTAACAAGGGTTCTGGTATGTGTGCTGGGCCACGTTGTTGGAGCAAGACGTCCAAAATTTCCTAATCGGGAAGTGATTGAGGTATGGCGTGCTTTGCGGAGTACATTGCGACGATGGCGACATCTACTGAATGCGACATTAGCCTGATACTCCGCTGATTATGTACTGACTTACTATAGGTCTGTGATGTTGTGATTGATTTGAAGGATTCAAACATTGTTTGTGGTCTTGTTTCGCTGACGAATGCTGCAATTGCCGTGACACGCTTGGTGGGGCGCAACAACATTCGGCCATCGCACGCAATGGTGAGGAGCAATTGTAGGATAATATCCTTGAGTCTGTAAGCCGATCAGCGGGTTGTATCGGGTAGGTGTCCACGAGGCAACTTTGGTTTGTATATGAGTCGATATTTCGGGGTGATTGCCGGTCTTCCAACTTGAGTTCAAAAGTGGCTTGGTGGCTCCTTCTGTTTAGACTTCAGTTCATCTCTTTTGCTCTTACCTCGTATTCAAGACCAAGATTGGCATCTACCAACAAGCATGGCTCCTGCTTTGATTGACTCCCCCCAAGACTCGGGTGCAGAGCAAGTTTTTGCTAAGAACCAACTTCAAGAAGGATACAAGGAGGCCTTTGCCCAAGGTCCCAAGACGACGAACTACGACAATGAACTAAAGGGTGTAGGAAAGCACCCTCCCGCAAAATACCCTCACTACCTTCCTGTGTGGGACAACGAGAAAGACATTGGAGGAAAGTATCCACCCAACGAGCCTTTCGAGGCCTACGAACACGGAAAGGACGCCGATCCGTCTTTCCAGAACCTGCTCAGGGGAGCCACCTCAGTCGAGGACCTTACTGCCAACATTGGCGCAGAAGTCAAGGGTATACAGTTGAGTAAACTCGACAAGGCCGGCAAGGATGAGTTGGCCCTCTTCGTCGCACAGAAGAAAGTCGTCGGTAAGCAATGTCGAAGATTATCATCTCATCACCTTGATAATAACAAGAATATCAGCTTTCCGCGATCAAGACTTTGCAGACCTACCAATCCAAGAAGCTCAAGACTTTGCCGAATACTTTGGACCTTCTCACATCCACCCTGCATCCGGTGCTCCAAAGGGCTTCCCAAAAGTCCACTTGGTCCATAGATCTGCAGCCGACACAACAGCCAAAGACTACTTTGAAGAGCGCACCAATAGCATAACCTGGCACAGTGATGTGACCTACGAAAAGCAACCTCCAGGCACCACATTCCTCTACATCTTGGACGGCCCCTCTGCAGGTGGTGATACTTGCTTTGTTAACCAAGCAGAAGCCTATCGTAGACTGTCTCCAGAGTTCCAGAAGCGTTTGCATGGACTCAAGGCTGTTCACTCTGCCCACGAGCAAGCGCAAAATGCTCTTTCTCGTGGCAGCATCGTGCGACGTGATCCAGTTGCCAACACTCATCCAGTGGTCAGAACGCACCCAGCCACCGGTGAGAAAGCTTTGTTCGTGAACCAGCAGTTCGTGAGACGTATTGTGGGATTCAAGAAGGAAGAGTCGGACTACTTGCTCAAATTCCTGTACGACCACATCGCGTATTCGCAGGATATCCAAGCTAGAGTCAAGTGGGCTCCTGGAACTGTCATTGTTTGGGACAACCGTGTCACTGCTCACAGTAAGTTACATTTTGCTTGTTGGTTTCTTCAGGCAGATGCTGACCTTATCCCTCCCAGCCGCCATTCTCGATTGGCAGGACGGTCAAAGACGTCACCTAGCTCGCTTGACTCCTCAGGCTGAGCCTCCGTATGAGACTCCTTTCGAGGAGTCAAGCAACTAGATGGTAGTGACGGCTGAGTAATGATATGCAAAAACAACCTTCTGATCTTGGAGGATATACGACAATGGTTACCTTATTCACAGAACGTGAAGTAGCAAAAATCAAGAATGTAAAGTTGGAGCAGGTTCTGAATCTAGGTCGCTCATTCAACCTCGTTCATGTCGTGTGAATATTCAAAGAAACACTGTAGTGGGGATAACAGAAAAAGCCCATACCGTGTAAAACCATAACCGTCTCCCAAGCCTGTTAACGTGACGCCAATTGTCTTTGCCCGAACCAATAGAAAAAGTGAAACTTGTACGAGAGAAAGATGTAGCATGCGGAACTAGTCGCTGCGCAACATGCTCTCCACCAACTCGCCCAGTGGACCGTACCACTCGGCTTTAGCATCTCTTCTGCCACCCTCATCGGCCAGACCAAACTCTTCCACAAACAAGACGTAGTGCTTGAAGCCCGTGTTGAGATGAGCCTCTAGGCCGAGGCCTCTGATGACGCCGTAGTGATGGCAGTAGATGTGGGCGTAGATGCGATAGAGGCGCTTGAAGATTTGCTTGATGGTGGATTGGAAGGTAGGAGGGAAAGGCACTCCCGGGTGGGTGGGAAAGACGTTTGCGTCGGAGAGGAGATTCGAGGTCCACGAAAGGAGGTTGGAGATGTAGCTGGGAGCGGGAAGACGGACGGGACGAGGGAACTCGGGAGGGTGGTGCCAGAGGTACTCGAATCTGGAAGGCATAGAAAGTCAATGATCGGACCAGGAGACAGAGAGAGGTGCAAAAACATGGTCGTACTCATCGGTGGCCTTCATCTCAGGACATGAGTGTGGGCTGCAGAACTCGGTGATTGCGCCGTAAAGCAGGTTGATCTGGTTGTAAAAGTCGACGACATTGACGGCGAGCCATTCGTCCTTGTCTTCACCCTCGGGCAAGCGAACAACTTTCCTCAAGCTGCCGCTTCCCAGAGTGGCCTCGGCGAACTGCTTAAGCTGCCAACTGTTTGTGCCCTTAGCAGTGCGGGCGGGTCTGAACGAGGACCGCGTGCCACGACTGGCGTTGCTGCACGTCGCAAACATGTTAGCATCTGAATTGGAGAGTTTTCCCAAGACATTGCGGAAGCGGTTCTGGGCTGGTGACGATGATGAGGTGGTGTCGGTATGGGTGCTGCGAGGGCTGTCTGGAAAGCACAGCGACAGTTGCGACCACGACTCGCTGGCGGCCAGCACATGCGAGTGCAGAGCAGGCAGCGGTCGGGCCTGTGTGGGAAAGTGTGGGCGGGCAGGGGAGGATTGCACCAACATTGTCTGCATGAAGGTGGCCATGCTGTGTGTGTGTGGTTGGAAGGAGTCTTATCCCTTGTTCAGCTGCTGTCTGCCACAGCTCATTCCGTCAGCCGCTAACGAGGAATGAAGACGTTGGCGATGCATCCTCACCCGATCTTATCAGTCACACGCGACTTGACTTGTTTCACAGCTGTGATTGCGCTTTGTCCGGTTTTGGCTTGTGAACGAGTGGAAGGTTCTTGGTTGCTGGTCGTTTGTTGACATGGACAGCCCTACCCACGCTTCCCCACACCAAAGCGTTTCCTTTGTTTGCACTTGCCGTCATCATCACATGCAGTAAACACTCACTCGATACGAGCAATCGCATAGCAACATTTCCAGCATGCCATTCAATATTGTATAGAGAATACCTGAGGTAGTTGTAATTCCATCTAATGTTTCCTACTCCTTCTTTGTCGCCCCTCCGCTCCTGACCCATTCACCCACCTCAAACCCAAGACGTCGCAACGTGCCTGCTTCAATTCCCTCTACTCCACCGTTCTCTTCGCTGCCTTTGAAACGTCGGACCGCCATGATCCGGTTCTCCTCCTTGATCTCCACTCCACCTTTTCCTGCATCCTCTGCTCTGTCAGCCTCCTTGACATAAACCGTCATGTCTGGTCCGACGATTCCGCGCCACAACGTTGCTGTCCACTGCCAGTGATCCGCTGCCTTGTACGCATCTTTGATAGCCACTCGTGATGCAAACACGTTGGACGCTGTCACCGTGTACGTGCGCAGAAGTATCACCACCCTGCTGCTGCTGAGAGATGAGTCGACTTCCATAGCCTCGCCGTCAGCTATCGACCCTGACTGTGAACTGCTGTCGCTGTCCTTGCGCTCCTTGTCACCACGCGCCAGCTGCTCAATCTTCTTGCCATTGTCATGCCAATCAGCCACAGTACGTAGTAGTTCTTGGAACTCGACCTCACTTCCATCCTTGCCTTCCGGTAGCTTGGGCCCATCGACTACTTTGACCACCATGTCGCCTTCACGGCCCAAGAATTCTTCAAGCCAGTCTGTCACGTCTCGAGCGGCCTCTGCATCGTCACCTTCAATAGCGATAATGGTAGCTCGCGACTTGTTGTGCTCAGTAGTAGAGAAGGGTGGTGCAACTCGACCAAGAATCTGCACCTTGGCCATGAATGACATGGACATGATGATCTCTCCCACGCTGCGTCGGTCAGGCTCCTTCGATTCGCTACCTCTGTTGCCACCCGACGGTTGTCCAGGACCTACTCTGCTAGCTGTAGGAGGGCCGGACAAGGTGCCAGCTTGTAGAGGAGGTAATGTCAGACTTAGCTCCGGTCCACCTGGACGTTGACCTTGATTAGCTCTGTGTTGTGAATAGCCAGGTCCGGGACGGGGCGGAGGGCCCATCATGTTGGGTGGCATCGGTCCTCGAAGAAGCTCGGTTGGTCGGGGTAGACTCTCTCTGCGGACATGTTGCGCTCCAGGTGGAGGTTGGAATTGATGAGGAGGGCCCATCTGCTGCGGCTGTCCTTGCGGTCCAAAGGGGAAAGGTGTACCAGGGCCTGCATTCTGTCGTGGAGGCATGGTCCGTGTCGACATGACATATGTTCCCTGTGGAGATTCGAATCTGCGTCGCTTCAAATCGGGCGACAGGATGGATGAGTGTTCATCTTCGCCACGCTGAACCATGAATGGTTGAGAAGGGCGACCGTTGTTCATGTTGCGAGGGTGTGGAGATGAAAGAGAGAGGTTGTTCAGCATAGGCAGGTATCGAGTAGAAGGTGTTGTGGTCGATGATGGAGTTGGGGGAGGAAGTTGGAATGCGTTCAGACGTGGTGGGTGAGGATAAGCTGATGAAGGACTAGTTTCAAGACTGCGAGGTCTGTCAGACCGCTCTCGTGCCGAAGAGGGCGTGCTTGGAGTTGGATGGATGATGGTACGACCTCCGCACTTCTGGCACTTGCGGTGGTCTGTTTGTGGGAAGCCTGATTCAGATGAGACACTGCCGCGGCGCCCAGAGCGCTTGGGCTGGTACCGGTAAGAAGGATATCTCTGTTGGTGTTGCAGTTTCTCTTCCTATCGTTTGCTGAGCTAAGAACCTTTACATGGTACATCGATATGACTAACCTCTGCGTATGCCTTCCACCGGTTCTTCTCCGCTTCGGGCTCGTTTCTCCACTGCTCCCCGATAATCTTTGAGATATCTGGATTAGCAAGACCTGGGTTTTGAGCGACAACGGCAGCCTGGCGGTTTTGGCGATAAAGTATAAATGCTATAACATGTTAGCATGCGCAAGCTGAATAACAGGTAAGTGTGACGTGTACTGACCGTTCCTAGGTCTGGGAACCTTGGGCTCAGGTTGGCACAGACAAAAGTTGACCACTGACTCAGTGCTACCGTCCCTGGTGTGCGAAGGGCTCACGTCTTGAAGTTCGTCCTGGCCAAGAACGTCGGCACTCCTCTTTCGATGCTCACAAAAAGGCGGTGATTCTTCAGGCGTCAGTGGCGTGTCTGACAACCGAGACTTGGGTGAGTGCTGGACTTGCGGCGCGATGGATATGTTGGTCGACACTCTGCGCGGATTGACGCTTCCGTTGCTTGCGATACCTTGGGAACTTGTGCTCAAGTCGTCGTGTTCTGCAGATGGCATCGTTCTCTCCCACAACTGCCTGGTGAAGACGATCTGAGGTTGGGCATGGGAAGGCTCAGCAGCCGATGATGTAGTATTCGGCGACAATGTCGAAAACCTAGAGTCGGATAGGGGTACTCGTATGACAGACATTGGAAGGGGATGGCCAGGAATGCACTCTTTTGTTGTCAAAATGCCGTCTTTGACGTCCTCGTGTCAATACGCGAACAAAGGTCCAAAGACGGGGGATCGCGGTCATTATTCAACAACGTCCACGTCTGATCTTTCTTGTCGCCATAGCCGGCGATCGGTCCTGTCATTTCTTTGTATCATGACGAACGAGCGCCCTTCATATCCGATTGTCCTGGACAGGACCGGCCTGACGGCGAGGTTGCGACAGACAACCCGGGCTGGCACTTCTTTGTTCTAGTGGTGGGCAGATTTCCGCATGCGGGAAAGTCGGGCCAAGGTGAGACATTCCGACCAAACGCAAGGAGATTGGCCTAGGAACGCACCACATGTACAATGCGAACAAACCGATTATTGAAGGCAATCACCCACCTGTGTACTGTCCAGAATATTGACAAAGCTTCTAGCACTTTGCCTGGCTATTTAAACCAACCACTTCGCTTTTGAAGAGATGATGGTTTGTAAAGATCTCTGAATCTTGGACGTGCAAGATCTAGTTGACGAGAGTGTGGTTACGAAGAATTTGAGCGACGTGTTTGCCAAATAGCTCATGTGCGGCGCCGCTCAAACGCGTGTCATCCCTGAAAAGACGCATCAGATTGTGGGTTCAAACAAAGAAGTCAGCTCAAGCTTTGACATACCAGAACAAGAAGTGCGACGGATCATCGCATATCGTAAATGGCTGGGTTTCGATTCCATATCCACTGGATGGAGCGGTGTAACTGACACAGGGTTGGGTCAACTCGGTAAATTTAGCGTCCTTCATGATACTGGCGACTGGTGTGAGGTCGGTCTCGTCGATCTCGGGTTCACGCATCTTCTCGAGCATCCAAGCATCAAAGTCGGGCATGACAACATCAGCTTTGTTCCAGTTGGCAACCTGCTTTTGCAGCACGTTGTTCCAGAGATCGGTCAATATAACGGCGTGCCGCTGGAGCTGACCGTACTTGTCTGTGCCGTTGGCAGATGTACGCTGGCTGATCCAGCGAGGGAAGAAGCTGGGATCCGGTACGGTGGGTATGATGACGGTTGGACGAAGCGACGAGACCGACTTGGCTTGGACGAGGCGGTCTAGCTGGGCAAACATGGAAGCAATGCAATCGACCACAGCAGGTAATACAGCCCCTTCTGGTAGGTCTACAAAGTCCCAAAGCTCCCAGATACCGAAGAAGACGGTGAAGATGATTGTCGTCTTTGTGCCCCTTTGTTCTCCATAATCTTGCCATCTAGCATCGTCTTGGGCGAGGTATTCGTCAACTTGGTGGCTAAAATCTCCAATGTTCTCATGGCCAGCAGTGAAGTTCATCGACCTGGTAAGATTGGTGTAGATGTCGTTGTCGACCACGGGGCCGCGGCGGTGGGACGGATGGGATGGCAGTGATTGGGCAAGGTCGTAGATGCGGTCGCAAACAACCTGTCTGGGTCAGAATGAGACAAGATGATGGGCGTCGAACACAACACACCTCTGCGCAAAGAGTGTCGACCCATAGCTTCTTGTTGGGTGGCGCTGGTGCTTGCACGGTAGGCAGTTCGAGGCGGTTGGTGCTCCACGAGTCTCCAAACACTACGATTTCAGTCGTCTGGCGACTCCAGACTTTTTTTGCTCGCGTGATCGGATGATATGAGCGCAGATTCCATGCCACAAGTAGCAGAGCCGAGATTGCGAGCAGCACAATTACGTTGAGACGAGCGAAGAGCTTCATGCTGTCGTTTGTGTCTGTGGTTCTCGCTGGAATGGTTGGCTGGGGCGGCTCTGTTTATGTCTGCCGAAGAGTGAGATAAGTGGTTGGTCGCGAATTCGTGTCTCGTTTTGAGAGCAATCAAATCGATTCTGTTTTAGCAGCAGCAGCACTACCAATGCCTCCCAAACAAACCAATAAGGAAAGGACCATACGGGTGGACGCAAGATAGCAAGCCATTGCGAGTCAATGTGTCCCAAATGCAGCTCACCTGCCAGGCCGCTATATCTACCGTGATCAAAGCGATTATTATCTGACGCGTCACTCTCTTGTCCGTATTAGCCGGACGCCGTATCCTAGCCGCTAACGGCTTTCTCTTTCTCCTCAAGCCCTCTGGCGTGAGAAGCGACATCACCAGAATGCTGGTCCACAGAGAATACCAGGTATCATACAGATACATAGTGTTGAACCGACTTATGCAAGAGATGAAAGTTGACTACTCGAGTAGAACCCTTTGGCGGTACAAGGGCTTGGCCAACGTGCAAGAAAGCTTGATCGTTTGTGGCTGGGACCTGCAACCTCAATTCTGCTTCCGAATAGGTACTGCCAGGGTGCTCCTAGCAACAGCTCATTAAGAGATCATCGACTCGTCTTTCTCGTGGCTGTTTTGACGTCTTGCGGAACAACAACCATCTGCACGTGTTCTGTATACTTCACTTCTGTCTCCAGAAATGGCTGGAAAAGAATAGGAAGTAAAAGTGTTGTGAGCTGCCATCGCAGTTGCGTTTGACTTTCTGGTTCAAGGCTTGCTCCTTCCCAGACGGGAAGCCATCGCGTTGGATATCCGATTCTTCACAGTATCAACTCGAACCTGTCAACAACAACAACAACTATTCTCAGAATATTCTCGTCTTCATAGCAGGTTGTTCTCCGAGTTTATCTCCTTCCATTCTAGCGTCAAAAAGCGACTTGACTGAAACTCTCGGGCCGACTTTCCTTCTTCGTTTACTATTTTGCATGCGCTTTAACACTCACGAGCTACAACATCGCTTTGGATGCAACTTTCGGTCAGGCAGGCAGGATCAGCGTCGTGGAGATGGCGATCCATCGTGGGTCCGTTGTCATCGATCTGATGAGCGACGGAAGCAATGATGATCCGGACCCTATCATCCCACTTCACACCACTCCAAAAGCCACTCCAAGATTACCTGCGCCTGTGTCACCAGAAGCCGCTCACTTTCTGAATGATCTGAGGAATTATGTTCCTATAGGGTCACTGGTTCTGAATGGAGCCTCTGGCGCAGAACCAGCTTGGGAGGAAGTTCAAGTCAATCACCTCGCCACTCTGACCGACTCAGGCCTCTCCGACCAGAACGCGCTTGATGTTGAGAAGCTTCTTGCTCGCCGGCGCATCCGAGCCTTTGCGAGCATCCCTTGGAAATCTGTACTACGAATTTATGTATTGCCCAGTGATGTCGGCCATCGCTTCCTCCAGCAAGACCGTGGACTGGACACCCATTTGTTTTCGCTGATTCGAAATCTCGATGTTTCTCCGAGCGCATGGAATGGCCAACCAGCCGTACAAAAGTCCTTCGAGATGTACGCAACTGGAGAAGAAGGATCGCTGTATTATCTGTTCAACAACATTCCGTCTCCGAATCCAACACCGGAGGCAATCACAAGTCACTTCCATCGCGAGAGTATGCTTGATCTTCTGGACCCTGAGTATCAATTGCCTGGCCTCAAGACAGTTCTATATCCCTACCAACGACGATCTGCGGCTCAAATGCTGCAAAGAGAATGCGAAGACAAACTCGAACTCGACCCTCGCCTTGAGAAGCGTATCGCCCTCGATGGTTCAACTTATTATTACGAGCCTTGGGATGTCTCATTCTTGCGAAGTCCTCGCTTCTATGAGTCCTGTAAAGGGGGCATACTCGCAGAGACCATGGGGCTAGGCAAGACTTTGATCTGTCTCACACTGATTCTTGCGACTCGTGGCTATCTTCCTCGTACGCCAGCTCAGTATGACCGAGTAATTGTTCGACCAAAAGTTGTGAGTCTTCTGGATATGGCTATCTCAGCCGTCAACCGACATTCTGCTCCATGGCCGTCTTTCTTCGAGAGGCATGAAGAGCTCACTGGCGAACACATGGGACACTGTATCGATTTGATGCGACAGAACGCACCCTCTTACGAGATCCCCATCGAGCCTATTCGCTGGAACCGTAAGACTACTGTACCAGCCCCAAAGAAGGTAACACTAGCGGCAACAACCCTTGTTGTCGTTCCAAGGAATTTGCTATCTCAATGGAAGTCGGAGCTGGAGAAGCACACATCAGGAGTTCTCAAAACTCTAGTCATGGACGATACTCGTGTCAATCTTCCTCCGCCAGAGATACTGGCATCCTTCGACCTCGTCCTGTTCAGTCGACCTCGATTTGAATATGAGGACAGGGACGGAGCAGATCAAAACGGTCGACGTATGTCAAGATATCCACCATCATGTACTTGCCCCTACATCGGAGCTACACGAACCCGAGATTGTGTCTGTATACGACCTGACGTAAGTCTGAGAGCGTCCTTTGTCGCAGCACCAGCTGACATTTGCTGATAGGATATCTATGTATCACCACTCAAATCCCTTCACTTCCTGCGAATCATCATCGATGAAGGCCATGGCATGGCTACAGAGAATACGAGAATCGCGACTGTAGCGAGTAAACTTGTCGAAGCATCTCATCGATGGATCGTCAGCGGTACACCAGCAAAAGATCTCATTGGTGTAGAATTGGATCTGGTTGGACCTGTTTCACATTCTGGTACCCCAGCTCCTTCTAACTCTGATGACGCGGAATCACAATCTGGCTCCGGCTCGGGCTCGGGCTCCGGATCAAATGCAGAATCTCTTCGACGCGAGACTCTGCTTAGACAGAGAAAAGCATACAGCGTGAAGGACGAGAAAGATGGAGCAGTCCGCAGCATTGGCTCAATGGCGTCAAATTTCCTTCGCATCAGACCGTGGTGTTCTGCCGAAGATGAGAGAGGATCCGACTGGGCAAACTACTTCTTCCGACACGAGATGTTACGGCCGCGTAGTCGAACCTTCTCTGGCTTTTCAAGATGTCTACGACAAACGCTTGAATCGATTGTTATTCGAACACAGTCTGGAGATGTCGAGCGCGATATCGAGCTCCCTCCTTTAACGCACGAGATCGTCCGGCTAGAGCCGTCCTTCTACGACAAGCTAACAGTCAATGCGTTCGTGTTCGTGCTAACTGCCAATGCTGTCACCAGTGAAAGGACGGATGTTGACTACATCTTTCATAAAAACAGCGTCAAAGAGCGGACTCAACTATTAAACAATTTGCGCGCCAGTGCCTTCTATTGGACTGGTTTCAGTGCCTCCGATATGGAGGCTGCTATAGAGCAAAGTGAAGGCTATATCAAGAAGCCGACCAAGTTATGCTCGAAAGAAGATGAGAGCTTACTCAGACGCTGTATTGACCAAGCTAGAGTCATGATTAGTTCTGAGGGGTGGAAGAAGCTTACACAAAGTCATGAGGTCGGTCTGTTTGTGGAAGACTGGCCTGCCGAATCTGCAGCATTCTGGTCCTTCGATAGAGCAGGTATGTGCTGACAACTTGAAGGCAGAGAGAGCCTTCTAGATTGTTGCTGACGTCCGATAAACAGACTCATCCACTGCGCAAGTGCTGTGTGGCGCCACACAGCTGATCCAAGCTCAAGATCATGTCAATCGTCAAGCCGAACTTCTTGACCCAGCAGAGGGTCTTGCTGGCACCGGCATCAAGGCTCTGTCCTTTCTCCAGGCGCAGTCCGACGAAAAAACACCTGTGCTTGTCAAGGCAGGTATACCTTCGTCTTCGCTTGCGCTCAATCAGACAGGAAGCAAGCGGACACCAGCCTCACCACAAACCAAGCCCGAATCTCACAAACGCAAGAGTCCTGTTGGGCCCCCTGAAACACAGAGCCACCTCAGGGATGCACAATTGCCCGCCAATTCAGCACTTAGTAAGACTAGCATCGTCGGCACAACAAGTGCCAAACTTAGCTATCTTCTCTCTCGTATTGAAGAGTTTTACCGCGATGAAAAGATCCTCGTCTTCTACGACAATGACAACACAGCCTACTATATTGCTCAAGCTCTTGAGGTCCTGCATGTGGACTACCTGATCTATGCAAAATCCCTCACGCCTGCCGTCAAGTCTGATTACATTGTTCGATTCAATCAGAGACCCGAGCATCGCGTCTTGTTGATGGACATTGGCCAAGCTGCTTTTGGATTGAACTTTCCCTCGGCTTCGAGAGTGTTCTTTATCAATCCAGTCAACAGACCTCAAGTGGAAGCACAAGCTCTCAAACGAGCCCATCGTATTGGTCAAACTCGAGAGGTCCATGCGGAAACGCTGATTCTCAAGGGAACAATTGAAGAGAAAGTATTTGAACGAGCGAGAACGATGAGTCGAGCGGAACACAAGAACGCGAAAGAGCTGGATGACGACGGTGGCATTCGAGAGATCATACAAAGCGCGCAGCCCATACCAGTGCATGAAGCGACCGGTGCAGGTCGCATTGCATTCATTGAAAGGCCACAACAGCTATTTGCAAGACCAGGTTGGGCAGGCTGGAAGATTGCTGCAAGAGAAAACTCCTCCAAGGCTCGCACCAAGACGAGTCAAAAGAGAAAGGCAGAAAACGCAAATGGGAAGAGTCCTAGCAGAAAGCGTGCAAAAAAGCAGAAATGATGAGGAGATATGACTGAAGAGGAAACAGACCTTGTCGATACCAGAAACAGTCTATTGCTGTAATGAAGCTCTTACCAGTACAAATTACTACGTGAAATAAACCAGCACTTCGAATAGCTGGCTGTATTGAAGAATTGATTGCCAGGGCGTATCTAGCCAGAGAAAACAAGTACGAGTATCGAGATAGGAAGGAGAGAAAGAAAGCGCTCCCAATAAACACAAACGCCGCTATTCCCATCATGATGGTTCAGTTTCGTACACATGTCGGAGATATTACATGTTCATGCCAAAAAGATGCGACTTCTCGGCTGGGGGAGGAAGGATGTGATTCGAGCGAGCCAGTCCAATCATGCACTATATGACGTTATTCTCTGCGAGCGATACTTAGACTCTTCATTCCGATGCGGGGACAGCAAAGGGTGTAGAAGTCATTTGGTTGACCACCAGTTCGAGGGGTACTTACAACAATGATAGGGTCAAGTCACCACGAATACTGGCCTTGAGTTCAATCTCGACATCGAGATTGGCATCCAACTTCAGCTTCAAACCATCAGTTTCATCGAGCTCTGACTGTACCGCAGGTGGCGGCTTCTTGTAGTAAGGTTGGTCTGGGTTGCTGCCTCGCATAGGGATCTCTCCTCTGTCTGCGCGAGCTTTGGTCACGGGTCCATCCATGGATGTCGAGTCGGGACCAATGCGCTCAAATGGTTGCATCTCGTGGAGTTCGCCATTGGCATCTGCTTCCTCCAGGGCTTCGAGCGAGTTTGTGTGCATGTATTTGCCGTCTCTTTGGTCGTTCTTTACTCGCTTTCTTCGGGCGCGACGGGATGAGGATCTGGAGCGCTCGGTTTGCAGACCTGGGGTTGTTTAGTCTCTGTGTGGGATGTCGGTGGTTGAAACTGCCATGTCGTCTTACCTGTTTGACGCTTCTCCGAGTTGTAATATTCATTGTGCTTCTTTTGTTGTACTACGGTTCTCTGGTTTTGTGCTTGCTCTGCCTGGCTACCAGGGAATCGCTTGTCGTCTCCAGAGGGGTACTCCGGTTCCCAGTCCTGGCGAGCTTGAACAATTTCCTCGTCGGTGGGCATGGTTGCAGTATTTTCGTATTTTGCAAATGGACAGGAAAATGGAAATGTGGTTGTATGGACTCGAGCAAGGAAATCACAGTTGGCTAGTGGTCAGAGCAGCAAAGACAGTTGCAAGCAGCAAGTACAAGCAAGAAAGAAAGGGCAGTGACGTCCGTGAGAAATGCAATGGCGACAGGGAAAACCGACTTACGCTCATGCCAGGCCTGCTTCAGCACTCTTTCTCTCTCCGATCTCGAGAACCAGACTTACCTTCCCGTCTACGGCAGCAGATACCTAGCGAGGGTTCGGGGCCTGCGCCTGCGCCTGCGCCATGATCACATACAATGTGCCACACAAACCTGATTTCCTGAGGGATCCGCACTGTTGCGCACCAGCCACACGTCATAGCGAAAGCAGCCCTGCACGCAACTCGGACGGTTCTCCTTGCAGACCACGCGTTTGGCTGCAAAGCGTCTCGATTCGGATGTTCGAGCAGGGGTGTGTAGTGGGGTTGAAAGCTGAAACCGCAATCTTTGCCGAAACTTGTGGCTTGGTCAACGTCAAAAAGTGGCTCCTTCATGTGTGGAGAAAAAATCAAGGCACGGCCACGTCTTTCAATTTGAGAGAAGGAAATTGCGCAAGGCTCGCTATTCGCGATCGAGCCGCTGCGCCTCATTTCCTGCTGACATATCGACGTCAGGTTGTCAGAGGATACAAGCGAGTCTTGTGTCATGTCCCGAGCTTTGATCGATACGAGGATACCTGGAGCAGACTGAGGTGATCAATGATCATACGAGGTTGGGCTGCAATGAAGGATGTGTGTGTAGTAGCAACTAGCAAGGAGCAGCAAGACTCTACCATGTCATTGTTGAGTGCTATCCGTCTGGAAAGCTCGCATGTCACAGAGAAGATGTTTTGGATGGGTAAAAGTCGTCTCTTCGTCTTCGATCTAAACGTACTTTACATGATGTGGAAAAAGGAAAGAATAGTGAACATATGGTAATCCAACAAGTGCCAAAACTCCATGATATCCCATTATAAGTGTCGTCAACATTGGTCGTACGCAAATTGAGCGTATGTGCAGCAGCAGCAATGATTTTAGTTCCTAGTGGCATGTCAGTTTTGTCAAACGAGAGAAGTCTCGGGTATACGTACAGCAGTCCAAGAGTCAAGTCACCGTGAATCTTGGCCTTGAGTTGAATCTCGATGTCCAGGTTGAGCTCCAATCTCAAACGGAGCTGCTCACCCTTACCGCCGTCTTCCTCTTCTTCACCACCACCTTGCTTTTGACCGCCTCCAGTCAGACCACCAAGTGCTTTGCCAGCTGTGTCTCCGACTTGGTTGACGGCGTTTCCTGCGGTGTTCTGAACCATGTCACCAGCTCCGCCAACTAACTCTCCACCAGGAACGTTCTCAGTGATGTCGTCCAAGGGGCCACCACCACCGCCTCCTTGCTTCTTCTGACGCTGACGTTGACGGCGTCCACCGTTTGCAGAGGCATCACTTCTAGCGACTGATTCTGTGTCACTTTCCTGTCCGCGGCGGCCGCGACCACGACTTTGGCGTCGACGAGATTGGGATGCTTGACGTGACTTTTGTTGTTGAGGTTCCGGTTCGGCGTCTTCTTCGCCGTCCGCATTGGCGCTGGCATCGGCTTCGACTTCTGCGTTTCCTCCAGCCTCAGCCTCAGCACCGCCGTCTCCTTCGGACTGATCAGGAGTGGGCTGTTGTTGAGGCTTCTTCTGGCCCAGCTTCTGAGGCTTCTTTCTTTCGGGGGCACTGGCACCGCCCTCGGCTCCAGCAGAGGCTTGCTTATCCGACATGGTAGAGAATTGTGAATATGATAGTAGATGTAGGAGGTATAATGTGGGGAATTGAAGATGTTTGCGAAGAGAAGGAAAGATGAGAGAATTGGAAACAGACCCGGCTAATACTTAGAAAACTGGCAGAGCACCCTTGGACACCTCCACCGAACAGGTTTCGAAAACCCGGGCATGAATATGTCAAAGGGCGGTCCTTTGACGTAACATGAGCTCACCAGCCACACTTCTCGAGGACCGAAGTGGGCACTTCAGCATGCAGGCGTGCTGATCGCGCGTGAGCCAATGCATGAAGTTCGCGAGAAGTTGCAAAGTGCGGGAGATGTCAGGGCCAGCCACAGGTGTTGAGGCGTCACGATCGAACTGCGTCTGTGCATTAGCTGACGGCACGTCGACTTTCCGAGCTCGCTTCGTTGGAGCGAGGAGGAGTGACATTGATGATGAATCTGTTTCTCCCAGCTGGAGATGAGGCGCCTGAGGTTTTGGCATTGGAATGAGCGAAGATCGAGACTGCTCGTTGTGGTCATCGAGATCGAATGAAAAAAAGTTGAGAACCGTGTCTCATGTTTACGTCGCCGTGCTTCAAGTTCTTCTACAAGCACATGGTTTACCTTGGACAAAGGCATACGTACCATACAGCCAGCATTTCCTGGCACATTTACTTCTCTTGACGTATTTCTTGTGCTGTTCTTTGCATGGGTCTTGCGGAAGATTTGTACAAGCTCTACGTGTAGATGGCAGTCTCGACCGTGTGTAGTACCTGTCTTGCCCGTGGCTTCACGTCCGATCACGGGCAGGAGCTCGAACGTAGCTCTTCAATACCCGGAAGAGACAAGTATGCGCTGCCAAATTACTTTGAAAACTCAGTAGGCCTTACTGAAATCCTGGACACGTTCGTAATCTCAATGGAGAACGAACCACGCAAGAAGCCACGCCAGTGGTCACGATTTTTGACCATCGGGAAACACACAGAGTCCCAGCCCGACCTAGCCTCGTTATCTTATCTCGGAATCTCTCCGCCATGTGTTGATATCATCATTTCTTTCCAAGTGTGATTCTCAGTTACAAACACAACATGAGTGACCAAGCATCTAAAGATGCCGCAGCAAAGGCTCGTATCATAACGCATATGAATGCAGACCATCATGACTCGGTTAGTACAACTACATTTAGGAGAAGTGTCTATGCAGGACGCTGATGGTCAATTCAAAGGTCATTCGATATCTTGAAAATTATCATCACCTGCCAGGATACCAGGCTTACAACGGCAAAATCTCCGATGTGTCGCTCGAGTACATTGCTTTCGAGTGTGCCGGTATGAATTATAGGACCCCCCTTGACCCTCCTATGAGCTCTTTCCGAGAAGCACGAGAGCGTCTGGTTCAGATGGACAAAGAATGCCTCGAGGCGCTTGGTCGAAGCGACATCACCATCAAAGAGTTCATCGCACCAACTGGATGGTATCTTGTGCTGTTTGGGATAGTGTCGACGACGCTTGTGGCATTCAGGACCAGAGCAAACTTCGAACCGGGAAGCTTCATCTCTGCCGTGGTACCTCAATCATTCGCTCGATTCTGTTGGACGATACAGCCGCTCATCTGGTACGGAATGCTTGCTATACATGGAGCCGAAACGTGGAACATGGCACGTGGACGACTGAGGAAGCACAATGTCAATATCAGGAGCCGAGTCTGGTGGTTGTGGATAGCCACGACCTTCATTGAAGGCGTCGGTGCGTACAACAGGTCAGTTTGCTGCCTCTGTTCATGATTCAATATGAGCTCGACTGACTAGGGTGCTACAGATTTGATAACACGGTCCAAAAGAAGAGGGTCGAAAAAGACAAGCAGAAGCACTGATGGATTTCGGACTTTTATGCATTTCCCATTTGCGGAGTCGGGCGCGTCGAGTGACTCGGGGTCCCGACTCCCGGGGTGGCAGGACTTTTTCCAGTTGCACGACAGCCGGACGCGACAAACGCGTGCGATAGTGGGCGCCGTTACACAGAAGGTTGGATTGCAACGGGCGCAGGTTACTGCGGTAGATAAGTGTCGATATGAAGTAGAAAGAAACGCCAAGCCAAGCAATTGTGTCTCAATCGTGCCTTCTCCGAAGACGATCCTTTGTACATGCCGAGCGGAGTACATGTTGATACCGGGGTTGGTTCATAGCCCTTGTTGTACATTTTGCGCTTGGTTCGGTATTCTTCTTGCTCGTTCTATCCCAATCTCAATGCGCCAGCCGTAAATCTGCAAACAGGCATCCGGTTCATGTCTCATGTCTGCACCTGTCTCTGTTTCATACTGATCCAGCACGCTGTCTGCCGGGTGTGCGACCACCCCCTACATAACTCCGATGGTCATGAGGGAATCGATATGACCGGCTAGACATCTCGACCCATCCTGCATCCAAGGTACAACGACACGATATGGCGCGTAATCCGGCCATTGACCCTCCGCGGTTCGCTCCGCCCACGAGGGTTTACTCGGCCACTTCATCTTCGCCCGCGAATTCACGTTCTCCTTCCCCTTCGCGCCATAACCGAAACCGCTCGCGGTCCGACGATCCCTTGGTCCGCGACCTTTCTCCGACTCGAACATTGGAAGCATTCACATCGACACCGGGAAGCGAAGAGAGCAAGAGCCAGGTAGCTCTTGTGCGCTTGATTGAAAAGGCCTCGCCTTCAGAAAGAGCTTTTGGCATCAGGATAGCCCAGACGTGCAAGGACATCAAAGCCTGGCACTTCGAACTGCAACAATGGCCCTGGACTAACTCATTTGAGCCTCCTGTCCATGCCACACATGCCGTCGAGGGCCCGTACTGGGGCAGCCTTCGAGAAAGCCAGGTTATAGCATACGAGCAACGCATTCAGGATATCCGCGAAGCCTTGTTTAACCAGGACGTCGATGAGCTCAAGGAATATGTCCTCTCCCAACACGTCCAGCCAAAGACGTCCGATTTTGAACTCTACGAACGCCTCGACGACTTTACTGCCTTGATCACTGCCACAATCCTGCATGCCCTGCCTGACCTCTCACGTTTGAGTCGCTTGTTGGATACTTGGTCGATGCGTATTACGCTCTTGCGCAAGGTTCCTGGTTATCTCAAAGGTCTCGATCAAGCCAAGACAGAGTTGGATAATGCCTGGTCTGGCATGGCTCAACGTCTTCGGGACACGATTGATACATCTGCTGTGCGTAGTGCTTTCCAGGCTCTTCAAGAACAGTTAGAGTCGCGTATGGGCAAAGTCGGCGGACGGCTCGACTCCATGTTGGATGATCTTGAAGGACGTGAAGAAACGCTCCCAGATGCCTGGATCGATACTTTTGAATCGCTCGAAGCGAGCTATAGTGATTGGCTTACTCAGACCGAGCGCCAAATAGTTGGTCACAACATGTCTCTGCTTGTACCTGCCCACGGCAAACAGACTCTTGCAGATGTAGCTACCCGCGAGATTCCTTCAACCTCTATTGAGTCTTCAGATCGTGAAGAGCGTGCCGTCGTCCATGCTTCTCCAGAGCTAGTCACAGCTCCAGACGTTGTCTCGAACGTCAATCCAGCCGCAGAAGATCACTCCGCCGTACCTGCAGGTCAGAACGACGAACATGCTCTTGTCCAACCAGTCGAGAGCCCCATCTTAGGAACGGGCTCTGCGTTCCTGCCTGACCTGGATGAGTCTTCTGACTTAGACAGCGACAACGTTTCGAAGGACTCGATAAGGGCACCCGTTTCACCAATGGGTACCTCTCAGCCAGCCGTGTCAGCATCTGACTCAATCTATCGGGCTGGCAGCCTAAAGTCATTGTCATCAAACATCTCACGCTCGAGGCATGTGCCTATTGTTGTCAGCTATAACGATGGCGAATCACCAAGGCCTTCTTCGTCGATTGCACCGACTCCTGGTGAAGGATCTCCTGCTGTGACTGCTGCGGCATCCCCAATGCCAGCCTCGGAGCAGGCCTCTCCGGCTGTGAATAGTGTTCGTGCCAGAGCAGCTTTTCTCAATGGAGGCATTGAGCGTACCCAGTCGCTGCAAAAGTCTGTCAATAGTCCTGTCCGACCCTTTGAACATGCCTCCATGGCCTTCACAAAGCTATTCAACAAGACCAACAATACTTCCAATGGCACTCCCAGTCATTCTAGGACCAGCTCTACTTCAAGTCGAACAAGCAATCGCAAAGGATTAGGGCTGGGTATCAAGAATCATGAGGGATTCCGCCATTTTCATCGCTCTGCATCTCTAACATCTCCTGCGCCACCAGTTAAGAATGGTGTCAGAAATTCGGCCAAAGAGTCTCAGCTACCTGCACAGTCCTCATCGCCGCCAGCTCCGATTTTCAATTCTAGTCCAGAACAGGCTTCGGCGATTCGCGCTGCCTCTCAGCCTGTTCCTTCGGCTTTTCCACACGAGCTCCAAAGACCGATGGATGCATTCGTAACACCAGAGATCGAGCAAGACTACTTCCCTTCCACAGAAAACAGCAAATCGACACTCGATTCAAACTGGAATTCACCAGCGCTCGCCGAGTTTCCCGAAGACTGGCCTCTACCTGTCAGAATTTATGATGATGAAATACATACGCCAAAGGATCCTATGGGCTCTGATGTGTTTGAGAGGATGTTTGTCGACAGTCTTCCCGGCACACCACAGACCAAATCTCGGCCACCATCTCAAGAAAGCAATCCTTTTGAAAAGATGTTCAGATCGAAGCGATCGGGCTCGAAGGAACCGCTTTTCGATGATACACTGCTTGACGACATCTCTCAACACAAACCTCGCAGCGGGCCGTCGTCACCCGTTAGTCCAAGGGCGAGACATCTATCTAAACCTAGCACCACAAGCTTACCTTTTGAGCCTATCACGGAATTGCCAACACCAGGGTCGTTCGATGCGACTCCCGAGGTTCAAGATGCTTCTTCGGCAGGCTATTTCAGAGCCAAGCAGGTGCAGACATCACCAGGAAGTAGGATATCGCCAGTTCCTGCCAGTAACACTTCATGGAGCAACTTTAGTTCTGTAGGTGCTGGAAATGCTGAGGTGCTCGAAGAATCTGACGAGCATGACAATGAACAAAGCATCAACAAGAGGCGCTCAATGATCAAGAGAGCTTCCGTGGCGTCGATCGAGGCCCATTCGAGATCAGAGCTGAACACAATCGAGATACCTGTTGTGTCCAGACGATCTAGTCTCTCAGCCCCTACCACTGCTAAGCCAGCCAAGGAATTGTCAATGGACGATTTTCACAGTGACCAGGAGGACTTTGGTGGTGAACCACCCGCATTTGGACTGCCTCCACCAACAGTACGTTCCGACACAGAAAGAAGTAACATCGGCAGAGCTGTTGCAGTCTCAAAACCTCCTCCGCTCAACCTCGAAGTTCACAAGCGTCGTTACATTGTCGAGCCCGAGGCTACGCCCAGAGCTTCGTCAACCAACCGCAGCATTTCTCAGCCTGAGACGGCTAACAAGGGACACAAGCGTAACACGTCAAATGCTGAACAGCTGGATCGACATGTCAGCCGGGTTCTGAACACACTGCCGTCACGCATCACTTTCAAACCATCTCTCTCGCTCCCATCCCGTGAACCATCTCCTGCACCAACCATCGCTTCTGGCCCCTCTCGACCACGTCCTGCGTTGTCGGGCAAACCTCCTCGCACCGGACTCACTCTGTCAGCCGCTCAATCTGAGCTGACGTCTAGAAAGTCGAATGCAAACGATGCGGATGGCAAGATGTATTACCTGACACAAGAAGGGAAAGAACAACCCATCAAGCTATTTGTCCGTCTCGTTGGTGAGGGTGAGCGCTGTATGGTGCGTGTAGGTGGTGGTTGGGCTGATCTCGGCGAGTATCTACGTCAATACGCAGAGCACCACGGCCATCGTACTTTTAGTGACGGTAAGCTGGAAGTGGGCGGCACACGTATTGGTGGAGGTACCAAAATTCGCACGCCACTCAGCAGACCTGGAAGTGTCCTCGATCGTCCAGACAGCAGTATGAGTCTACGCAGTCGTTCGTCTTTTGGCGCTGTTGGAGCCCCGTTGCCAGTGGATATGTTGCACAGCAGTCCTTCGGCCACTACACAACCCATTGATCTCACGCCTACCACAACGCGCAACGGTGCCTACCACACCCCGACCGGATCTGTCAAGAGTTCTTCACGCCCGTCTACCGCGGATACTTTCTTGAATGCCTCTCCTTCATCATGGTCAGGTCAGGAGATTGGTCTTGCAGGCCCTTCGGCCAAACATTCACGCGGCAATCGTGAGCTTGACGAGCAAAAGGCACGCTGGGTTGAAGAAATGATGAACCGAGCCAAACAAGCCAGCAGTGTTGAGAGAAAGAAGAGCGAGACTGATCGCGCCGCTTGGGCGGACATGGGCAAAGTCGGTGGCACACGCCGCATGATGTTCCGCCACAAGACTGGAGGGGAGAACGGAAGTGGCTAGACGCTACATCTCCTCCGCCTCTGATTCTTTGCTATTGTTGGTGCTTGGTCTCTCCTATTGCCTCTTGTAGTTCTGTTTTTTTCTCTTGATATGGCGTTGGATGATCATGATGAGCGCCTTGTATGTTACACACGACCAGTTCTTGCTTTCTGGAGTTGTCTTTCGATTTTGCGTTTTGGCATCAAAAGAGTAGTGAAGCACGAGCAAAGCGGTAGCAACAGTACAATGCCAAATCCTTAGATAGCATCACAGCGAAGAACATTCTTTCTTCTTATTCTTCCTGTTGTGCCCTGCTCTTTCCTCTTTGTGAGTCCTGCAAAAATCGGTTGCATTTCTCGTCAGTGTCTAAATCACGCTCCTTCTGTGTTCGAACGTCAGATCCATTCCAGCACACGGGAGATATTGGAATGATATCTTGTTTGGTCATTAAACATATTGTAGATTCTGCTTGCATAAGGTTACACCAACAACTTTGGGTATGGGAAATAAAAGACATCTGAGAAGGAAAGAGAAAAGAAAGCACCGGCAGGATTTACAGAACATGATCTGATCTTACAGGAGTACATCGAGAAAATGGTAGATAGAATTACTGCTGTCAATGGCTTCGTGGGTGCAGAGATCCTCGATGAGCTGCTCCCCCTCCTCGTGCTAACGGTGGTGTGTAGAGTCCGTGATGGGGTTGTGATGGATGTTGAATATTGGGTTGCCAACCCTCAGCATGAGTGAAGGCTGGCATTGGCTGCATTTCAGCAAGGTGCTGATTGGTGAGTTGATGGTAGTGAGCAGGTACCGCCGGCATTGGGGGAGCGGGATGGTTAGCGGCGACATATCCCAGAGGATGAGCAGAGTCTCGCCGAGGGTCAATCAGTGTTGAGTGAGGCACCAGCCCGGTCTTGAAGCTTGGTTGTTCTGAAGAGGGAACGGCCGCAACTCCAGGCGTATGAACATGGCCAGGAGAAGCTTCGGCTGTAGATTGAGCGGTGTTGGTCTGGAGGCCATGGTCTTCGAGCAGGAACATACCAGTGGCTCCCATGACAGGCTCATGCAAGAAATCATGGTCACGCAGCCGTTGACCCATATCCCAGTCGAAAGGGTTGTGAGGTACACCCTCACGGCTGTGCTGTACATTCATTGGTGATATGCCTTCCGCATTCATGGATCGTTTGCGTGTCTCGGATTGTTGTTTGAGACACGTAAGACCGTCCGTGATCCGAGACATGGCCAGTCCTGTCAGCTGGTGCATTCCTGCCTTGTCCATTGTAACAAAGACCATGTATGCCTTTTCTACTCTTCCAATGTGCTCAATACTCTCGCGGTCAATGCCATCAAGCAATAGGATCATGCAGGCATTAAAGGCTTGTTGGCCAATTTTCCAATCGACGAGCGCAGACGGAACGCGGTTGTGGAAGAATTGGAACGCGTCCAGTAATGCCAGACAAGACTCTATCACTAGCGGTCTACCTCGCGGTACCATAGGAGATGGTGAGGGTGTGTGTGATTTCGGAGGAAGAGAGTATTCAGGGACGCTACCGAATTGAGGGAAGCCCGGTGAACGTGATCGATAGTCTGGACTCTTTCGGTTGTTCTCAATGCGCTGGCGATTGAGCAAGATGATGTAATTATGAATGTTGCAATAAGATACTATAGGCCGTACGGTTAGCGGTATGTAGTTGAAGTCATCGAACGGGTGTATGTCTCACTCGCCGCCCTTGTCTCCATCGGCCACTCAGGGATGGCTGTTTGCTCATCGATCCAGGATTTGTTGAACTGTAACGGTTCTGGCATCGTGTCCCATAAAGCGATCAGGCGATCAGTGTACATATCAATCTTGGAGTCTGTGAGCTGATTGCTGCTCAATATCTGTCGCCCATGAATTGTGAGTTGGTCAAAGAATTCGCTCAACCTTAGTGCTACCGGATCCGTTGTGAGAGGGTCAGGGGGCGGACAGTCTCCAACTCCCGAGATACCCAAAGGCCGACCAAGTGTCATGGCGTACTCCTGATCCATATGCAGTAGCCACCACCAAAGGTTCCTGCGTATTGTAGATTCACGGAGTGAAGGTGTTGGATCAAGGAAGCGAGGATTGCGATGCAGACCGACAGAGTGGGCGAGTCGGATCGTGAGACCGGAGAAAGACCAAGCATCAAGAAAACGTCCACTGTTGGTCAAGTAAGGGGCAATCATGATCATTACTTTGATACATTTCAGAGTGGGACGACTGGTGAAGGATGCCAGGCGGAGTGCTTGCATGGCCGCGACAGCTAGGGATGTTAGCGAGAAGAAGGAAGTTACGAAGACGTCAAGCTTACAGAATATCTCGCCCTTGCGACTGCTGTTCTGAGGTGTGCTTGTTTCTGCTTCTTTGCGACTTCCGAATGTGTCGAGTTGCACCCCTAATGCTAGCGCTGCAAATATGAGTGCGAGTAAGTCCGGAACCTTCTCAGCGTTCTCTTCGGCGTTCTCAAGAAATCGTTCGACTTCTTTCTGTGCCAAGTCGTCAGGTACATAAGGGAAGGCGAAACCTCGAGCTTTCTGGCTGAAGACGTCAAGGTAGTGGTAGAGCTCATCACGCGAGGGCAGGCATTGGAGTAGGCCTTGCGTACGCGACATGGCAGGCCATAGTGTTGGAAAAGGATACATGGAATCATGGGCCGCATACATGTCGGCAGCTCGAGGCATTGCATATGACAGAGACTTCGGTTCCACTTGAAGACTTGCAAACTAGGGGGCTGTCAGTTGTGTCGATTAGATTGTAACGTGTCATACTCACATCAGCTATGACACTCGCCAACCCTGGAGATCCGAAGTAGATGCTGTCAATCTGCTCACTCGCACGAAACCTGCGCTGGCGGTTCGGCTGCCTTGCAATGGAGTTACTGATAACATTGGCAGAACCTTCTTCAGTCTCACTGCCTTCCGACAGCGAAGACCTCTCAGCTAAGAGACGTTCTTTCAGTCGTTGATTCTCAGCTCGCAGTCTCCGAAGTTCGAGAGATTGTTGAATTGGTCCGAATTCAGCACCTTCTCCAAGGACAAAGTGGCACTCTTTGGGAAGACCCCTGGCACAACAAGCAGAGCATGGTTTCGTGCGATCACACTATCACAATAAGTTTGGTACTGACAAGTGCTTGAATGCCCTGAGAAAACTTACTTTTACTTTGCGTTCTCGACATTTAGTGCAGCTCAAGAGTTGACGTGGTTGGATCTGCTTCTTAAATTTCTTATCCGAAGCAGACAGGGACCTTTCGGCCCGCGACGAGGATGATGATGACAAGGCTTGCGGAGTCTGGGTGATGGTCGGAATCCCCGTTGTTTCCCAAGGTTTTGGTTGCTCCATCAGAAATCTGACAGATTGCTCATGACTCTAGTTCGAGGGATACGAAACATTAACATAGTCAGAGGACTTTCAGTATGTCAAAGCACCCTCTGTAAGATCCCGGATGCTATGGCGGCACGTCAGCATGAAACGACGCACCAGAAGGTTTGATCTATGCTTTTTGAGTGGCGGGGCTAAGACTGTTAAAGGAGAATGGACTAACGACAACAGTGATGAGGCCCACATCCCCATTTTTGGATAACGCAATCTGCTGGACGCAATTCCGAGCTTTCAAGCTTGAGGGCTCAAGAAGCACCTGTCAACCGTCCCGGATGGCTGAGACTCTGGGGAACCACGATCATCGAGTCAAAAACCTGAGATGAGAAACCATGTTTGCCTATTCTGACCAGTTGTTTGTGGATTGAACTTGTCCATCATCATCCGAATGACCGGCCTCCAGAGACGGTCAACGATTTCACATATACATGAATCTGTGCACTAAGTCTGCAGGCTTCAGGTGATCGTGATCGTGATGATAGTACAAGATGACTGGAAGGCCTAGATTCTCCAGGATCATGCAACATCGCGCCATGATCCTGCGAGTCGGGTGTCGATGGATGGTGGTGGTGGTGGGCGTTAAGGGTCGTATCCGAGGCTACGGTTAGGGATTAACCAAGACGCGCCACAATCCTTCGAATGACAACCCTGTTCAGTCACGCAATAGGCTATTGCCTCTCGTTCCCTGGTCTTCCAAGACAACTTGGTCAGAAACATGTATGTTTGTCTTGCTACAAGGAACCGTTCGTGACATACTTTCGGTTTTGACCGAAGGTCTGAGAGCAGCGACCACGTTGGCTCCAGGGGACGGTTGACTAGCACGAACAACCCCTCATCGTGGCCCGCTAAATTGCCAGAGCCGCGATGGCTCAATATGGTACCGAGACGCTATCAGAAGGTCACCATGTGTGCCGTTATGTAACCTGCGAGATCTTGAATCTATAGTAGAAACATGGAGACTTTGAGAGCTCATCGCCATGAGGAAATTAGTACTGTAAGGTGCTCTTCAGAATTGCTTGGTAGCGTGATGGCTGCAAGCTGCTTGATAATACGTTCGCAAATTGCAATGCATGTGGAAGGAGAGTGTCCCAGCTTATAACTTACAGGGTGCAGTCAAAGAACAAATAATCTCATGTGCAGCATGGCTTGCAGACTAGAGAGCGTCATGCGGAAATGGTTGTTTGACTCGTGCGTAGGCCTTTGGTGTCTAGCGATAGGACACGTATGTAGCAAATGGATAACGAAGAACGTCCACTGTCTCTAATAGGCTGAAGTTGTGACTAATTGTCCCAAGGATTCAATAGTCGGTTGCTTGCCGGCGCAAGCAAGTTAGCTCAAGGCCCATCCCGCTTAGGGAACTTAGTAGGTACGGATAGGTGAGGTACATAACGGCTGTTCGAACGCACGTCCATGTCGCATGGAGATGCTCGGAACGACGGACTTGGCGTGAAACAAGTCCAATAGGGCGCGAACATCTGAGATGGTCTTGATGGCCGGATCCCCGTACTTGAAGTAGTTTGTCGTTGACAAGATCACTGCCGTTGTCGTTGAGACAACGATCGTAAGGCTCTGGTCGTCAAATGAGCTACTATGTATGGAAGGTACAAGAATGGCGGATTGGCGAGATAGCGCTTGCCTTGCTCCCATCTCGCTTGTGCCCTATACGCATGCAATTCGAAAAACCCGTCTGATACGCATTCCAAGAAATGCCATGCAACGAGACCGAGCTCTGACCAAGGTCTCCACCGCGGTACAAGATTGGTCCGCGAAGGATCCAGGATTCAGGGCTGATGGTGCGTGTGTCCTTTCCACCAATTATACTCATAAGATTTTGCCTTACAGCTGCTGTCGAGTGCACTTTGTTGTCAGGCGGATAAGGCGCAACGTCGTCTGAAGGTCTCACATTGTATTTCAACCATAACAGCACATCTTATTCATTCCAGTACGTGGAAGGGCAGGCGCACCTTCCCGGGCTTCCGCATCTACACGTTCTCTCATTGTCTGTTTGCCTATACTGCCTTCCCTATAAGAGCATTTCGCTAAGCAAAGTAGTACGTCAGGCTGTTTTCGACCATCGTGAGCTAAGGCTGATCCGGGCTTCCGATGCGCACTCCTGCATGCCACTTTCATAAGAGTGTGCAGTACTGTATACCACAAAGATCTACAAGAAGGTTAGGGTTCGACGGGTATGTCGAAACATGGTGTCACTGCCATAATGTCATAAGAGAATCATCAATGCGACGAGTTCATCTGAAGGTGGGCTTGGCACAAATATTTTTGTGGCAGTGACATTCAAGCACCAACCCTCCAAAAGTCGATATTAAATGCTGCACGTATTCGGCTCTGCATGAACTTTTGGTGTCTGGCACATGACCCGTATCTCTACCCCAGCCTATCCTTCCCAGCGATCGACCAAACGTACAGGCCTGAACAGGATTCTTCGCATGAACACATCGATGTTCTCAATCTCACATTCCCATGTGTCACCTGCCTTGGCCTCGCCGAGTCCAAACCCTTGTGGCTGGCTCATTGTAGCACCAAGACTGAATTCTTTGACAATGACAGCGAGCTCGTTCCTTTGAGCGCTGGGCTGCATGTGTACGTAAGCGTTCATGGTAGCTGGCAGCTCGCACTCTTTGTAGTTGAAGGCACGGAAAAACACTGTAGCCTGCCAGTGTTCTTCAGCATAGGTAGTCGCGCGACGGATCATCGACTCGCGAGGCTGTAGTCCCTTTGCTATAAGATTGAGAGCACCAACCGAGAAAGGCAGTGTCTTTGCGGACTTGCTGCTAGCAAAATCGATTTGAGCACCTGCTCTAGCTTCTTCACGCAGAGCTGCTTCTATCTGCCAATGTAAAAGCATATCACCATACCTACGAAGCGGTGATGTAGCCTTGCTATAAGTGGATATGCCCAAGACTCGATGGTGCAAGGGCTTTGTTGTTAGGATAGTAGAACCGGAATTGGAAAGATATTCGATGGCAAGGTGCATAGGAGCTTCGCCAATGTTCTTCTCTGTAGCTGGAGCCAGTACTTCGTCATAGAATTTCTTCGCGTCGTTGGTGTCGGGACTTATCACAGTTCCTCGATAGATGATGGGGATATTACGTTCTGCACACCATGATGCACCGATTTCACATGCTAGAAGCATGAGCTCGCGAACAAGAATGTCAGAGACTCCTTCGCCAGAAGAGAACCACGAAGTTAGTGCTTTCGTACGGAACTCGACAATAGGGTCACCTTCCACGTATCTTGCCTTGACTCTTGATGGATGCTCCCACGGCAATCCAGGGCGTTTAGCGTTATGCCAGACATTTATTTCGGGTCGATTCGAATCCAGGAACAAACCTCCGGCCATACGACGCTTTGCCTGACGTTTCTCAGCAAGCGTCTGCAACTGCTTGAGCATCTCAATCTCGTGGTCGAGCAAATGCTTGCCAGTTTTCTTGGGTTCGTGGTGAGGTACTTCACCCCCGATTTTCAGAACGACATCTGGATTCCAACCAGCTGCAACGCCAACGACACGTGCTGCCTCGCCAGGAGTCAAGAATTTCACATTTCGAATGAAGCCGGGCTGAATCTTCTGTTCCACCGTCTCGCCCTTGGAATTTAGTCTGGCACTAAAAGTCAAAACAGGGCGTTCGGCTTGTAAACTGAAGTGTCTGCTTGTCGACCATCTTGGCAACATGACAAAGGCACGCTCCGGCATGTAGATCGTCTCGGTCATATGGCGTGCCATTTTAGCAAGAGGATTGTCGTGGTCGAAGAATGCGGTTGGGTTGGCGATGTGAACATGAACCCAGTGTTCACCATTTCCGGCATCTTCCACTGAAACGCCGTCATCAATCTCATGAGCTCCTTCGCCATCGATACAAAAGACGGTGAGATTTCCCCAATCTTTGCGCAGATGCGCCATCGAGTCCACAAAGCCGGGCTTTTCGTCCATGCTCATGACTTTGGTCATGAGTTGCTCAAGGGGCTTGGAGTGCTGCGAGGAGGGCAGAAGCAGATGGCTGTCGAATCGTACTCGGTTCTCGTGAGGCGTTAGTACGCCAATCTCTTGCAGAAAGGTAAAGCCGGCCTTCGGATCCAGCTTGTGCTCTTCGTACATGCCGGTTGCCTGCAGAATGAGAGGAGGAAGAGCCTCAATACGAGGGAGACCCAGGAATAGAGCAGAACACGACCATGCTTCGAAGAACTTGATCAGCTCACGGTCGGAGTCGTTAAATTCGGTTTTGAAGTCATATTGCATGACATCTTCCTTCTCAATATCAAAACGCTTCTTGCTAATGCCCACACGACCGAAAGTTGTTACTTCGCGAAGCTCACGGCTTTTTTTAATCAGCGACTGTGCTTTGTGAATGAAGTTGACGACGTTTTGGCCATTTCGCGAGAACTGGTAGTCCGGAGTCTTGCCCGCTGCGAAAGTTGCCAAATCGTCCTGCCATGCTCTGAGCCAATTGCGTACTTTTTCGACGTTTGCCACTTGCTCTTTAGACCGAATTTGAATGAATCCAGTGACGCGATGACTTCTTCGATCATGCCCGAAAGCAAAACCACCTCGAGAAAGAGCTTTGCGGACGGCATAAATCTTCTCTTGCAAGGTGTCTTTGTCATCCCCCTTGTTGTGTCCCAGGAGGCGGGTGGTTATCAGCTCGAGTGTACCAAACTTGAGATCGGTGGGATGAGCCAGGGAATGATGCGCGCCGTCGAGAGTGGTGGCATTCTGACGGTATATTTCTTCGCTTTTCCTCTGAAATTCAAGCATTCTTGTGACCAAAGGAGCTGAGACGCCTCTCGGAACACTGAGATCGAACATTTGAGCCCTGTCCAGCAATTCCTCGGTGATGCCAGAGTCAGGGAGATAGGGTATGATGGGCTCAACAAGGCTCGAAGGCACAAAATCAGGAACTGCGTGCTGAATGTTTCGTTCAGTGCCGTGAACCCATTTTCCATGGATGGTATAGAACTGAGACTGTGCGGGCCTTCCAATTCTTCGTACAAAGACAGCAAGTATGGGTTCTCTTTCGGAGCGAGGAAAGTCGAGCAAGACCAAGTCGCCTCTTCGCAGGAAACGATGGTGTGAATCCCAGTCTTCGAGGTTGCCCGGGGTCATCAGACGAGAAGAGTCGTCGCGTTCATTTTCGACATCTTCGTCTGGTCGGCGGAAATTATCGACGTCGCCCAAGCGGGTGAAATTGTTTGTTTGTTCGCCCGAGGCATCTACATCGTGTTCGTTGTTGATGTCTGTTTGTTCGTGGCCATGTTCTTGCTGCCATTTTCGCAATTGGTCTCGTATACCGCCACTCCGAGGAGTGTCAGGAGATTCTAGTCGATCAAGGGATTGGATTGCAGGGTTGTATGTGGGCAGGTCTGGGGTATCAATAGGGTCGAGAAGTGGTCGATCGGATTGCTGTAAACAAGTCAGTGGAATTCATAAAAAGATGGAGGCGACGGTGGTACCCTTGATTGTGAAGAGAAACGGGCTCTGGAGATGGGCTGTTTTGGTGCAGACAAGCGGTTACGAAGAGATGGTGTAGAGGTGGGCGAGATGTGATGTTTCAAGGCGCAACTCCAGCACATTTTGGCAAGGTCCGGACGGCGTCGCACCGCGTCGCTGCGGAGACTGAGCATGATGACGGTGTCGGCGCCGACGGTCCAGTGCCTTGAGAAGCAGATTAACTGGTCTGCAGATAGTGTACAGCGGCAGAAGGAAGGAGGGCGCGTAGACAGGACTGTGGCAATGGCGAATTCTTGAGTCTTGAATCTTCACATGCTCGACGATCCCTGCATCATCTTCTAGAGACACGCGATAAGATAAGCAACCTCCAGCACAGACCAGCAGTCAAAGCTGTTCCTCGTCTCCATCCACGCTTTCTTCTGTCTTTTTCTTCTCAAACCAATCAATTGCAAAAGGTCAGTACTCTCTCTCTCTCTCTCTCACCCTGTTTGCTGCTTCCATTTTGATGTTATATGATGAGTCAAGAAAAAAATAGCATGTATTATCTTAGCATCCTCCGGGGTCTAGACGATGAGAAAATTTCGAGACTGACTGCTTCCCCTACCTTTGTCCATTTCCAATCCTTTCACTATGCGCAAATCTGCATTGCAACCAATGCTAACTTCACAAAAGGCAGTCACCATGTCGGCAACAAGACCACGAGCTGGCCATTTCAGCATCCTTTACTTCGCCTCTGCCGCGTCCTTTACCAACAAATCATCTGATGACTTGGTAGCCCCCATGAAGCTCTCAGCACTGCTTGATCAGCTCGAAGACATGTACCCTGCAATCAAAGATCGAATTCTGCACAGCTGTGCTCTCACTGTGAATTTGGAGTATGTAGATATCCAGGCTGATGCCGATATGCTTATCATTGAAGGAGACGAGGTTGCTGTCATCCCACCTGTGAGCTCCGGATGAGCAACCTGTGCTGCTATTTGATAGGTACATGACCACTGCAGCTGGAACTGCCATCCGCATCACACACGTCTCGGGTCTGTGAGACTGGCGAAAAAGACAGATTTGTGCAAACCGTATAGCCAGCCTCTGCGGCTGCTCAACTCGATACCTTATGCAAGCTCAATGATCAAGAAACGTCGTGTCATTCATCCGTGTCGTATCTGATCGAGCACACGACTTGTCCTCCTCGGATGATGCTGGGAGAAACGGGCGAGAAACGGCACAAATAGCGTCATAGAGAGGCTGTGGCCCGTGGGGAGGTTCCTTGTACTATTTTGGGACGACTTGGCTGGGATCGGGGGATCATGATATTATTATTATTCGAAGCCGGAGAGCAATTCGAGAATTCTGTAACAAGTGGATTGCTTGGTCGACAAGGATCTGTGGCGCTTTGTTGTTTGCAGAGCAAGTTAACGAAACTCTCTCAAGATACACGTATATACACACCAGTGACCAGCCTCCACTCGTCGAGGGAAACGCTTCTCCCAACCTCGGGGCTGTCAAACGTTGGTCGGATCCATCCTTCTGCGACAGACAAAGACACACATGCCGCCGTGAGACGGGCGCTCTCTGTTCACACAAGCTCATGCTCGTGGACCAGACCTGAGATTGAGCAACAAGATGCGATGCAGCCGTCGTTCGTCGGCGCTGGCCCTCGGCTGCGCCGTCCTGTCTGGCCTGCCGTCGCCAGTCTCGGCCGCCTTCATCACCTTCGACAACTGCCTGGACCAGAGCATCCGCGACTCGACCCCTCTGCATCTTCAGTTCGTCCCGCTCTTTGTCGACGCGCGCTTCAACACGTCCGACCCGAGCCATAACCTCAATCTCACCATCTACGGCAATGTCAGCGGCCAGGCCACCCAAGGCAACTATCCGCCTCCCAACGACCCGTCATGGCGAGATCCAAACGACCCATTCGGCAAGATAGTCGACCTCTCGCCCTCCAACAACAAATACTCGACCCTCTTCCAGCGCTACCAAGTCCTCACCTTCGACGCCTACGAGGCCAACCCGAGCCGCTTCTGCAATTCGACCGTCAACGACTCTTGTCCCTTGGCCCCTTCCTTCTACAAAAATCCTTATGACCCCTACGACCTCTCGGCCTTCACCGTCAGCCATGACTTCTATAGCTCGTATGCTTTCGCAACCATTGCCACTACCATCACCGCAAAGTCCGGCGACGCAGGCGCTCCAGACATTGCTTGCATTTCCGCCAACATCACCCCAGCGCTCAGTCACACCCTGTCTGGCCTGTTGACATACCTTCCTGTCGCCATCCTTATACTTGTAGCCCTCGCGACCGCTGCTGCCGGCATCTACTCTCCTTGGGGTTCTACTGACCCCTTCAAATGGACTACAAATTATGGTCGTGATCAGGATCTGCTGCGTCTTGTGACGCCTGGTTTTGGCGACTGCTTGCAATACATACAATTTATCTTCTTGACGGGTGCGCTTAGCCTCAATTACCCTGGCTATTACGCACCAGTCACCAAGCAGGCGAGCTGGTCCGCTTTGCTTTTTAACACAAGTTACGTCTCTCATGGGGACGGGACCCAATCTCTTCAGGATGGAATATACATCACCAATGGAACCTACGGCATGACTCGCATGAGCCAACTGGTGGGCATGACTGCAGTACGCGACATCTGGGCGTGCATGGCTGTCTGGCTGCTTGTCGTCGCGGTTGCCGTCGTCGTCCTCTGTCAGCTGGCTTTCCTCTTGCGCTGGCTGATTCGTCTTCTCGCCAATAGCCAACAAGAAGATCTTCGGAAGAAGAACTGGCCCTTGAGCGGTGGCATGGTAGTGCGTATTATCTTCAACTACTTCCTTCTGCCCATTGTTGCTATCTCCATGTTCCAATTGATAGTGGCTGCGCGATCGCCTGCTTCTGTGGTTGCCATGGCCGTTATACTTCTACTAGCCATCATCGTCCTTGCTCTCTGGATCCTCAACCTCATTTTCCGCACCAAGCCCCGCGCCTACCTTTTCGATGATCTTCCGACTGTTCTGCTCTACGGCCCACTTTACAACACCTATTCCGATGAGGCCGCTCCATTTGCTCTCATTCCTGCCATTCTCACTTTCATTCGAGGTATCGCCATCGGTGCGGTACAGCCTTCGGGCATTGCACAGCTGGTCATCATGGCCATCTGCGAGGTTATTCTTATATTAACATTGCATGCATTCCGTCCATTCCATTCGCCAACCCACATGAACGCCTACCATACATTTTTTGCTTCTGCAAGACTTGCGGCCGTTCTCCTCATGGTCGCGTTCGTGCCATCTCTGGGTGTCACGGAGGCGCCCAAAGGATGGATCGGCTATGCTATTCTTCTAATTCATGGTATAGTCCTTATTTTTGGCTTCTTCATGAACGCCCTACAGACTCTACTAGAAGTCTTCGCCCGTATGGCAGGCGCAGGAGGTGATCCTCAACATGGAGCACAGAGAGGAGGTCTGATATCGTTCGGTTGGCGTCAGCTTCGCAAGCGGCAACCAGGTAGGCAAGCAAATAGACCTGGTAGCATGATGTCTGATGCTGCTATCTTAGCCAACGACTCGGACGCCAAATCGCTCAACCTCATGGGAGGACGATCGAGAAGCATGTCTGCCAGCTCCCAGATGATGCTTAGCCAGCACCTGTCTGATAATCGTGTAAGTGGCGGCTTCGATCAATTCGCTCAGTCCGAGTATGCATACACTCCAACGATGGAAACTCCGGCTACTCCTTATAGTGCCGTCCCACCATCTGCCAGTTCTGTTGCAGGAGTTGGTAATCCTGGCAAGCGTCCAATTTTGGGCATCAAGACAGAACAACCTCTGTCAGATCCGTACTATCGGGCGCCTCGACCACGCAGGAATACCAATGATCCATATACTCCGGGTGCCAGAAGCCGACACTCAACAAGCGGTGATTGGAACAGGCTACCGTATCAAGATTCTCCAGATCATTCAGGCGGTGTTGACGATCTCGGAGAAGGTGGCTCAATTGTGCCTCCTTACCTGCGGACTCAACACAGAGGTGGTTCGGATCCAGATCTGGCAGATCTGACACCCAGGGAGAGGACCGATTATGCTGTAAGAGAAGTTGATTTCTATTATGGTGTCAGAGGACCAGCTCTCTCGAATGCACCCGCGAGAAAACTCAAGACTGGGCCTGCAGATCCTGTAGGTCCTGTCTCATCTGCTACCACATGGTTCCAGCGTCTCGTTGGTGGAAAAAGAAAAGATAAAGGCAAAGGATTTGAGGTGGTCCGCAGTTCTCGCATGCCTGCGAACATGACACGTGAGCCTATCGATGACGAGGAAGGGCAAGAATTGGAGACTTCACCGCCAATGAATTACCAGCCATACACGGACTCACCAGACCCACAATTAATGGCCGGCGCTCGTAGGTCAACCAGTCCCGAGGGATATGGAGACATGGGTAGCCGACTTGGAGGAACCTGGAACAATATGGAAGCCGAGGAGTCGGACTCCGAGAGCGACATTACGAACACTCGACCATCTTCTCGACCATCTTCACCACCTTACCTTCGTCCTATATCTCGAACTGGTAGCATCAAGTTCGATGAAGACGACAAGCCAGTAAGGGTTCCCTCGAGTGCTGCCGACAAGGATTATTTCCCAGCATCGCCACCACCACGTCACCCATTCCATGTCGGCAACAGCGTCGGCCACAACGGAAGACCCACCAGTATGGGTACAGTACAGCAGCGCGTGACGAGCGACAGCGTTTTCCAGAGCGCAGGAGTTGGTGAAGGAAGCATAGCGGAGATTGTGACCAACGATCGAACCATGAGCATGGAATCCCGACACGCACCACGATGATTGCGGGACGACTTGTAGTCATTTGGTTCGACTGCGTAATATTCTTTCTACCTTTTAGTTGGCAGGTTTTTATAGTCCAGCAGCGATGGAGTTGGTGGCAAAAGTTGGGAGGGGTTTCAAAATGGATAGATATCACATGTACATAGTATAAGTAGCGTGGCGTTCAATCTGGAGTATCATTTTCTTAGGCCATACAATTCATTCGCCTGAACGCGTATCATTCTCTGCAGTAACTCAAGTCGTGGACACTAGATGGTTGAGCCTAGAGGGAGATACTGTGAGATAAGCGATCCATGATGGTGGTCTAAGCTCCTCCCTCGTCCGGTCGGGAAGCTCTTGTCCAAATCAGGCCAGCCCACCGCTACTCAACTCCCAACTTTCCTCAATGTTCTGCTTTGCTGTAGTTCTCTGCATTTGCTGTGTCTGACCTTCATAACATCTACGCAGAAATGGCTGATGAGGTTATTGTTCCACGATGGCAGCCGGACGACGAGCTCTCGGCATGCTCTATATGTGCGAACTCTTTTACCTTTCTCAACCGGAGACATCATTGTAGAAGATGTGGCAGGCTCGTTTGTGGGCCTTGCTCGCCTCATCGCATTACGATACCGCGCCAGTACATTGTCCACCCGCCAGAAGAGCCCTTGAACCTTGATGGTGGCACAAGAAGCCGAAGCAGTACAGGACCTTCTGACTACCCTGATAATCCGGCTCTGGGTGGTGGAGAGACTGTCCGAGTCTGTAATCCTTGTGTGCCCGATCCAAACTATGGACCTCCGCCTCAGCAGCAGGACGAACAAAGATCACCGCCACCTTCAACACGGTCACGTGCTGTGACTTATGCCGCAGACGAAGGGGCAACATCAGGCATAAGTTTTGCCAGATTGTTTGGCTCGCTGGGCGTATCCGATTCAGATCAGACTACCTGCCAATCTGCGCCTCACAGTACTCGGACACTGAGCGATTTTAATGGCACTCCACCTCAATCAACAGACAGGCGAGGATCGTATCGACCACAATTACACACAGCGAGGTATCAGGCTTTGAATAGTGTACCTCAGCGTCCGAGATCATCAACTCAGGGAATTCGCACCCGCTCAGACAATGATACTGGACATTTATCACGAACACGATACCGATCCTCCTCGCATACACCAACGCCAATCGCAGCTACGCAGGCCGCAAAGGTCCAAATGCAGCGACCGCAAGGTCGGGAAGTATTGGGTGAGGAAGATGAATGTCCTGTGTGCGGTACTAGGAATTACCCTTTTGGCGCAAATGACACCAGCGGCACAAGCGAGGAGCGAGAACGACACGTTCAGTTTTGCATTTCAAGCCATCTAGCAGGACCCAGCCACGGGGGAACGGCAGCAGAAACACCAGATCAGACAGGGTCAGGCGAGACCGAGACCGAGACCATGGCTGTTGGTAGCGTGCCACAGCGAGCGGCAAACATGCTTGGGGCCAACACGGCGAGGCAGCGCATGCTAGTATATCATGCAACCGAGAAGGACTTTTTTGACGAAGATGGAAACGCACAGGAGTGTATAATCTGCTTTGAGGAGTTTGAAGAAGGGGCTGAGATGGGCAGATTGGAATGTCTATGCAAATTCCACCGAGCGTGCATCAAGGGGTGGATGGAAACACGAGGTCGAGGCACGTGTCCAACACATCAATTGCATGATTGAGCGATATCGAAGCGGATCGACTCTGCCATGACAGTCTCTCCCAATCGATTAGACAGCAAGCTATGTTGGCAGCTCTAAGAAAGGCAGATTCGTATTTCAGGTACCAAAAGAGAAGACGGCAGATGAAATCGGAAGGACCGAGTTGCAGGTAGAGTAGTCATGAATAGGAAGAGGTGAGAGCTAAGGGCAGGTGGACCGTGCACGCCTTCCTTCCAGTCAGCAGCTTCTGAGCTTTTGGCAGCCAGACGCGTCTTGGAACCGTAGGATAATTGCACACAGTCGCCTCTGTCGGCACCATGAGCGCGCAACCCATCGATCCGCGTCTGGAGGCCAGCGACGCCGTCCAGGCAGCGTATCAAGCACAAGCTCAGGCACAAGCCCAGGCAGCTCAAGCACAAGTGGCTCAAGCACCAACGCGGCATCAACCTGCTCCGTATCCCGCGCCGGCGCTGACGCGCTCCGACTCTCAGATCAAGCTGTACAGAGATGCCACGCAGACTGCCCAGCAGGCCCAGGACGTCTCTCAGCCCTACTATGGATACGCCGCCGCTCTGCCGACCGGCCATTCTCCCAGCGACGAAGATGGCGACCGACGCACCAGTGCTGGTGGCCCCGATCTGGTCGACATGAGCCCTGCCGGTCCTGGTATGCTCGCCGCCGATGCCAAACGCTCGAGAGCCTGCGAGGCCTGTCGCGGTCTCAAGGTGCGCTGTGACATGGACAACAGCGGACAGCCGTGCAAGCGCTGCGCCAAAGCTGGCCGTCAGTGCATCGTCACCCAGCCCAGCCGGCGCCGCCAGAAGAAGGCCGACACACGTGTTGCTGAACTCGAGAAGAAGATTGATGCCCTTACCCAGGTTCTGCACCAACAACAGCAGTCCCACCAGGTCCCCTTCCAATCGCCTCTCCAGTCCGACGCCTATCCTCAGCCCACATTCGACCCTAACCGACACGAACCACCTCTCGCCGACGTCGACTACGAAGCTGACGACCGTCGCAAGCGAAGACGCCTTGACGACCCGTCCAAGCCACTCTACGCAACCATTTACAATGACTATGGCGAGTATGTCAAGCAACGCGTGCGCCAGATCATAGACTGGCACTCGTGCTGCACAATCTTCGCCCACTTCAAGGACCGCCTGGTTCCTGAGTTCCCTGCCGTTGTGCTGCCTGCCGATGCCACTCCCGAATCGACACTTGAAAACAAGCCTATTCTGTTCTTGTGTATCACTGCTGCTGCTTGCTTCAGATTCGTCGAGACTGAGATCCAAGATGCTTTGACAGAAGAGGTGTTCGATGTGCTTGCTACTGCCGTCATTCGCAAGGGTCTAAAGAGTCTCGAGATCATCCAGGGTCTGCAAGTGGCTTTCCTCTGGCACAAGCCTCCAGATCGTCCCGCTCAGGCAAACTTCTACATGCTGATCCACATGGCTGTTGTCATGGCTCTCGATGTTGGTCTCGGAAAGCGTTTCAATCCGAACAAGGTCAAGCGTGGCTTCGGTGGAGTCGGCGCCGACCTGCCTCCTGGTCCTGGTAGTCAACTCGTCGACTCGGACACGATTGATTCACGAAGAGCATGGCTAGCGTGCTACTACACATCAGTGAGCGTGTCGTCCGTCTTGCGCCGCCCTAATCTCTTGCGCTGGTCGAATTACATGCAGGAGTGCATCGACATTTTAGAGAGCTCGCCTGATGCTGCCCCTTCAGATGCCCTATTTACTCAGCACGTCAAGATTCAGCGTATCTGTGATGAGATCTCCGTCTCGTTCGCCATGGAGGATCCCACCGCCTCAATTTCCATCCTTGATCCGAAGGTCGCTTACACTCTCGAGGTACTGCAAGAGAAACTCGACAAGTGGGATCAAGAGCTACCAGCTCACCTGAAACTCCCTACTCTAATGTTCTACAAACATGTCACGTCTTTGTATCTTCACGAAATTGGTCTTCATGTCAACCACAACACAGACGACTTTAGAGTACCTTTCAGTGGTATGTATCCTTTTCGTCTACACACGTGTCTCGCATACTAATAGCCATGGCAGAGGGAAGTCTCAAGTCTGGCAGCCACTTTTCCGAAACGCTCAGCCAGAAGCAGATGGCTTCGATCGAGGCCTGTCTCAAGGCATGCCACAACGTCATCGGAACTTTCTGTGACTTTGGTCCGGATACTGTCTCTACTCTCCCTGCTCTCCTCTATTTTGTGCGTATCGTCTATGCGCTCGTAGTCTTGATCAAGATGCATGTCGCCGCCACATTCCCAGGCTCGGAGCTGGGCAAAGTCATCAAGCCCGAAGACATCAAAGCCCCCGAGTTTCTGGATCGTGTATATCACTGCTTCGTTGCATTGGCCCAGGGTAGTTCTCAAAAGGCTTTCTCCAAGGCTCACCAGATTCTCGGTCTTCTCCGTGAGTGGACCGCTGCTCATTCCAACGGTGTTGAGAGTTCAAAAGAAATCAACGCTCGTGGCGTTCAAGGTCAGCGTCTCTCTTCGCGCGACAACGATAGTCTCCGTGTCCTGAGTGAGGCCGCTACTGCAGGCGCCGAGCAGTCACACCAGCGATCTAGCTGGAGCTTTGATTCTCCCTACACGCCAGCATCGCAGTACCCGTCCCACGAAGCACCGAATCAGACCTCTCGCTCTCAAAGTGATGCCTACAGTAACCCAGCAAACTATGCGTCTACCGTCATGTCTACGCCAGGTTCTGGAAATCACCAAGCTGTATCTGCTAATGATGCCTCTGCCTATGCTAGCATGCTTGATCCCAGTTTCGCCAAGCAGTTCGGTGGTGCCGAATGGACTCAGGGGATGGACTTTGAACAAGCCATCGACGTGGCATTGTCGGGTCTGGACTTTTCGGGCGACATGTACACGAGTTTCTTTGGCGATGGCGCCGACGCTTTTCAACTCCCTCCTGATGCAGCTGCTGCCAGTGGCAGATGGTGAGGATTGCTGAAATTATGATGGTACTCTTTTTCTCCATTGGGAGAAGAGTATTGTCTCTTGAGCTCGTATTGCTTGCTTCGCTGCAAGCTCATCATTGCTAGCATTGCATTTTCGTTTCTTCTAGTTTCTGATACCCATGGTTTTGTTGCTTCTTCTAGCTCCAACTGAATATATTGATCTTACTCCACTCCTGCAACTGGATTCTATTATCGTGATGCTAATATTGAGATTGATCACTTCGTTCGCCTTCTTTCATGCTGGTTCGAATAGCGCTGGAAATAGGTAGTGGAAGTACAACGGGAAGGCGTGAGATGTGGAACGATTACAGTTTCTCAAGTGTATCTTGCGGAGAGGGAGACCCTGACTTAGAACCAGTTGATGACCGTGTCTGTCTGGCCCAAAGTCTGGTCTCAAGAACTTTATGACATTTGGAGAAACAGTACAGAATTGAGGAGAGACGATCTGTCGACAAGTGTCAAGATTGTCACATTCGAAGGGTATGCCGTAGCGTAAATGGTAGGCATCGAGTCTTTCAAAGATTACTCGAAACACCATGCTGCAACTCTATGATTGCGGCGAATTTTCGACACTCACGGCATATCGTCTTTGTGAGTTAGGGCATGCGATGCGTGTACTCGAATAGCCATGACAACACAGTAGTGATAAGAACGAAATTGTGTCCAGCAGGAAGCGACTGGGTTATTATCGGCTTCCTCTTGCCAAAGTCGGGCACGATGGAGGAGGCTGCAGGCTTTAGCACAGAGGAAATCTGCATGAGCTCACGGCAGATGGGTCATGCTGACGCTGACGATACCACGACGACGAGGCATTTGCGAGCGTAGACATGCAGCATCATGCACAACGAGGCAAGATATGCTAGAGGATTTAAAGCTCTTTCACACCTCGTTCTCGGGTCGAGATGGCAGCATGCCGCAGCGACTGGTCAACCCAGGCGCCTTGATACGGAGAACAATGATCAAACACAGGGGCACATTACCACATGGACACAGCGTGAAGGAAGGAGGAGAGAGAGAAAGAGAAGACTGCAAAGCAGCGATCAATGGTTGAACGGCAAAGTGAAAAACATGTCATTGCATGCGCCTCCATCATGAGAAACGATCTTGCTCTTTCGAGTCTTGAGAGATAGGCCTTTGACAAAACTTTTGTCTTTTTGAGATTTTGGTTTGTGGGTTTTTGTGTCATGAGTTTACATAAACACAAGGGATATTTGCTTTATCATGTCCCCACCTGCCCTCTGCGCCAGCAACCTTTTGAAAGGAAATTCTTTTCGTTCAAAACGCCCCGCTTGCCTCTTTTGTGGTATTGTGTGTTCGTGAGAGGAGAAGCGAAAGCATTTATCGGACAATGCCCTCGAATCTGTTCTTGAACCACTTGATGGTCTCCTGCTGGTTGATGCGGTGAGAGGCACCAACCTTGGTCTTGCAGCGGCGGCGACGAGCGACACGCTCACCGGGGCGCTCCCTGTGATGATTGTCAGTGACTTGGTCGGAAAGGTCGAAGTCGAGGCGGTGATAACTTACATGCAGCAGTAGAAGTCCATACCGTAGATACCAATACCGGGGTCGTACTTGATACCGAGATCGATGTGCTCGTTGATACCGAAGCCGAAGTTGCCGGTCTCGGAGAAGTTGCGCTTGCGGAGCTCGTACTCCTTGACCTTGAGACCACGCTCGATGATCTCCTCGGCCTTGGGGCCACGGACGGTGACGTGGACAGCGATCTTCTCGTTACGACGGATACCGAAGGTACGGACGGTGTAACGGGCCTTGGAGTAGACAGGGGTCTGACCAGACAGCTGCTCGAGAACCTTTGCGGCACGAGTAAGTCTGTCACCAGACTCACCGACCGAGATGTTCAGGACGAGCTTGGAGATGCGGAGCTCGCGCATGGGGTTGCCGGACTTGTCCTTGGAGGCATTGTCGCCGGAGACCTGGTCGGCCTGCTGGTTGGAGTTCTGTCCGATAGCCTGCGCAGAAGCGTGTTAGGGTATGTGTTCATCCATTTATGATTGATCCACAGGCGAGGGAGAGGGCAGGCCTGCATCTGTCGACGACAACGACGACGACGATGACGATTTGTGTGTTGCTATTGCTGTGTGTATGCGAGCGTCGAGTTGGATGTGGTTGAACGCGTCCTTCTCTTTTCTCATTTTTCCTCTTCATGCACATCCGAATGGCGTGGAGGCATTGCGAGCGTCGATGGCAAGGGTGGCAAGGCGCAAATCGTCGTCGTCGTCGTTGATGTTGGAGGTGCAGACCGTGGCTCCCTGCCGCGAAGGCGGGATTGTGCTCACCATTTCGTCGGTACTGGGCGATGTGTCGAAGAAGTTCAAAGTCGCTGCGCGAAGAGACGAAATCTGAGGGCTCGACTGATTTTGCACAACGGAGCTGCTGGTGTGCGGCACGTGATCTGCTTCGGCATCCAGCACAGACCACCCAGCACCACTCCCGAGCACTTCGCTCACATGCTGCTCTCTTGTCGTATGAATGATGCTAAGTGCACAAGATATGTATCCAAACTTGCTGCAGGCTCCGTGCATCTCGTCAAGCTTCAGATGTTGTCCTACTGTATCTTGGGTCCAGCCAATCCCTCGCGGTGCTAGGTCTAGACTCTAGACACACTTCATGGTCAAGTACCTGTCAGGCTACACGGACACAAGTAACCAGACCCTGCACTCCTATAGATGGTAGCATTTGAGATTCATGTAATGATTTCAGAATCCTTTTCAACGAGCCCTGGACAGCATGACCAACTCGAGCCATATCAAAGACTTGGACGCGGATTTTGGGAGGCTTTTCTCCGCTCGGCCTTCGCAGCCGATAGCGGGCGTCTCCACCTTTGACCGTCAGACGGGACTTGTTCAGCACGCCGTGAAACATCTTCAATCTCTCGATAACCCATACCATAATCACACGACAAGATGGCGGCAGCAATCAAGGCCCTCAATGCGAAGATTCGCTCCAACCCCTACACCGACTACATCTGCTCGACCCGTGAGTTTCCCTGCGACCACAAGACCTGAACATTGCGCCGCTATGCAAACATAATCACAACCATCTCGTCTCGCGCTCGACCGTCACCAACCATGCCACTCTATGCTAACATGAATTACTCTGTACAGACTTCTGGGGCCCCGCATCCAACTTTGGTATCCCTCTCGCTGCCGTCATGGACACACAAAAGGACCCCGAAATGTAATTCCTCATGCCCCATCGTCTACAAGATTGCGCCAATGTATATTCTGCAAGAGCTTGGGACTAATGCACACATCCAACACAGTATCTCGGGAACCATGACCCTCGCTCTCTGCGGTTACTCTGCCACATTCATGCGCTACGCTATGGCCGTCACCCCTGTAAACTACCTCCTGTTCGGCTGCCATTTCGTCAACTTTGGCGCACAGGCTACTCAGGCATACAGATACCTCAACTACTGGAAGTATGTCTCTCAGCCTTCTCTAAGCACACGCTCCTACACAAGTCAATGCTGACACACGCCCTTCTAGCTTCGGTGGTAAAGAGTTGAGAGAAAAGGCCAACCAAGAAGCTTCTCACATCGCAGACCAAGCCAAGGCTGCCGCCAACAAGGTCGAGTCGAAGGCCAAGGAGGTCGCCAACAAGGTCACCAGCTCATAATGTACCAAAGTCTTCTTATTGCATCAAACTTTATGTTCGATCAAAGAGGTGGTGATGACCCAACCACTTTTTTGACAAAGTCCTGCTCCAATGGGTCTCATAGTCATCAAGAGACCCGAGAAGATCAGGAGCCTCTTGCGGTTTCGTCTTTAATGTCATGAATGAGTGTGCATGGTCAACAACTACACCTCCATCCCAACGGTAGATGGGACAGAATCGCACTCAGAGGTTTTATAGTTCTTGACACACGTAGCGTCCGCAATAGTGGGAAATGTATAGCAAAACTCGTGGACAATGACATTTTTGTTTTTTCTATGCTCTTAATAGACAACGTGGTTGATCCTTAGGGAATTGTGTATTTTATCGTTGACAGACTACAGGCAGTTGCCTATCTGATAGTCCCAATTCGGATGGCTCTAAGACGAGCTTGCCCGGCGGCCCGGTCACGTGCCATTATATTGGCTCTATGACCTCTTTCTAGACGTCTTCCGAGATATTCATTCTGACCACCCTCATCTTGAAGATGCATCTCTCGGCTCTTGTCGTCGCCTCACTGGCATCTGTCTGTCTTTCTGCTCCTAGCGCCAATGTGGAACAGCAGCCAATTGGTGCTTCGGAACCCAACAGCATCGGCTCAACGTGGACCAAGGAATTGATCTCGCTCCACCGTCATCTCATCTCGACCGAATCCATCAGTGGGAACGAGTATGATGTCGGAAAGTGGCTGTCTGACTACCTGAAAGATGATGGTTGGACCATTGAGACCCAAAAGGTCAACGACGATAGCTCTCGTCTCAACATTCTTGCCTACCCGGGTAAGGTCCGCAACGCCGACCTCCTCATCTCGAGCCATATCGACACTGTGCCTCCATTCTACCCTTACAAGATTTACTCCAATGACTCTGAAACTATCATCTCTGGACGTGGAAGTGTGGATGCCAAAGCATCTGTCGCTGCTCAGATCATCGCTACTAAGAAACTTCTGGCCGAGAAGAAGCTGAAGGCCGATGATGTGGCTGTCCTTTATGTTGTTGGCGAGGAGGTACATGGTGACGGCATGCGTGCTGCCAATGCACTTGAACTGACACCGAAGACGATCATCTTTGGTGAACCCACTGAGGGCAAGCTTGCAGCGTGAGTAAACTACGCACTCTGATTTAGCAATTCTGACTGACGTTCGACCTGAATAGTGGTCACAAAGGTATGCTAGGCTTCACTCTGAATGCATTCGGAAAGGCAGCACACAGTGGCTACCCATGGCTGGGTCGTAGCGCAAATGAGGTACTCGTTCAAGCACTCTCTGCTTTGATGCAGCTCAGTCTCGAGCTTCCCAAGAGTGAGAAATACGGTTCCACCACCATCAACATTGGCAAGATCGAAGGCGGAGTGGCAGGCAATGTCGTTGCTCAAAATGCCAGCGCCCAGATCGCCATCAGAATCGCAGCTGGAACGCCAGACGAGATTGGCAAGCGTGTTTATGAAGCCATCAAGGCCGCAACAGATGAGTTTAAGACTCCTGGTCATGAAGATGAAGACATGTTTGAGATTGTATTTGCAGGCAAGGGATACGCGCCCGTGGACATTGACCACGATGTGGACGGTTTTGGTACTATCACCGTCAACTACGGCACCGACATTCCCAATCTCGACAAGCTTGATGGCCAGAAGAGATATTTGTACGGGCCCGGGTCGATCCTCGTCGCTCATTCGGACCATGAGGCCATCACGCTTGGCGATCTGAAAACAGCAGTGCAGGATTACGAAAAGCTAATCCTCCATAGCTTGTCATAGAGTTTGCACGAAATAGCTGGGCGCCAGGGCATGATTAGCGATGGAATGGAAATGACGAAGTTTATGTTGTATAAAGAAAGCAAGAGCGTGTTTCGAGATACGGAACTCTAATGTTAGAGAACGGTATAAGGCTGCACAGTTTTAGGTGGAGCGGACATGGACGCCGCGCAAGAACCAAGAGAGCCCAAGAGTTCCAAGACGAAAAGCACCGGGTTGTACGGATGTGCGGCAGTAGCCACTCTAATCTATTGCGTGATGGAAGTGGGTAAGATAGGCAAGACGAGGAGCAAAGAGACGATTTCGGGCAAGGCATCAAGGCATGCCAAGTTTTACGAGTCGGATGCAGATATCAAGACGTAATTTGACCAAGTTTTGAGCAAGTTCTGGAGTGAAAACGTCTAGGAAAAGCTTACGACGCTTTTCTAGCGGTCTTGTGTTGAAAAAGCTTCGCGAGGCTTGAACAGCTGGGCGCCGTTTAGCGCGTGGCTGCAAGGTTGGCGAACCATCTTGGCTTCCAGACCAGGGATCGAGGCGGCCACCTGAAGGCTGGTTGAAGGATAGGCGAGTCGTTTTGGTGGTCGCGTAGCGCCATTTCCATGTTGGTCCTACGTAAGCAATCTAGCCCTCACCCCCCTTGAGCAGGACCCAGCAGAGCAGACGAGTTCTGATACAGCATGCCATGCCATGCCTCAATAATAAGACAGCACAGCATAGCCACATCTTGGAAAGCCCTTGCTCGGTCGTCTGTCTCCGCAATTTCACATGATTGACGCCTGAATCGATCCACCATTGCTGATCACCATGAGTCGTCCTGACAATGCGCAGAACGAGGCCAACGACAATCCTGAGCCCATCCACCTCGATGCCGACGAGAAACCCACGACAGGAGGCGCTCAGGACGCCGAGAAGCAGGCCGCGTCCAACGAGAATGCACACAACGACAATTCACATGCCGAACGCGCTCGGGAGAAGGAGGAGGCTCTAGAGAGGGAAGAGACACAGCAGAAGAAGGACGATCCCAAGCCCGAAGGCGCCAGCGACGACCAACCCGCTGGCGGCTACGATGACACGCCCATCCCCAAAGCTCCGCCAGGCTGGACCGTCAAGATCACCTTCCACCGCGCGACCAATCTCCCAATGGCCGATATCAACTCCATGTCCTCCGACCCCTACGTGCTAGCCCAGATCAACACCGACTTGCCTAAGCGTCACAAGGAAGACCCTCTTCTGCGCATGCGCACTCCCACCATCCGTCGCAACACCGATCCCGAGTGGAACTTTGAATGGATTGTCGCCAACATTCCCTCGTCGGGCTTCAAGCTCAAGGCTCGTGTCTACGATGAGGACCCCACCGACCACGATGACCGCTTGGGAAATGTCCACATCTCCATCCACGAGCTTCACGAGGGCTGGCAGGGTATTCAAGAGCAGCCATACAAAATCATGAAGCGCTCAGGCAGCAAGCGAGCCTATGCAATTCGCGCTGTGGCTGCCTGCATGAGCAAGGCCAAGCACATGAACGGCAACCTCTATGTAAGTGTCGAACTCGTCGGTCGCACAGACATCGACAATGGTGGACACGTCTTCACCGTCGGTCCACAATGGTGGATTAGGCATCAAGCTCCCATGCTTGGTCGTATCGCTGGTCGCAAAGAGCCCAACGAAGAAGGCAATGCTCAGTCCGAGAAGGAAAAGGCAAAGACAGAACGCTACAACTTCCAGGCCAACCAGATTCAATTCCGTGGCCCTGTGCCAGACGGGCTCTACCATCGCTATGTTGAGTTCCGTCCTTTCGTCAAGCAGATGTTCACTTCGACTGGTGTGCGAGGATGGGTCTTGTCAAAAGCCCTGCATCACCAACACGCAAGAGTATACAACTTTGACCGCACTACCAAATGGGGCCATTTCCCTCAAGGTCCCTGCAAGGAGATGACCCAGGCCTTCCTCGACTTGGTACATTACGATGAGGGTGGCCGTATCTTCACCTACGTCTTGAGTCTCGACTCGCTCTTCCGTTTCACAGAGACAGGCAAGGAATTCGGTATCGACATGTTGAGCAAGCATACCATGCACAGCGACGTGAGCATCTATATTGCCTTTTCCGGCGAGTTCTTCATTCGACGTCTGAAGTACAAGAACAAGCCTCCACCGCCAGACCCAGCCGACACTGGTAGTGGTGCCAGCAGCGACAACGGCGACCTACACAACGATGGTACAAACGAGTCACACCCTCCTCACGACCTCAACAACGGCCCTCCCAACGAGGAACCCCCGAAGGATCCCGCACACTATCAACTCGTCATTGACAACGACAGTGGTACCTACCGTCCCAACGCCAAGATGCTACCCCTGCTCAAAAAGTTCCTCGCTGCCAACTTGCCAGGCCTCCACATCCAGACCCTCGACTGCCAAAAGGACGAGAAGAAGATGAACCGCATGAAGCAAGCTCAACGCGACCGCAAGAAGAAGGAAGGCGATCACATTGTCTGCGCTCAAGCCGGCAGCGATGCTAGCAGCATCAGCAGTTCAGACGAAGAGCAATTGGATGCTCTTGAACAAAGTGCTGTCGACCAAGAAGACCAAAACGAGCGTGGGCTTGCATATCAACTCAAGCAGGATGCTGGATTAAGGGGTAAAGCCAAGTTTGAGCATCTGAAGCGCAACATTCCTGGTCCTGGAAGTAATAGACCGTTGGCTGGTGAGGAGGAGTAGAAGGCAGGCGTCTGATACAGGAACGTGGCTTTGATGCGATGATGGAAAGTGTTCTTAATTGAGGGGCGCAGGATCGCTTCTGACTATAATAGTAGGGAAAGTTGGTTTAATAATGTGTCTGTTTTGTCGTTTCTCCTTTTCTGTTCGGTCTACGATCTGTATGTCATGTATCAAGTCTGCAATCCATTGCGTGTAGAAGTGTAGAAGTGTAATGTAGGTCAGATCTTCGTCTTTGCCATTGACCTCAAAGATCCACGAGTCTTGATTCTTCATGCATTGGATACATACCTTCCAAGCCACTGTGATCTGGTTGTACTTATCCAAGTGACTTGATAATTAGTATACTTCTTGCATTAGATTGTTAGGTCATCCAATCATATGGATACAACCACAGGAACAATGAAAGGGAAAGGTGAAACAGTATGAAATAAGTCGCCAGAGGTATGACCCTGCTCGTTTCCTCCCTTTCTCCTCTTTCTTCATGGTTATAGAACGGCATGAGGTCAGGCAGGATAGATAAATTGCTCGTAAGGTTTCCAGTATGCAGAAACTTTCTCACCTTTGCAGCTGTCTCGGATCGTGAAAGGAACGTGATTGATATCGCCAGCACATTCAGAGGGGAGACTTTGGCTGCATGAAAACCCAATCTGGCATGACATTTGATGATCTAGATAGCACGTACACTGTTCCCTCGAAAAACACACAATCACTCCCTCTTTCCACTGATGAGAAACGCCAAACTGTGAAGCATAATGCACGTCGTCCAAGCTCCTTTGTTTTATCTGTCTGATCGAATTACTCTTCATCATCCATATCGTCGCCAGCTTCGATGAAGACGAGTCTGGTGCCTTCTGCAGCAGTTTGCCAAATCTGTAAAACAATGTTAGCACTTTCCTAACACGAGTAGAGTGTGTGTGGAAACTTACATCAAGATCAGAATACTCGTCAAGACAAGACTCGAGTTGCTGCAAAGTAAAGCCCTTGGCAAGGACACGTTCACGCACACGGCGGAGATCGAGCTCGCCACGACCTTCGCCAGTAGCAGCGGCACCACTCTCACGCATACCGCGCACGAGGTTGAAGATGCGACTGCTGACGCTCATGTCACCGCGGCGCGAGCGGTCGTCATCGTAGAGCGAGGCCTTGCTGACTTCGGTGAGACGCAATGCCTCATCTACATCATCGGTAATGACCTCTTCTGCGAAACGCAGACGAGCGAGAGCTTGTGACAGACGCATCACACCAAGCAGTGTACGTGGTGATGTGTGGGTGAAAGTCTTCTTGGCTGACTCGTCACGCTTTTGCTGTTGACGCAGACGCACGTATGCGCCTACAAGGTAGTCGGAGACGGCCTTAGGAATTGTGGGTCTGAAGGAACGAGCGCGGGCTACCCATTGGCGAACCTCGTTCGGCGAGAAGATCAAGCCGCCACCTGCAGGTTCGGGATGAGCGTTGTGAATGTGAACATGAGTTACATGACGAGCCAAGTCTTCATCGGCGTCGCGCGAGGGAGTGTCGAGGATGAGGAAGAGGATATCGAATCTACTCAACAATGCGGCTGGCAGGTTGATGTTCTCTACGGGTGAGATGCGAGGGTTGTAACGGCCATACAGCGGGTTGGCAGCTGCCAAAATCGAAGTACGGGCGTTGAGTGTTGTTGTGATACCGGCCTTTGAGATGGAGATGGTCTGCTGTTCCATGACTTCGTGAATGGCTGTTCTGTCGGCGTCGTCCATCTTGTCGAACTCATCGATACAGCACATGCCGTTGTCTGCAAGCACAAGAGCACCACCTTCCAGCACCATTTCGTCTGTCACGGGATCTCTCATGACTGCAGCGGTGAGACCGACACCACTCGAACCACGACCTGTCGTATAGACACCACGTGGTGCAACCTTTGTGATGTACTTGAGCAACTGTGATTTGGCAACACCAGGATCACCCATCAAGCAGACATTGATGTCACCACGAATGCGCATACCATCACCCATCTCTTTGGTCACACCACCGATCAGTTGCAGAAGGAGAGCCTTTTTGACATCGAGGTGGCCGAAAATTTCAGGAGCAATGGATCTGCTCAGGTATTCGTAGAGTTGGCCAGACTGCTCCAAGTCAGCCATACGGCGCACAGTGCTAGGAGCCAGAACCATGGATTCGTAGGCCTTCTTGTGTTGATGGACATATTGAGCCTCGAGATATGTGTCGGTCAGGAGGCCAGCCTTGATAGCCTTGAAGCCAGTGTAGGGAGTGGGAAGGAAAATGCCAGCAATATCGACGACATCACCTGGGTTAATTTGGCGAGCCAAGGAGCCGTGGCAGTAGACGGTCAGTTGACGGGGAATGTGGCCGACGGGAACTTGGTCGGACATTTCCTGGATCTTGACTTCTTGGAAAGCAAGGAATTTGGAGGCGCGTGTCGAGTGCAAGAGTTGACCCTTGACGTTGTTCTTTTGACAGGCGTCCGAAGGGCATTGGACCATGGGGGTGTACTGTTTTGTGGTGACGGGCTGGAAGACTTCCTGACCACAGCGATCGCAAGAGTAGGCGTTGACCTGAACGGCAGGCTTGACATCCGAGACTCTGATTGCGATACCGCGGACTGTGATGAGGTGGCCCAGGTGCTCACCACGGACTTGACGGACAGCCATTGCTTTGCTGCTCTTTCCATCGCTGGACTCGGAAGGGGTGACGGGCTTGAAGTTGAGAGTGTAACGGCGGGTGAGGGCAGGAGGGAAGAAGGATTCGCTGGCATTGGGGTCGTTGCCATCTTCGAGGGCCTGTTGCATGACACGGTTCGCGTTCTGTCGTTGAGTGAGGATGACATCGATGACATCGTCCTTGAAGCTGACATCGGAGCTGGCTGGCGGCATGAGCTTGTCGACGGCGCGCGACAAGATTTCAATGTAGTGGTGTGCGTTGCGCTCAATTGACGACACCAGCTTGAGCGATGCGCCGCTGTCTTCCAAAGCCTTCTCGTACTGTTTCAGGTCGTCTAGATCGATCAGGATGTTGTCGACCTGTCTATCTGCTACGCGCTGCAGGTGCTCCATGTATTTTGGTTTTGAGCTCCTCCGTTGTGCAGCACCGTCTGCCGTCTCGTCCATAAAGTCATATTCATCGTTATCGTTGTCGTCAATGTTCAATTCGTCCAGCGCATCTTGAGCCTCGGTCGACGAGGCCTTGAATGAGCGCAAAAAGTCCTCGAAAGCAGCTGGCAATAGATTTCAGTACTTTGTTTGCGCATGCGTCTTGGGTCAAAACAAACCTTGCTGCTCCTCATAGTTGATCAGCGAGGGGTACGTAAGGAGCGCCATGACTACCTCTGATGCCGTCTAATCTCGAACTGTCCGACACACGGCAGTTTGTTCCAAGAAAGGGTGCTTCTAAAAAGTTATGATGGGTCTGGTGGCAGGGAGTGGGACTGTGATTGCGAAAGCCAACAACGCGAGCTTCGTCCACCGACGCGAATCCACGCGCTTGATTGGCTTCGCGTCGATTATTCTATAGTAGCACATGCATTACTGGACCCTTTTGTGCCTCTAGACCATCCTTACAGTATGCAGTCCCCTTATCATACCGAGGTCCTCTGGCTGGGAACATGTGCTGGTACAGAACTTGCCATGCTATCGGTGCAACTCACAGTAAGATTCAAAAGTCTGTGTCTCTGAGCTACAGTAGTAGCACCTGGCCATGTTTTCTACCACTGTCACCAAGTGCTACCGACTAGGCAGACCGCGGGCACACTGTTGCGGTTCCGCCAAGAAGAAGATACCAGCCGGCACTGCTCTACCTGACTTAAAATGTTGTTTTATCATAGAACTGCAATCTTATGCATAATCACACTTCGATGGAGGCTGGCGAACCAACATGATCCAAGTGATGCGACCAACAAGGAGACCCGATGCAAAGCTATTCCAACCGAGCCGGAATCCGTCTGCATCACGTTAGCAACCTTGTTTTAAACTTCTTCAAATGCACGTCAGGTCTTTTGGCACTGCATCTCGATTGCACCGCCACTCATTTGCAATCAAGATCGTCCTGTGTGCCCATGTACTCAGCCGAAGTGGCTGTGCTCTGTCAACTTGCCTGCCTCGCACGCTGCTCCCCTCAATCCTGCTCGAGAGCCACGCTTGCCACGGCCCACGATCGAGAATTAAGGCGTCATTCGTGAGTCGTGCCAATTTCAAAATCGCTGGAAGAAAAGAAAAAGAAGAAAAGCATGCAACTCTTACTGGCTTGTGCCCTCGTGTGTCAGTCAATTTCAAGAGTCAGGGTGTTCGGTCCCAGCCTTTGACAGGCAGGTCAGGCAACCCGGAGTTTGATGCCTCTCGCTACCCGTCTACGAAGTGCTTGCGAGGAAGATGCATGATGATTTGACCTTGGAATATGCAGCACCAAAAGCATCGTGTCGAACTCGGGCGGACAAGAGGCACCGGAGGGGCAGATTAACGGAATTGAGTGTTACAGAAGGCAGAGACGGGCCTGATTGGACAGTTCCCATGCATGAGATAGACGTAGCTAAACAAAAATCCGGATCTTGAGGCTGACTTTTGAGGTCCGTGAAACGAATCCTTGCCGTCCATCGCTCCTGACAACCCACTCCCAGCCACTCGTGCTCTTGCCTTTAGTTTGCGCTTTGACGCCGGCCATCCATGCTCGACCCCTACCGAGTACTGCAAAAGACGACATCTTTTCCCTCTTCAAAAGCTCGACATCTCCTCTTCTGTAACCATTTGTACCCTGCTTGTCACCTTGAACTCATTGTCCAACGGCCTTTGACCGACATCACATTCGTTAATCCATCATATTCGTCGGGTCCTGGTCCGCTTCAGTTGTGGCTGTGCCGTTGCCAACCACACCGTTGTGTCTCCCCTCGTCCTCCCACCTCTGCCATCAATCGTAATCTACCCCTCGCCGTTGATCGGGGATTGTCATGTTCAAGACTCCTTCGTAAGTACCGAGTCGTTCCTGCTTGTCTAGATCCATCTTGTTGATGTAATCGTAGCTTCAAGTCTTTCAATAGACCAGGGCGCAGTCGCTCAAAGAGTGTTAAGAGTACGTGATGCCCATCTCCAATCTAATCAACAACCAACAGCGTTAACGGCGTCAACAGACAACGAAGAATCCTTGACGCTGGATACCATGTTTCAACCAGCAGAGACACAGCACTACTCTGCAAATGCATCTTATCAACGTCTAACAAAACCACAAACAAGGCACAATTCTGCATGTCTCGGCAAGGCTGAAACGAGCTCCACCAAGGCTACCCCTATCAACGCTCCAAACGACAACGCCGAAGACGCTCGAATGTCTTTCTCCAACGATTCACCCCTTAGCTTTACAGGATCTACATCTTTTCGCAATTCTGAATCACCCTCCAGATCCGCTGCCAATTTACATAGTGAAGGCACCAAATCAAGGAAAGCTTCGACCACTTCCATGAACACCACGAAGCGCCATACTATTGCTGTCGACAATTCTGATGTCGACGTTGCTGCCGCCATCGCTCTGCTGCAAGAGCTGAAGAAGCGGGCATCTCCAGAGGATCTGATTCTTCTCCACAAGGCATTGCTTCCCACCAAGAATGTTGAGCGCACAATCGCTCCCTCCAGGCCAGAGTCCAGGGAATACGAAGAGCCCATCTCTCCTCTCATTCGAAGGAGTTCGTTGCTCCCAGCCGGTGTCAAGACTCGCCTATCTCGTGAGCTCTTACGAAACTACTCGGAGAACAACGTCACAGTCCGCTCGGCTTCAGTTTCCAGACAACACGATGCTGTCGAGTCTCCAAGGCTTGATGTGCCCCTCGACTTTGAAGCCTTGGATCTTGCTGAAGGGGGTACTGAGCTCCAGGGTGGGCGTCCGACCACGCCATCCGAGTTTTATCCCCAGATTGGTACATACAAAATGGGCTCTCTTCGTATAACTAACGGAGCTGCCTCGCCAGAGCCAGCTCGTCTCCTCAAACAAGCAGAAATGACAGGCATTCAGCACAAACCTTCATTACCAGAATCACTATCAGGCGAAGGTTTCACCACTGCTGACGAAGGCGAGAACACTCCCGAGTGTGTTCGCCCGAGCCATGCTACAATCGTTTCCCTACGAGCACCACGAAGAAGCTCAGAACAGCAGGATAGAAAATTGTCATCCGAACTTCGTGCTAGGTCAAAAAGCAGAGGTCGTCCTGTTCGCCACAGTACCGAAATTGAGGCAAAGAAATCTGCCTATCAACCAACCCGTCCTCAAGTTACACAACTTGCTTCCGAGTATGCTCAGGAGTATGTATCTGAGTTTGACTCCCTTGAGAACCCTCACATGAGCAACGCAGCATTGACGACTACTGTCTCACGCCTAAGCACAGTCCACGACGAGTCTCCCGTTGAGGGTGACATTGACGCCCGGGAGGAGGCCCTCAGACAACTTACAGGAGACGTACTTCCAGTCAATGACAGTATGCGAAAGGCACAGTCGCAGAAGCATCTCCATGTTGCCCGTCCTCCCATGACCAAGAGCGACAGTGGATACAGCTCTGAGGCCTCGAGGAGATCGATCATCAAGGAAAGCAACTGTGATGAGTTCCTTCTCGCCGCTCTGGGTGCTGCAGATCAGGCTGAACATTCACGCTCTAAGGAATCTCTCACAGCCGCTGCTGCCAGACCTTCTCTGGAACAAATTCAAGAAGACAAGGTTTCCTCTCCTGCCCCCTACGTTCAACAGCAAGTCTCTGCTGTGCAGAAAGCGGAGAGGCACCGAAGTTTGCCAAGTTTCTTCTTCAAAAAATCGTCTTCGAGCACCTCTGTCAACACAATTGCGACCACTCCCGTCACCCCAGTCAAACAGACTAGAAAGCTCCAGAAAACTCGTCCTCGATCACAGATCATCGTCCCAGAGCAAGTCCAAGAGCCAGAGCCAGAGCCAATGCTGCCAGAAATTGAACCGGAGTTTAATCCTGGCACCCCTGAAGACCTTTCTGTCAACTTCTCTCGTCCTACTCGCCGACTGGAACGTGGTCCTTCTGCATCTCCGCAGCAGACTCAAGAAGAGGATGAGAGAGATGCACGTGGAAGAGGCCGCAGTCGCAAAAACGATGTCACCTCGCAAATTGCTAATGCCGGAAGCTCACCCGATGGGACCACCAGAAAGAGAAGCAGAAGCTTCTTCCGTTTCCGTAGCCGCAGCAGAAGCAAGAGCCAACACCGCCATGAGGAAGATATCACCGTCCTTTCCGTCGCCGATGAACCTCTCCCCACTCACGACTTTTCCGATTTCGGCACCGTCGCACAATCTCTCGGCCAGTCGCCTTATGATATCGCTACCAGACGTGTTAAGCAGATGGGAGCCTACGATCCGTCCAAGCCTTGGTTCCATCCTCACGAGATAAGCCGTGCAGCTCCCAAGCCTGATCTAAGCTCAGAGACGCAGCAAAGTCGTGGAAAATCAGTCGAACGTGGCCGACAGGACAGAGCACGCAGTCAGAGTCGTCCACGCGAGTCTATTGATGCTGTTTCGACCAACTCGAGGCCGCCGACTAGAGGAAAATCGAAAAGATCACAAAGTGCTCACAACATTGCCGTCCCAAGAGTACCTGAGGCAGTGCCCGAGCTTCCGAAACAGACTCAGAGGATGTCTGGTACATTCTCTCGCTCTGTTTCTAAGGATGGCACTGTTAGAGTCGGCACTATCGACTTTGGCACTGGCTTCGCCCAGGGTCGTCTAGAGCCGATCCTGACCAGTTCAGAAAAGGCCAAGGCGAGACGTCGTACACAGTCTGTCGCCCCGCGAGCACGTCCCAGGAGTACTGTCAATCTGGATGAGGTGATGCCTCAGCGTGAGATGCCACAGCCAGCAAGGATGCCATCCGGCGACGCACCCAAGTCGCCAGCACGCGAATTACCTCCGACACCTACTGAGAAGCCTTCGCAAGGTTTGCCTCTTGAGTTGCCTCAAATCCCATCCCGAGCTCCACCAAAGGTACCCGCACATGGAAAGCAACCTAGTAACAAGCATCCTGTGCTCTCTGTGTCTACGAAGCCTGTCCATCTCAAGGAACCGACAACCGTACCCCATTCGCCTGCCTCACCAGGAACCCCAACAGGCAGACCGTCTTGGGAGAGTCAGGCGCTGGCCTGGCGCGAACGTAAGCAGAGTCTTAATGACATGCTTTCGTCCCCAACAACTGAGAGAAAGAGCGGCACATCAAACCCTGCTTCTCCAGCCATCCAGGCTTATTCGCCTACAATGCAAGCACCTCGCCGTGCTCCTACCGTCGTTGTATCTCGCTACATCACACCTCAAGGTTCCGAGTTTGCCATGCATTTGGGCGAGGAAGGTCCCTATAGGAAACTGCACTCCGACAATTCTCACAAGAAGTACCGAACTGAGGACCCATACAAGAAGTTCCACTCAGACAACCCTACCGATCTGCGTCCTGCTCAGGAGGATGTCGAACGCACCGACTCTAGCTCAACCTATCGCACCGCAACCTCCGAGCAATCTCAGGACTCGTTTGCTTCAAAGGATAGCGCAAAGTATCGTACCTACCGCCCCGTTGAGGACGCTACTAGAGAGAAGCCATCTGCTCCCCCAACACCCAAGAGCAACAGCACACAGAAGAGATCCAGCCGCATACTCGAGCAGCCTCAGCCTAGACCTCAGCGTCGCTCCACAGCACCTCCAGAGAACCAGGATGTTCCTTTTGACAGATTCAGTGGAGGTCTGGGCTATGGTTGGGAGCGCGGTGTTGGCTTCGGTGGCAGTGCAGGCACGAGACAAAAGAATGACACCAAGGCTGCCAGGAAGAGCGTGGCTGATAGCCAAACCTTTGGCGTTGATCTGAGTGATATTCCTGTTTTCATGGTCAGGAACTAGGCAGGGAAACAGAGATTGCATGAAGGAGGCATGGAAGGGGAAGGATTTGCCGGATTGGCTATGACGAATGAATAATAGTATACACCTTTTAATAATGTCTATAGAACTCTTTTCGAACTAGTCCTTTTCTTCTTTGATATTGAGATGTCACTGACTAAGCCACGCTGTGACCAAAAAAGCTCAAGAGGTACACGGGACAGATAGGTAATCCAGAAGGTATATACATTAACTCCGTTGTCCTCTATATTCATCTAGTCTATACTACGTGACGTACTCATGAAAAATAATTCTTAAACGTGTGCGAGGGTGATGCCAGAGAATGCTCTGTTGTCAACATCAACAATTCTCTTCTTGTTCTGCCCATCAAGGTCAAATCTGTACACGAAACCACCCAAGTCAGTGGCGTAGATGTGCTGGTTCTTCTTGTCGAGCTTGACGCCAATTGCTTCGTGCATGTTGCGGGCCAAGATGTTGTACTTGGGGTTGTCGCTCGCATCTTGGATGTGTGCGAGGGCACTCAGCTCAACGCTGTTGATAGTGTTGCCCATTGGTGGGTCGCCTCTATCGGTCCAGAACAGCTTTCCAGACTCCTCGTCGATTTCGAGGTCGATAGGCTCGGGAAGACCGGCGAAGACCATCTCGATGTCTGATCTGTTGGTAGCGGTCTCACCAGAAGGCATTTGCAGCTTTGCTCTGAAGATCTTGCCTTGGCCGCCTTTGCTGGTGCCCTTTTGGGTCCAGTAGAAGTGGCCGTTCTTGTTGTCGACCGAAATACCGACGCACCATCTGAGGCAGTCTTGAGTTTCTTCTTTGATCTTCCAGTCGCCTCTCTGGACTAGAGTTTCTTGTTCGCTGCCGTCGAGGTTGCATCTCATGACTCTAAGACCTTCGCGGTCGCAGAAGTAGAGCTTGTTGTTCTTTTGGTCGATGATGAGTTGCTTGGGGGTGTGTACATCTCCTTTCTTTACAATTTCTTTGACATCTGAACCGTCGAGTTTGCACGATTGGACACTGCCATCGTTCGCCGTGGGGATACCCATGTTGGTCCAGTAGATGCGGTTGTCCTTGACGGAGATGTCGAGACCGTCAGGCAAAGTCTGGTTCGAAACCAGTGTTCTGGGCTCTCCGCCGGACGCTGATTGGGCTACGATCTTGCCTGAATGCGCAAGATCTTCTTCGGTGTTATTCAATCCAAGATCAAGATAGTACAAAGTTGGAGCGTGTAGGTTGTCGTGGTGGCTGGACTCTTCACCAGTCGCCTTGGTGGTGTGACCAGCAGGGTAAAGACCTCCCTTTCCACTCTTGGCGCCGAGTGCACCTTTATCGACATAGTTGGACTTGAGGAAGTCGACAGTGTCCTTGGTTGGGAGCCCGCGCTCCTTGACGTAGTGTTGTTCGATGAAGACGACGGTATCCAGACCGACAGCATCCATCATGGCACAAGGTCCAGCCTTGCCTCCTGAAAACATCTCCAACCAGACACGATCCAGCTCTTCAGGGGTGCTAACGCCCTCACTGAGCACTGTAAGGCATTCACGCTTGATCGCTGCCCAAATACTATACGAAATTGTTAGTTTTGGATCCCAAGCGTCAATAACATCACTCACCGGTTGAATACAAAACCAGTACTCTCCTTGTGCGCAACGATTGGGCTCATACCACACTCCTTCAGTCTCTCGACATAGAAGGGGAAGATGGCCTCGTCGGTGAAACCATCTGTCATCAATTCGACAATTCTGTTGTCCGGTGGCATCATATAGTGAGTATTGAGGATACGCTTCTTCGTCTCATCATCGACCTTGTCCAACATCTCTCCACTCTTGTAGCTGCTCGAGTTACTGACCAAGAGACAATCCTTCTTCGTCAGTTTTGCAAGATCTGCAAAGGTATCAACCTTGAGTTCCAGCTTCTCAGGTACTGCTTCGATAACGGTCCATGCATCCTTGACGGCGGGTTCCAAGTCTGCGAAAGCAATGGCTTTGCCTGGGTTTGAATTTGAAATGGTCTTGGCGTATGAAGCGATGTTCTGCTCAACGTAGTGGATGGCAGCATTGCGCTGTTCTTCTGAAGGATCGCGAATATGTACGGTATGGCCAGCAGCTGCCCACACACATGCGATTCTTCGTCCCAAAACACCACCACCGAGAACAGCCACAGGACGGCCTTTGATGGCTTCGACCGTGAGCTCCGGCATTATGTTTGGAATGAAGTCTTTGAACTGGTTGTGAAGGGTATGCTGATGGAAGAGGGGACTGGTTTAGATGAAGTGCTGTGACGACAATAATTCAGCTAACATTCGTCGAGCTTTATTTATTTGAGCTCTCTATGTATGCTGCGATGACGTGTTGGCAATGGTTCAGGGTCCTTCGAGCTTCAAGCTCAACCGCCGACCGAGGTTCAGCTAACATTCAATGTTTGTCGTCGTCTGGAAAAAGCAAGCCTGCGTCACTACTGTTGAGACGTGCAGTACAAACTGACCAACGTGTCGCTGGCAACGACGCACGGCAGACTCTGATAGTCAGGTACCCAATGCCCCAACAGACCTAAATTGCAAGGCCGAGGTCAACGACACAAGGACAAAAAGATGTGACGTAGCAATATGTGGAGGATGCTTTGGGGATTGGAGAAGGAGCATGGAGCAGTCGTCGCTGCGGAAGACGACGGATCTGCACCCGTCACGTCTAGAAGCCTCGCCGGGCCGAGCGGCCCTGGCGCCCCTGCCGACGTCTATCCCACTCCATCGCAACGACTCTTCTTACACGACCGGAAAGAAGGCATGCAGCTCGCTTATTCCAAACCATAACTGCAAGAGCGCTTCTTCAACATTACACTAGACGCTCGATCGGACCGCAACCGGTGCCACTCCTTCGACCAGCGTGCCAAACACCCATCGTCTGGTCGAACAAGTGCAACACCCCTTGCGTCCCCGTGTGCGGTCACAACTTTGTGACTGACCCCTTCTCCATTCCGAGATATAAGACTTCGCGAAGCTATCAAGATGCGTAATCGTAGTTCGAAGACAAGGCTGACCATTGAGATAGCCCTTGACGGTGTCCTCTTCAAGGAGACCACATTCTTTACAGGTTAAGGTGCATTTCTATAGCTACACTGTGGCTGCCTTCGATACACGGGGAGACAGGAGTGAGGCCCTCAGTGGCAACACCGACTCATTCAGCATCATGGTAATCACACGCCATCTATCTATAACACCAGCCGTGCTTTTCCCGTACGTGGCGGCGGCTCGGTGGGATAGTGCCGACCAATTGGATGAAATGGAGCAGAATAAGGTAGGTAAAACCCACGTGGCTTTTGTCAAGCCTCTTGATATCAGAGTGCAGAGTCACACAGCGTCCGGTTGCTTGCCGAATCCTCGGGCAAGTCGGTAAGCGGCAGCACTCTTTCTGGCGTCGCCACAGCTCTCCAGTCAGTCTAGAGATACCAAAGGCCAATCGGGAGGCGAAAACAGTGACGAGAGAGGAAATTCTATTATGTCTATTTGCATCTATCTGAACTGCTTACTTCTACATGGTCTTTGCTAACTACTCACGCGCTTCTGAAGTTCTTTAGCCTAGAAGCAAAAAACTTGGTCGGTCAATCTTGAAACAGAGCCTGGCTTCTCGAATCCGAGCTCTGGAAGTGCTTTCTTCATGCTGTTGACCAAAGGTGGAGGTCCACAGAGCAGGATCTTGGTCTTCTTGTGCGGTTTCGGCAACTCCTTTTGTGCCAAGTCTTTGTCGATGTAACCCCTAGCACCCTTCCATTCCTCGCTAGGGTCACTGAGCACATGGATGACTCTAAAGTTGTCGGGATACTTTTCTGCGAACTCATCCAATTCCTTGCACAGAAGCCTATCGTTCTCGGACACACTTCCATACAAGAGAGTGACCTTTGTCTTGTCTCGAGGGTTCTCACAGATGGCGCGGATGATCTGGTACATGGGGGTGATTCCAGTACCTCCAGCGATCATACCAATCTCATTAGCAAGTCCTCGGCCATACTTCATGGCGCCTTTGGGACCTCGGAATTCGACTTCATCTCCAACTTTGAGGTCCTCGAGATAACCACCTGTGAGTTGGCCATCAGGGTACATCTTGATGACCAGTCTGAGTTCTCCCTTGTCGTGGTTGTTCGAGACCGGAGTGTAGGACCTGGAAACAGTCTTGCCATTGACCTCGCCACGGATACTCAGATGCTGACCAATAGGGAGTCCAAGAACCATGTCGTCCTTGGGAAGCTTGAACACAAAGCGGTATGTGTTTCGAGACAACTTGTCCTTCTTGACTAGAGGCAGTGTCTGATATTCTTGGGACTTGAGGAAACCAGCAGCTTCGGTGATAGGCTTTGCAACTGTCTTTGGCTTGTAGTGTGTTGGCCAGTCGGATATGGTGTGCTGCTTCTTGAAGTGGCGACCAAGATAAAGCAGCAATGTCGCCGACGTGGAGAAGGTTGCGATAAAAGCAAGAAGGATACCCCTCCAGAAGCCACCATGTTGGAAGTGAAGCCACCCGACAACGGGCGATCTGGCAACAAGCTCGTATGCGAGGAATGCTCCACCTCCGCCGATGACACCCTTCAGGAGGCTGCGGGCGAGCCTCTCGGTAGAAGATGACTCGGAACTCTCGTCATGGGCTTGGGCAATTCTGACCAGCAAGGGCAGCTCCTTTGGCTTGTCGTCACCCAAGTCATCTTCATCTGGCTGGTATCCCTCGAGTTTGCCGACGATGAATTGTCCCATCGTCTCACGAGCATCAGATGAATGTCCAACATCTTCGAAGGCAGCCGTCGCGTCCTGACCAGCTACTTCCTGCAAAGATGGTGCGCCTCCGGGGTGATCCTCAAGATATTTGGTCACATCATAAACTGTATCAACAGTCAACACAAGAACAACCTAGTACAGATACAGTTCAAGCATACCTTTGCCATGAACGATGATCCAGATATCGTCTTTCTTGTTGTGCTTCTTCACCTCCTCTTGTGTAATCTCCTTGAGATCGTCCGACATTGTGAATAAGGTAGCAAGGCTGTGCTGTAGAAAGTCTTGGAGATTTGATTCGGCAGGAGTGATACAGTTGTGCTGGGGTTACCTTCGTTGTATTTACAATTTCATCTCATGCATTGCCACAGACTCGAGCCAACCGTGCACCATCGTCATTGTACCGATCTGGCCTCCATACCTACAACTCACAATCTGATTTGAATGTACACCCAACAGGGAATCGGTGCGAACGTTCCTCGGGAAGCCCGGGCTCATGCGCTTTTGGATTCATGTCACCGCTACCTCGGCACCGTTGAGAGTGTCGGTGAGTCTAAATCCTGCATATCGACGACCCCTGGAACTACCGAGGCATTCAACCACTCCTACTCTACGTAGATCGAACCCATCAGCTGGCACAAGTTCGATTGATGTCAGCCTGTCAAATGAGTTCGATACATAACACGTTTTCCAGACAAACTCGACTCGACGGTGATGGTGCATAACCTAGGCCCGCGGAGTAGGATTCAAAATCAAGTCCAAAGAAACTGTCCGAGGCAACGTCGCACCGGCCGCGCCGCGCCGCGCCTATCGCAACATACTCGCTAACCTTTGCCTGCTCACGCATGACGTCGAAAAGACCGTCGTGTCTTGTACTTGGTGACCTCAGCTGTGTCTGAGTAATGAGTAGGAATTATATATCTTGACCTATGTGTGTGAAACCCTCAGTAGAACCACTCACCTGGAGAACCTTCAATCAGCTGTACTGTCCATCATGACTATCAAATCATTCTTCTTGCTTGGAGAAGATCCATCCACCGCACAAGAGATAGAAGTGGATTTCACTCATGATATTGACACTCTCAAGGAGGATGTCGGGCAATACTTTGGAGTCGCTGTACCTTCCGGTGAGTATAGAGGCATTTTTAATCAATACATTATGCTGAATTGTTCCCAGGAATCGCCTTTCAATCAGGAGAAACACAATTGGTCGACCTCGCCGATGTTGAGGAAGCAAAGTCGCCCATTGCCCTTACGATAGATGGTCGCGAGGCAAAAGAGCCACCTGGTCCTCGCGGTGTTCCCATCGCAGGTTCGTATCTCGAAGTGTACCCTGATCATCTCGGAAACCACCAGAGAATGTTTGAAAGTTATGGACCTGTGATCAAGACCACAGACATGGGTCGTACGACCTACTATACCAACTCGCCCGAGATAGCAAATATTTGCTTTGGCGAAGGAGGTTACTGGGCGAAGATGATCAACAAAGATCATCCACTTTATCAGATCAAAGAGCCCATGGCTGGTGTCTTTTTGAGCGACTCCAATACCGAAGCCTGGACTATCGTGCACAGATTCCTTGCGCCAGCGTTATCGCCCAAGGCTGTTCGCCACTACACGCCTCAGATGCAAAAAACAGCCGAGCTCTCTTTCAAGGTCTTTGATGAGCTTGATGAGAAGGAGGAAGCTTGGAATGTCTACCCCTACATGTTCAAGATGGGTTCGACCGCTATTGGCAAACTGGCGTTGGGCATCGATCTCCACCACTTTGACAGTGTTGATGCTCCACTTCATGAGCTCGTCGTCAAGGTCGGTAAGAATCTTGAGTTGAACAAGAAAGTCTCGACTCGAGGAGATTGGTACAGTCATTTGCCTTTTGGCGAGCCCAAGGAGCTGAGAGACACCAAGGCCAGACTTAATCAGCTCATGCAAGAGGCCATTGAAAGGGCGCAGAATGCGGGCGCCGAGGATCTTCCTATCTCCGAAGCTGCACTCAAGGCCGACTGTATCGCTGACTACCTGGCCCGAGCTGTTGATCAGGATGGTAACAAGATGCCCGAGAAGTACCAAACTCCTGCCACCTTGGTTGCTGTTGGTGCTGGCTTTGTAACGACTGCTTCGCTCCTCTCCTGGCTCATTTATGGGCTCGTTCAATATCCCGGAAACCAGGAGCGTCTTTTGCAGGAGCTCATCGACTATGGTGTCCACGACAAGACCACGTGGACTCCCGATCTCGCCAATGCTCTGCCTTTCCTAGACATGTACATCAAGGAGACACAGAGACTGCACAACCCCAGTTACCAACCAGGTCGCACAGCTCTAAGCGATACAATTTTGCCCGGAGGCTACAAGATTCCCAAAGATGCAGTCATGATCGTGGCCATCCACCATATTCATAACAACCCTGCTGTGTGGGAGGACCCTCATAAGTTCAACCCCGATCGATGGTCGACAAAGGCTGCGAAGAACAGACCAAAGGGATCTTACGTGCCATTCGCCGCAGGACCTAGAATGTGCATCGGGTTCAACTTTGCTCTGCAAGAGGTCCGAGTGATTTTGAGCGAGCTGATTTACCGCTATGAGTTCACAAAGGCTTCTTCGGAGGAGGTTGAGTATGATCCTAGCTTCCAGCTGATCAGACCGATGAACTTGTTCGTCAGGGCGAAGAGAAGAACGACGTGGCCTGACAAGAAGGAAGATAAGAGCGCAGAGGCTTAGTCGGTAAATAAAAGATATAGGTATAGATATAGATTAGAATAGATCTTTTATTTCCATCCAACGTTTGGCAAATCTAACGAATGTTTGATACGCTTGATTCGTTGCGCTCTTTTTCAATGCAAAGTCTGTAAGTACACGCTGTGAAAAGGCACAATTCTTTTGAAAAGCAGAGGCATTTCCGCGGAGAGTTGACAACTTGTTGCCTCTCAGCGGGCCTCACCTTGTTTCTGATCACTATTACGCATTTCTATAGCTATACGCGTTACAAACTTCAGTACAAGAAGCGGTGGTAGTAACGAGCAATTCTAGTTTCTCGCGCCATACACTCTAGCATGGGAGAGTGGAGGTCATAAGAACGCTGATCGCTAGTCTTGAACAAGTCTATGCATGATCATGCCAGATGTCAATCGCATGCCTGCGGACGAAAGAAAGTTTGGAGGGTCACCATCATGGCTTCTCGCTTACCCTTTGTAGCCTGCAGGGTTCAGACGCGGTTGCACCCAACAGCATGCCACTCGAGTCAGCATCTCAATACCCCTGTATGTTTACGAATCTTTGACAATGGTGTTGAGTTTTATAGTGCATACGAGCCTTCTCCCCACGAGTTAGGGCTTGTGACTTGCGGCTGAGTGATGGAGAAGTTGCTATGAAGATGTGTCAGCCAAGCTAGATCGTATCGGTGACAGCAGTGTGTTCTTGGATTCAGCCGTTACGGTTGAATCTGCTACTGGAACATACGCCAGTTTTCACAAAGCATTGTTACGCAACCAAACCTCTGTCCGAGCCTCTAGCACGAACACGCAATGGCAGACACGCACTGATACCTGTCAGCCCTGTTTGTAAGCCGGTGGGGCAGGATCCAACAACGGTCAACCACTTGCTATCCTGGTGGGGAAGTTTGTGTTGTGACCTTCCACACGCGGATTCATCTCCCGAAGACGTAAGACCCTGACCGGAGCTTTTGGGTGGACACGACAAGAAACGGCTGAACGCCGACCAGGTTGGAAGGGTCGCATATCAACCATGTGCCATCACTGTCAACTTTGCAATCTGTATCGATGCGACATCTAAGATGTCGCTGGTGATCTGTCGATCTGTCATCTACAAAAGATAGCTAATTGTATCAGACACGTGGACATTATCGCTCGTTGGTGCTCGTTACTACTACGCATATATGGCCTTCTACTGAGTACAAGTGACAAGATTCTGTGACAAAGTTTTGTGACAAAGTTTTGTGCCAAATGCGGACCTGAGCTGCGTGACTTCCCTGAGCTGCGTGACTTCGACGATGCTTTTTTCAAAGGGTCGACAGCTCGGCTACAGTTGATTGTAGAACCCCCACAGCTTGTTCATCGCGTCTCGACTTATACCCGAAGTATCAGCTGAGCTGCGGGCATCCATGTATACAGAGGTGATAATATTGTCGATCCATCCAAGAGCACCCTTGTCGCAAATCCTGCTTGCCTTGATTCAAGCACAAGATCTTCCTGCTTCCGAATTTCTGCAGATCCGAAACAAAAAATAAAGTACGAGTATTGTGGTGACTCTTTCTTGATGCAACCATGGTCTGAGCTGGCTAGCTCCAGCGAGGGATTCTCAAGCAGCTACCTCGCTCCACATGATGGTCTCTGGTCCAACGTCTGTAGAAAGCGGCACCACACCGTGGACAAAAGCACACTGTAGTCTGACCCGCACGTTCACGCTGGTGCCGTCTGTAGTTGCTGATCGAGGAGAACTTTCGACCACCGCAGCCATGGTCCCAGCATCGAATTGTAGGCCTGCCCACGTGTCTGCTCCCCGGATTAGGACCAATAGGGGGCGAAGGCGCGGTGTCAGAAGGAGATTTTTCTTGCTTCGGGCTTTGTGAATCGACTTCTGCAGTCGCGACAATATCAGATCCTGAATTCAGCCGAGAATTGGAGTGCGAATGTGAGCCAGAGTTGTCTTGAGAAGTCGTCGGGAGCCCAGGATCACTGCAGCGGCTCGGCCGTCGACTGGAAGTCAGTGTGAACGCAGATAGAGCGGAGTTCGGATACCAAATACTAGAAGATGGTTCGTGATGGTGGGAGCTTCGGTCGTTGGAGATTTGCAATGCTACTCCCGACGTAACCTGTGAAGAAGAACACACACTATCGCCTCCAACATGTTGGTAGTCTACAGGTCCTTGACCGAGAGCGTCCCATGGTTCGAACGAATATTGCGTTGGCGGAGGGCTTGAGTGGCTTCCAGATTGTGAGTGGTCAACATAATGTGTCCAGTGGCCAGGAACGTGGCCGCCCATTTGGGGATGATATATTGCAGAAGATCCGGGATGAGAGGGCCAGTAATGGTACCAACTCATGTCCGCACTTGCGCTCATGGAATAAAAGACTTCGTCGGGTGCTGGAGGTGGATTTTGCTCGCTAGATTCCATGACGAAGCTTGACAGAACTCAAGGATATTTCCAGTTGTCTGTTGGCAAATGATCTGATGCATAGAATGGAGTTTTGCCAGGTAATCTGTAAGAAGATAAGAGTGGAGTATGACTGCTTTCATGCGGCCGGGAATATGGGCATGGGAAACCTCGTCTTTTCACGTTTTTGCTAATTGACTACTGCCTTCCGATTATCCCCTGTTCAAGTCGAAGCGGGTCGAATCGAGGCTTGTGCTGTTATTCATCTTCGACAAGAACTGTGACATTCGAGCGGACCCGGTGGTTTGGGAGACCAAGCCAAAGCCTACTTCAAGACAGGTCAATGTGCTTTCAACGTTGGCATACCCGGGCAATCTACTCACGTCTGGATCCAAACGATTACAAGAGTGTGATTGGAGCTGAACAAGCCTCGTAATTGGTACTTGGTGGAGTCAGTTGTTCCTTGGATCGGAGAGAGCTCCTGTCCAATGATGGTGGAGCAGAACCTGATCGGCACTTCGAACCATTGTCAAATTGGGGGAAGTGGATTGCTATGCCTAGATTTCCAAGACGAACGGAGGGGACCAGGATCGACAGAGGCCCTCGGGGGATTATGGTGAGGCTCCAAACATGGAAAACGATCGACGATGAACGGCGTTCAGAAATTGTCCTTTAGCAAGAGCTCAGAGACGCCTGCGACCAATTACAGCAGATGTCGGACCATGATGGAAAGCTCAGAATCAGGGCCGTCTAAGACCTATGTCAGCAATTTTCGGGCCATGGTGAGCAGCATCGGTCGAACATTGACACTTGCGGCAAAGAGCTTAATGCCGAAGGAAGGAGCAGGAGAAGCCTGGAGCCGGCACAGAATGCCGCGCTTGTCCAACTCTATTTCACGATATTGGGATCAAACGCACTCTGGCGCATGAATGCGAGTCTTTATTCGCCGAATACACCCCAACGTCGTTATCAGGCAAAGTTTCGAGGGCTGTGCAGAGTGCAGACTGCTGTGAACCCTGGTAAGCGCCTCCGTAACCGGATTCTGCTTGGAGCACGACTTGGGCAGTGTTTGCCGAACCGTTAGACCGTTGGAGTCAAACCCTCGTGGCATTCTGAACATGGAAGTGGTCTGTACATGGCCACTCGTAGGCAAGGATCAAGCAAGCGACCAAGGACAAGGCCATAAGACAATGAATTGTTTGTGGCAGCTATGCTTTATTAATACCGGCGCTTTTCTTCTCGCTGACTACTGTCGAACAACGAACATGTCTTCACTCCATCCATATGCTCTCTGCAACCGCCGTCCAAATAGTCTCGCAACGTGATAGCGGACCTTTTCTCCAGCGTGCGGTGCATAAAACTGAATATGCTCTCCGTTTCCAAGGACTGACTGAGGAGCGAAATGCCAGACCGAGCCAAAAAGCTTTTCTACCGCAAAGCCCAATGAATGAAATACGTGAACGAAGTCAGTCCATGTTGTGTCTCCTGGTATGTCATTCGAGGATGGTGCGTAGAACAAGGCGGAAAGGGTCTTTTTCGCACGTTTGTCCACCATGAGGGTGGCTTTCTTGGGGGGCTCGGAAGGTTCGGAGTCCACGTGTCCAACTGTCACAAAACCGTTTGAGTCCCGTGGTTCTCTCAAAGCTGACAACGCTTCTTGAAATTGTATTGAAGTCTGTCTTTTGTGGGAGCTGCGAAGTTGGAGATAGGTCGATGACAGGGGTTCGTTGACAGCTTCATGGTTCTGTTGAGGGACAGCAGACTTGCCGTCCAGCTTGTCATGTAGGTTGTTTTTTGATTGACCATGCGTCTTGTGATGCATCTTTGCATTGCTTCTACCGTTCATCTTGCCCTTCGGCTTTGCAACTTCGGGCTCTTCCCACTCTGAGGTTCGTTGTAGGGATCTGTTGCCAGAAAGTAGCAACCTCATCACCTTGTCTGGCAGGGTGACGGATTGTGAAGCGAGATGCTTGTCCACTTCTGACCAGAACGCATCGAGATGGAACTCGGCTTTGTGCAGCGCAGAGGCATTCGTTTTCGTGCGACGGTTGCTGATGGGATAAGAGAACCGTCCATCCCCTGTTGATCCCAACTCTGCCAGATCAACACCTTGCCAAGACATTTTTCTGAAATTGTCCCACTCTGCAGATTTTGTGTAAAACTCCTCTACAACTTGCTGTCTATTGCGCGCCAATTCCCGCTCGATAGTCCTCGACCAGGGAAGATACAAGGACAGTTGATGCAAGCATTCAGATATTACGCCGAGATCACCAATGTTGTCAACAATCAAGCCGGACTGAAGTTCTTTTGCCTTAGTGTCGGCATACGTCAAGCGGTCAAGTTCGCCCACGAGTGTATGAAGACCAATCAAGGATTGTTTATCGTCCCACAGAGTGGTGTACACCCAGAAGAGACGATCCAAGGCAGGATCGCGATCGGTGCGTGGGTTGGGCATCATGCGGAATTTTGAAGAATGGTGATCTGCTGTAGATGTGCCTTCTCGATGCCAGTACCTGAGCATAGGAGGCGATGGGGGAACATGAGACTTGAGTAGAGCTATCGAGTTTGCCGCTGACAGCTCTAAGAGGTGGCGTATCTTCTTGATAGCAATTTCGAGTTCGTTGGGTAGAGGCTCAGAAGGAGACGAAATCGGGTACTTCTGCGACAGCTTATCAAATTCGCACACTTCTTTGTAGGTGGAATCCCAGAGAGAAAGTGAAAGATAACAATCAGTTATCATCTTTCTGAGGACACGGTTCCAGAAAGCTTTTGTTAAGCCGGCCTTATGTATAGGATGTTTTTTCCCTTGTGAATCGAGAAGCATCTCTGGCTGATGCTCTTTCCATTCATTAACGCAATCCGCAAAGTAACTCGGGTCTTCTCGCAGTAACCAGATATGGTCAGCAACGGCCGAGCGTTTAGCAGAAACGAGGGATCCAAGTCGAGACAAGTCAAATTGCGCCGGGATCTGGTACGGTGCATCTATGACGGAAGACGCTAATGTCACAAGTGCAGGTTCATTTGTGTGCGAAGACGAAGACAGAGGTTGGGGACCAGGTATTGAATCATGATCTGACCCAAAAACAAGATCGTGAACGATGATCTTCACACATGCTAGTAAGAATTGCCAGATGTGTTGTTGTACTTCCAATATGAGCAAGGCTTCTCCAACGCCGAACCAGGATCCAACCAAATTTTTGAAAGCGGATTTTGTAGTAGTGTTTTCGGGGACCACTTTGGCGTACTCCTCAGGAGTATCACTGTCGGCAACAAGCATGATACATCCTTTCACATGATTCATCTGAATCTTGCCTGCTGAGATACCAAGTGCACACGCACTGAGATCGGCATGGCAGAAGACATAAGGGTGATGACCGCCACGAGAGTTGATGAAAGTCGGCAAGACTCCAGGCTTCAAGAGGTCTTCCAGATTGATGGAAGGCCACTTGTAAGCATCCAGCGAGTATGATGACTCGTCGTCAGAAGCGTTGATAAACTCAGTCAAGTCAGGCCTGTGGCGTTCATTCATATCACGCCCCCACGCTTCCAGCAAGACAGACTTCTTCTGGTCGCGTGTCTTATTACGCCATCGTTTTCGAATCAACTCGTCGTAATTCTTGGTGATGTGGTTCAATTCATGCCAGTCTGAAAAGAGGCCGTTTGCCAGGGCACGTAAGATCTGTGTAACCTTGTCAAGGGGGGCAGATGGTTCCAATGTAGGCTCGAAGGATGGCAATTCACCCTGTAATGATCCGAGATCGAGCATGATGGGAAGAAAGGTGAGTCCGTAAGGCTGACATTGGCGACATGTTTCGAGATTCGAGAGCAAGGGGCGATGATGTAGTGTCGTATGTGTAGGGTAACTTTTGCCGAGCTCGGACGGGCGAATGTCGACCACATTGCGCAACACGTTGCCAACGTTGCGTTGTCACATTATCAGACATGCCAAAGCACTCATGCCACCATGAAATATTCTTGCCAGTTAAGGAATTGTACATTCTCGTATACACCTTCTCTATGTTCTGTCAAAAGCTAGAAGCATATGAAGTTTTGGTTGTCGGCCTCTCGTCGCATGGCCCAACACTAGCGATCGAAAACACCATCTAGTACTTCACTTCGTGGCCTTGTCAACCTTGACAGCCTTCTCAATAGCCCGGATCGCGTCAAAGACGGTACACTTCTCTTGCCTAGTATATTTTGCAATGGCGAGGAATGGTAAGTTTACCATTTCCCTTCCACTGAGTCCTGCGCAGTCTTCGGCAACGCTCATGAGTATGGGTCCAGGAGATTGAGGATATGCAGTTTTCCAGAGCGTCAGTCGGTCGTAGCTTGGTAGGTGCGACTGATCGAGAAAACTGCCCAGTGTTCGAAAATCGAATTCCTCGTCTTCTTCGTCACTAGGCAGAGTCTCAGCCCAAGGCTCGTAGATGATCGTCCCAGCTTCGATCAGCGAGTTGAGAATGTTGCTCAAGATGGTGTAGATAGCACTTCCGCAAGGGGGAGGCACTGAGATCTTGTCGTAGACTCGGTCGAGGAAAGCTGAGTCCTTGAAAAGGTTAGTAATATCCTGCTTTAGACGTGAGGAATCAAGCCTTACGATGGACTCAGCCAAATTGCTTGTGCAAAAGACGACAATGTTTGGCTTGCTTCTGATTCGATCAAGCGCAGTGAGGAGTTGATTAGTAGCGCGAACAGTGTCCGTACACTCGCCATTCTTTGTCGAGGCTTGACGCGACGTAGCAATACTTTCGATCTCATCAATTAGCACACAAACTAGCTCCTTGCCGTCGTGTGCCATCCTGAGGACCTTGTCAAACATTTCTGATATGAGCTTGCCGCTTTCGCTGTAAAACTTGCTCAAGAGATCTTGTGTGTTGATTTCGAACAGTTTACCACCTCTGAAGGTGCGACTGAGCCTGATGACTAGTTTTTGGGCCAGAGCCCGGCTATGGTAAGTCAGCAGCTCGTCTTTGCACACACGTCATAACTGATATGATACCATAGAGTCGATTTGCCACAGCCTGGCGGTCCATGAAAGAGGATCAACCGATTGATATCCATTGCTTCCGAGACCTTGTTTGCTTGATGCAACTGTGTGACTTTGAAAGCCTCAGTTCAGACGCTCATGTGTAACAAGGGCAAGAGGGTACTGATTTACCTGTACGGAAAACCATGTTGAGAATTTCTTCTGGATTGATGTTTTGAGTATTATCAAATTTTAGACTATCGGAAAGATGTAAGTATAGTGAAATTGGTATCGGGCAGATATGGCACACCGTTCCCAGACGCCAGCCAAGGACTCATGAGGCAGATTGATGAGTCTAGCTTGAGAGTCTTTTGAAGTGCTGAATGTAACAGTAGAAGCAGCGGCGGCTTGTTCGTGAAGACTATAGGCATGGACCTTGAGTTGGACGTCGGAGAACAAGCACTTTGGATCATATTTCGACTCCGTAAAAACGCCAGTGACATAGACGGAAGCGACGTGATCCTTGTGCTGGAACTTTTCTGTTGAGACAGTGTCAGCACCAAGTCCGACCATCAACGAAATCGAGATCGAGTACCAAATTCTAATAGTTCGCCGTCGCGGACCGGATGAAGGTAGTCATTGTTGGTCAGGAAGGTATGGAACGCGTCCTCGATCTGGACACCATAAGTATGAGAGGCGTGAAGCAATAAGGGAATCTTACTTCAGCGCGAGTGATGTGCTCGGCAGCATCGGCATCCTTGAGACGCACCTCCACATGAACTTCAGCCATGTTGGAAACGTGATTGTAGTTGGAGAGGAGAACAAAAGACAAGAGAACGAAAAACTTCGACGAGCAGCGAAAGCAGCGGCAGAGTGCCTTCCATTCGCAGAGTCTGAGGAAGCTACGGCGAGGAAGGTGCTTTCCTACCTTGGACCATGCCTTTGATTCTCAATTGCGTGTTTCTACGCTCTTCGGACATACATACGTCTCTACGTCCAAATCCTCAATCCAAATCTTCCTCTCGTTGTGTGTTCACTAGCTCCAAGGGCAAAAATATACGTGTGTCGTGAGCCTATCTGCCAACCACAATTCCAACTCCTTCACGACGCTTACCAAATTTCTTGGGCCAAGAGGAGAAGGTGTCTATGGTGGTGATCTTTTTGGAAGATTTTCCCTGCGGAGATCACGCTTTTGCGAAACCATTGTGCACTCATGTAGCTACACTGTGACAGCCTTGAGCACATGCGGAGGAAATATCCCAGGCTCGAGGCGCAACTTCAGTCAGGCGCGAAGGTCAGCCAAATCTGTGATTTTATACGCGTATCTTGACACGTCACACATCAGTGGTTCTGTGGTGTAGTTGGTTATCACTTCTGTCTAACACACAGGCGGTCCCCGGTTCGAACCCGGGCGGAATCATCGTTTTGCTTTTGTGGTGATATGTTTTTGGTCCAGAGATGGTGGTGGTGGATGCGCAAGAAGTTTGCCGAATTTTGAGGCAAGAGCGGGCGTGGCGTTCAGGGGCGCCGATGCCTGAAAGCTTGGCCAGGCGATGTTTTTTGGCAAGCCATTCCTCGAAATCGTTCTTACTGTTCGTACGTCCACCCTGCATAAGAGCGATCCTTCTACTGATCACGCGTCGGTCTACTGGATCTGAAGCAGACAACATGTTGAAGAGCCATTGGCTTTTGCTCGCACTGTAGGTGCCTGGACGTTGATGATGCGCTTCCACGAAAGCAAAGGGATGCAGAGGCTAAGGCAAGCATGTTTTGACCGACTCTTCTAGTAGGCACTTAGCGTGTTTACTTGTTGCCAATTACAGTAAATTGTTTTCTTGATTGTCGTCGCGGTATATCAGGTTTGCTATGCCCTGGAGTGTCCACCGCTTGAAATTAACAATTACGAGGGCTTTTGACTAGGGCCTTAGGCGCACGAACGGACGTCTCACCGCACATGTCCAAAGAGCTTTGATACACCGCCAGGGAATTTTTGCCCGATGCTATTGGGTTTATTAAAGACGCATGTGCTCTTGCTGTTGATCCGTTCTGCATATCATTGACCACATTGGTTCTTGAGTCTTGACTCTAGTCGCGACTTCCTGGCTTTCAACCACTTTCTCAAAGCCAACATCCAGAGTCATCAAAACAACAAAAGATCTCTACCAACATCATGGGCAAATTCACTAGAAGCTTACGCCCTTCGATGGGGTCTCGTCCTCAGTCAGCCGTCTTCGAGAAGTCTAGTCGTCCTTCATCAGGAGTCTTCTCCTCTTCGCGACCATCGTCTGGTGTTTTCGATGCCGCCGACATTCCCAGATCAGACGCCTCTGAGACGAGCAGCCGTGAGCTCGCCGAGTTGGCCCAAGATCTCAAGGTGAGTCGCCAATGGCATCCTCGTTGAGACGCAAAGATACTGACACATGCTCAAGGCACTTGCAGACCAAGCCGAACAACACAAACAACACAACCTCGACAACTTTGTCCAGATCCTCAGTCATCTCAATGGTCTCCCTGCTATGCTCGAGCACATTGGCTCCATGCCCGACATTGTCGCTTTGAATCAAACCATTGGCCAACAATCGCAACAGATCGCTGATCTCGAAGCCCGTCTCGCAGCCTCGGAAGCCGCTCACAAGGAAGAGGTCGCAGCCCACACAAGCACAAAGGAAGAAGTCGCACAACTCAAAGCAACTTGCAACTCCAAGGACGAACGCATTTCTCACCTCAAGTCTCTGCTCGGCAACATTGACCAAGACATCAAGAACGCTCGTGGCGCATTGGAAACAAAAGATCTCGAGATCTCCAACTTGAAGAACGAACTCTCCAAGCTGAACTCGCTCGTCGCCTTCCAAGACCAGGAACATGCTGCCCTCAGCGACTCGATTACAGCCAAGGACGACGAGATAAAGCAACTGCACGAAGGCCTTGCCGGCAACGACGCCGAGCTCGCACACACAAAGACAGTCCTTGCTCAACTGGATGCTCAGATAGAGTCTAAGAACCAAGAGCTACACTCTCTGCGCACCGCCAATGAGCTGACATTCCGCCAACTGCTCGAGTCACAAACAGCCAGCATGGAAAACCTCTTCCAGCAGCAGACTCACACCACCGATGCCTTGACTCAGCAGATTGTCGAGCTGAAGCAGCAAATCCGTCTTCAGCAACACCTCGATCCCAACACTCCTCCTACCTCCAATCCCGCCAGCCCTGCTGTTTCGGCGGCAAATGCTAGCTGGGGTATGCCTGGCTTTGGCATGTTTGGCGGCAAGAAGCCAAAGATGCACAAGCGTTCTCAGAGCCAGATTGTCGTCAAAGCTCCCCACAAGTTCGATGTGCCCGTACCGACCATGCTCTGAGTCGCTTGAGACACGAGCACCCGCACGCTCTTTCCTTTTTTCGTATCCTCCCTCTCTGACGACCTCTGCGATTTGATTTTCCTTTTTCTTCTTGGTTTCCTTTACTGTCGTTTTCCCTTTGCTTTCCTTTGCAAGCAACTCTCACTCTTGGAACTCATGCCCTTCTACGAAACCATTAATGCTTCTACGAGAAACACGATTATATACTTTTGTACATACTCTGTATACCAATGTACATTTCGCTTTGGCTTTTTTTTACCACCTGGTATTGATTGAATTTCAAGAAATACCACACAGCTGTCTGAAACCATTGTTGGAGATGCGCAAGTCATCTGGCTTACCAACAACAGAGACCCGCCCCGCATCCATCATGATCACCATGTCTGCATCTAGGATAGTCGTCATCTGGGAGATATGTCAGCATTGTATCAAGGTATCGAATCTTGCTGCAAAAGACTTACTCTATGTGCGATAGAAATGACACTGCAATCAACGAACTCTGAGCGCAATACGTCTCGAATCACAGTATCGGTATCTGCATCCAGACTGCTTGTTGCTTCGTCAAGGATGACCAATTTGCTTTTGCGCAACAGAGCTCGTGCCAAGCAGAGCAGTTGCGCTTGGCCTTGACTGAGACTCTGCTGATCGATATCTGCATCCAATCCACCGCGTTCATTGACGAGGTCAAGTAAGTGAACCTTGCTCAATGCAGAAATCAAGTCTGTGTCGCTTAACTCGGCCTTGGGGTCGAGGATCGATCGCAAAGTTCCAGGAAGAAGGAAAGGCTGTTGTGGGATGGCGATGATGCTGTTACGGACAATGTCAGGATGGACATGCTGGATATCATGTCCATCGATAGAAATACTGCCATGTCGTAGTGGAAGAAGACGCAGCAGAGCAAGCATCAGACTCGATTTTCCACTTCCTGTGCGACCACAGATTGCAACTCTTGTGCCTGGTGGGATCGAGAAGGTGATATCGTTCAGGTCGTAAGGACCAGGTGCGTCAGTGTACTTGGCATGGACTCCAGAGAACACTACTGCTCCCTGGGTCACCAGTTCTTGTGACATTGTACTGGTTTCTGATGAAGCCTCCTGCTCTGTGGTCGTGGCAAAAGATCGCACCCGTGAGACAGCGCCTAAAGATGTTTCCAAAGTTGTCCATTCGGTAACGAGACGAGTAAGCGACTGGCTGAATCCAAGAACGTTCGTCAAGGCTACTCCCAGCAAGCCTGCTGAAGTTGTACCTCTTTGGGAAACTGCTAGAGCAACAACCAAAACGGCCAAAGCAGCAACGATCAGATCAAGGACCAGCTTCAGCCATCGCTGAATACAAGAAAGCAAGTAGTATGGCGACTGAGCAGTGTCCAGTAACTTCGAGTGTTCATTCTTCGCTTCTTCCTCCCATCCAAAAGCGCGGATTGTGACAACCCCTTCAAGCGTTTCGAGAAAATGAGAGTAGATGGGACTTCGAGCCTCAATCTCAATTAGACGCAGTTGGCGTGATGTACTGAGATAGATCTTCTGTGTCGCATATATCGTAATCATGACGAAGGGTATTGTGATTCCCATGTAGCTGGCTCCTGTGGAAATCACTGCCAGAGAAGCAATGGTCTCGCATAGAGTATTTCCAGTCGCAATGAGCGAGGTAGGTAAGGCTCCAACAACCAGAGCCATGTCTTGGGCAAACCTGTTCAGGATGGCACCGCTATCGCTTTGGTAGTAGACCGATGAAGCTGCTCCCACTACAGTGTATAGAAGAGTACGATGCATGTTGATTGCAGAGTCCGGAATCATCTTCAAGAAGACAACCCACATGTTGAGGTTGCTGAAGCAGGTCTGTGCCAGGGCGAGTACGGCATAGACCGTCAGATACAGACCCAAGTTAGAGTCATCATCTGCTGTCCACCAATTAAGCCAGATTTGAGAGAATCTAGAACTGAACGCAGCGCCAATAGAAAAAGCGGCGAACATGGCCAGATATCTCTTATGGAAGTTACTGAAGTAGTACTTGTATATTGACCAATCTCCGGTTCTCCTCGCCAAGTCGTCTTTGTCCTCCTTGGATGGACCTTTTGGCGCTCGAGCTTTGTTCACCTCAGTGACTGTCACGTCGGCAGACTTGTCGAGAGGTGTGTCGGTCATCATACCAAGCTTGGGATCATGCGATGAACTCGAGCCTGTGTGTACAACGCAGCCATCCATGGAGAGGGTCACGATCTGATCAGAGATCGCCATGGCTCTTTGTGAATGAGTGACCAGAAGGACTGTGGTGCCAAACTTGCGAAGTAATCCTTTGGGACCAAGTAGGCGGTGGATAATGACTTCCTCAGTATTGACATCGAGCGCACTCAGGACATCATCGAGAAGCATGATGTCCCTACGCGCATATACAGCCCGAGCAAGTGCGAGTCTGGCTTTCTGTCCCCCAGAAAGCGAGACACCTTTGCTGCCGAGTCGAGTATCGTCTCCATCTGGCATACTTGCGACATCTTTGGTAAGATCGCAGGCATACAACACTGTGCTATACCAGGTCTCGTCAATTTCTGTTGAATCACGATCCGAACCAGCGATGAGTTCTTTGATGGTCTTATTGGCCATCCAAGGCTTCTGGCTGCAGTACGCAATGCTCTTCGAAGAAACCAGCATACTGCCGCTCAATGTATGAGTTTCGCCAAGGATCGTTTTCAACAGGGTAGTCTTTCCCGTTCCAGTTTGCCCAGTAATAACAACAAGGGATCCTGTATTAACGTCAAGCGAGACTCCCTTCAAGATTGCGGGACCTTCGGTCGACAAAGACACCTCCATGTGTGAGCAGACAACAGCAGATCCCGCACGAGCACCTTGTGGAGTAAGGGTTGACAGCTCGATGGCGAGGTCGCAACTTGCGTTGTCAGTTGTGCTTGACAGGAGTCCGCCGCTGTGAGATCGATAATCTTTTCGAACTGGGAGTTCCAAGTAATGCTGTAACCGTTCAAAGCAACCCAAAGCCTGTGCCCATAAAGGCATAATGGTCAGCAGCTTCGCGCTAGGCGTCGTGACCAGATCCAACAGAGCCAACGAAGTAAAGGCTTGAGCGATATCCAGACCGTCCGAGCCGTCGACGTAAGCTTTGATGGCATAGACTATGAAGGTAGTCACGGGAGCCCAGATTGAAGGTATCACGGCTGTTCTTGTCAGTGTTCGGTCACAGCGTTCTAATTGATAGTAACGTACCGATTGCATTCAACCCGATGATGAAGCGAGCAAAGCAAGCGAACATCTGAAGCTCGTTGACTCTCAAAGAATGAAGCAAGCTCGAAGCAGATTCCTTGAGACCTAGAGAGACACTTCAGTAACAACTTGATATACTCACAGCGAAGACTTACCTGACATCTTGACCGATTGAAGAGATCCAAGTACCGCAGATGTCGTGTTGACACGTTTCTGTGTGGCAGCACTCCAATCTTTTCTCCTCGATCCAATCCTTCTAGACACCCAGCCTTGTGCTTGGGTGGATATGACTGTGAGAACTATAGGCACAATGCTCACTGCGCCAACTTGTCGAGCCAGAAGGCCGATGCCCACCGCGACTTCGATCAATCTAGCCCAGGACTCATTAAGCTCACCAAGAACTCTAATCATCGTGTCAATATCTATTGAATTCGCGTCAGATCTTCAGGTGAAAGTATGGTTGCACAATTCATGACTTACCGCTCGATATCAATGTCAATGCAGCACCGTCCTTGGTAGCGCCGTCATATACAACAAGGATGTGGTCATGAATAATCGAAACTAGGGCGCCTCTCAATTTAGTCATGATACGAGAGATCTGCTGTTGATAGAGAGCATTTGATATCTGCAAATTTGGTTAGCTTGGAACCGAAGAGGATAACACAGCTCAGGCTCACAGCTATTCCGGTGTATATGATGAAGGTCGCCCCGATAAGACTGTACCCAATATTCTTGTCCGGATCATGGTTTTCCTGGTTGAGGTAATCAATGGCGCGGGTGAAGAGGAATGGTTGTGCGAACGTGAAGCCAACCAATGCAAGTCTCATAGGTATCATAGCCGTGATATCTGTCCACACTGCGCGAAAGCAAGCCTTGGGTAAAGCCCATACGGGTGAAGGAGCTGTGGACGACTCGGTGCGACCTTGAGCTTTCTTCAATTCTTTGTCGAGTGCTGCCTCCAGACTTTGGCCGGTTTTCCGAGACCGCAAGTCTGGATCAATGGCATATAACTGGTCCTGGCTCAAGAGAGTCCGCAGACCGCTCACAAAGAGAGGATTAAGCCACCAAAGCAAGCTTCTGCTTAGAACAGAACTCGTTGACTCTGGTGGTAGTGTTCGATCTGCTGGAGGTAACCATGATCTTTTGTTCCAGGATTCACACGCCAATAATGACAATTTGAGAGCGATGGACAGGCACATGAAGCTCGGTACTATTCTACGAGAATGACTCAAGAACAAGGTTCGCACCTGAGCTGCATCGAAGACAGATGAGAACAGTAGATACACGCCAAGCAGAGAAGATGACCGGATGGATCGTGTGTGCGATACCGTGGAAAGGAAGACGATGGCCAGCGAGACGATCAGTCCAAGACACAGAGCTGGAAGCGTCGCTGGGGTCTCTGAAGCCGGACGGATGACCCATGACACCAGAAGAGAGATTTGTGTGACTGCAAGAAGGGTTGCAATGGTCTGATGTGATGGTCAGCGGTCTTCTTCGATGTGGCTCAACGCGTAGATTCTGACCAGCTTAGAATTTCTTATGGTAGGTGCATTAATCCTGGGTGCGGCCCGATACAGCTTGATGAAGCTGAAAGGAAGACAACACAGAAAGATGGCGGAAGGAACGATCGACAGTATGGTTTGCTCGAAGAACAGCGTAAAGTCGAAGCTGCCATCGCAGCTAGCTGGACCAAACGCGTGTAGATTACAGTTTGATGTTGCATCAGACAACCACGTCGCGTTCGACATGATTGCAAGAGTTACTACTGGAGTAGCTACTGCGCATGTCGGAAATAATATACTGTGGACTCACCTATTGATTGCTATACCGATATGGCAGGTGCCAGATAAGAACAATTCAGGGGCACAAAGTCCGAAGGATCAAGCCCGGTGTCCTGGTCTAAAACGGACGATGAGGCGCCACTGGACACACGCGCGTCTGCGTAAAAGTATGTGCATCCTTCGAGCAGCAATGTTCCTGTCGCTCAGTTGTGATCAACTTGCCTCAAATATTGTGACGGTTTGCAGCAAGCGCACGAATGCAGGAACCAGACACGACGCCGAACTTCGACCAAGTTTTCAAAGCTTCACCACACTCCGCTGTGTCAAACCTCCATCGACAGAATTTCGAGATTGCAGCAGCAACCGAATGACAATCTTGCTGAGAAACAAGACCATAGCTGAGCAAAACGATGATGATCAGAGTGGGATTCGAACCCACGCGATTTCTCACTAGTAAACTCATTTCAGGTGAGCCTGAAACTAGCGCCATAACCACTCGGCCATCTGACCAATCGATGAAGCCTCGATGTGTCAGCTACAATATGACTAACTGGAAAACACGACTGGCAAAGGGTTAAGCGTCCAAGTCGTGTTGAGATGGGAACATAGTGTGGGAATATATCTTCAAGACATACACATAGGAATACCCAAGCAATTGTTGATAGACAGAAAGCAGACGAGAACTGTAATCAGCATTAAACATTAAGTCATATAAATCATGAGGTCAGCAATGAACACTTCCATCAAAACCATCTTCTCTCTTCAACAGCTTCAGCACGACATCCAACCTATCGAATACGCGATAGCACCTCCTCAGCTCATCCAGTTGTTCCAGGCGTTTAACTATCTCCGTGCCACTGCCACCAGCCCATAGCGTACGTCGATCGTCTTCCGTGAAGCTGTCTGCTACTTTGATCATAGCATCCACAAACATCTTGTCAGAGCCTAAGACATTCTTGACTCTTTCTCCCACACCACCTGTGGCGAGACAAACACTCCTGCCGATCTTTCTCAAGGTCTCTAGGGCATTCTTCTTGGTGACGAGGGAGCTTTCCCTCTGTACTTGGGTAGCAACGCTCGATATATCATTTGCTATCCTCTGAACCGCTTTATCGGCATATTGTCGTCCTTTGGCTGGGTCCAAGTAGTGCTTAGAATTCAAAGTATGCCAGACAGAATTGCTGTAGTGTACGAAGTTGACCGTCTTGCTCGCACCAAGTGAGACTCTCTGTGCATATTCTGAAGTAATGTCAGAAGCAAGAGAAGGGTGTCTCTGTACAGCAATTCGGAGAATTTGGCGTAACTCTGTTGCTGAAAAGGAATCTAGAGCAGTGTCCAGGGAAGCATCAGAGCAAGTTGTCGAAGGAACCTCATTCATAGGTGTATCTACCCGCACAGACATGTGAGGTGCATGTTGATAGTCATTTGATGGCGGCGGAAGGTCCATAGTGACTGTGAGTCGAATAGGCCCATAGCCAGGGATCTCGGGAAGCGTTGTACTTGTCTGCATGCCCGTGACGCTACGAGAAAACGAGACTTGTGGTATATCTGGCAATGGTCTGCGCAAGCTCATCCTACTTGAGCTTGGGGGATTTGAATATGTAGGCGACTGTGACATTGTGGTATCATGTAGTGCAATACCAGAGCTTGTGTGGAAACTGGAGCTCGCGGCCGACCACGAATCACCAGCGGTCTCGGACGAAGTCAGGCTAGGCAGCTCGGTTGCCACATGACTGCTGTTGGACTCGGAAGGTGTGAATGTTCTTGATATTTGGCCAGGATCGTACAACTGTGCCAGCGAACATGATTTGTTCCATATCACGCTTGTGTTGAAATTTGATTGAGACGTTGACTGCGACCCGATGGAGCTGATTGATGAACTTTGACGAGTATGAGTGCGCCGCGGAGGTGTCGGCGCAAAGGAAAGGTCGGATATCTCAAAACTGTCGCTGAAGCTGTTTGTCCGAGAATGCTTTGCTGGGATGTATATCGAAGACATGGTTGCTAGATGGTGATGAAGGATGGAGAGAAGATACAATACGAACGACAAGCTGGAATGTGGTAGGCCTCTTTGCTTTCTATGGTACGCTTTGGTCTGGGAAACATACTTACTCGCCGAGTCTATAGCAACCAACAAATTGGCGCCGGGAGGCAGGAGTCAATGCTGAACACGGGCTCTAAATCTCTCGGTTTCAAGGCCGATCGCGTCTTGTAGGTCACGTTGCATCAAAGCAGTGTACCGTCTTACCATCGCCTTGGAAGCGCAAGTGCTGCATCCTTACCGTCGTTGAGCAGTTGAGCAAGCTCGCATCACATGTTAAACGCCATTCTCAAGATCATTCACAAGATGTGGTAGAAGAAAGTTAGCAACAACAGACACATAGAAGCTTGGTAGGTTGTCGAGAGCATTGACCTTCTTCGGCACATCCGAGTGCCGAAGAAGGCATCGAGGACTGTCGGTGAGTGAAACCTCTTTCTACACCTCTTCTTCCCAGCCTCATCTGACCCATAACCCGCGATTACGGATCGAACACAGACCCCTCAGTGGCAAAGAATTTTATACTGGACTGCATTCTGGAACGTCTTTCTCTATTTGCTTGTGCGCCTTCCCCTGTATATCCGGCTGCGGCACGGCATTGCTTTGGCTATGGATTGCTACTCTTATGTCTATGCGCTTCTTGACGAATATCGTAAGCAAGGAACTGTGAGTATTGGTTCTACGATCATAAGTATCGTTGCCATAGGTCATATGATTTGGACATATCATCAGAAGGGATGCACGATAGCACTATGATTGGCGCAGAGGTGGTGCAGTGTGGTATTAGTCGCAGCAAGAAATCATAACTTTCGTTTCGTGTCCAAATGGTTATGCAGCAATTTTCTTCTTCGCCGTGAGAGATGACTTTGAGGTAGTTATCCTGGTATCTCCTTTGGATTCAGCTATCGCTGCAATACCACTCAACATCTGGTCGAGATCAATGTCAGAATCATCATTGAAAAAGATTCTTTTGGGAGTCTTTGATGGTTTCCTAGGGATCGGTGCTGGAGCCACTGCCTCTGACAAGACCAAGTCGGTCTCATTGGTTGAAGCGAGTGGATTGGTATCATCGTTGTTGACCGTGTTCGACAAGTCGTCTTCCTTAGCTGTCGCTCGTTTCGCGGTTGCTCTTGGGACACGCACTCGCCGGACTAGCTTCTTCCTCTTTGGTGGAGAGTTCCCTTCCTGCGTTGGATCCTGCTGTGCGTCAACCGGGGCCTTAGCAATTTGTTCCTCAAGAGGCTTCTCAAGGTGCTTTTTGGTGACATTCTGTTGTCTAGTGGTCTTAGCCTTTGGCTTCTTATCAATGCTTTTTTCCTTCAGTGGCAGTGTGGTTATTGTCTGTGTGCTTTCTTTCGGGCTCGATTGCGCAGTCTCGATGTTCTCTTGTACATGCTTCCGTACCACTCTTTTCGGTGGCAAGGCCTTCTTCCGAGCTTTTTCAGCTAGGCATACATCCTGAGGATCCTGGTCGGACTTTGTCTTTCTCTTGGGTTGTGGGATGTCCTCGACCACAGGTTTTGGTAGAGAAATTGGCTGGTCTGGCTGAGGTTTGAGAGAGTCTTTCTGGCGTGGTCTCGGGACTAGAACGCGTTTCTTGACCTTTCGCTTTGTGGGCTTGTTGGCGGCCGGAGGTTCTTGTTGTGTCACATCAAGGCTAGCATCCAGGGCGGCAGCAAGAATAGTATCCTCTTTCTGTTCTTGAAAGGTTGTCTTTTTTGTCCTCTTCTTGAACCAGATTTGATCATCTTCTTCTTCTCGGACGACTCGTTTTCTCTTTGGGGCTGGCACGTGTGAAGGAAGCGAGGATTCGGAATGGTGATGAATTTGGGTATGCGCAAGGGCAATTGGTCGTGTGTTTGAGGGCGAGGGCGATTCGATTGCAGTCGTGTCGGAGACTTGGATAGGACCAGCGTGGAAAATGAAACCAAAATTCGTAGGTATAGAGCGAGCACTTGGACAGAGGGTCAGCGAGGATGCAGCAGATGTAGAAGTGATTGTTTATACCCAGCTCCTCGTTGTCGCATCATGTGGCGCTCATGGCGAGCGTCTGCCGGGCAATCAGCGCATGCGGTATAGTATTGGACGGTTCGAACTCGCCGATTGCAGTCATTGTGTATAGATGTCAGTCGTTGGTATAAGATGGAATGTCAATGTCGTGGTCGGGAATTGTTTATGCACACGGAGTTAAGCTCGGCTGCAAGACATGACGCTCGTCCAAATTCTGTCGCGTCCAGTCGCTTCTCGTCGACATCGAATCAACCATGCGACAAGCTGCCCTCGGCCGCTTCAGGCCGTTACAGCCATTGAAGCCATACATCTGCAGAGATTGTGCCTTGACGGCGACGCGGCGTACCCTCTCGCAATCTGCTGTTTCCAGAGACAAGGCTTCCTCCACATCATGGGACCAACACGCTGAGAGGATACGCGCCGGCGAGAGAAAGAGCTTGTTGACTATACTGGAAGAGCGTGGTTTCATCAAGGACCTGGCTGGCGATCGCAATGCCCTCGATAAGCTGCTGACCGACAAACGTGTCGGCGTCTACTCTGGTATCGACCCAACTGCTCCTTCGCTTCACCTGGGCCACCTTCTGCCCATGATGGTCCTGTTCTGGATGTACATTCACGGTCACAAAGCCGTTTCCATCATTGGAGGTGCAACTGCAAAGATTGGTGATCCCACCGGCCGTTTGATAAGCCGACAAGAGATGGACAGAAACACAAGAACTTCAAATCTGGTCTCGCTGCACAACTGTGTACGCGCAATCTGGAAGAGTCTAGACAGATACGCAGAGAAACACGGCTACAACAAGGACTCGGCTTGGTCCAAAAGTATACAGAATAACTCAGTCTGGTTGTCCAAGCTGAATATCATTGACTTCTTGTCTGATGCTGGAACCGTTGCTAGAATCGGTGCTATGCTGGGTAGAGATACGTGAGTGCTAGTTGTTTCCATCCTCTGTTCTGACAGCATGCTGACTTCGGCAGTGTCAAGAACAAGATGGCGCAAGGTGATGGCATGTCGTATGCTGAATTCACCTATCCCCTCCTACAAGCCTATGATTGGTGGCATCTGTATCAATCTGGTGTTCAGGTCCAGATCGGTGGCTCTGACCAGTACGGCAACATTGTCGCTGGTATTGACCTCATCAAACACTTGACTCCTAGACCGTCAACCTCGCCAGAGACCAAGCAGCTGTCCGGTCCTTTTGGTCTCACCGTGCCCCTTTTGACCACAGCAGCTGGTGCCAAATTTGGTAAAAGTGCTGGAAACGCTATCTGGCTGGACAAGACCATGACAAGCCCCTTTGAGCTGTACGGTTTTCTCGTCGGCTCTGCTGATGCTGATGTCGAACGCTACCTGAAACTCTTCACCTTCCTGCCCCTCGACTACATCTCCACTGTCATGACCGAACACCAAGTCGATCCTAGTCAACGTAAAGCTCAGCATCTGCTTGCACGTGAAGTCGTCGATTTCGTCCATGGTCCCGAAGAGGCTGCGAACACACAGAACCAGCACAAGTTCTCACGCCGACCGAACTTGCAAACTCTGCAAACCAAGGCGGCGGATAGCAAAGAAGGCCTCAATCGTCTCTACCTTCCTCGCAGCCTAGTCCACAACAAGCCACCAGCACGTATTCTGTACCATGCTGGCCTTGCCAAGAGCAACAGCGACGGCACTCGCATGGTCAACTCTGGCGGCGCCTACATTGGCAGTCAGTCTGACGAGAATGGCTCGGATTTCAATGGCGATCTTAAGTTCCGTTCATTGAAGGGTGTCACTGCTGCCACAGTCACCGAGATGATGGAGAAGAGTAACGTACTTGTCCTTCGAACAGGCAAGTGGAACGTCAAGCTCATTGAAGTCATCAGCGATGTAGAGTACGAGCAGAAGGGCCTCAGTGCTCCAGGTTGGGAGGACATCAGAGCGGCCAAAGACGAAACATCGCCTTGAAGCAGTTCTCCGCCAACCACAGTGTACAATTATGTAAGATTATAGAAAGCCTTGTTTTCTGCTTGAGTAGGTATTATTTCACCTTTGTCTCCCCGTAGGAAAGATTCGAAAGAGCCTTGCATTATGCGTATAAGTCGCATATGTTGCGACAATAATGTCTCCTCATCGTTAACAAATTGGCAAAAAACCAGAGCTGAGCTCATATGGGAAAACCACCCCTTTCCCGGTCCTTGATTTTAGTCCCCAGATGTCGGTCATCTGGCATACATGAATTAAGACGTACAAGGCAGGGATGGTTTTATTTTAATCAGGCGTGGACAAGCCGTTACACCACCCATCCGATTACAGTAACAAAAGAGATTTGAGATAAATGTATGTGCTGGCAAGCGAGCTCAAGGGTTCGAACTGGGAGGTGAGCGGTTTGTCACTTTTTGCATTATGTTCTTTGTGATCACAATGGCTGACGTGTGAAGGTGTGCGGAACTCGTTTCTTCACTTTACATCTTCGAGGGAGACAATACATCAAACATTTTCTGGACAACAAAACAAGAAGTTGCAAAGCAGACATTGTGTATTGCAAAACAGCACATTCTGTCTTGCTGCATCATTCTGGAACGCGCTTTCTTCGTTTCTTTCCAAGAAATTTGACACCCGAGTAAACACACGTTTGTTGACTCCACTCGACTTTATCCTTATTTCTTGCAATTGTTCCATCAACTTCCGTTTCTAATCGGGCTCGACAACGTCTTCTTGAAAGCGGGCTCCCTCTCTTGCTCCATCAACTTGATGTGGTCGATATGGCGCAAGTCAAGATACTGAAGAGATCTCGAGATGCGGTTTCGTGTTCCAGCTGCAAACAACGCTACGATTTGATCGAAGCGCTGGACCAGCATCTGGAAACATCATTGACGGGCCGCCGCATCTGTCGCAGAACCAAAGCACCGGCGTTGATCGTTTGCATCGAATGCGAACGCGACTTCCCCAGTGTCCAAGAACTCAAACAGCATATTCAGAACTCCTTATTCCATCACCCAGAGCTCTCTGAACCCACTGGACGAGTTGTCTTCGTCGGCCGACTTCCTGCCAATGTCAGAGAACGTGACATTGTAAACACATTGTTCGACGGCTTCATTGTGTCAGTAGCCACCAACCATATTCTCTGTCCTTCATTCGAAGGTATCACTGACAACAATGAGTAGTGAAACTACATCTATTCGCACCCATTGTCCTCATTTTGACAACTTCGCCTTCATCACTTTGACGACAGCCGCCGAAGCCAATCGTGCTGTCAAAGTACTTCACAACAAACGACTCTTCAACCAGAAAGTCATTGTCTCACTGCAGCGGCCTAAAAAAGATCTTACAATTCAAGCTTCTGGCCCAAAACCACGCTCACGCATCCTTAGTATGGCCCCCAGCTACTCGTCTACCAAGTCTCCTGCCATGGCTTCTGGCAAAGAGAATACCGGACCGCTGCCTCCAGTCAACATGCGGCTTCCACAAAGTGTGCCTGCCTATGCACAGCCTATGTCTCCACCCTTCGACCCTCGAATGTCTACGTTCCTCTACAATACAACCTCTCCTGTTGTCTACAACCAATATTATCCAGTTCTACCTTATCATCCTCCAGCTCCCAACGGTTATGTACAATCTGGTCCTATCGCTTCATTCAGCCCTGCTCCTGTAAACCACAACCTCAGATACCAATCCCCACCAAGTTTTGTGCCCAACAGTACTTTGCCAGCTACCCAACCTCCTCCCCAATCATCGACAGAACAACGTCCCTGTCGCCAACGTGGTCGACGTAAGCAGTTCCCACCTCAGTACGACGGCGCCTCGAACTCGCCTACTGCATCGCCTCCAATCGTTATCGAACCCGAAAACACAATGGTTCCTATCACCGCCGACACCAAATACGACTCAGCCGTTCAGACGTCTTCCTCTTGTACTACTTCAACATCTTCTATGGCTTCAAGCACGAGTTCTCCGTACTGCGACGACCAGACATGGCCCCCGCTCGTCTCATCTGGTCCTGTCACTGAAGCCAGAGCTTGGACATCGTTCCATGATGATCAATATGATGACGCTTATCGAACCCTCGTCCAACATTGCCACGATACCAACTCTCTGGTCGCGGCAGGCTTCAACATAAGAGAGCCTACCATGCCACCCCTCGCCGATCTCAGAGCCAAAATTAAGTGTAGGTCTTGCCGCAGTTCTCGTCAGCATCTTGATCGCTTGATTGCAGAATCAGGTGTGAGAGGCTGTCCGGTCGCTAAGAACGGTATGCACACTTTTGGCGGCATCTCTCATTTGACTTCACTCTACGAAGATTTTGAGCATCCTCCCGCAGTCTGTCCCTCATCGCTTATAGGCAAGCGTCGTGCAATTGCACTTGACTGTGAGATGGCAGGCGGCAGAATTGGCGACGGTCTTGTGAATCAGGTGATCCAGCTAACTGCTATTGACTACTTCAGTGGTGAGGTGCTGATCTCGGCTCTTGTTAAGCCCACCTTAGTCATCCAACAGTGGCGTACCAACATTCACGGCGTGAGTCCTAGCATGATGTCTAAGGCTGTCAACAACGGTACTGCTTTAGAGAATGTGTTTCACGCTCGCGAACTCTTGTTCTCTTTCATGAACAGCAACACCATTCTCGTTGGACATGCTCTGCACAACGATCTGAACGTTCTCAAAATCGCCCATGACCGCTGCGTCGACTCGGAGATATTGGCCAAGGTTGCTATCGACAGAGCTAGTCACAACAATGGCGTTGGATTGAAAAAGCTGTGCGACACTCTGCTGAGCTTGAGCGTACAAAGAACGGCTTTCCACTCCTGTCTCGAAGACACATTTGCAGCCAGAGAGGCTGTCATCTACATGGTCTCACATCCTGAGGAGCTGTCTGTATGGGCACAGGCCAAGCAGAAGGTGATCGACGAAGAGGCTGCTAAGAGAGCTGCCGCAAAACAGGCAAAGGAAGAAGCTAGAGAACAGGCTGCTGCCAATGAGGCTAGCGAGAGAGCTGCTCGCGCGGATGATAAGCGGGTTAAGGCAGTCCTCACCATGGCCATGCCGGCACTGGTGCCTAATCCCGTCAATGAGATCCCAGATGAGCTGCAGATGTACAGAGGTCCTTCTGTCGGCAAGAAGCAGAAGGGAGGTGCTTGGAAAGTGCTTGACTACGGAGGTGATAGAGGTTCTCAGATAAGGCATGGGAAGAAAAGAAGGTAAGAAATCAAGAGATGAGAAGGTAGCTTAGCTCTGAGCCAGTACACACTGTGCGTCTCGGCTTCACACGAATGATGAAATGATCGCCCTTACCAGCTCAGATTGATCCAAGTCCAAGCAGAGGTTTGACAACCATTTCAGTCTTTCACGGTGGGAGATGCAACCCTGTTCGCCCGAGTGAGAACGCCTGAAGAGAGCCAAAAGCATTCGCATTTTTGTAGTATCCACCCTTGACTTGTACACGAGCAGTACAAATTCAAAACTGCCCCGAATAACCAGTTCCAAAACATATGAGCAGCCTACCGTATCCCCAAACACAACCAAACACTCCACCCAGCAGACCCGGTCAAACAAGTAAAAATTGAAAACAGAAAGGAGAAGGACAACAGAAAATAAACTGTAGCCAAGCTCTAATTATTAATCAAGCAAGTCTGTGATGCTCGTGATCCTCGCTTCCAACATCACTGCCCACATCAGTCCAACTGCCAGGCGTCAAGACACCATCAGGTTCACTCTCATCACCACTATCCACACTTTCTACCTCGCCAAAGTCGATCAGACTCATTTCGCTAGCTGCTACGCTGGCAGAAGCAGAGGCGAAGTCGTCGGTGGTAGAGGAAGCAGACGAGAGTGAAATGGCGTCACGTTCGACTTCGGGGGATGAAAAGGTGGCGGTGGTGGGCGTTTGTGGTTGTTGCTGTTGGGTGGAGACCGCAGCAGCTTCGTGGACAGGGTCGTAAGGTGGGATGACCATGGGTGCAGGGATTGTTGCTGGGCGACGGGGAGTGATTAGGGGCGATGCAGTGTACAATTCCTCGTCGGTGTAGTCGGCAGCAGATCTAGGGACGACAGGGGCGGAAGTGAGGTTTGTCGGCTCCTCTTCCTGCTGCTCCTTCTGTCTCATCTTCTCGACGTCGGCCAGACTAGCAGCGACAGCGGCGGCAAACTCCTTGTCCCGCTGCTCCTGCTCTGAAGCACGAGCTTGACGGGCAGCTTCTTCGCTTTCTGCTAGACTGATCGACATGGCGCGTACCAGTTGTTCTTCGAAGCTGAGGTTGGTAGGCATGTCATCGTCTGAGCCCAACACCGGGATTTGTCTGACCGAGGGCTCTTTTTGTGTGACAGGCAGCTTGCGAAGCTTGTTTGTGTCTTCGATGGCAATCTTGGGAGGTACTGGCGGCTTTGGTGTTGGTGAGCGTGAGTCGAGTGTACCTGAGAGTTCGAACTCGTCGCCGAAAGGGTTTGCGTAGCGAGATCCTGAGTTGAAAGCTGTCTCTACTTTGGTGGCTTCTGGGACAGATATGCTTCGAAGAGACTTGGGCTCATCGGTGGGTACTGACGGGAGGTCAAGCATCTTCTCATTGAACTCCTCGCCTTCTCTTTGTGTGTCCTTCTCATCCGTCTTCAAGGAACCGTCGACGTTTACGAGCTGATCAAATGTCGGTGAAGAGGGTGTCTTGTCTGACAGTCCTGATAGACTCCTTCTCAACTTCTGTTTCTCTTTGAGATCGAGCATCTCTTGATTCCTCTTGGCCAGGTACTCTCTACCCAACCGCCTCCTCTCCTCGGCTTCATCAGGACTCTGCGGTGTGAGGCTTGTCCTGTTTCGTCTAGTAATCGAGTCGTCCGTAGTCTCTCTACCAGTAGCCCTAGCGATAGCATTTGCCGTGCCGACAGCTTCTTCGCGAGTCTGTGTAGGTAAACGTCCTTCGTAGGCAAATGCTTCTGCCTCTCGTCGTGATTGCGGGTCAAGTTCATCTCCAAAGGTGCGGAGAAACTCGGTGATCTTGCGTCGTTGTTCTTCCACCCATTCCTTAACTTGAGGGTTCTCATACACTGCGATCCCGACAGCGGCAAGTATGGAGAGAGAAATCAAGATTCCTATAAGTCGGGTCAGACATGTCGCATGGACGTGAGTGAAGCTGACAGTAGCATGACTTTATCACGAGACCACTCTATCGAGCGAGCAAATATCGATAGTCGAACATGAGAACAAGAACATATGTAACAGGGAAAAAATCACAGGAGAAATAAGAGATGAAAATAAAGAGCGTAGATCACATACCCTTGGCCAGTGGTGCGGGCATGTTGGTCGATTTACAGTATCGTCGAAGTGGCGAGTTGCGACCGACTCGAATCCTGCCCAAGAAGCTGCGGGTTCACAAAACTGAGATCTTGGGAAAGAACGACACGGAACTACAAGCCTGATATTCAGAATTTGAGGCAGGTGGGATGAGAAGAAGAAGTCCATGGCAAATAGGCAGCTACATAAGTCGAAGTCGAGCTACGCGCCACACCCTCGGTCGGATGCGGGGAGGCAAACTCAAAGGCAATGTGGCTGTGAAGATCATCGAATTGAGTCCATTTGAGTCTAGAAAATCTATTGTAAACTGCATCGCATATCTCAGATAGTGAAAGTCATCGCTTGTAAAACAAAAGGGGCCAAGGCTAATATGCTGGAACAAGACAGTGCTAAGGTGAGTGGTCCTCGTACAACTTCCGTTGTTCCTTCTTCTCCTTTGTGTCCCGGCGAACACACCAAAGACTCCATGCGATACCCATAATACTGGCGACAAGTGTGATCGTATATGCCTGAGAATAGCAAGACTTGCCATCATTGCAAATGCGATGGTGTCCGTCTGCTGAGCCCGAATGGCTATCCAAGATGGCGCCATAAGCCGTGTTGAAAATGTTACCTGAGATGACTGGCGACATCGTCATGGCACCCCAATTGATTCCAAGCCCCGGTGCACCAAATGCATCAGCAACAAGAGCAGGGAAAACGCCAAAAAGTGCACCGTAGCCAAGCCCGGTCACACTTGACAAAAGATACAAGTGGGTGGGGTTTTCGATCGTAAGTCCAAAGACTTGGGCGACGGTAAATATCAGTGACGAAGCGACAATTGACCAGTAACGAGAAGAGTGGAGACGTTTGACCACAAAGTCCGATCCAATACCGGAAGACAATCTGCCAACGAAGGAACCAATCGAGAGAATGCCAACATGCATCAACTGGCGAGACTGAATGAAGTCGTGACTTGCGTTTTCGTCGTAGTGGTGCCAAAGTGTTTTGGCCTAAAAGTTTCAATCAGCTTTCGATCATCACTGTCCAGTCAGAGGGTTTCTCACGTTATTTCCAATATTGCTAGGAAGAGGTCAGCCATGCCAATGAACGCCAGGACGAAGGAATACATACTTGATAGTCATCAGGCCGACTCCGCACAACAAGCCAAGCAGAATAAACAAATTCCAAAACGAGGGGCTCTTTGCGAGCGCCCACCCTGTGATATCTTTCTTGTGTGAGCCTTGGGTCTGAGATGTCTGGGATTCGTCCACAGGGGTTTCCTCAGCGCGTGAGACCAGAGGTGACGTCTCATCTGTTTGGGCATCTTGAGTGCCTGGAGAGATGAGCTGGGTGCCTTCTCACGGTTGCGACGCAGGAGTAAAACAAGGAAAAGCAGGGATGGACAGCGGGAGATAGAAAGACTTACTGGGTTCACCCGGGAAATTCGAACCGCTTCCATCTCTGCTGTGGCGACCTGACTGAAGATCGTGAGAGTTCTTCCTGATGCGTGGAGGTCGAGTCTCATCTTCGGTAGGCACGGCTTGGTAGGGAGAGGACGGAGGCATCAATCGCATGAAGAAGCTTCCCACAAATACCATGACAAAAGTACCGATGGCCAGCATCAGTAGATAGTCTGCTGTATCATTGGGAAAGGCGAAACTGCCAATCAGAGTAAACACGAAGGCGCTAAGGCCAAAGCCACTCAGAGGGAAAGCGGTGGCAGTTCCTCTGTGATGCGGCCAATTCGTCGCGGACACCTTGATCGAACCGGCAAATGCACAACAGCTTCCCATGCCAGTAAGGAAGCCAAAGAAACAGAGAGTAGGAAAACTCATAGATCCGGGACCCTTTTGGTAGGCCGAATATAGGGGGAAGTAGCCGCATGCCAGCGAACAGGCACCAATGAGAATAGCCCACCTGGGACCTTTTGTGTCGATCAAGATGCCAAAGGGAATACCAGAGGCGTACATGCCAATGTTGCCAGCGCTACCCTAGTATCACTCAGTTGCAGGCTCTTACTATGATTCCGAGATGAAATCTCACGATAAGGTTGCTTTGGGTAGCGGATAGTTTCATGCGCTCGGCGTATTGAGGACCCCATGCCGAATATGCGTACTGGTTGAAAGGTCAGGATGATAGGAGGGGTTTCGAGGTTGTGTACTAACGTTTGTTCCACTGTTCACAGTCAGATAAGGATACTCGTTCGGAGAAATGTACAATGGGGCAAGCAGTAGCAAACATACCAAGCAAGAGCTACGCCAGTGGCAGCAATGACGGAGATGACGCGCGACTTGTAGTGCGCATTCTCGTCGCGATCTTGCATGGCGTATCAGAATAGTATGAGTAGCAGAGGCACGATGTAATGCTAATCAAGCATGTGCCGAGTCCTAAAGGGAGATAACGAGGATGATTCGATATGGGGTCGAATATGGTCGCGGGGTGGATGGCTTGTGGCCGGAGAATTGAAGGTCAAGACGGAAGAAGCACAAGAGAGCAAGAAGGACAAATTCGAGAACGAGAACAAGCACAAGTGCAGGTCATGGATAGCAGCACCCGGGATGAAAGGAGGAGACAGGCTGGCCTATCGCGGACCCAAAGAGGAAAGAGCAATCGCCGCGTCATTGCCATGTCCGCGAATTGCGCACTGTCCGCCGACCGTTGCGACCGCAACCCCGGACGTCGAGCGTTCAGGCACCGCGGCGAAGACGAGGCAGGACCCACTCTCCTACAATTACACACTCACTTGTACGAGGTTGCGCCTGCATTTCATTCACATCTTCGACACTGAAAGAGTCGCCATGGGAGCCCTCTTGTCGCTGCCGCTCTTGGCCGTCCCCTCTGTGGGCTCGGTATGCCTCCCCTCGCGCCCACATTCTTGCGCCACTTCAAGACTGACATGGTATACAGCTCATGACCTTCGCCGCCAGCTGCTGTGGTGCCGCCACGTGCTCCGCTGTCTGCAGCGCTGCTGGAAAATGTAACAACAGCATGGCCACCCGTATCGCCTACGCCGTCATTCTGCTGCTCAACTCGCTCCTGTCATGGATCATGCTCACCGACTGGGCCGTCAAGAAACTCCAACATGTCCTGCTCGACTTCGCTACAATCTCCTGCAACGGCAAGGCCTGCTATGGCTTCACTGCTGTCCACCGTATCAACTTCGCTCTGGGCTTTTTCCACTTCATCATGGCTCTCCTGCTTATTGGCGTCAAGAACACTCGCGACAAGAGATCTGCTATCCAGAACGGCTTCTGGGGTCCCAAGTTGATCGCCTGGATCGGTCTCATTGTCATTTCCTTCTTGATTCCCGACGGCTTCTTCATCGTCTGGGGCAACTATGTCGCTCTGGTTGGCGCTGTCCTGTTCCTGCTTCTTGGACTCATTCTCCTGGTCGACCTGGCTCATAGTTGGGCTGAGTACTGTCTTGAGAAGGTCGAGAGCACCGATTCTCAATTCTGGAAGTCGCTTCTGATCGGCTCCACCTTGACCATGTATCTTGGATCTATTGTCATGACAATCATCATGTACATCTTCTTCGCCGGCTCTGGATGCTCCATGAACCAGGCTGCCATCACTGTCAACCTAATCTGCTTGTTGATCGTCTCAGTCATCAGTGTCCACCCTTCAATTCAGGACTCTAACCCTCGTGCTGGTCTTGCCCAGGCCGCTCTCGTCTGCGTTTACTGCACCTACCTGACTTTGTCAGCTGTTGCCATGGAGCCCGACGACCACCAATGCAATCCTCTGGTACGCGCTCGTGGTGCTCGCAGAACTACCGTCATCATGGGCGCCATCCTTACCTTCTTGACCGTGGCCTACACCACAACTCGCGCTGCCACTTACGGCCTGGCCATGGGCACTGGAAAGCCTGGCGGCTACCATCAGGTTGGCGAGGGCGACCACGAGCACGGTCTTGTCGCCACACAGCCCTCGTCTCGTCGCGAATTGCGTGCCGAGGCTCTTCGCGCTGCTGTTGAATCTGGCTCTCTGCCTGCCTCGGCTCTGGACGACTCTGACGACGACAGCGACGACGAAGACGAGTACCCTGGCAAGCACCCTCGCGACGACGAGAAGAACGCGACCCAGTACAACTACACCTTGTTCCACATCATTTTCCTGCTTTCCACAGCATGGGTTGCGACATTGCTGACACAAAACGTTGGTGGCGATTCACTTATCGAAAAGGGCGATTTCGTGCCTGTGGGACGTACCTACTGGGCGTCGTGGGTCAAGATTGTCAGCTCATGGGTGTGTTACGGCATGTTTGGTTGGACGCTCGTGGCGCCTGTTGTGCTCCCCGACCGCTTCGACTATTAAAGAAGTGTGTTGCCGTGAGATCGTAGATTATACCCCAATTTCCCTATTTATATCGCATCAAGTTATGCTATTGTACAACGCTTTCTGTGTTCTTGTAATCTTCTCACTGTAGACCTGGGACGCTTTGGTGCTCGTCAAATGTCAAAATTGAATTGCTTTCGTTATCATAATTGTTTTCTTCTCTGATGACTCCCGTAGGATTTTCTCCATGTTTATGCTGCCGTAGTGCTCGTCGCAGCAGCCTTAAGGCTCCCGGGCGGTAACGTGCTGTAATGTATAGCATAACGAGGATAGCCAGAAAGCAGTTCCATCTCTCTTGTGCTCAGTCCGAGTTGTGGTTTCTTGCAGACATAGAGTCGTTAGTGGATTGCCCACGAGGCGACCCTGACATACAGAGAAGTTGTGTCGAGTCGAAGGATGAAGTCGTGCAAAGCCGTTCGAGGAAGCTGGTCGTGACAAACGGTCGAGGAGAGGTCGTCCGTGATGAACCTGTAGAAGCTCTGTGCCTCCGTCTCACCCTAGTACCTGTATCTAGTCGAGTAATCCTTAGGACTAACAACCAAACCCCGTCCTTTCTTAGCACCCCTATAAATCGTCTCAATAATATCAATCAACTCCTGTTTATCCTCCAACACCCAGTTCAACTTGTTGTTGTTACCAGTTCCAAAATCACACATCATGTGTTTGTTGCGGAAGAAGAACATGATGGTCATGGGATCGTAGAGTTCGTACATCTGGTTGAAGTCGGGCACTTGGTCGAGGTCGCACACGTAGACGACGGCAAAGTTTTTGACGCGGTCGGCGATGCGGTAGAGGACTTCGTCTTGGCGCATGCAGTCTTTGTCCCAGTCGCGGCCGAAGCGGATGACTACCAGGCGGTCTTCTTCGGACATGATGGCTTGGTCGACATGCCAGCCGCTGTTGAGGTGGGGGAGGACGACGGAACCCATGGTTGTGGTGGATGAGAGGTGCTGAGTTGTGGCTAGTTGGTGGATGTGATGGTTCGATGGTGGTTTGGTAGGACGAAAGCGTCGCGCCTTGTTTGGATGTGCGAGTGCGCAACCTGTTTTGATATAACTGTTGAGTGAAGATGGGCGAGAAGCGCAGAGAAGCTTGCAATATGGGTGAGTAGACGTGTAGTGACGAGTCTGCCTTGTGGTTGTTGCCTGGTTAGGGTTAGAGTTGGAGGAGAAAGATGGAAGAATCCAGAATGACGATTTCCATATCAGAAAAGCTCAAGCCCCGACCACCAGGGTCTTTCACATGAAACCTTCACTTCGAAACACAGCCACTTCATACTGCACAACATCACAATATCAGAACACTGTATTAAGACAGAAGCTGATCAAAGTTCCGTCAGTTTGGGATTCATGATAGACTAGAATACACGCTACCACTTTTCATGGCCTTGGAACAGGGCCACCCTCGCAACAAAGTTGCATGACGTTACTCGTCATCAGCTTCCTCGACGCTAGCAGCCATAACTCGCTGCTTAGCCTGGCCTTCTGCAACTTGTGCTCCTGATGTACTCGTGGCCTCAGCAGCGGGCTGCGTGATAGGAGCTGAGATGTCCTCCTTGTGCACATGTCCGTCATGACCATGACCGTCATCCAAGATTTCTTGCACTCTGTCGCCCATCTCGGCAATCTTCTCACCACCTGCCTTCGCTAAGCGCTTGGCCTCTCTTTTTGCCTTCTTCTGTTCCTTCTTTGCCTTCTTGTCCTCCGCTGTCTCCTGCCAGCCCCACACTGGGCGGAACGAGTCGAAGAAGCCTACATCCTCGAAGAGGTTGGGGTATAGCCAGAGACCAGGAGGTACAGTAAACATCGTGACGAGGAATAGGATCAGTCTGAAGATGGCCATGGCGAAGAAGAGACCCAGCAGACCCAGACAGCCCATCGAGAGGTACCACACACCGATGCGCAACTTGTAGGGCCAAACGGGGAAGAAGACGATGGCGAGAATCAGAGCAAGAGCACCAACAGCATAGAGCTTGGTCTTCCACTGAGCACCCTCGTACAACCAGACGTAGTGGAATTCGTCGCGCGCCTCTTGCTGCTGCTCCACCTTGACAGTCCAGAGACCCTTGACACGCTTCTTCTTCTGCTCAGGTGGCTGTTCGATCTTTGACACACGAAGGGCAAGGAGAGATAGAGGAAGCAGCTTGAATGTGTTTTCGGCACTTGCGCGATCGGTGACGGGAGGTAGAAGGGGGTTCTTTGCGCGCGCTTTTTCGTACGCGGGTGATTCAAGAGCACGGATTGCACGTTTGACTGGTGGTGGATGTTAGAATATTTACAGGGCAATAAGATGCGGTGTTGAATTACCTTTGAACATGTCCTTGCGCTTCTCCTGGAAGACACAAGTACGAACCTTAAGGTCCTGGCTCTGGAGGAAGTTGGCAACAGCAATGGCCTCGGGCTTGGGAGGGCCAGGGGTGATGGGCTGCTGCTGGCCTTGTTGCTGCTGCATCTGCTGTTGTTGCATTTGTTGCTGGCGCATTTGCTGCTGTTGCATCATGTGTTGGCGCATGGCCTGAGCCTTGAGCTGCTCGACGTATTGTGGGACAGTCATGCCATTCTTTTGCGCCTCGATGGCCAGTTGACGCTGCATAGCTTGGATCTGCTCGGGAGTGGGTTGCTGGCCGGGCTGGAGTCCTGCAGGCATCAGGTTGATCTGTGGTTGGCCAGGCTGAGGTTGACCCTCTTGCTGCGGCGGCTGCTGCTGTTGCGCCGGTTCCTGAGGTGGTGCCGACATGTTGAAAGAATGGGTAGTTTGAGATTGGTGAAGTTCGGTCCAGACAGAGTGTGCAAGACCTAGGTAAATGTTCAAGTGAGTGAGTCAGTGAAGCAGAATGGCGTAGAATCAGAAAGTCGAAAAGTCGCCCGTTGTCCTCTCTGGCAGTGGCTCCGTGTCATCAAGAGGCAGGCACCAAATCTGAGACGCTGCCACCTTCCCATCCCGCAAGCTTCGACTCACTTCCGCCGTCCGTGCACGCAGTCGGTTACAGCCGCACTGCTTCGCTTGGCGCACCTCTGCATTTTGTTCCAAACTCGTCTGCGCAAAACTTCTTTCCTTTCTCTCTTTGCGACGATCAATATTGACGACAAGATACCCTTTGGGCCCCCTTCGAATTTTTCAAAAGAGACCGACTACCTTACGTACTAGCCATGCGTAAGTATCGTCCTTTTGAATTGGCAGCTGCAAGAGCGCCTGGCTGATGTAAATCATTGTAGCTCCCAAGATGGACCCCAACGAGGTGAAGGTGATCCACCTTCGTGCCACCGGTGGTGAAGTCGGTGCCTCGTCCGCCCTCGCCCCCAAGATTGGTCCCCTCGGTCTCTCGCCCAAGAAGGTCGGTGAAGATATCGCCAAGGCCACTGGCGACTGGAAGGGTCTTCGCGTCACCGTGAAGCTCACCATCCAAAACCGTCAAGCCGCCGTCTCGGTCGTCCCCTCCGCCTCTTCGCTCGTCATCAAGGCCCTCAAGGAGCCTCCTCGTGACCGCAAGAAGGAGAAGAACATCAAGCACACCAAGTCCATCCCTCTTGATGAGATCATCAACATCGCCCGCACCATGCGCTTCAAGTCCTTGGCCAAGGACCTCAAGGGTACCGTCAAGGAGATCCTCGGAACTGCCTTCTCCACCGGCTGCCAGGTCGATGGCCGCAGCCCCAAGGACGTCTCCGACGACATTGAGGCCGGCGAAATCGAGAGTGAGTTTTGAACTTGCCGACCTGACTTCCGACATTTCGCTAACAACATCTGCAGTCCCTGAGGAGTAAATGTCTACTATGTAGCACTCTAACGGAATCTTTTACGCGCTCAAAAGTTTTGCGCTTTTTCTTCAGTGATGATACCCAACGATTTTTCTACCTTTTTCACATTGTGCCTCGTGCCTCTGTTTCCTTTCTGCCCTTGATATCTCCCTCACAACACTCAGTTTGCCAACACTCTGGACTTTACCCATATTTGCCGTGGTTCAGCCCTATTTTGGTGCAAACAAGACGTATCTTGTCCTACTACTCACCGGGATGCTTCCTCTTCGGAGCGTGGGCATACTGGTCCATGTTTAAGGTCAACATCTCTTCGCTTGTACACACATCTTAGCATAGCACAATCAATCCTATGCAGTCATGCCATCCTCAACCACCATGCAGTGATCTGCACCGCGTAACAGCACTGTTGCTTGTACCTTCAGCCTCATGTACTCGCCACTGCGCGGCTACGTGCGAAAGGCTTTCCCTTGTGTCTCAATAATCTCCCAATGTCTTCTAATGGCAATGGTAATTTCGAATTATAGTCATCGGATCGCCAGTCATTCGGACATCGAGCATTAACGCACAGCGTTCGAGGAAGCGTGGCTGCTCGAGTTGGTATGACCGGTCTGTACGACACGAATTCCACCAAAGTACCAGCGCCAGGGATCATGCGTGTTCATGCAAGCCACAAAGGCTCTAGTCTTGTCTATCAACATCACATTAACAAAGCCGGCCACGCTACATGAGCCAATCCATCCTTCCCCGACGCTGACAGGATGAGTGAGTTCGGCTTGAAACAGGCCAGCTTGCCGCAGAGTGGCAGGTTGAAACGCAGGTCGGTCGACAGGATGTTGGATGTGTTCAGCAGCAGCGCAATCTGCGACGGTCCACGGTTTACAGTCCTCGGAGGCTTTTGATGGCTCGCGAGTGCCACACACGGGCCGTTTCTGTTGGTTGGCGCATCCTACGCCGATCGCAAGCCCTGGGGCTCTGATTCGTGTCTTTCTCCATACAAAGACTCCACCTCAGTCGTATCTAAGACTTGCACATGCCCGCTCCCTGCCGAGCACGCCCCCGTCGCGTTGCTTCCTTCGTGTGTTGTTTTTGAACAAAGATTGCTGGCCCGTTGAACAGCACCTTTTCCTGCTTCTCTCCTAGGGTAGCAAGCGCCGCAGATTAACTGGCTGCATCGACAGGCGGCGGGCAACATCTCATTCCTCGTCCTTCGCTTCCGAATCACTCCCGTCCATCTTTATCTTACGTGACATATCTGCACTCCTTCCCGGGTCCAGTCACACGTCTTTATTGCATGGGCCCCGTCGGTTGCCCGCATACATAATCTGCAGTTGTCCTCATCTGGGGATCATTTCCCTTTTCCTCCATCCTGGTTATTCTGAATCCGCTCTGTCAGCTCCGAGTCGCTGTTTCGAACACGACCTGTCCAACCCTTGCATTCCCAGCTTAATCAACGCCTCCTTCCGCCCTCCGCTCTCTCGGATCATCTTTCTCACATCTGCATGTCCTATGTCGCTTTGAGTAATCGTTACGCTGCTACAAGAGTTATTGTTGGAACGTTGGTCAGAAGCCTCTCTGTGTCGGTGTACATGAATGGCAATGTCGTGCCTTAATTCGAATCCACTTCGCAAAGGCATAGGCACAGGTGCACTTCGGTGATAGTCTTTCGAGGCACGCTGTGCTGTCAGACATAACAACAACTCTCTCCCTTCTTGAATATGGACGTCGCCATGTCGCCGCGGCCTCGGCCTCCAAATACCTCCACCTTTGACTACCCCTACGCCCACCACCAAAAATACCACGATGATTATTTCTCGTCCGGTTTACACACTACTCGATTTGCACAGCCTCTCAGAAGTCCGTACGGTGGCTCAACCTCACGGCCCATGTCTTCTGAAAACACTTTGAGGAGGAAAACACCGAACGGAACTCTCAACGGCGCATATGAAAGTAGCAATCATGGAACACAACCTGCAAAGCACATGGTCGTTCATCGACAAGACAGTATGCATCCTTACTGTCAGGCACCACAAATGGCTCACATGGATTCTATAGTCAACCAGCAAGCGGTCCTGCCACCTCGATACATAAATCCAATGCCCCACCCATTCTACGGTCAATCGGTTCCGAGCGTTATGCAGCCGTCTTTCCAGTATTTGGGTCCTACTGCGTCTGGCATAGATGGTCATGGTCTTTATGGTCCTTACTGGAATGATGGCACTTACGTCCCGTATCGTCCTGCCGCCGTCAGAGACCCTCGCTTTTACTCACAACATGACGGCCATTATCCAATGCACGGGTTCGTCCACCCTTGGAACGCTCCTGGGCCTGGTCTATCGTATCCGGCCTCTGCTCACACATGGTCTGCACATGATAGTGGTGTGCCTGTCGTGTATCCTTCGTTTGCAGGTGTTCACAATGTTCCATACACGCCTGATTTTGTTCCCAACTTTGGCCCTGCGCCTGCAAATGCGCGACAACGTGAGCAAGCGTTCAACTGGGCTCTCCAGACTTATCGCGAGCTTCTTGTATACATTCAGCAATTGCGAAAGACGAGCCGGCAATACAAACCACCTTATCAAACGTCCTCTCCTGGTCCCAGGTTCTATCCTAAACCTCCAAGATTGTCTGGTGCTCCTCCGCCAACTAATGCTTATAGCTCAATGAGCTCTCATTCTACTCAAATCAATGTTCCAGCGCTGTACAGTAACGGGTACCCGTACGGGACAGCCTCGCATACCATGTCCTCTTCAACGCCATTGCCATCTCCTGGTGCTATTGTTCAGCCTCTGCACGACACGTCACCACCAGCCCGAGCGGCGAATGCCTTGGTTCTGATCACGAGGCTTTGTGGTGAAACATCATGGCAATGGACTGATGGCATACACTTAGCCGGATGCATTGCATACGGGCTCGACCGTTATCAGAAGGCCGAGGACTTTTATCTCAAGGTCCTATCCCTCGAGCCACGGCACATTGAGGCCATGTCAAACCTAGCGGCAACATTAGTAGCTCTTGAGCGGAAGAAAGAAGCTGAGGAGTACTGGATGAAAGTCGTAAAATTCGCGCCGAATTATTTCGAAGCAGTCGAGCATCTCGTAGGCCTACTTTGCAGCACTTCTCGCGGGAAAGAGGCAATCAAAGTCATTGAATTCATCGAACGTTCTTTACGGATCTCGAAAGCACATGAACCACACAAGACTATTGACCATCAAAGCGAGATGTCGTCCAATGCAAGTCGTTCACCATGCACGTCCGAACACTCCGATCCGGCAATCTACGATTTCGAATTGGATGGCGATTTCTCGCGCGAGCCTTCGAGTCCTAAGGAACCTGGTTTTGGGTCAAGCGGCTATGCCATTCCAGGCGCTGATAACGGTCGCATGCTTGCATTAGTTCATGCGAAAGGTAACATGCTCTACACCTTGGGCGACAACAATGGTGCTGCCAAAGCTTTCGAAGATGCTGTACTCATCGCAACGGGCCGCATGTTCTCGGGCGTCGCACAGCTTGTGAAACACATTTTGTCCGTCATCTCCGCTGCAAATGCCTCGAATGCTGGGCCTACCGACCCCGTGCTTCTCTACCCTGAACAGGCTGCAAACACAGCTCGTCTATGCTTTCCGAACTATGGTGAATTGGCCGGCCTGCGCAACGTGCCCGCATCGCCATCTAGCCCCGCTCAAAGCGCCGCTGTTGCGATAGCGAGTAATTCTCTCCTCTCACTTGCCAAAATATTCCAGGATGGCATGGGCAGAAATGTTCAAGGCGTGGGCGGGAAGCCTATGGTGTCTGGTGTGAGGGAGATCCTTGCATTGTATTATCTCTCCTTGTCATTGCAGCCCAGCCCATCCACTGCCAACAATGTTGGTATCCTCCTGGCTGGCGTACAGCAGTCAGTCCAACCAGCTACAACTTTTCACGGTTCGCATGCCTTTAAACAGGACATCCCTGGCGTGCAGCCGGGAAGCGGTATTGCCCTCGCTTTGGCGTACTACAATCATGGTCTGATGCTCGATTCAAGACACGCTCATCTTTACACAAACTTGGGAAGTCTTCTCAAAGACATTGGTCAGCTTGATGCTGCTGTCGAAATGTATCGAAGAGCTATTCAGTGCGACGGCAAATTTGATATAGCATTAGCGAATCTTGCCAATGCCGTCAAAGACAAGGGGAAAATCGCCGAAGCTATCGAATACTACAGACGTGCTGTCGACGTAAACCCTGAGTTTGCTGAAGCTGTTTGTGGTCTTGCTAACGCGCTGAACTCTGTATGTTCGTGGCAGGCAAGAGGAGGTATTGCTGCTGATGGTGGCAAGCGAGATCGCTGGCACGTTGACCAAAACGGCATGCTGTTGAGCGCGGCACTCTCGAACCCTTCGACCTCTGGTTGGATCAATCGTGTCGTTGATATTGTTGTGAGACAGCTCGAAGAAGGTGAAAATTGGGGTCGTGGCGTGCTGACGACAGACATCATCGATTCCATGGTCCAGCAAATCTCAACCTTCGATTGTGGTACGCATGAGCTCGGTCAAGATCTACGCCAGATTATCGCAAGCTGGGCTGGTCAGAAATGGGAAGGCGCGCGCCTCATCAAACTTATTGAGCGTCTGACGAGGCGTATCGGCTGGCACTGGTACCAAGACAAGTATGTACGGAAGACAACGAGGACCGGTTACCGCAGACCTCAGCTTCCTGCCAACCTCAATATTCCTAACGCCCCCACCGTGCTGCCTTTTCACACCTTCACTTGTCCGGTCTCAGCAAAACAGGTTCGCTTGATCTCGGAACGCAACGGATATCGCATATCAGCTTTGACACTCCGCATGCCTTGGCTGCCCAATGATGTTTATCCTCCGCCAGCACCTCCTTCTCCACAACTAAAAGTTGGTTACATCTCTTCCGATTTCAATAACCATCCATTAGCTCACTTAATGCAATCTGTCTTTGGTTTGCATGATCGGCAACGAGTCGAAGCATTTTGTTATGCCACCACTGCTTCAGACAACTCACCTTATCGCCGCAAAATTGAAGAAGAGTCTCCCAACTTCTATAATGCCAGTAACTGGACGACCGAACGCCTCGTCAATCAAATCGTATCTGACGGAATCCATATTCTTGTGAATCTCAACGGATATACCAGAGGTGCTCGTAATGAAGTTTTCGCCGCGCGTCCAGCTCCTATACAAATGTCATTCATGGGATTTGCAGGTACTCTGGGAGCTGAGTGGTGCGATTATCTCCTTGCTGATGACACTGCTGTACCGCCGTCTACACTCCGTCCATGGCGTCGGAATCTCGATGTCGAAGACCGGCTAGTTCACGAAGCAGAAAGCGAGGAAGGTGATTGGGTGTATGCCGAAAATCTCGTGTACTGCCGAGACACCTTCTTCTGTTGTGACCACAGACAGAGTGCACCCGATTCTGAAGAGCGCAGATTAACGTGGGAAGAAGAGCAATCTCGACGCTGGACGATGAGAAAGGAAATATTCCCCGCGCTTGCCGATGATGTGATTATCTTTGGCAACTTCAATCAGCTCTACAAGATTGAGCCGACCACCTTCCGCACCTGGCTTCGCATACTTTCTCAGGTTCCGAATAGCATCCTCTGGCTACTGCGGTTCCCTGATGTGGGAGAAATGTACCTCAAACGCACCGCTGAGGCATGGGCGGGCCCCGCTGTGGCCGATCGGATCATTTTCACAGATGTTGCACCGAAGCATCTGCACATCAGCCGTGCCCGAGTTTGCGATCTTTTTCTTGACACTCCAGAGTGCAACGCACATACCACAGCTGCCGATTGCTTGTGGAGTGGCACACCTCTGCTGACTTTGCCACGCTACGAGTACAAAATGTGTAGTCGTATGGCAGCCTCAATCCTAAAGGGCGCACTGCCAAAGACGCCTGTCGATGTTCGCGAGGCCGCCGAGAAGGATTTGATTGCATCTTCAGATACCGAGTATGAAGAGATGGCTATTCGGCTGGGGAAAGGGCTTGTTTATCCAAAATCAGGACCTGATGTCGGAAAAGGTTCAGGTAGACTGGTTGAGCTTCGCAAGATCTTGACAGAGTCAAGATGGACATCCGCGTTGTTTGATACTGCGCGATGGACTCGAGACCTCGAAGACGCGTACAGCGAGGCTTGGAGACGATGGGTCAATGGTGAGGGAGGCGATATCTGGTTGAAGGATGTTCCTTGCGGTCGTGTGCAAGAGGTGTGAGGCCTGCAGATTGGGGGTGTGACTTCCTATTCTGCGTCTGCTTCTCTTCCATGTTTTTATCATTGTTCTGAAGCGCTGGCGTTGCATAGGGTTTTCTTGGGAGGATTATTCATGGGCACAATCACACGAACGATCTACCGTATATTTACTTGTCTCCAGAAGTCTTGATCCACCACGTCTGCGATTCATCTGTTGCCTTGTCGTCGCGCTCTCTTGTCCTCAAGGTATGATAGCTCTTTCCTCAACAATGCGCATACACTGTAGCGCGCTTGCGATGAGTCGTGCTTTCCAATTTTTCGACCTGCGATCCTTGCATTTCTTCCATCCCTCCGGGCTCTGGTCAATGATCATCCGGCCAAGATCCCTTCCAACCTTGTCGCTTCCAAATAGCAAATCTGTCATGTATGCGAAATGACTCGGTGAAAATGAGTTTGTCGCACTCCAACTTACTATACGAAGAACCTCACATTCTTCGAATACGATATATACGCGATCAACCTCAAAAACCATAACCCTCGCGACAAGGAGTGTTTCTCCGTACCAACAATGACGCAAATCCAACATCTTGAGGTTTGTGCGGCCGTTGGAAAACGTCTCTCCAACTTCGGCAGTTGTCATAAGGTGTGTGTTTTTTGTCAACATGGTAAAGTGGTTGTGGGATTTGTGTTTTTTTTTTCTTGCATTGGCATTGGCATTGCGTTGTCCATATCAGGGCAGTATAACCTTAAAGACACATCTCGTACTCGGATAGTGCTGCTTAGAGATGACGGTGGTCTAGATGTGTATAGACCCGGTGTGTCTTGGAACATTGGCCATCGACCGTGTCTTGTGAATGACAGATCTAAAGTTAGTATGTGGGTAGAGAAATGTTTGATCAAGACTTTGTCCGAAACTCTGTTGTTTTGTTTTATCACCTGCCTTGGTATGAGATGTCAAGCGAATGTCTCAAATGACAGGGTGTGATTCCTTTCTTCCGGCTGTGTTAGATTTGTGTCTTGGTTTAGTTCTTCAAGCAAGCTTTCCATTTGGCTTGCTATGTCTCATGGTCAATCAAAGCATATACCGGAAGATCAGACATGTCCATTTTTTTGTTTCACACCTTTGAGCAAAAAGTTGTTCGCAATTTCGGCCCGTTAGAAGGTTCCCTTTTTCCTTTGATTTTCTATCTCTTTAATTCTTTTTTTTTATGGTTTGGCAAAACGTCAATGATGCAAGACATAATCCCAATCTACCTGGTATAACGTCGCAAACCTTATAGACCTAATTTTTTTTTTTCTTTCTCACTCTCTTTTTCTTGTACCAATTAGCGATTGCTCGGGCCTTTATGCGAGAAATCTATGATACACATCGTCTTGAAAAGACGATGTGTCTGGTCTTTGGGAAGGATTCAAAGCCTATATCTCTATCTTGGAAAACGATCGCTCGCTCTTCAAGTTGGGCATCTCGTTACGACTGGACGGATCTGCAGTCGATTGATCTCTAGCTGTGGAGCGGGAATACAGAGCGATCAAGGATGCTGTCTTGGAACATCAGGGTCATGGTTTTCAACAAAGCAGTTTGGAGATCTGTTGTACACACAAAGCTACAAAGCTTGTGATCCCTGCTGGCCCTGCATACCAGACCACGAGGACAGTGCCGGAAGGCGCCGGCACGGATGTGTTCCCTGTCGCACTTGTACCACAGAGCCAAATGTCAATCATGTTCCTATACAAGGGAGCACACCTTCTTGATCCCAAGAACCAGAGACCACGCATCCTTGACACGAATTCTGTCGCATGGCGTGGCCTCCATGGAATCCCAATAGTGATTCGTCTCGATCGAGTGCAGAAGATAAGCTGTGGAACCTATGGACTGCAGATCACTCGTTGTCTTGCCAGCAGTGGCAATCGTTGCGAGCGGCATTTCCTTCTTCATGTCCTCGTATTGAATATTGATGGTGGGTTGTCTCGTGTGGAAGTTCTTCCTGGTGGACGTTGGTCGTTTGGACGTTGCTATGTGCTGATCAGCGTGGCAAGAAACGTGTTTAAAGCTGGATGATGTCGTGATAGACAGAGGTGTTATCTCATGTGGGAACCTTTTGCGAAATGATATGATGCTTGTGTGTTTGAGAGCAGTATGGTGGCTGGCGGAAATAATCAGGTCCATCGAGGCGATGAGATCTCTATTGTCAAAGTCGTAGGAGCAATCTGTTAGTGGTTTCATCTTGTAAGATAGGAGCCACTGATATCGCTTCTAACGCCTTGTGCATATTGTCAATAGTAAAGGTAGATAACATAGGTGTGGTACATGGCATTCAGCTTGCCTCTGACAAGAGGTAATTGTGGAGCGACGTCGCCCTGCTCCCTACCTAGGCATGTGCTTCTGTGCTACCACAAGCGGTAGGAAATATACGTAGCTGTGTACTCAGATCTCTTCGTTTCAAATGGCAAGTTTTGCCTACACAGATCGTGATATTCGCCATGTCAATCTGCCATGTCGCGTATTCATCGGTCCTAGAAACGTACCCAGGTACACTGTGAGACCTGAGCTGGACAGACGCAACATTGACATAGTTGCGGAGTACGCAAGATCACGGAAACCGGCATTCGTTCTCTGCATGGTCGTTTCTTCGGCCTCAAGGTTGCCGATTCGGTTGAGCGTGGACATAGATCTTCAAGTTCGGTCATGTCTTGAAAAGCGGTCAGGTAGAGCATCGACCTCTGGAAGACCTAAGTTTGGTCTATCTGGCATTTTTCATCATTGTTGAAGCTCGATCCAAGTTACTATATTTGAGTATCTGACTGCTCAGACGCCATGAGCGACTCAGCGCTGTGCTGTGCAGTAGTGCGTTTGAGATGTCGAAGCGTGCATGAGATAGCGGAAATCGGTCTGCAAGTTTTTGTCAACAAGACACATAACTTGATGTGAAGAGAGAACCAAGAAGGTGCATTGCATCAAGGAGTGTTCACCCATAGTGCTCAGCAAGAAACTATGTGGATAGGTAAACCGAAAGAGCTTCAGCGAATTTACGAGCAGGGTCATCACGACAGCAGAGACGTGCAGTTTTGACATCAAGAGACGTTTACGTCCACACTCCACATACACCAGTGGCTTGTCGACCTGAATTATGCTTTGATTTTGACTTTCTTGCTGTGATACCTGAGATACACGAGCATCTTCCTCTCCACTTGTGACCATGTGATCATTGGATTAACCTGACTGGATCGGGTCAGGCCATCCGGCCCGTCATGTGTGCAGTGCGAGAGAGGGAGAAGGCTGTGGCGCCCAGGCAATGATCACGACGAAGCATTGCTTGTTCGTACGTTGCGCGTTGGTCGCATCAATGGTCAAGCTCATGCAGAGCATAAGTCATCGACTCAGTACACATCGGCCAATCGATGCAACGAAGCAAATAATCGTTCGCTGCACGACGGAAAGCAAGACATATTGAAGTGCGGGACCCAGTCCAATCGTACGGAGTGTAGGGCTGCATCAGTGCAAGAAACAAGAGAACTGCACAATTGCTCATCCTCTGTGGAGACACCAGAGGTGAACGAGAAACACAAGTGATCGGCAAAAATGCACGTTGCACGGGCCCGTGGGCCTCCCCAGTGATTTGTGTTTCCTGCATGCAACTAATTCGTCGGGAAACCGTGGATGCCGCAGAATCTGCAAAAACAATCTTGCAAGGCTGGGAAATGTACCGTCATAACCTCATGCCCTCACTGCCCGATGGTGAGAGTGATGTTGAGGGTAGATAGAACAATTGGTACAGATCTCGTGAGGAGCTGTCAGAATATCTCCGTGCCGTTGACATCGGGCGGGCAAAACGGTCACCTTATCTCTCGAGTGGTAGACCGTTTGCGACTCTATCGGACATCCCCCACGACCTTTGAGGCTCACAAGAGACGCAAGGTACATGACAATTTGGATTGACCGCAGCGTGTTCGCAGTGTGTAGGTGCATGAGACAAAATTGCCGCCATCAATCACATCAGAGCCCAGCAGCCACAAATCCTTAACCCTGCAAGAGGAACGACAGAGAGCTTCTTGGGTGTTCAATTCGTCGCAGCTATAGCGCGACTAGCCTAAATGGTAGTTGCCTCCGCAAAAGGACGAAGCAAGGATTAGTGTGATAGACAGCCTAGCATTAATGCAAGAATCCTTCTGCTCGTGGCTGCACCTCTAGCAGCTGGCAGGGACCCATTAAGCTGCACGCCCCATGCTCGCACGCCTTGGAAACAATAGAATGTTCCAATATCCTAGCATTGCGGCCGTAGGCAGATTGCATTTCCATGTCCAAGACCGTGGGTCGGCATCTTATATTAAAAACGAATAAAATGTGGGATACGAGGTGATGGTGCTATGCGACCCACCATTGTCCCATTCGGTCATTAATTTAGTGAAAAGGAAGCAGACCTAGAGGTGGGTTTCCTAAAGCAGTATATGTACGGAACCATGAAGATGCATAGTCCGAACAACGAGGTGCATTCAACTCCAGGAAAATGGTATCTACGCGTCCAGCGACATCTGACATCACATTGTGGCACGCTGCCATGTGCTACTGATTGCGATGTTGAACCATCTCGAGACAGAACAGATCTGCTTGCGAAGATCTCTACCTCTTGTGTGTGGTCGTACTCATGAATACGAACGTGGCCACGATATCGCTCCTTACGGGCGTAAATTCATATAAGCCGATCCCAATCCGGACCATATCTGCCAACTACTCCGCGCTGTCTCGAGGATGATCAAATGATCGTCGCAAAAGAAACGGTCTGGGCACGATGTCGTGAGGAGGACAACACGCTCTTACTCGATAGACACTCCTGGCCCCAGGGCTTAGAAGCGGGCCAACAACGTCTGAGCCAGATCGCGCTCAACGCCGGACAATATTGCGCAACTTGCGATGGACGTTTTCTGTTACACGGCAATTTCATCATTGGCAGGGCCAGCCACAGCGTCTTCAACTTCAGCACGATAGGAACGTGGATACCGGGCTTGTTCTGTTTCGTTTAGTAT